CGTTCATACGAGTGATAGTTTTTGGTAGGAGCCCCCCCCCCCCCCCCTCTTTCTCTTTTTGCTTCTCTTCTTCCGGATACATACGGTACCTACCTTATATACCTATAGGTACCTACCTATATACCTATGTACCTACTTTTATTATACCCAGTCTTATAGTCTTTTTAGTCTTTAGTCTCTGTATGATACAAAAGACACTTAGAGACAGTCAGTGACTCAGTCGTTCGTTACAAAAATGGGATTTATTTGACACTTTTTTTTTTCCTTTTTTTTTTTGAATGCATTTCATCTTCATATGAAGCTTGGGCTGTAATAGGAATCCCTGGTGAACCATGAACTGTGAACCATGAACTGTGAACCATGAACCGTGAACCGTGAACCGTGAACCGTGATGAGTGATGAGTGATGAGTGATGAATGGAAATTGTAGTTCATATTTTGTCCCTACTGAGGGAGGTATGACTTATAGATTGTTGGAGTATCCAGACAAGGGGCTACAATTGAAAACTCAATGGGGGTAAAAAAGAAAAAGAAAAGGGTCAGGGTAAAGTATAACGCCCATGTTGTAGTCATGCTCGTTAGAATGGTTGGCGGCAAAAGAGAAAAAAAAAAAATTTTGAACATAGGAAGAAAGTGTCACTTTCGGGATATATAATTTTTTCATGGTTTGTATGCCATCATGTCGAAAACCACGACGCTGTGACATGTTTGAAAACAGATTTTGACGAGCCAATAAAAAAGTACGACAAAATCGTACGTTAGGAACCTTATTAAGTTCATCGCCCGGCCTGCTTGACGACAGTCGCAACCTTCTGCGCGAGGTCGTCGGCTTCACCGCGCGTCGCGGCTTCGGCGTATACTCTAACAGCATCTTCCGTGCCGCTTGCCCGCGCGAATGATCTCCCAGCCTTGTATTTGCCGACAAGGGCATCAATCTGGTCTTGCACGCCGGGCGGGCTCTCCAAGCGTCTCTCCGCATCGACAGTCTTGAAAATGTTCCGGTCTGCGACTTCGATCCGGACAAGCCGGTTGGGGAGGTCGGTGTAGGTCGACTCCCATTCCTTGGGACCCCAGCCCTTATGCGCGAGGATGACTTCGACGAGGAGCAGGTCAGACAGGGCGTCACCGACAGTCTGGTTGATGAGATCGGTCAGGGCGCGGAGAGTGTCAAGTGCGGTTTTCTGCGCGGGGGATTGCGGTTCCGTGGTCGCGAGCGTCTTCAGAGCTGCCGGGGAGAAGACCACTGTTCCGTGCCCGTTGGCTTCAAAGTACACCCCGATATCGAATTTCGTGGCGGCGTGGTGCAAGTGCTTTACACCCGTCGGTGTGCAGACGACAGGCAGCTTTAGGCTCTTGCTGATATACTGCGTGCTGGAACCATTTGCGTAGGCCGTCTGCACGACGCCGATCCGCAGCTCGTCCCCGAGTCCGGCTTGTTTGGCGAGATCTCCTATGAATGAGGCGGCGAGCGTAGCAATGCGGTCGCCGTCAAGAAGGACAAATTTGCCGTCGTGGTCGATGAAGTAGAAGACGATGCGGTCAGCGTCGCCGTCGAGAGAGGCACATCGTGCGAGTTGCCCGGCGTGGGAAGAGGGGGGAGCACGCTGGTTCGTCTTGACAAAGTCGGCGCCGCACTGAATAGTGGGGGTTATTAGTTTAGTTGGATACAAGGGAAGAGGACTTTCAAAAGACAGGACAGGCTTGGACTGTGGCTATGGGAGTATAGGTTGGGATTGAATACCTGATAGTTCAACCGCTCGGGCTTGAGCACGTCGTCGTTGACAACTTTGATCTCGAGGCCGCCTTCTGAGGCTTGTGGGAGATATTTGATCAGCTCTCTGAGCTTGCCTCCGCCTACACCGTTGGCGCAGTCAACCGTGATAGAGCCATTGGCCTTGCGGCCTTGCATGGCCTTCTTGAATGCAGCGCCGACTTTCTTGTAGTAGCCGGTCTCGGAGGGCTCGCCAAAGGGAGCTTCGCTGCCTTGGGTGTTGACGCTTCGAACAATGTAATGCAGCTGAGGTGTTGTCATGAGTTTGTAGTCAGTGTACTGTGTGCCAGTGACCTCGAGCGCATCAACGAGGGCCGCAACGAGGGTTGCGCCAGACGCTCTAGTATCACGGGCGTACACCACGCGAGCGGGGGTCTCGGACTTGATCTTAAGATCCGTGGAGAGCTTGTTGTAGATTTCGACGAGCTCGGCATCGCTTGATGCATTAGCAAGCTTGGTCGCATATGCTTCCCAGGAGGCCTAGAGAAATGACAATGTTTTGTGAGTCTTTGTACAATTCGAGGGTGGGTCGAACTTGGATTCGCATACTTCTAGCATTTCGCCCTACACGTGTCACAACGTTTAGTTACAGTCCAATCAAGCTTTTGCAGGTACCTGGAAATTTGAATCATACCATGGGGTCTACCAGCTTGACACCATTATCCTCAGGCGGGTTGTGACTCGCAGTGATCATCACACCAATTGTCTGTCCTCCCAATCGCTTTGACCGCAATGCTGCCAGCAGACCAACGCGGAAGACGACAGGATCAAGCAAAGTACTATATAATCTCAGAATTCAGTTTCTCGTGCACTTGTACGCGTGACGCTTTTGGGGGTCCGTTGTGGAATAGCTTACGCCTTCATACGAAACTGTATGTAGCAGTTAGCGGCGTCGCGGTGCATGCAGCTTCAACAAACAAGCATAATACTTACACCGGCGGTTCCATATTGAAATTGATGCTCTGCAGGCTTGGGATGCTTGCCCGACGCCTCTAATAACTTCTCGTGGAGTGCCATGGTTGAGGGCGATGTGGTAGTGGGGAGACGAACACGAGGGGTGTCAATAAGCGCAGTAAACCGGCCGTTTCAATTTCCCAGGAACAGATGAGGTCGGAAGACAGATAATACAGTGACGGCCAGCGTTACGAAGAGCAGATATTTGAGAGAAAAGAAAAAAGGGGAATATGAAAAGGGAAAGCCGTTGGGTGGAGTATATAAACTAGCTACCGTGTTCGCGGGGTTGGTTGGTGTGGAGATATTGGTTTCTATATATTAACTGTCCTGAAGTATAACGTAACTAATATAAACAGGAATAGTCGCGATTACTTAACTAAATTCGTTTTCTCTTTCTCCGTCACCGTCATACGACAAATTTCGAAACGTCAAACAACAAAGCAGCCTCCCCGAGCCTTTTCCGCCCTCCGAGAAATACGAGCTAGAGGAAAAAAGAAAGGATGATTCGGTGATTGTTTCAAATCGACCAATTTCGGGGGCCATGGATCAGACTGCGCCTCTTCCTGTACCCTCCGCACCGGTCGCGGAGCCAGTTGCTCCCGTCGCGACAGTTCCTATTAATGCGCCTTCACCACGAGAACAATTGTCCCGGCAGATTGCTGCTGGACAAGCAGGCAATGCCGGCGATGGAAGCATTCTTTCTCAATTGAAATCAAATCCATTCTTCACCGCTGTACGTATTCCCGGATCCTAGTTCGTCTGCGACGAGGTGGTCAAATTTTTGTCCTATTGCCACTGACACAATTTTTTCCTTCTATTTCAGGGATTCGGACTAGCAGGCATAGGTGCCTGTGTGGCTTTTGCGCAGCGCGGACTGCGTCGAGGCGCAAGTCTACTCCGCCGACGACTACTGGTCGACGTTGAAATCAGCCGCAACGATGAATCGTACCAATGGTTCCTCCATTGGATGTCGCAATATCAAAAGCAACAACTAGCAGCGACTGCCGCTCAGGCCGCCGCGGCAGCACAAGGCGAAAAGCCTCGAGTGCTCACATCACTCATTCAGCGATTTACTCCGGGACTACACCACCTCTCGATCCAGACGAAAAACGTCGTTCACCCGAATGGATCGCTCCACACATATTTCTCCCTTATTCCCGGCCCCGGGCGACATGTTCTCCGATACAAAAACACCTTCATAGCGGTGGATCGAGCGCGGGATACTAAATCATTTGCACACGACAAAGGGTCGCCCTGGGAAACCGTCACCCTCACGACTTTATATTCGGATCGACATGTGTTCGAGGAACTCTTCGCCGAAGCCCACAAGCTGGCAATGCAGCTGCAGGAAGGCAAAACGGTCATGTACACCGCCTGGGGCACCGAATGGAGACAATTCGGTTATCCGCGACGCAAGCGGCCCCTCGAGTCGGTGATTCTGGACCAGGGCGTCAAGGAGAGGGTCGTCGAGGACGTCAAGGACTTCATGGCCAGCGAGAAATGGTACTTCGACCGCGGCATCCCCTACCGTCGTGGCTACCTTTTGCACGGCCCACCGGGCACAGGCAAGAGTTCATTCATCCAGGCTCTTGCCGGCGAACTGGATTACAGCATTGCGCTCGTAAATCTGAGCGAGCGGGGCCTGACGGACGACCGTCTCAACCATCTCTTGACCAACATTCCTCCAAGAACGCTTGTTCTGCTCGAGGACGTTGATGCGGCCTTCAGCAACCGTCGGATCCAAAGCGATGAAGACGGATATCGCGGGGCAAATGTCACCTTCTCCGGATTGCTCAACGCGCTGGACGGTGTCGCCAGCGCAGAAGAACGTATCGTCTTCCTGACGACCAACCACGTTGATCGGCTTGACGAAGCCCTCGTTCGTCCGGGCCGTGTCGACATGACAGTGCGGCTGGGTGAGGCTACTCGCTACCAGATCTCGCAGCTTTGGGATCGTTTCTACGGGGAGGTCGAAGGCTCCGAAGAGGCCAAGAGCCGCTTCCTCCAGCAAATGGAGAGCCTCGGCTTGATTGAAGACGAGCAGGGCCATGGCCGACAGGGAGACTATCGACCCAGCACGGCGTCCCTGCAGGGTCTTTTCTTGTATAATAAAGGCAATATGGAAGGCGCCATCGCCATGGCTCCGGGTCTGCTGCCTGGCTGGAGCTCAGAGGAGTCGGATATTCCGAGCCGGAGCCACGCCGCAATGCAGCCTGCTCGCTCAGCTGTGTAGTTTTAGGGAGGTCGGTTTTTTGCAAATGTAAATGTACTGTACAATAGGATGTATGTTATTAAAACACGTAGTTATGGGATAGATTTTGGCGAACGACTATTACTGGGAATACCGATGTATATATAGCAAAATATTATCTCCGCAATGCATCTTCAGGGCACGAAACACTCTGTCAAGCAATAAGCTGAGTTCATGAAATGCACACAGCCAATGTACGGTGTCACCGAGTCTACTTCAGCAAACTGAAGCAAATCAAAGAAAACCAAACTAGGGTTTCTCTTATATGTGCGTAATTTCTATAATCTAGAAAGTCCTCGAACCAACCCAGGTCATGCGCCGTAAAAAGGGTATGTACAATACAACTTGAAAGAACTAGATCACTCTTCTCAAATCAAGAAAACTTTTATCCTTCCTCGGCATCCATATCATCGCGTCCTCTCTTGCCGCCCTGGAAGGGTTTTCGGCCCCGAAGCGTGGCGCCCTTTGTGCCCCGCTTCTCATGCAGGTCTTTCATCTCGCGGATTGCTCGTCTCTGAGCTTCGCCAACACGTTCGCTCAAGACAAGCGCTTCTTCCTTGACGACCTTGTACTCGGGCAATTTCTTACCAAGTGCAGTTTCAATCCGAAGCCAGATCTCAACATCATACTGGGTCACCATGCTAAACGCGTGACCACTTTTACCGGCACGAGCTGTTCGTCCAACACGGTGGATATAGGTCTTGCTATCGGGCGGAAGGTCGTAGTTGAGCACGATATCCACGGACGGGATATCGAGACCACGGGCGGCAACATCGGTGGCGACTAAGATGTCTCTGCTGCCTGCCTTAAATTTGCCCAACGCACCAAGACGAGCAGATTGTGAGAGCTGACCATGCAGCGGGATGGCACCAAAGCCAAGGCTCCGAAGGAGGATGGCGGTACGCTGCGTCTCGTTGACGGTACGTGTAAAGACAATGCAGGTTTGTCCAGCAAATTCGTTCAGGAGGTACACAAGGTAAATATCCTTGTACTTGTGAGGGAGGAACATGTATGATTGCAAAAGCGTAGAGACAGTCGAGTATTTGCTGTCAGATACCTGGATACGTAGAGGGTTGGAGAGTGATGCTCGCTGTAGAGATTCGACTTTGGAGGTCATTGTAGCCGAGAAGAGGTACGTTCTTCTCTCCTTGGGTAGCACTTTCAGAATCTTGTCTAGAATGGCGCCAAAGTCGAGGTCCAGTAAACGGTCTGCCTCGTCCATGACCAGATATTTGAGTGTTCGGAGCGAAAATCCTTTGGTCTCCTCCAAGTGGTCAAGGAGACGTCCAGGAGTGGCAACGATGATGTGAGGCTTCTTTCCAAGCGCGATAGCCTGTTGGACTTTGTCCACACCTCCGACAATGACGGCGCAACGAACAGCAATGAGTGATCCCAGTGCTTCGATCGCTTCGGAGATCTGGAAAGCAAGCTCTCGGGTGGGTGCCAGCACGAGACCGAAGAACGCTTGCGGTTTATCCATGAGAGCTATTGTAGTTTGAGTTAGAAAACTATCGTTTGTACTTGCGAGAGAAGGACGACTATCTATTCGTACCTTGTAGAATGGGCAGAGAAAATGCGGCAGTCTTTCCACTACCGGTTTCTGCCAATCCAATCAAGTCTCGGCCTGTGAGGGCCAAAGGAATTGCTTCGCTTTGGATGGGTGTCGGTGCCTTGTATCCAATAGCCTCGCATGCTTCACATAATGAATCGATGATTCCTAGATCCTTGAAAGATTTCTGTGGCGCTGACGAAGGCTCTGGCGTTTTGCTCAATCGCGGCGAGGGTTCAACAGGCTCAACGCCGTCGATCTTGTCCATAACGTCGTTGGCAGGTTTTGGCTGAGGCGTCTCTGTTGAGAAAGTAGCGCTGTCGCCATTGCTAACCTTTCTCTTCTTCAAGGCCGACATCTTACAGCACCGTAATGGAAGCAGAAGCGGAGAGTTGAGACGAAGATGATGTTGTTATAAAAAAGTTTGGGGAATTGGCATTTCTGAGGGAAGAGACAAATCGCACTGATTCGATCTGATAAGATAATATCGAAGTTTTTCTTCACCGCTGTCGATAGTCTGCACGCTGATTGGCCGAAGGCTCCGGACGTCACCTTCGGAAATAATTCTATTCCTCGACTCTCACAACGCAAATAATACACATCAAACCAATCGACAACACCGTCGAATCACCACAATAATGGCTCGCCGTCGCGTTAAGAAGCGCACTCACCTCGGCGCTAACAATGGACCGGCGCCGCCTCAGAATGCCTCTGGCAACCGTGAACCTAGAAGTATGGTCATCCGCGTTGGAGCCGGCGAAGTTGGCCCCAGTGTTAGCCAGCTTGTCAAGGACGTGCGAACTATGATGGAGCCAAATACTGCAAGCCGGCTGAAAGTATGTCTTTTTCCTTCGTTTCATTTCTTTTCCAAATTTTTGAAGTGCATTGGCTTACGGCTCTCTTTTGAATTAGGAGAGAAAAAGTAACAAGCTGCGGGATTTCACAACCATGGCTGGCCCGTTGGGCGTAACTCATCTTATGTTGTTCTCTCGATCCGCCTCTGGAAATACAAATTTCAGACTGGCGCTTACCCCGCGGGGCCCGACGTTGAATTTCCGAGTGGAGAAATACTCATTGGGCAAGGATGTGAAGAAGGCGATGAAACGTCCGAAGGGTGCCGAAAAGGATTTTTTGACTCCACCTTTGGTAAGAAAAAATCAGCTCACTTTATTCTCGGATATTTTTTTGGGCTAATCAGTGCATTCAAAGTTGGTGATGAATAATTTTACAAGTCAATCCGAGGATTCAAAGGTGCCGAAACATCTCGAGTCCCTTACGACTTCTGTTTTCCAATCCCTGTTTCCGCCCATCTCGCCGCAAAAGACTCCCTTGACAACTATCCGACGTGTGCTACTTTTGAACCGTGAACCACCAAAAAAAGACGACGATGGCGTCTACACCATCAATCTACGACATTATGCCATCACCACCAAACGCACGGGAGTCTCAAAGGGTATCCGGAGGTTGAATGCCGCCGACAAGCTTGTCAGCTCTCAGGAGAAGAAGAAGAAGGGCATGCCGAATCTTGGCAAGCTTCATGATGTTGCAGACTATCTATTGGACCCGAGTGCCGGTGGCTACACGTCGGCTAGCGATACTGAGCCTGAAACGGATGCCGAGGTTGAAGTATTGGAGTCCTCAACCCGCAAAGTCCTTAACAAGAGAGACAAGCAGCGAGCAAGAGCTGAGGGAAAGGCAGAAAAGGGCTCGACTGGCGTCGAAAAGAGAGCAGTCAAGCTTGTGGAACTTGGTCCCAGGATGAAACTTCGATTAACAAAGGTTGAGGAGGGAGTGTGCGGCGGTAAGGTCATGTGGCATGAATACATTCACAAATCAAAAGAAGAAGTCAAGGCCATGGACCATACTTGGGACGCGCGCAGAAAGGAGAAGGAGCAGCGACGACAGCAACAAAAGGAGAACATTGAGCGTAAACGCAAAGATCGAAAGAAGTCAGGGGGCGAAGAAGATGAAGAAGAGGGTGAGGACAGCGACGCGCCCATGGACGACTATGATGATGAGTGGGAAAGCGATGTCCTGGACGATGATGCTGAAGTGGAAGATGATGAGGATGAAATGGAGGACGAAGCCGAATCAGAAGACGAATAGATGTCCGATCCGCCTTCGAGGACAAAATACTTTTTCTGCATGTGTGCTATCTTCTTTTTCCATTCTGGCGCCGGTTGGGTAAAAGGGCATAGTAGAGAATACATTCAATGAATTTTGGACTGATATTATTGACCGAGTTCGTTTTGGCAACTGATTAATTGGTGATCCCGTGATTTCGCGATATTAGCGTGTCACAACCCACGTTCAACCGCAACGATGAAGTATGCCTGATATATGAATAATCTCCGACATCCTAACGGCGGAATTGCCTTGCTATCGTAATATGGTTATGTTGATCTTGTGAATCTTTCATTCGAGAATGGCTTACGGTTGAATTGTCTCACTCAATATGGCTACTGAATGTGCCAATCCACTGCTTCTTCAATGGCTCGGCGAATGGCTAGAGACCGCGCGAGAGCGCAACAGCAAAGGCGTAAAGACGTGAGTATCTCCGACTATTACTCTCTGGTCCCCTTTGTAAACCTAATCTCGTCGAAATTAGATACAAAAAGGCATATGACTCTATGAAAGCATGCCCTCTCACGTTTGCGCATCCGTCAGAGGCACAGCAGCTGCACGGGCTCGGCCCAAAGCTCTGTGACCGTCTCACAGAGAAGCTTAAAGAGCATTGCGTCCAAAATGGCCTGCCCATGCCTGAGCCTCCCTACAAAAGAAGAGGTATGATCGCCAACAACTCTTCCCTTGCACATGGCGACGAGCTCAACCTTGGATATTACTGCAGGCGGGAGACGCGCAGCAGAGGATGAAGCAGAACCTAACGCGGCGCCGAAAAGGCAACGCAAGCCAAAGCCCTACGTTCCGGTGCTCCGCTCTGGTCCTTATGCTCTCATTCTTGCGCTATCGTCTGTCTCCGAAGACGCGCTGCAGGGACTCACTAAAGCGCAAACGATTGAACGTGCGCAGCCGCATTGTGACGCTTCATTCACCGCTCCCAGTGATCCGACCAAATTCTACACGGCATGGAATTCCATGAAGACTCTTCTCGAAAAGGATCTGGTCTACGAGCGAGGCCGGCCGTTACGGAAATACGCGTTGACAGAGGATGGCTGGGAGGTAGCCCACAGGATCAGGAAGACTGCGGAAACAGGTCAAAGAAACATTGATGCTTTTGTTGGGCAAAATCCAGCACACCTAGCCGTAACCTCTGCTCCAGATATTAGCACAGCAACAGAAAGCGCTGGTTCAAAGGACACAGCAGCAGCAGCATCTCGTCCAGAGCACCGCAGATCAAAATCAAGAATTGACGAGGACGGCTTCATAGAGCTATTCTCTAGCTCTCCGCTTCCTGAACGACCAGCTTCTGCTCCAGTAGCTATCCATAACAACCCAAGGACTGCTCCTTCCGGCCCCGCCGAACCACAAGCAAGGCCTCAGCTAGGTCCACCAAGTGGACAACCTACTCAGCCTCAGCTACAGTCCGAACAAACCACCCTGCCAGATTTCCAGCCAGTTATCATTCCCGCATCGTCTTTTTCGATCCACCTCGTCCTCGACAATCGGGAAGTCCGAGCCAAGACGGACAGGGACTACATCCAACAGGAGCTTGTCAAGAAGGATGTCGTTCCAATAATGCGCAGTCTCGAACTGGGTGATGCGTTATGGGTAGCCAAGTGTCATGATCCAAACCTGCTACGAAGTCTCGGCGAAGAAGGCGACGAGATTGTGCTCGATTACATTGTCGAGCGTAAGCGTCTCGACGATTTAGTCGGGAGTATCAAGGATGGCAGATTTCAAGAGCAAAAGGTTTATCCCCCTTTTCTTTTCAGCTGTTTTATCCCTCACCCTTCCAATTATCCCTACAGTCCTCTTTTTTCATTTTTCTCCTCTCTCTCCTCTCTCTCCCTCTCTTTCTTCTTGTTTATTTCTCTCTCTCTCGCCATCCGCTAACGACATCAAGTTCCGACTGCGCAAATCCGGCGTGCAAAACGTAATATACATCATCGAAGAAATCACACTCAGCCAGGACGTCGCATCGCGGTACCACGAGGCCGTCGACTCCGCCATTGCGTCCACCCAGGTCGTCAACGGCTTCTTCGTCAAACGCACCCCGAAACTCGACGATACCATCCGCTATCTTGCCCGCATGACAGCCACGCTGAAGCGCATGTACGAGTCTCGGCCCCTTGCGCTTATCCCTGCCTCGGTCCTTTCTCCCACAACATATCTTCCTCTTCTTGACCATTTGCGCTCTACCGCTTCTTCTTCATCTGGCGCTGGACTATCTACCCTCACAGCTCCTAGTCCAAACTCCTCACGCAATTCATCCTCGTCTTCGTCTTCGTATTACATCACATACCCCGCCTTCTCCTCGCTCGCGTCCAAATCCGAGTCCCTCACTCTGCGCGACGTCTTTCTCAAAATGCTCATGTGCACGCGCGGCGTCTCCGGCGACAAGGCGCTCGAGATCCAAAAGACGTGGAAAACTCCTGCAGCGTTCTTCGCCGTGCTCGATGCCTCTTCCACCGTCGATGCCAATAACAACAACAACAACAACAGCAACAGCAACAGCAATGATGACACCAAAAAGCGGGATGAGTTGCTTTTTGCCCGAATGGGAAACCTCGTCGGCCGCAAAAAAGTAGGAAAGGCGCTAAGCAAAAAGGTCGCGGAGGTCTGGGCCGGTTAGTGCTTGGATGGTCCAGCGACGAAGTGTGTTGGCTGTAGCCATTGGCACAGTATTGGATTCAGCAGAGTTATCCGCACGAGAAATGTAATACGGCATGGGAGGACTCAAGATGCCTTTGAACACAGACACGCTTGGTTTATTTAGCATGCAAAAATCTATCCGATCCACATGGTGGAGATGGACAAGGCAGAGCCTGCCTGATAGAGCATTACCAATAATGCATAATAGCATTTAGACTGCTGGGAAATGGCTTGATCTGTTACCATCTAGCCGACCACCACGCCACCACGCCCGAAAAAAGGGTTTGCCTGGGGAAGGATTACCCAGGGAGGGTTTATCATGCTTTCATCATGTCACGTTCTCATGGTAGAGCGTGGAGTATCTACACGATATTCGGCATTCAAGTTGCAATTGCCCAGACAAGATGGTACGGTATATGATCTCATGAACAAAAGTCTTTATATATATTTTTCCTGTCCGGTAGAGTATTAATAAAAAAAAAAAGGCAGCTACTTAGAACAATTTGCAGGGAACTTGAAATACACATTAAGTTAGAAAGACAACGCTTCTATCGACGTGAGAACTAGACTTCGTAATCATGACCAAGGCATCATGAACAACGTCCAACATCCCTTGCAACAAACAATATAGCTTGACAGATTGCCTATAGTATACCGCTTGAGCGAAGAACTCCAAGTATTTGACGATTAAGCGACCTAATCCCACCGTATAGTAGCTTAGACTTGGGTATACTAAACAATACATAGGTACATAAATAGAAAATAAAGATTAAAAAAAATGGAAAGAAAAGGAAAAAGAAATACACGCCTAGCCTTTGAGAAAAACATGAGGCCGCGAAAAAGATAAAAGCGAAAAATCCGATTAAAAGGTACGAGGTTTACTTTTAAGACCGGGACTTTCCCGTCATCCTCCTTACTCCGCGCATAAGCGCGGCTCTGAAATCCCAGCGCAGAGCCAAACTCGAGAGGACGACGCTCACGCTACTTGCAGCCATGGCGAGGGATGCCCATACGGGGCCTAGGCGTGGGTGTCCGGGTGCAGGATAAATGATACCCGCCGCGAGGGGGACCATGGCACAATTATATACAAGAGCCCACGCGAAATTAATCTTGACGCGGCGAAACACGCGACGACTGAGGTGGACGAGTTTGAGCAAGGCGTCGAGCTCCGAGGTGAGTAAGATGAACGACGACGAGGAAAGTGCAATGTCCGAGCCGGATCCGATAGCTATGGAGATATCCGCTGCAGCGAGGGCGGCGGCATCGTTGATTCCGTCGCCGAGCATGGCAATCTTGTACGTAGAGGATCTATGATTGGATTGCTTATTTGTAGCCGTGTCTTTGCGGAGACGCCGAGGGACATTTGCTTCTCGCTGTAAACGCGTGACATGTGCGGCTTTTTCATGCGGCAGGACATTGGCGATGATGTTTTCGGGCGGAATCCCGACGGTGGATCCGACGGCGCGAGCAGTGGAAATGTTGTCTCCGGAAAGCATATATGTTGCGATGCCCATGTTTTGTAACGCGGATATGACAGGAGCAGCTGAAGGACGGATCGGGTCGCTGGTCGAGAAGATTGCGGCGAGAGAAAAGGATGACGATGACGCAGAGGAGGTCTGTTGTTCAGAGGAAATCTGGCGAAGAGCAAAAAGCACGACCGATTTTCCTTCTTGTTGCCATTTGGGTAGGCACGTGTTTGCCCAGTAGTTTGAATCAGGGTCTACTCCGGGCAAAGAGAAGATGAATGCTTCGCTGCCAATGGCGGCTTCGTAGCTGGCTGAGGTGTCTGTTGAGTCGTTTGAGCTGGACGAACGGACAGTGAAGGTCCCTCGGATGCCTCGACCAGGTACTTCCTCAATGTCAGACTCGGTGATCTTCGCAGTGGATTTGTCTTCGCAAAAGGACACGATGGCCTTTGCAATGGGATGGGTAGATGACTCTTCAAGTGTTTTGGCTATAGCCCATACAACATTCGCCTCGCCTTCGGGCACAAGCAGCTCACTGTCGGTGACCTTGAGCCCGACTCCTTCGGTGAGAGTGCCTGTCTTGTCAAAAACAACAGCATCCAACTCGCTGGCTTCTTGGAACGCTTCACCACCGCCCTTTACCAGAATGCCATGTCTAGCTGCTAAACCGCTCCCAACGAAAAGAGCTGTAGGAGCAGCGAGTCCGATGCCGCAAGGGCAAGCGACTACAAAGACGGCAATGGCGAATCGAAGCGCCCAGAAAGCCCAGCCTCCTGTATCGACATTGAGATAGTTGGCGGGAAGCCGACCTGATTGTCCGAGGCCGAACCAGAGGAAGAAAGTAAATATTGCCAACAGAGTGATTACAGGAACAAAATATCCAGTCAAGACATCGGCAAACCGCTCCACGGGCGCACGCTTAGCTTGGCCTTCACGCACGACAGCGACAATTTGGTCCAGCAAAGATGTACCGCTGACTTCTTTGACTTGCATGGTGACGGGCTTTCCAATGTTGACAGCGCCAGTAAAAACAGTGTCGTTAATTTGTTTGGACACTGGTTTTGACTCTCCAGTCAGAGAGCTTTCGTCAAACTGGCTTCCTTCGGAGACAATAATACCATCTGCGGGAGGAGAGCCGCCGTGCGGGACTATAACGTGATCACCGACTTCGAGTAAATCGACACTCACTTTCACAGACGACGGCGGGATGGGTTCTCGCAAATCTCCTTTGCTTGCATCCGAGCTAGTTTCACTGGACGTAGGAGAAACTAGGATAGCTTCTGTAGGCCGCAATTTTCCGAGCATGCTCACGGCGTCGCCGGTCTTTGCTTTGCTGTAAGCCTCCAGAGACCGACCAATTAGAATGAACATTGTCAAAAAGACCACAGAGTCAAAGTAAGTTGAGTCTACGTGACTTCCCATACCGTTCCCAGCAGTATGGTTTGTGGCCCCGACAATCAGGATTGCAAGAGACGCAAAATATGCGACGGAAGTACCGGCCGACATGAGCAGATTCATGCTACCGAAACGGTAGAATCTGCGCATTATCGGGACCTTGCTTCCTGGACGCCACAAGGCTCTGATCTCTTTGATTGCTCGAATGTGAAAAACGTCGGCAGCGAAAAACATGACTGGTGTAGCCAGAATAAATTGAGCCCATTCCGTACGAGAGGCTGTGCCAGCCCACATGGGTTCATTGAAAAATTGTCGCAAGCCGCTGGAGGCTGGCAAAAGGCTCATCCAGACGACACCAATGATGAAAGTCGGGATAGCTACCACAACGCTCAAAGCAAGGCGGAAAAGAAGGCGACGTTGCTCGTGGTGCTGCATTGCCCTTGAACGCTCTTCAATGGTTGGCGGGTGGTAAATTTGAGCTGTAAAGGCAGTATCGAGAGCATCTACTGCGGCGACCAATTTTCGAACAGTCAGATCCGGCGGTTGAGGAAGGTAGGTCAGCCTCATGACGGGATCCTTGAGAGTAAGAGGCTTGTCAACGATGACTTCGTCGCCAAAGTTTGATCGTATTCCCTCCAGAACCCGGGGCGGACAGTGCTGGCAAAACATTCCCTCGACTTTTATATTGATCGTCCTCCTTTTGATCTCTTCCTCCTCCTCATCGTCAGCCAAATCAGAGAGTGACAATTCCTCAACATTGCAGTCATAACCAAGGTTCTCCACTTTATCCTTGATTTGATCAATGTTCTCTTTGCCCTCAAATTCAACAGTGGCGCTGTTGGTTATCAAAGTGACGTTAACGGCCGAGACGAAGGATAATTCTTGGATACCATGAGTTACCGCTCCTGTACATGATGAGCAGGTCATGCCCCCGATGCTCAAGAGGGCAGTATATTTCGAACGCTCTCGCTGCCGGTGCGCCCGACGTTGTGCAGGTTCGTGCTCAAGCTTGACATCCTGAACAGTGCATTCGTAACCCAATCCATTCACCTTTTCAGACAATTCTTCCACGTGCTCCCGAGGTCCTTCAAAAGTTACTGAAGCGCTGTTCGTGAGTAAATTGACATCGACTGACTTGACCCACGGAAATTCTTTTATGCCAGCGCTGACTGTATTGGTACATGATGAGCATGTCATGCCCTCGATACTTAAAATAGCGACGGATACAGCAGGGTGATGTTTCACCGACTCCGAGGAGGCAGACGCAGGTAGTTCTACCAAGCTAATATCATCTGCCAGGCAATCATAACCCAAATTTTCGACCTTTTCGACAATCTCGTCCACCCGCTCACGACGGCCCCAAAACGTCACTGAAGCGCTATGGGTTATGAGGTTGACATTGATTGATTCCACCCAGGAAAACTCCTTGATACCCTCAGTAACGGCCCCGGTGCATGATGAACACGTCATTCCTCCGATACTCAAAGTGGCGCGAAATTTTTGAGGCTTTTCTGGCGATTCAGATACAACAGCTTCAAGAGGCACTTCATAAAGACCTTGAGCGTCCGGAGATGCAGGGCGCTCGTAAGAGGATTTAGGGCCCGTCGCCTCTCGAATCGGGCCCTTTTCACTGACGACGTCCAGGGCTTGGGCATGCGTGCTCGCGAAAGGTGTGTTGGATGAAGTCAATGAATCAATTCGGCCCTTGGCTCCCAGCCCTTCCTTTTCGCGCATTTGCCGCAGTTCGGCTTGGCAGGCGGAGCAGTTTTGCACATGCTGCCAGTTCTGATGGTCTTTGCTTGCGCTGCCATGACGAGACGAGCGCGCTTTTGAATTTTTCCGGAAAGAAGATCCGGGGATATACTCTGCCGCGTGTTTGACCCAATCCTTGTCCCCGTCTTCGCCGCAGTCTATCTGCGATACCCGAACGCCAGAGGAGTTGGTCGTCCACGCGCTATACACTTCGAATGCAGCAGCCGATAATGAGCGACAAATCTCGGATACTGAAAGCTTTGGACCATGCTCGACTCGAACTTCATGGCTAAGAACGTTGGCATCCACATTGCGTATTTCGCCCTGATGAACACTAAGGACTTCACGGACATAAGCGACACATGAAGCGCAGTGGATATTGTTAACGAGAATCGTCGAGGTCAGCATTTCATTCTCGATCCGATGGCGACGGATGACCTTTCCCTTGCGGATGGCACTCCTTGAAAGATCTAGTTGCAACGGCGAGGCTCGAGATAAGATTGAGGAAGGCCGCTGTGGCAGGGGCGGGGATCTCGTATGACTTTCGGCCATGACAGTTGTATAATGTAGTCGCACAAGCTAAAAGGCGGCTGTTTCTGATTGAGAAAAATGAAAATGAATATAGATTAAAAAATTGCTGCAAGGCGAAAGTCGACCAAAATAGTAGAAAAATAAATTTTCAGGTGTGACCAATGGACTTGTGGTGACGTCGTGCAAGGCTGGGCGTTGCAGAGTCGGAATTGAGAGAAGTCGAGTCCAAGGGTGATGCTAACAGGAAAAACGAAAATTGTGAATGATTGAGATCCAAATCTCACTCACTGAAATCAAAAGGCAAAAGTATTTATTCAACGCAGACAAAGAAGAATATCTTCTTTGGATTGGGAAAAGAAAAATAGGAAATCGAATGAAAATCCGGGGAGGTATTGGCCGGTTTATAGACACTCCTGCGTGGTTTGTGCGTCAAAACGCCACAACGCACAAAAGGCTCAGGACAAGGTCACTCGATGGACGAGAACCCTGAAGAAAACAAAGGAAACGCAAAAGTCAAACAAATTGATTGGACGCTTCAAGAATAGCAAATGTCAGCAGTCATAGGACCAGATAACACGGTGTCTCGTGTCTGATCGCCGCATGTTTTATCTTGAGAGGATTGTGCTCATATTCTGCTCGCAGGCCGTCGAGTAACGTTAGTCCGTCAAGCAAAGTCGTCGTGCCTTTTTTGAGTAGAGGACTGGACGGATGCGGTTAGTGCGAGAACGGGTAAGGGGGACCAGCAACATCAAACGTCGATGAAGCATAACGGAGTATGAATTGGATATTCCAATCCCCTAGGCATCAGCATGCTTTGCAGTTGGGTGTCGAAGACGAGTAATACTGTAACACGATTGTATCAGATTTCGTATTCATTGTATATCAGGCGTTTCATCGAAAAAGGGCTGCACTTGTGCCCAAAGCAAATATGTGAATCTCCACACCAGACCACCAAATCAGTGGAATTCGAGGTTTTCCATTTTATTCTTGAGGAGAAGCCATAGAATTAAATACTCTTTTCCAACATTGTGATTCTTCCGGGGCCCTGTGGATATTTAAATAATCAACTGAGGCTTTTTCAAAAGAAAATGCCGCGATGAGGCAAGAGCCGACAGTCAGACTCGAACACAGCAGTTGAGGTAATGAGGTCATATGATTGGTGGGGAAGCGAGAAAAAGAGAGATGGATCATCCCACTGAGCCAGAAGAGTCTCGTTCCCCACCATCCAAAGACGCCAATGCCATCACCACCCTCGCGCAATTTCCCTTTTTCGCGTCTTCCCTATCGCGACTTATCGGTGCCCCCAAAAAGTACGGGGTTTTGCTCTACACGGTTTTGCTCAATTGGCATTCGAACTCTTGGTGCTTGGAATCCCAATTTTGATTGCTTGTCAATTTCAAAGCCTCTGAGAGTGACGGTTTGCTATATTGCAGCAGTGCCTGCCCACAGGCAGGCTTTACTCGGGAATTGAGAGACACTCAAATTATCCTGGTAGGAAGCCGTTCGACTTGAAAAAAAGCAATCATGTCTTTGCGGCCGGTCCAGAGACTAGCCAGCATCAAAAATCCTCCGCCGAGGCGTCCACAGCCTAAGTCGCATTCTCGGACCTGTCCGAACCCGTCATGTCCCGATCCGCAGCTCGAAGACATTGACGACAAACGCGTCTGCACGACTTGCGGTACTGTCGTCAGTGATTCCAACATTGTGTCCGAAGTCACTTTTGGAGAGACCTCTGCTGGTGCAGCGGTCGTCCAGGGTAGCTATGTGGGTGCCGATCAGAGTCATGCAAGGAGCATGGGTGGAGGGTTTCGTAGAGCTGGAGGGCTCGATAGCAGAGAAATTACAGAGGCAAACGGTACGACCCGAAACAAATCCCTCATCTTTCCTTTAAGAGATGACGAAGTACTGATTGAGTCTTACGTACAGGGAGAAGAGAAATCTTTAATATATCATCTGCCTTGCTCGTCCCGCAATCAACACAGGATCAGGCTTTCCAAGTATTCAAACTTGCTGCCGGCCAAAATTTCATCCAGGGTCGAAATACAAGACAGGTAGCCGCCATTTGCATCTACGTTGCCTGCAGAAGGCAACGACCAAATAATTACATGTTGATGGATTTCGCAGACGTTCTAAGTGTGCGTTGTTCTCGTCCCAACTCGCTGAGTGTTTGCTAACCATCCCCTTTTTGCAGATAAATGTCTTTCGACTCGGTCAGATATACAAGGCGTTGCTCAAGGATCTGGAATACAATCAAATCGATGTCCCGGCCGTGGAGCCCGAGGACCTGATTTACCGATTCGCACGTAAACTCGAATTCGGGACCATGACTATGAAAGTAGCACAGGATGCTGTTCGGATCGTTCAACGAATGAACCGCGACTGGATGGTCACTGGTCGTCGGCCCGCCGGTATTTGTGGCGCATGCCTTATTCTCGCTGCCCGTATGAACAACTTTCGCCGAACAGTACGAGAAGTGGTCTACGTCGTAAAAGTCACAGACGTGACCATCAACAAACGTCTAGACGAGTTCAAAATGACAGGAAGCGGTAATCTTACTGTTGAACAATTCAAAACAATCGATCTCGAACGTGCACATGATCCTCCATCCTTCTACGAGAACCGCGATGGCAAGCAGAAGAAAGGCAAGCGGAAGCGACATGATGATGAAGACGACCGCGGACGCGAGCAGACCACTGCCGGTGCCACCTCGCGGCGCGGGTCGACCGTCGCACCAAACATTGAAAGGCCTGTCCGTCGAGACGCAGATGGCTTCGCTATTCCCGAAATCCCTATCGACCCCAACCTCCTCGCTGCCACTGCCGACGCCCTGTCTCAACTTGCCTCCGATCAACAATTACCAACCCCTGAATCATCGGCTCGAACAGAAAAAGAAAACAACGAGGAGAACGCAGAGGAAGATGGTGACGGCGAAGGCGAAGAACCAGCGCGCAAAAAGCGCGGTCGCCCACGAGCCTCTTCGCCGCGTGCCAAACCACCTCCGCTCACCGCCGAGGACATTGCGGCCGAAGAAGAAATCGAGTCTGAAATTTCTCACCTCCTCAACGATCCCACAACGCAAGAGCATGCCGCCGCGTACTCTGCGTCTCTGAACCGCGCCGCCACTCTCGTCGCCGCTCAAAAGAAGTCCTCTTCGTCCGAAACTGCCGTCTCTTCCAGCGAAGTCATCCCCGAAGAGGAATTCGCAGATGATCCCGAAGTCGCTAATTGTCTCCTCTCCCCCGTCGAAATCGCCATCAAGGAGCGCATCTGGGTCCACGAAAACCGAGACTATCTCCGCCAACAACAGGCCAAAATGCTCCGCCGCCAGCGCGAAGAAGCCGAAGGCGGCGGCAAGAAAGTTGTCCGCCGACGCAAACGCAAGGGCCGGATGGGCGACATGTCTCGTCGCGAGAGTATCGCTAGTACCCCCGTCGAGGCCATGAAGAATATGCTCATGAAACGCGCCCCGAGTAAGAAGATTAACTATTCTGTCCTCGAGGGGTTATATGGCGAGAAGACCACTTCGAGTGGTGCCCCCAGTGAAGATGGCGCCGAGAGTACTCGCGCAAGTCCCGCCACTGCCGCCGCTGCTACATTGGTTGGATCGAAACCTCCCTCCGCCACCCCGCCTTTTAATGCCGTCTTCCCTCCCCCTCCGACGACGACTGCAGAAGAACCCGAGGACGAAGGCGAAGGTGAGGGCGAAGATGAGGATATTGAAGATGCAGTGGACGAGTTCAATCAGGAAGCTATTGGCGATGCATTGGAGGATTATGACGACGAGTATGGCGGTGAAGAGTACTGATTGGACCTTTTATCCCGCCACTGCCATTGGTCACATATTCATCTTTTTTTTCTTTTCCCTTTTCTTGTTTCTTTCTTCATTTCCGATGATCATAGAACAAAAGGCGTTATCGACACATGGCGCGGATATTTGGTCCTTTGTTTGTCCTTTTATCTTGTCTTTATCCTGTTATTTCTTCTTCTTTCTTTTTTTTTCCGGTTCCGTCGAACCTCATCTCACGCGCCCCTCGGAGTTGAAAGGTCAAAAGGCTGAATTTGGAGGCTAAAGGTTGGGAGTTCTTCCAAAATAATGGAATGTCAGGCGTTTTTGTCACAGATATCATACTTGCTACTTGATACTTGATACTCGATACTCGATACCTAGGTATCTATCTTATTTTAATTTTTTTGGACATCGAATACCTTGTGGATTATAACCGTATGCACTTTGATAATCATATATGATTTATCCACACAGCACACCGAAAAGACCGAGTAACAGAAAGAAGTAGAAAGGCTCCTTCTTGTCGATGAAAATTCGCAATGGCACTCCATTAAACACCATATACCTACCTTACACACCCATATCCTCTTTTTTTTCCCCTTTCCCTTTCCCTTTCCGAGCACGCTTGCTTGCGTGAAGTGAAGTGAAGTGAAATGTGAAACGCCGCGTAATTCGTCATATGGCCTGCCAAAAAAAAACAAAAAAAAAAAAAAAAAAAACAAAAACAAACCAGAAAGAAAGAAAGAGGGAAAGAGGAAAAGAGGAAAAGAAGAAAAGGAAGACGAAAAGAAAAGAAAAAGGGGGAACAAGACAACAAAATGAAGAAAAAAAAAAGGGGGGAAAGGAAGACAAAATGACTTGAAAACGAAATGAAAGAAGAAAAAAGAGGGCTCAGGTAGCAATAGCACCCAAGGAATCCGCAGGCGGCTGAGGCGGCTGATTCGGCTGCGAAAGAGATTGAAACTCGCCATCCTCGCCATCGCGCCACGCGTGGCTGAACACGCCAATACTGTCGTCAATCAGCCAGGCAATGTCGTCGCTTTCGGGCGGTAGTAGAACCCCATTGCCAGCTTTGGGGTACGGAGGGTCAAGTAAGTCTCCCTCGACATCATCATTAGCAGCGTTTGCTTCCGCTTCCGGTTCCATGAGGTCTAATTCCACGTCGTTGTCGATGTCCTTGTTATTGTCGGCTAATTGGGAGACAGTGTAACTAGGAGCGGAGGATATTGTTGTTGATGAAGACGGTAATAGATTTAGGCCAGAGGAAGAAGATGATGATAAGGATGGTAATAGAGAGGAATCGTGCGCCAAAGTCAAGGGTGTAGAGGAGACGTCATTGTTTCCATTGGACTTTGCAGCTTGTGCGGAACCACTTTTGAGAGGGCCTGTTGTCCGGGCAGGGAAAACAGGGAGTGAGGGATGTAAAGAGATGGCGTGGAGGAGGAGGTCAACGAGGTGCGCATGTGGTAATGCACTGAGATATGCGTGTTTCTATTACGAGGAACTCGGGTAATTAGTGATCGGATCTTAAGAGGATCTTTTGGATTTTTTGAGGGAGGCGGCTTGGAATAGAGATCATAGAGATCTTACGTACCTGCTCAGCTGTAAGGCCGTCGCCACTCACGCGGTGTCCCGCATTAGCAGGGATAGAAGTTAGTGAGGAAGTTTTGGCTAGCACTACAGGTTCAGACGCATGTTCCTGCTTCCTCTTCTTGTTCTTCTCCTTCTCCTTCTCCTTCGGAGCGGTGCAAGTGATGCAGAACCATTCTCGTTCAGGAATACGCACGACTTCTGCGGGAATCGGGGGCCCATGACAGAATTGATGATACGAAGCGTTGCAACCATCGCAGAAGACAATCATGTTGGATGCGGGGCTTGGTCCGCGCAGACATATTTTGCATACGGTGGCTTCAGGGGCGCGCTTGTATCCGCGCCGTCCGCGCATGGAGTTTGGGTTCGTAGGAGTAGCCAAGGCAGGTGTGAAAGGTGTTGGTCGATGAATGTGTCGTCCAGATTTCGTCTTGGTGGGAAGTGGTGTATAGTCTGAAATATCAGATCCCTGAATGCAGATACTATCCGTCAGCAAGTGTCCTTACTTTGACCTTGCGCTGCTTTTGAGAAAGTGGGCAGCAGGAATGAGTGACAGCAAACAAGGGAGTTGATTGCAATAAGGTGACGAAACAATCCGACCAAGCATAAAAAGTGATTCACCCACAAAGGGACAAACATAGCACGTACATCACTGTCATTTCCTGAATCATGCGGTGCGCTTTTTCTTTTCGCTCCTCTCCTTCTGGCTCCGCTGCCACGGCTTGCTGATGATCCTCCTCCTCGGCCTCTGCCTCGGCCTCTTCCCGCTGACGAAGGTGTAACCGTCGTTGATTCTGATAGTTTCACACTTGTAGGCGTCTCAACTTTGATAGTACCTCGTGCGGCTGGACTGCCCGTGGACCGTCCTCTACCCCGTCCACGCCCGCCTCGTGATGACGTATTTAATGGTGGTGTGGGCATATTGTGACTTGTAACCATGCGCTTTAGCACCTGTTCTCTTGCAGCCTCCCATCCTTGCATAGCCGCAGGATTTTCCTTCATGCGCTTGAGAATTTCAGTAGTGGACGCTGATAATTGCGGAAATCGCGCTCCGGAAAAGTCCAAGAGGGATGTTGTTGCTGCTGATTTCGACAAAGGTGATGAATCGGAACCAATATGGTCCGTTGATACATTGCCTTCTGTTGTCGCAATTCTACTGTTTCCCGGATGCGATTTCTGCGTCTCTAATTGCTGTTCTTGCTGCTGCTGGCTAGCTGAAAGAGCTTGAGCTGATTGAGCTGGCGGTTCCATCCTTTGCGGAGGTCTAGAAGCGCAGCAGCCAGCCTTTGCGAATTGATCGAAACTTTGAGCTACAGACGTTCAGATATTCGCGATTCAGATTATTTGATTATTTGAGAAAAATTCCCTCAGGGCTGCTCTAAAATGGATTGGACTATCTAGTTATCATATCATGTGTCGTTGGATTCATGCTTCATATGTTGCGTCCTGATTAGTCAGCCTCAGCCTTGCCATTGTAAGTCAAGTCGTCCTCTATAGAATTTATTGTTTACGAAATTCCTCCATTTATCTGAAATCAGTTTCTTCGATTGTCTATTCTTTCCAAGATCTTTTCTTATTGCTCGCAGTGTCAACTTACACGGCGAAGATTTCAATGGGGGTCATTCCATACTGAAGCTCTAACATCTTTATGCGTGGATCTCCTATTACACTACGATGCTATAATAATACTTTACAGCAACGTGAAGAAATGAAATATATACATTAATTTCTTGCTCAATCTGTTCGAAAATTAAGGCATGAACGAACAAGAAGAATCACTATGCCGTTTTGCATCTTCAACGGCGTATCTTGACGCTTCTGGGGCAACTAGGGATTTACCCAGAGCGTCCCGGAAACACTTTTCAAGCGCTCGACGCCGTTCTTCTACCCCGTTGACGTCCATCCTCAAGCCAATCCGTTCCACATGGGAGAGCTCTTCAGTGTGCCATCTGTCGACTTTGCCCAATTGTTGTTTTCGCGAGCCCACGCATCATCAAGCCACATGACAACCTGTCGGACCAACTGAGACGCCATCGCACCATCCTGCCTGATATCCTTTGCTATAGTCTTGTATGTTGGGAAGAACAACCCCATTTGTTTCTGGGTTGCTCAATACCGCGGCAACGTGCTTGTACTCTGCATCATCTAGATACTGAAAGAGGTTGGTCTGTTGGAAATTGTATGTATTCTCACCGAAGGTAACCGTTGTGCATTTTTGGAAGTGCTTGCCCCAGTCCTTCATGTGCTGGACATCGTGGTCTGTCATGTATAACTTTGCTATGATCGCAGGTAAGCATCGATGTTCTGCCTAAGGATGGCAGCATCCAGAGTAGTGGGTTTGACTCGAAGACGATCTGTGAAACGTTACACGCTTCAATGTATTTGGTCCTTCTCTCGGACTTCTATGCCCTGAGATGCATCGGTTGAAGGCACAAAGCATCCGACGTCTTTTGGGGGGAACCGAGTTCTCTGTGTGCCAGATGAGTCACTTCCTGCTGGTCTGGCAGGTCCCACTGGAAACTCATAACTGCCGACCACAGCGGCTTATCATAGCTTGCAACTGATCCATGGAAGGTGGTCCATGGAAGGTATGGCAGTAGTGTCCTGTTTCAGCAGGCTCGACAGTCTAAGCTGAAAGCGAGTGAAGCGATTTCTTGCGTCCTCTTGGGTAAATAGTAATCTAACAGCCATCATTGACTGAAAGTTACTCAAATGCGAGATGGCGATTAGTCGTGAGAGCCATTGTAAAATCCTTTAAGGATACATATCTAAAGTCAAGCGTTTACGCTGCTCTGTTCTCCTTAAGGCTTGTATTTTCTCTCATAAATTTTGACCTGCTTTCATGGGGCTGTGTCTCCACAGGCTGATGGTCTACGCTGTTCCCAGTGGTCGAGGCCAGGACAGCGAGTCGGCTCACGGAAAGGATGTCGCTGGTACTTGTACTCCCGTCTGCGGCCAGGCTTCCCATAACGGCCGCATCCCCCTCCTCGAGGTCTCTGAGGATTTTCTCGAATGTTTCGGCTCGCCAGAAGCGTGTAGAATGGTTGCCACCGCTTCGTGGACTTTGAGGAGGGCTGGATGGGGAAAAGATAATCGGCCCTCATAGGCCCTCATAGCTCGTGAAACGCACAAGCCCATCTTTGGGCAAGAAACCTTTATACGCTGTATTAAAGCTTTGAAATGTTTTCAGTTCATAGGTGTATGGACCTTTGGTCTCCTGAGAAGCCACGCCGAAACACCCAAGCGTGTGCAATAGGCTGACCCGTGTCATTGCATTCTGCAAAGTATTTTATATGTTCCACAGTAAGTGAAATTTCACCATGCAGTGCGTGAGGGGATTAGTCTGTAAATGCAAAATCGTTAGGCATTCCTCGCCTCCAAATGATGCCCGTTTTGCTCTTTGGAAAAGTGATGTAGAAGATCCTCGTGATCTCCATCAATGCAGTTCTGAACCAGGCAAAGTGTGTTGTAAACTCTGAAAGCTTCTTATAGCGAAATATTTCAGACTCGTTCCATTATGTTCAACAAGGTGAAAGAGACATGATACTGTTCAAGTTCTATCAGGAAAATGGTTGTATTTGAAATTCTGCGCCTCATCTGGGTGAGCACCGGGCTGCCCTTTTATACGATAGTTGAATGGCGATGAGGGAGATGATAGGAGATACTCAGCTGAGCGTGAATCGAGAAATTCACGAGAGATGAATTCGAGATATTTTTCTGGGTTGATAGCATAATAATTGCAGCGAGTAATGAGCATGATGAATGGTTGCAATGTCCATTCACGGAAGTCGTACTCTCTGTATAGTGTAAAACTTATATAGGATGACTGTGGCCTCTGCAATATTAGACAACTCTATCTTCCCAGGCAAACATGGGTCGATTTTTTATTCGGCATGAAAATGTCCATTGAAATCCCAATTTTTGTCTAGTCATAATTCGTCCTGATGTATTGGCGTTTCACATAACTCTTTTAAAGTGGAGTATCGCACGAATCAGGAAATTCATCCCCAAATGCAGTCCTCAGATCAACTCATGCAACGACACCCTCTTCTCGGAGGTCGTGAATATCACTTTCGCTCATGCCGATCACATCCCGCAAAATCTCATCCGTATGCTGACCAAGTGTTGGCGGTGGCGATCGTATCGATGGGTCGGAATCAGAAAATTTGACTGGCGTATTGACAAGCTTCATCGGTCCACATGTGGGATGTTCCACTTCAACAACCATATTCCGAGCCAGGACTGTACTATGTTCAGCACTATGAGGAGTAAAAGTATGCAAGCTGTTTTGCCAGTGTTGACTTACCATGATCGTGGTTAAGAGTACCTTGTATGTCATTTATAGCCGCGTATGGCATGCCGCTGCCCTCTAAGATGTTGAGCCATTCGGCTGTAGTTTTCTTTTTAGTTTCTACTTCAATCATCTGCTCCAACATATCCCGGTTCTTCACCCGCATAGCGTTCGTGGTAAAACGCTCATCTGCTTTCCATTCGGGTCGTTTAATCTTATCGCACAAAATGCCATAAAGCTTATCGTTGCCTCCGCCCAAAAGGATATCACCGTCCGCAGTTTTGAATGCTCGATAAGGGACAATAGACGCTGCCAAAATATTAGACATCAAATTGCGCTTCCACAATATACGAATACTTACGGTGCGCCGTTCCCCATCTCCCAGAATCCTTTTTCCCACTAATCAATGCTGAGCTTGCAAGATTTGACAATGTCGCTACCTGGCAGTCACTTAGAGCAACATCAATATGCTGGCCCTTTCCGGTCCTGATCCGGCCTAACAGTGCTGCCAAAATGGAGTTTGAAGTGTATAAACCAGTGGTCAGATCGGTAACAGCAACGCCAACCTTTACAGGTGGCCCATCTCTAGACCCCGTAATGTGCATTAATCCCATTTCACTGATACACAATGTTAGTATTGTGACAAGGGTTTTCGCCTTCAATGCGTGCACGTACGCTTCCACCATGACATCGTAGCCCGCTCTCATCCTATATGGGCCCGTTTGTCCATATCCGGTGATACTGGCATAGGTTAGGCTCGGGTTTATCTTGTGCAATGTCTCATAGTCCATCCCATATTTCTTCAATGTCCCGGGGAGATAATTCTCGACTAGCACATCGCACTCTTTCGCAAGCTGGTGCAGAATATCTACTCCTGAAGGATGGGCAAAGGAGAGCCCTAAAGACTTTTTATTCCGATTCACCTTTCCAAAAAAAAAAAAAAAAAAAAAAGTATTAGACCACTTTCTCGTTTCAAAAAAAGGTATAGCGGTTTAAGAGATGACATACCGAAAGGAAATATGCACTCTCCCCCGGCCCTTCAACTGCATCGCCTCTTATATGCTCGGCATATGGCGGTCCCCAAGCCCTCGTATCGTCTCCACGAATGGGGTGCTCAATTTTGATCACCTCAGCACTAAAACAAAATCAGCGCTCTATCCTGGAAAACCAGACGACCGCCGACCTCCAAGGTGGTCCATACACAGGGCTTCATAGTGCATACCCCAGATCTCCAAGGATTTGTGTGCAGTAGGGCTGCAACTCGAGTTAGCAAGACAAGGCACAAATCTAATCTACAGAGTTTCCATGAATCATACACCAGCTAAAACTCTTGTCATGTCCAATACCCGCAGCCCCGCCAACGGCAAGCTTTCTGAGGACAGAAGAGCGCTGGAGAACGATCTCTGTGTGCAGCTCTTCCAACCATTGAGCTTCGCGCATCTTGCAATTGACCAAACAGGCCCGTGAGGTATATGATTCAGCAGATTTATCATTATTTTTTCGAGAAAGAGCAGGACTCTTGCTTCATGTTAGGGCACCAGAGGGCATACATGAACGACTAGAATATGGCTAAAGCTGGGGTAGAGATCGGTTAAGACCCTTACCCACAGATTCCGCTGACGTCGGAAGCCGAGGTTAGTTCTTAGCGGGGCCCTCTTACCAAAGTGGTTAGTTCAACATCGGACGGCGGGGACCCTTGGACGACGCTGATCACTTAATACTGTCGAGTCACACCTTGCGTCCCCTCTGGTTTGATTGTCTTTCGATAACATTCAATATGTTTACCGGAATTGTGGAGATTTTGGGTAGTATGTAGAGAAGTTACCGTAATGCCAAATTTAGCTAATCAATCACCCCAATGCAGCCGTTTCCAAACTCGACTCTCTCGACAAATCCGAGGGTGGAGGTGGTGGAACATCATTGACCATATCTGAGGCTGAGGATATCCTTGTCGACGCCCATCTCGGTGATAGTATCAGCGTCAATGGTGAGTTAAACTCTTAAAGAGAGAATCGGCTTCGTCACCCGACTGCCCAATCTCTGCGCAATGGCTATCCGCTTATCAATCTGTAGGAACATGCCTAACCGTCACCACCTTTGACAAATCCACCTTCAAGGTCGGCGTTGCTCCTGAGACACTCCGTAGGACAAATCTTGGCTCCCTGAAAGAGGGATCGCGCGTCAATCTCGAAAGAGCAGTCTCGGCATCTACCCGCATGGGAGGTCATTTCGTACAAGGCCATGTCGACACAGTTGCAACCATTTTGGCCGTCACACCGGATGGCAACGCGCTTACTTTTCGATTGCAGCCCCGGGATAAATCTATCCTGCGATACGTAGTGGAAAAAGGCTACGTCACGCTGGATGGTGCGAGCTTGACTGTGACAAAAGTGGTTGATGGCGAGGACGGTTGGTGGGAAGTAATGTTGATCGCATACACGCAGGAACGCGTGGTGATGGCGAGCAAAAAGCCAGGAGACTTAGTCAATGTGGAAGTTGACATGGTGGGCAAATATGTGGAGAAGAGTGTCGCGGGCTATTTTGAGAGTAAGCCGGGAAGTAGTGACATTCCAATCCTGGAGAAGATGGTGGCACGGATAGTGGATGAGAAACTTAAAGGGTTTAAGGCTTCATTATGAGGATCGATTCAGGAATACCCCATGCAGCACTGTAAAAAAAAATTACTATTTGGTCCGATTCACGGAAACAGTGAGGAGACAACATCAACAAGGGGACCTAATTAAACTGTAGATGACATATTTTGAATACAGATGGGGTTGGGAGAAAACGGCGTGGCGATTTAGTCCATTCTAGGGAATTAAACGCCAGACTTGAAGAACAATAATCATTTTCATTTCATCTCGCGTTTCTATGGAATACTTATCATGCAAGATCTATGCCGCGTGTGCATTGGAACCTTGCCTTCCCCATAACAGACAAGATAGCTGCTACTCTTCGCGAACCCGCATACGATTCGAGGAAACTTGGCCAGAATTTTGCCGGCATCCAAAGGGTATTCGTGCAATCCAACCAAGATTAGTAGCGTGCGGCATATTAAATCCAAACCCAAACCAGTCATTAACCTCCCATTGTGGGACCCCTTATCCTTCTTTCATTAACCCTTCATGGGCCTCTTCTCCCCGCCTTTAGTAGATCTTGGAAAGCTGCTTCCACGCCTCGCTTGAGTTCCTTGTAGCTGACAATGAAGCAATTTTGCTCATCACGACTTATCAAGCTGATCTTCTCATCAATGCCGGCGTCTAATTTGTTCAAGCATGCCAAAACATGCGCTAGGTCGACAGCTGGATTTCCTTGTGCATCGACCTGGTGAAAGACATAGTCTCGAAAAAGCTTAAGGTAATACCGATCGCCGGTCTCTGACCATTGTCGGTCGTGTTCAAATTCTGGTCGTTCATTGATAAAATTCAACTTCATCATCAGGCGCAAGATGCGCGCGTTTTCAAGCTCGCGGTTGAGTTCAGAGGTCAGATGATCACTGAAATGAAGCGAATTGTCATAAGCGGCCACAAATTTGCTCGTTAGACCATTGAAAAGGCGATCTAAATCTTTAGGCTGATTCGGTGAAGTGTCGAGGAGCCAGAAGACACAGTCCTTGAGCGTCGGACTGTATGACCTAGAAATGTATTCGAGCGCTTTCGGCATAGTATGAAGTGCAGCTGGATTGTTGGAGGCAAGGCAGAGTAAAAGACGGCCGAGTTGGGCCAGATCTTCTCTTTGAAGATCTTGTATCGGCACCTGAGAGCCGAACTGTACAACGTCAAGCACGCCGCAAGCATTGAGTCGTATCCTATTCTTTGATGTTAATAGAATCTTGCTCGGGTCTAGTAGTCTCGCCGCAAGTCCTGTCCCGTGTATCGCCTTTAATGCGTTTGCGATTTGGACAATGTAGCTCCATAAGATCTGCTCTGGCACATGGGCTGCGGCAACGCGTCCCTGAAATCTTTGTGGAGATCCAAAATGGTGTTCGGCAAGGGTTTTGGACAGTGGATGATAATCCGTCACGAAAACCAATGAGCTATCACCAAACACGCGGGTCGTAAAAGCGTCATGCAAAGTGACTACATTTCCATTATTGACCCTTTTCCATGCTTGCACGGAGCGAATTGCCTTCTCGTTCGTCAGGCGATAACCTGAATTCAGGTGTCAGCTTCGACCATTTGTTTTCGTTTGGATGATTACCTTCAAGTCGCCTCAACGCGTAAAGATTCCCGTCTTTACTGGAATTTGCCTTATAGACCCAACTGGGATATCCAAAAATGGTAGCACTCTTCTGATTAGTTGTGTCTAAGGGTACAAGAGAATGGAAGTGCTCAAGCTGGGGCAGCGTGGAGTCTATCATACTCGGTTAAACACAATGAAAGCAATTCGATGCGCCAGAGTTATACTTACTGGGTAATAATTGGTGAGATGCCTCAGACTTTCGCTGCAGTTCTTCCCTTAGGTTATCAGATATGAAAAAGTCGTGTGCGGTTCTCTGATACGCCAGAAGATTTTCCCGATGGGGTCCTAGGGGAGCGTATAAATGATATTGAAGCTATGACTGTCAGATATAGTTGGCCTCTGTTGATCCATTCAAACTAAACTCACCGGTTGAGTAAAGGTAGCTGGGGCCTGAAAGAAAGCAGTCCCTCCCATATTCGCGACATCTGGGGCATAAGGATTGATCTGAGCAGGATGTGGCGTAGCGGCGGCGATCTCTGGTATAGGAGTCGTCGAAGTAACAAAAGGATCATATGGGTTAACGACCGCTTTTCCATCGCCCTGATACGGAGGAGAAGGTATTAGCCAAGGTCGAGGATATACATGAAAAGGCTGCGATGGTTGCCTGCGCGGGTAAAAAGGCGGGGCGTTCGGGCGAAACTGGCCACAAAAATTTGCATTTGGAGCGCAAGGATAGAATCCAGGCGTAGCCCAGGCATGATTCTCCGTCCTATACGGAGAGTAATGCATCTGGCGGGCTCGTCTGCCCGGGCCAGCGCTTCGCCCTCTTCGCCCAACCATAAGGCAATCGCAAAGTTTGGCGTGAACTGCAGACGAACAAGCTTTTGGGGTCAATATGAGGGGGTTGAGCTTGATTTTCGGATACATTTTGTCAAACAGCTCACTCAACCCCTCACGCAACTCGGGAGAAGCACACTAGCCGCTGGACAACTGCAAGTATGATTGGAAGGTGACAAGGTGCCATGATGGGAAGGAGCCATTGGGAAGAGGCGAAAGGGGTGGCATTTAAAACATTGGGTGCTTCAAGAGAAGCACAAGCAACAATGATTACTCACCATTTGCATGGTATCGTAGGATTGCGGGACGAACTCCGGAATATCGGGTACGCTCCATTCTGGAGCAGCAGGAACCGGTTCTGGATTGATTGTAGGCGTAATTATGCCTTCTTATTTTATCAGAACCTGGATGCGGAGCTTAAATGTAGTAATATGGGCAACACTAACTTGCAGCTGCTCCTTTCGGGGTGAATGGCGCAGCACTTGCCGCCTTGGGTGAAATAGTTGTGCTTTTGGCAAATCCGCCATTGTTGGCGAGTGAAGAGGGCGTGAAAGTTGGCGATTCTACATTCAATCTCCTTTTCAAACTATTGAAGAAATATCGAGTCAGGCAACGAAATCTGGCGAACGAAAAGTCCATAGAGAAACGAACCTATCAACTTGGGACGGCATTCCTTGAAGTTTCGCAGGGTCATGGTTAAAAGCGCAGCCTCAAGACCATATCAGCATTTCTGATCCATTCATCCTGACTCGACAGTGCAATACCTTTATCTTCATATCGGCAATGCCCATAAATGGTCACATTGCGGCATAAGGTATCCTTAGCATCTATACATCAGATTCCCCTTTGATCAGCCATTCTGTGCGGAACCAAAGATTGTCGGATGCAGCTCAAAGACAACTCGCATGGCGCGTCTCTTTTGCGGCAGACTTTTGCCAATTGTGGTACAGTTATTGCAATGAAAATCGAACGTACCGCGTCCCTTGGGTCGGGGTGAGTGTTGCGGGCCCCGGGAGTCCCCAGAAGACGCCCGGATCGATGCTGCCATATCCTCCGGAATCTAAATTATCGACTAAGCGACTCCATGGAAACTACAATGACACATGTTGGTCAACATGATACGATATCGTGGCCAAAGGGGAAGATATAAGCATACTGCACGATTACTATCTCACGGTCTTGAAGCATTCTCCAGTGGAGCCTCGTTACATCGATAGGAATCCCCGATGCGCCTGTAGAGACGCTACGGCCCCTGCTTCCTCAAGTCAAGCTAGGCTCCAAAGTAGAATGTCGACACGGGCAGGCGATGAATTACAGCGGGCTAGAGGATTGCAACAATTCGATCGGCGAGAGATGGAGGGGAACAAAAGGCAATATGACAGCCGCGTACGGCGGGTCGCATGAAGGCTAAGAACGCGGCCCACGTTCCCACGGGAGTCTCCCACTACACGGTCCATCGGCAAGTTCCATACCGGCTCCAATAGCTCCGACAATTGGGAGTCCGACCTTGACCTCATATCTGTCAATTCACGGCTGCACTTCATTACACGTGAGGCGGCATTTGCACCTTCAACTCATCGCTGCGCTCACTTGATTCTGTATAAGTAAGCCTTTCCCGCGATGGCGGGGACAGAATTCGATATTGCTCAGCTCAATGAGGATCAGCAGCTGGCATTACAGCAGTTTACGTCAGTAACGGACCAGGAGGTGGAAGCTGCCATTCCTATATTGCAGCGCTCGCAATGGAACGTACAGGTGAGTCTTACTTGTGACATATCAGATAACCTTACAACTGACCACTTCTTTACCTCGCCCGCAGATTGCCATTGCCAAGTTCTTTGATGGCGAGTCCGCCGATCCCGTCGAGGAGGCGATTGCAGCTTCCCCTCAGCAGCATACGGCACGAGAAACATTAATCAATGGCTCGGGCTCCTTTCCTCGATCTGCAGTACCCCATGGTCTTGATCCAGCTCCGCGAATTGTACCTCAACCCGAGAGCCAAGTGTCTTATCGACCACCAGTGTTTCTTTCCTTGCTCTTCGCGCCGTTCAGTCTCCTTTATCGCTTCATATCCACCTCCTTTGGTCTCTTTGGATACCTCTTCCCATTTCTGCCGAGGTTGCTTTCCCGTTTATCGCCAGCGACTACACAACCAGCTCGACTTCGGGATACAACAGGCCGGCGACCACTCAATGCGCGGGACACGGCTGCTCGGTTCGCTCGGGAGTTTGAGGAGGAATATGGAGCTCATAGCTTGCCCTTTGTTGAAAATGGCTACGCACAGTCATTCGACATGGCAAAGAAAGACCTCAAATTCTTGCTGGTTATTCTTCTGTCACCAGAGCATGACGAAACAGCTTCATTCGTTCGAAACACTCTTCTGGCGCCTGAGGTCGTCGAATATATAAACGATCCACGGAACAATATCATCCTCTGGGGCGGGTCAGTCCAAGATTCGGAGCCGTACCAAGTCTCTGCTGCGCTCAACTGCACAAAGTTCCCTTTTGCAGCCTTGATTTCACATACACCCCAACTGTCCTCAACCGCCATGTCAATCATTGCTCGCATCACTGGACCAACGCCGCCTACTGCATTTGTTGCCAAACTCCGGGAAGCCATCTCTCAGCATTCACAGGCGCTGAACCAGGCCCGTGCTACTCGCGCCGAACAACAGGCCGCCCGGAATCTCCGCGAGGAGCAAAATTCTGCTTATGAACGATCGCTCGCCCAAGACCGGGAACGTGCAAGACAAAGACGCGAAGCTGAGGCTGCCAGGGAGCGTGCTGAGCGCGAAGCTAGGGAGAAGGCAGAAGCAGAAGAAAGGAAGGCGCGAAATGTGCAACTGTGGCGGCAGCATCGGGCCAAAACAATTCCGCCAGAGCCAGCGGCCAACGCGAAGGATGTCGCGCGAATCAGCATTCGCATGCCCTCTGGAGATCGGGTCATTAGAAAGTTTAGCTCTGACGCAACTATCGAAGAACTCTATGCGTTTGTTGAATGCTATGACGTTCTTCAAGGCGCACCTGACGAGACGGAAGAGAAACCAGATGCAAGCTACCGACACGAATTTGGCTTTAAGCTTGTCTCGCCCATGCCCCGTACCGTGTATGATATTTCAGAGGGAGGTACCATTCGCGCCCGCGTTGGGCCGAGCGCTAATCTCATTGTCGAGGAGATTGTCGACGATGAGGACGAGGATGCCACTGAAGACTGAGTTGCACCAGTACCTCACAGAGTACTTTCTCCGCTTTGGTCTCGTCGTTTTATCATATTTGCCTTTTTTAACATCTCAGAAGCATCGCGATGGAGTTGGGTGTGTGTGTCTATTCCCTGAACTGACAGGGCCAGCAAAGTCCGTCTTTTATTCTATTTTATATTTGCCTTTTTTCCAAATTCATCACAGCATTTCTGGACGGAGCGTTGACTTCACGTATTCGCGAGCAGACCCTGGCTCATTGATCTAGGTACCTTGTGTACTAATCTTAAACCTTCTGCGTTAGTTGCAGAATCTGGCACACCGTGCGAGTACTTGCGAGTTGTCAATACTAGGTATATTTAGAATGGACTGTCCAAGTCGCCGTAATTCTATACACGACTTCTATAAACTATAAAGTCTTTTAAAAAAAAAAATTTTTCCCTTTATTTTTGATGCATCCCCGTACGCGATTGGAATATATATATATATATATATATCATGCAGCACAAGCTGTCATCGTAATAGTCTCCACCGGCAGAGTAACGGTAACATCATCATCATCATCCCACACGGGCGTCAGGGCGGGTACAATGACCGGTCCTACACCTCCTAGTTGAAGAATCGCAATTTCAGAACACCCTCCGCAATCTACCGATCTTGTTGTCGTCGTAGTAGATAGGTATGTTGTACTCGTTTTTGTACTTTTTGCTCCGCTTTTCGTCGTGTTGGTTCCAGTTGCATTTCCCTTACCCTTGCCCTTGCTTCCGTGGTTGTGGTTGGGAGTGTTGTTTGGGGTGTGGTCGGAAGTGTGGTCGTGGATGTGGTTGTCAGTGTGACTGGCGAGACCTCGATATCCAGCGCCCAGCATGCCGAAATGAGGAAATTGTATTAATGTCGATGTGCATCCTGATTTTGTCCTTTTTGTTGTTGATGCTGTCGTTGCTTTCGCTTCTGTTATTGCTGGCGCAGCAGGTACTACTATGGACGTAGAAGCCAATGTGCGCAAAGCAGCGGATGACTCTGACTCTGGCCGTGTCGGATTTCCTGCAAGGTCGGGTATCATCACATTCGGCACCACGAGTTGCCGGGGAATATGTGGCTTTGGCTTTGGCTTCAAGGACGTGTTGGACATGGTCTTGGATTTGGATTTCGACTCGGAGTTAGGGTCAAAGTCAAACTCAAACTCAAATACGCTTGAGGAGCGCTCGTCAAACGTCTTTCCCAGGAAAAGCAGTACGTCCTCTTGCGTAGGCACCCGTTGTGGCCGCTGGTGAGACGGCGGGGGCGTCGGGGGTGGAGACGGGGGCGGGAAATTCGGAGGCGGCGAACCGGGCGGACTTGGTGGAGGTTGCGGTGTAGCTACCACTACCAACGAAGAAGAGGAAGGGGAAGAGGATGTCATGAATGCGGAAGGAGATGAGAATGAGGAATGCTGCTGCTGCTGCTGCTGCTGCTGCTGATGATGAGGATGAGAATGAGGATGAGGATGAGGATGGTTAAAGTTGTCTACCATGGCAGACGGGGCAGCAGGTGGAGGCGCGGCTGTAATTGTATGCGCGGAGGCAAGAAAAGCCAGGATATTGCAAAGTGCCGCTGTGCGGAGACGGGTGGTTCTTCTCATCGGCAGCTTCATTCCCTGCGCAGATGGTTGCGGCTCAAGAAAATACTCTGATATGTGCGTAGTAAGTGAAGAAGATGAGGAGGATAATTGAAGAGAACTGGGATAGCTTATTTTGGTTTGACTGTTTGACTGTTTGACTGTGTCTGATGGTTCTGGTGGGGTATATATTGTTTTGCAAACTTTTAGAATGGTAGAGATTGGGAGGAAATGGTTTTTGATAAAAGGTGAAAATACAAGGGGGAAAAGATGTAGAAGAAGGAGAGAAGAAGAGCAGAAGAGAAGAAGAAGAAAAGAAGAATGCCGTTAAAGGCGTGGCAAAGGGATATGCTAGTCCAGGCCGTTATGGAATCATTTGAAACATTTGACTTGAAACAGCAATGGGGGATCAAAGGACAGAATTTGAACGTCGCAGAAGGTCCTGGGAAAGGACAGATATGGTGTTTATTCGATAATTGAATTATATGTTTGCTGCGTTATTGTGGTGAGGTGGTCTGTTGACGGTTCGCCGGATACAGGCTAGTATGCGTCGCAGGCTCTGCGAAGAAAATGCGGGTCAGAACTAGAAAGAGTTGAATTTTTGTATTCTCCAAATTTCGAGCGATATCTGGAATGTTGAGAGTATATTGTAAGGATCATCTTTTGCCGGCATTGCATTTGCAAAATTGATAGTCGTATAGAGATGTATCCCGTGGGCAGTCGAAAAGATGCAGACTGTGTATAAATTGAACAAACAAAGCAGCGCCACGTGAAAAAAACTTAGTCAGAAGGACAAAAAGATAGAATAAGCCAAAGTATTAAGTTTGATATTGCTTTCAAAATGTTAAACGTTACCATATATACAGTCGATACTAAATCCAATCTATATGTGTTTCCAATGCAGCGTGAGCATGCCAAAACCTTCTATCATCTAGTCATCTTGTCTTTGTTAGACTTTTGAAATAAAGGACTATGAGATCTGCTCTGCGCCAGGTCCAGCCCGGCGTGGACGAACGCAGAAGTTCAGAGTATAATCATGCGGGGCGGGCATGGTAAGAGAATTGCGCACGATCCAGCCGTAACGCTGGTAAATGGGCAAACCCTCGAGGCTTGCGTCCACGTAAGCCTCCACACCCGCCTCGTCGGCACGGTCAAGGCCGTATCGCAAGAGTTTTGATCCCGCGCCCTTGCCTTGATAATCTTCAGCTGTTGCTAGAAGTTCCAGAACTGTATGTCACGTGGTGACCCCCTGTCAGCATGTGTTTTTATATTTATAGGTGTCGAAGTCGATATTAAGAAAAGGAGCAGAATGGGGAAACACAAAAACAATAACAAATAAAATGATAAGACTTACACCAATGAGGACGATCACCCATCAGTTCTTCGCGATTCTGATGCATACCGTCAAAGAAGAGGTCGCATAATGGGACATCAAAGCCAGGGAAGTCTTTAAAAGACAGCCAATGCGTGTGACGGGTGCCGGGAGGGACCCATTTAGCGAATGCCGCCATTCGCCCATTTTCAACGTCTTCCACCACCAGAAATCGAGGGTCACGGTCGTGCTGCATCATTTCTCGAAAAGTGCCGGTTAGCCATTCTCTTGTTGCCGGCGTAGGTGGGAATAATGTCCGGAAGAATGGCACAGTGAAGGAGCGGAAGAAAACGTCGACCATGCCATCAATGTCTTTGGCCGTGGCAAGCCGCACTTGCAGTGGAGTACTTTTTGTGACCGTCATGATATTCTTTTGCAATGCCTGCGGGTCTGATGCTTCTGATGCTCTTTGTTTTTCTTTTTTCTTTTGGTGTTCAATTTTGTTTTGAAATCTTTGGAATGTTCTACAGCAGGCAGCCTCTCCGGGGCGGTCCGCAATTTATAACTGACAGAGGTTCGTCCTTGGCGGGATATTCTCGGGATTCTAAACACATTTTCAAAACTATCCTCTTACGGCCATCTCTCCACGGCCCACAAACTCTGCTAACGGATTAGTCCCCACTTCTCCGCCTAGAACATCGGATGCAACTGCTTTTCCTAGTGATGGCGAGAAACCGTCCATCCAAGCTCTGCTGATCAGACACTACATAGGGCGTGACTATGTAGGAATAATCTGCCAAGGGAGCAGTCAAGATCGACATTCAATGAATTTACATTTAAACCCTTTTCGTGGTACTTTATCTTTTACTATGGGAACGATAATGGCAGATATATTACTGTTCGATCGGCAAATTTTTGACAATGTCGATTAATAAAAAATATATAAAGAAAATAAAACTAACGTAAAATGCAAGATCAGAAGTGCAAAGATGTGTTGGACAGTTGCAAGAAAAATTATATTCCCCTTTGAGGCTCGTCGTAACCCCAGAATAACTTAGCATTCAATTTCAATATGAGAACCTTATTTCGAGACACGTCAACCACCTACGCGTTACGATGACCATGCACTACGCGGCTCTGTGGCAGACTTGAACTGCTGGAACAGAGTGGCGAATGAAAAAGAACAAAATGCGGAGTGAGGCTGTGCTGAGAGAGCCAGCACCAATGTGCTTGGCAGAAGTCAGCCATGTGTCGCCCAGGATTGCATATCGGATGCTCCCGAATATTCATGGTCAGCAAACCACAAGGGTTGATCTTTGAGGTATATAAGATTCCAAGCACCCGAGAACTATATAAGTAGATGGACCAGTCATCTTAGTACAAAGGCTCACTGAAAGCAGATACCTTGCTGAACAATAATAACAACATAAGGCTGGTGATTTCACGTTGTTTTGGACCCTGAATCTTCCAAACTGAACTGAGCCCTTTCTCGGTTATGGTCGGTGGATGCAGTGGGGGCTGCGAAATAACGACAATCTCGCAGTGTCCGATCCGGGGTTATTGCTCCCCTTGTTTAGCTCTCAAATAGTCCACAAGTGAGTCCAGGCAGCAAACTCGTATCAATCATGAAAGGCATGACCAGCTCATGGATGACAAAATTCGATAGCTTGTCACTTTCTCCTGGAAGCTGAAGTGGACCCCCATATCCATGATAGGAACCTCGACGGGAAACACCATCTTTTCTTATCCAAATAGAGCCTCTGCTTAACTTACAATTACACCGCAAGCTTAACGGAACTTCCTCCGAGGCAATAAAGACGTCCCTCAGGGTTGCTTAATACTCTAGAAGTCATGCAGAAACTCAAGGAATCATTCAAAAAAAGGGGAAGCCAAGACATAGGCTCTCGCTCCAGTCCTGGTAGCCCCGAAGGCGATGTTGTCAAGAACGTTCGCTCGTTCTGTGACTCAAACGCCAAGCAGGTATGCGCATGCCCCTGGAGTTGCATTTGACGAAGTCGAACACCTTTCAACCATTGTCCACGTCAATGAAGCTAAAGTATATGCCTGTCAGGATGAAGAAATTCTGTTCCTCCCCGTCATCGTCGAAGCTGCCTCGGCCAGTCCGACAGCAGCAAAGGAGGCCGCCTACGTGATTCGCAAGGTCCTCGTCAAGGATGCGTCAAGGTCGCAGTCACAATATAATGCCATCATGCTCATTAGAATATTATCGGAGAACCCTGGGCCTGCTTTCGCAAGAGGTTTCGATTCCAAGTTCCAGCAAGCTATCCAGTGGACCCTTAGGCATTGCAAGCACACTAGCGTGCACCAGTTCCTCTGTGAAGTGCTCGATTATTTGGAATCCAGGTATGGTCAAGATGAGACATTTCGGCCGATAATAGAACTGTGGAGAAAAGAGAAAGCACACCCAGAAAACTGGCAAGTGAAACGAACGGTGTGTGATTCCCAATGGCCTCTGGCTGCGAATGCTTAGGGGAACACTGCTGACGGCGAATCTTCTCCATTGTAGCCAGGTCAACGAATACTTAACGCGCCTCCATTTGCCTCCAATGGCTCTTCCAGCCAGACAGGCTCTCGTCGCTCACCACGAGGCCTACCGCCGCCGGGGGAGCTCGCGGAGAGAATCGAAGAGGCCAAAACCTCGGCCAAGCTGCTTTTGCAACTTACTGCATCAACACCGACCAGCGAAATCATGACAAACGAGCTCGTCCTCGAATTTAGCACCCGCTGTCAGTCTGCGTCGCGGTCCATTGCGGCATTTATCAATGCGTCCGATCCAGCACCTGACGACGACACCATGCTCACCTTGATTGAGACCAATGAGCAGCTGTCGCTTGCCATCTCCAAGCATCAAAGAGCGGTTCTCAATGCACGAAAAGCTCAAGGGTCCCAGGTGAACACGCCTACCCCAACACCACCTCCTGCCACGGCCACACCGTTCTTGCCTCCACGCCCGGCCGCGGCAGCAGTCGATGAAACGACCAAAACAGAAAATCGCGGTAGTGCTCCACTCATCGATATCAAGGGCACGTCGCAGCAGGACCTCTCTGCTTCGACTTATACCAACAGTGCGAACCCCTGGGCCAACTCAGTTCCGGCCCCTGACGGAGCTGGGTTGACAAGCAGCTACGTTCCGGCGGCCAGTTCCAATATGCCTCAAAGGAATATGAATCCATTTAGCGACGATGCTACTGTCGAGAATTACACCTATTCGGGGCTTCAACAGCCACTGGAGCCCTCTAAGCAAGATCAAACCCCTCGTCACCTTGGCCCGCGGCCGATTGGGCCAACACCACAGCGTCAGGTGTCAGCCATGGTGCATACCACAATGCGCGGCGCGCAGGATATACCATCTCACAATAACGATGATGATGGTGACAGTCTCTATCGAGATGATGGAGATTCGTATCCAGCTCCTACGCGTAATTCGCAGCCCCAAGCATCACAGCCTCAAACAAGATTTTGAGCACAAATTCTCTAACAAGCTTCCGATCACCCTCATTCAGACTTTGTGGGATTCGATCATGGCACTGGACAGGCGTGAACCACGAACTGGTCTATCGAATACACCTTGTCCAACTGATTTCGTTTTTCTTTTGCACACCATGCAGCTCATCGACAAACTCTTTTGATTTTAGCTACTTGCTGCTCTGCGACTCGATTCTCAGCTATACTTCTGCCTTGATCTTATGTGCTTTGAAGATCCAGAATACCCCTTTGCGTTTATCCATTTTTGTCAGACGAGAAGACACTCTCCAGCATTCGTTTCACTTTAATGATCTTCTCAGCTTCTTTTCCAGATTCTCAGACAGATTGAAATATCATGAGATGATGAAACCTTTGATACGCACTCGAAACATGAAACATAATCTATAACGTCTATTCTGCGAGTCTAAGCCATTCCACACAATCTTGGTCCAATCCAATGCCACCTTATGAGAGTGAACAGGCCCGTTGTTCCAAAGAATATATTCACAGCCACATTCAACCCTTTATTCTCTGCTAAACCTACCATGACCCTCCTTTCAATACCCTCGACCCTCGACCCCCCTTCCGTACCCTAGACTGCCGACTCCCCCAAATACTCCTCCAAACACTGCACTATCACCTGATGATCCTCCTCCATCTTGAGCCCACTCACCACAATCACGCCCACCAGCCCCTCCACGCCGCGCACCCTCACAGGAAACCCGCCGCCATGAATCGCATAGTCGCCCGCCCGCTCGCCCAGCGCAAATTTCGCCTTAAACGCTTCCTCCGTCCCGCATTTCGCGCGCATATACCACGTCGACGTACCGAACCGGAGCACGGTCCGCCGCTTGCGCGCTGCCCAGATGTCGTTGTCGGGCGCGGTTCCTACTGTGCCAGCACCTCCCACTACTGTTCCTGGCCCCGCTGGTCCCGGCTTCGACACGGCGTGAAAAAGCAGCTGGTCGCTGTTGGCGTGCGTGATGCTCACAATGGCGGGCCGCGCAAACGACTCGCGCAGCCGTGACCGGATCAGACTCCCGAGCTCAAACGCCGTGTCCGATGTGAAGCTGGGTAGCTGCAGCTTGTTTTCGATGGAGAGAATCGTGGTGAGCTGGGTGTGATATGGGTTAGTATTGAAGGTACTGAAGGTACTGAAGGTATTGAATATGCTACGGGGGTTGGGGCTGGGTGTTTGGATTGGAAACAGGGGAGATAACACAAGGGAAATACACCAAGGGCAGGTAAAACAAAGGACGCAAAAGAGTAACAGAAGGGGGATAAAAGAAGAAGGGAGACAAGGGAAGTATACATCGTTAGGAGGGTCGCGGAGCGTAAATGTCGACATTGTTGCGAACTATATTGGAGGTGCAGCACAATATTGGAAACTGTATCGGAGGAGCAATGGGGTGGGGTTGTTTGGATTGACTGAGGTGGAGGCAGGACGTGATCACGGTCGTTGCTTCGGAGGCAATGCCAGTTGTAATTGGATATTGATCAATAGTATCAATTGAAGAGAAAGGAAAAGTGAAAAGTGAGTGGAAACACACTGAGATATGGAGGGTTTATACTCGTACTCGGAGACCCAGCTATACTGTCCCCAGGACCGAGGGAACCTGGCGGGGGTCAGCTATTAAGATACCTAAACGGGTAAAGGTTGCGCTAACGAAATGGGGTCGACATCGTCCGGGGGGACACTTGAAGCGCGATTTTGACGTGCTCGGTGGGATGGTCCCCAATACGATGGCAACGATGGCAACAGCCCACGAAGCGTTTGAGGTTGGAGACCCACCTTCGTCTTTAGTAATCCGCTTGGACCTGCTATTGCAATAATGGCCGAAATGATATGCCGTTACTTCTTGAGGATGCATATTGGAGTTAGGTTGGTAGGTTCGGGGGTAAATTGGATATGCTTCATGTAGATCATGACTCGGAGGAACACTCATGAATAAGTTCCCTCAGTCTCAAATAAAGTGCCTCGGTCTCCAAATTTCAATGACAGATCACAGATGGTCAGACAATTGTTGGAACAGTCAAAACAAAAAAATCCCAGATTGATGCAAGAAAATTTGAATTTTAGGCCTTGTCATCAGCTTTTAATGCAGCCATAAATACAGCGCCAATTGCCGTTTACGAAGCCATCCTTATTTCTCCCACGACCTTCACCTGACAACCAATGATTTAGGCAGCGGTGATGGCCCGCGCCCGGCGAGCACCCCGCTGTCTGGAGCTGAAGTGAAGACCCTGCTCGCGCTCGACAACCTGGGGACCCTTCTGGACAACCTCCTCACCCTCGGTCAGGATGAGCTCAATGTGGCAAGGGTTGGACATGTAGGGGTTGATCTAATCAATGCGAAAAGTCGTTAGTTTCCTTCTTGATTCTGAGACAGTCTATTCAAGACTGTCTGATCGTATCGGAGCGGGGAATTCTTACACGACCGTGGGCACGGTATGTGCGTCGTCGGTTCTTGGGGGCCTGGTTGACCTGGATGTGCTTGACAATCAAGTTGCCGGTGTCAAGACCCTTGGTGTCGGCGTTGGCCTCAGCGTTGCGGAGGAGGTCGAGGAGGAACTCCGCAGACTTGACGGGCCAGCGGGCCTTGCTGACACCCCACTGCTTGCCTGTTGTACGAAAAGTCTCAGCCTTTTTATTCTTCCAAAAACTTGCATGCTCCTTTCGCTTCTCCATATCTTCTCCAAATCCTCCAGAAAGCCCTCTTCACTGCTCGACACATAGACCTCTTCCCTCCCTTTTAAAAACCCCCCGCAAAACCACACTGAAAAGAATTTCCATCACTCACCCTGCGCGCAACGACCAGTGCTGCCGGCGTATCTCCTCATGGGGACGGCCTCGGTGTGAGACTTGACATTCTCGAGGAACTGAACGGCACGCTGGAGCTTCCAGCCGTTGATGGCCTGGGCGGTCTCACGAGTGTTCTTGAAAGAGACACGGAGGTAGGCACCGCGGGCGCGGGCCGACTTGGTGGGTGCGATCTCAGTTGCTCCGTAGCGCGGCTAGAAAGAATATCATCGTCAGTCCAAGGGCGTCTCGATAAAGTTCAACTTCGCAGCGATCATGAATTCTTTCGGAACAGTGACAGAATGCTGGAATTCGGGGGGAAATCGACTGCAAAATCCATGAATCCGCGAAAAATAATGGCGATAACGTACCATCCTGGCGTTGATGGGCGAAGGCCGTACTCTGGTTGTCGTCGTCTACAACTGGTATTTCGAATTTCGGTGGGTTCTGTTTCTCGCGAGACTAGTGCGGAGCCGCATCCGAGGGCTCAACCCTACTAATTTGTTTCTGATGTCTATTTGCCAAAGACTCAACGCTTCAATTTCCGGAAAACTTGGCCAGGCTGTTTTCAAGCACTTTATTATACTAGTCATGACTATTTGAAATATTTATCTTACTTTAACGTGTCTTTTTCTTGAAGAAGTCTGGTATTTTGACGCTTTTGGTACCAAGGCTCGTCTCAAAAAGTCTTAGCGAGTTAGGCTAAGCGTCGAGCGAAAAAGCTCAATCTCTAGAATCTTTGTCCGGCCGTCAATCTGCGATACTGCCTGACCTGACAATCTGCTGGACTTGCGCGACTGGTCCTGGGAGCGCGCAGCCCTTAATTAATTCATCTACGAAGAATCGAATTTCGCCATAAAATAATGGCTTTCACACCTAGAGGAGGCCGTGGAGGTCCCCGTGGCGGTGCCCGAGGCGGTGGTCGCGGAGGTGCACCCAGAGGAGGTGGTCGTGGTGGCCGTGGTTAGTAAACCCCAAACTCTCGTTCATTGAAAAGTCGTCAGGTCATTGTTTCTGGTGATTTTTTTGGCTTAATGGCTCTCCTCAGAGAGATCTTTTGCTTTTCGCAAAGTCTTGCCACTTCAATGACCTGTTGACGCTTGAAAGACCCTGATAAATTTCGAGCATGAGAACTAACAATTTTTCTTTAGGTGGTGCTCCCGCTAGAGGAGGTGGTAGAGGCGGTCGCGGTGCCCCCAGAGGTGGTCGCGGCGCTCCCAGAGGTGGCCGTGGTGGTGGCAAGCCTGGTGCCAGGGGCGGTGCGAAGACCATCGTTGTATGTTTCAATTCGACTCTCATCAATCATATGGGGATTTGTTGCTCACAATCGCCTTCAGGAGCCCCATCGTCATGCCGGTGTTTTCGTTGCCCGTGGCAAGGAGGACATGCTTGTCACGAAGAACTTGACCCCTGGTGAATCCGTCTATGGCGAGAAGCGCATCGCTGTTGAGACACCCAATACCGAGACCGTCAATGGCGAAGTCGCCCCTGCTACCAAGACCGAATACAGAGTGTGGAACCCGTTCCGAAGCAAGCTTGCTGCCGGTATCCTTGGTGGTGTCGACCAGATCTTTATGGGCCCAGGCTCCAAGGTCCTCTACCTTGGTGCTGCCTCCGGTACCTCCGTCTCCCACGTTGCTGACATTGTCGGCCCTACTGGTACCGTCTTTGCCGTTGAGTTCTCGCACCGCTCTGGACGTGACTTGATCAACATGGCCACCCACCGCACCAACGTCATCCCTATCATTGAGGACGCTCGTCACCCTCTCCGCTACCGTATGCTGGTATCCATGGTCGACGTCATCTTCGCCGATGTTGCCCAGCCTGACCAGGCTCGTATCGTCGCATTGAACGCCTCTCTTTTCCTCAAGACTGGCGGTGGTATTCTCATCTCCATCAAGGCGAACTGTATCGACAGTACTGCTGCCCCCGAAGCCGTTTTTGCCAGAGAGGTGCAAAAGATGAGAGAAGACAAGATCAAGCCTCTCGAACAGCTGACGCTAGGTAAGATGCCACTACGCCTTCCGAACAGTCCCATAACTTGTGCTAATTCTTGTCTCTAGAACCCTTCGAGAGAGACCACTGTATCGTCGTTGGAAAGTACAATCGTCATGCTTAATTCGAAAAGTTTTGAAATACCTGCTCTTTGTGTCTTATTATTCGGATGTATTGGGATGAGGCAATCTGGTGGTAGATATGCAGATCGCGCACGCATTCGTGTTCATTAGGTCTCTGCTATTTCTTCTTCATCTCTGGTTCATGGGTGTAAATCATTGGTAACGGAGTCTGAAATGGATCATCTAATTATTCAATCTTTTCAAATTATGGTGCCTTTGTGACGCTTGTAGGGTCTGCGAAATTTGATTGTGATACGGGCAACAAGTGATAAGTTTAATGCTTTGACTGATCATATTAATTTGACTGCCATACTAATTAGTCGACCCTATTTCAACGTCGACATGTCTTATGCAAAATCAGTCCGAATAGAACATTTTATACGTTGAAATAACCCCTGACATATCCAACGGTCACGGTCAGTTGTTCAAAAGTCCCTCAGCAACAGACAAATGCCTCTTTTCAATGAGATCATCGAGGAAATCATCCAGAGCCTCCCTTCCCTCCCGAGTGAGAAAGACCTTGCCTCCTTCCGAGACGCCTCCCAAGCCATCCAAATCGATGCTCAGCTTTTCATCCTCTCCATCCGCTTCGAGTGTGAGCATCTGGAGAGCCTGCTGGCCAAACCAATTAACACCACCTCCACGTGCAGGAACTCGAGTCTTTTCCCTCTCCTCAAGAGGCAAGAGAAGGGGGCCTTCTGGCATGACATGCCTCCGGTGCCAATCTCCAACGAACATGCCTTCGGGATCAGCGCGATCTCGGACGCGCTGCCAATTGCCCAGCTCTGGATACATTTCTTCAATTTCATGATTATTCGCATGGTCGAAATTCTTGGCCCAATGCGGCCGTCCACCTAATTCTTTCATCAACCACTCCACAGCTTCATAGTAGCGGGCGCGGCATGGAGGATCCCGATAGAACGGTCTGTAGAGCGTAAAGTTTAGATAGAGAGTAGGTCCATCTGCGACTGTCTGGTCCAGGTAAGGCCTTGGACTCGTGGATATTGATGTGTCTGATACCCGGACCTCAACCGGCGAATGTACGTAGAGGCCCTTGTTATCGAACGGAATACCCGATGCTTCCTTTTGGCCATTTAGCCATAACGAGATGCGCTGTATTGCCTCGGGCCCCTTCTCCAATGGAATAGCCCATTCATTAACAAATTGTGAGAAGAGACAGTCCATGAGTAGACCAGTCCGTCCGGGCTCCACAGCCGTGGTGCTCGCACCATCTTTGAATCCATATTGCATACCAAACACAAACCATTCAATCGCCGGCAAAAGCCGTGGAAACCAATTTGAGATATACAGAAGCACCTGATAGGTATGGAACCCGACAAATCCGCCATACCAGCTCCTTTGAGGCGACAAGAGTGGCTTTTCAGTCTTGTCGGCCTTCCAGACAATTGCCCGCTGCAAGTAAGGAAGCCACCAGCAGCGAACAAATTCTGCCTCTCTCCAAATTGTGCCCCATGACTGGACGACCTCGTCCAGTGGCTGCAGCGATTGTGTCCATTCAATCTTAAACGAAGGGACAGCCTCGAAAGTGATCTCAGTGATGATGCCTAGAGCACCTAAGGAGAGTAGAGCTGCACGAAAGAGCTCAACATTTTCCTCTGCACTACAAGACAACTCCTCTCCATTTGCAAGCATAATCTTGAGAGCGCGCACTGACTGGCTGATAAGCCCGTGTTTGAGAGAGCTGCCATGTGTGCCAGTGCTTATCACGCCTGCGGCAGACTGCTCATCAATACTACCCAGATTATCCAGGGCTAATCCGACCTTCTCCAGCTCATCTCCTAGTCTGAAAAGTCGGATGCCGCTTTGAACGGTAACGAGCCGAGTGGAAATGTCGACATTTAAGATCTGGGAGAAGTGGTCGAGATTGACCATCCATGAGGAGCTGCAGGTAATGTCGCTCGGTGAGTGCCTGGATCCGACCGTCACAACTCGTTTACGACAGCTTCGAGCGAGATTTACGGCCTTGCGGATTTCTTCGGTTGAATGAGGCCGGATATAGAGCTCAGGCCGCGTATGGAAGGTTTTGGCCCAGGTATGATGGACATGATACTCTGTTGCGCGAAAGGGCGTGCTGGGGTCGACGGTGGCGACCTCCCTTTGAAGGATCAAATCCATTGTGAACAACAAAATAAACAATTGTTGATCGAACGGATCAAATCAGCTTTCACTCATGGTGTACAATTAATTGTCTTTACTGCATTGTCGACACCGAGGCCGAGAAAATGCCAGAGGGTCAGAGATAACAGCCAAGAAGCCATCGTGTCTAATTTGACGACCGTTGTGGGGAACTTTTATCACAGCAGAACGAGATTTCGAATGGTAGAGTGGCGGGCGGCAGACTGGTGGCAGCCACGATGCCGGGGCTAGAATCAGATTCGCCCAACCATCGACAAACGAGGATGAGCTCGTCATTGACTTTATGCTGATGACATTTGCATCGATTGAAACCACGGCACGTGCTAAATCTTGACAAGATCTCTTATAGAGTCGTCTACCTTGGGTTTACTGATGCACTTAATGGAATTTGACAAGGTAATTGAAAGGCTCTCTAGAGCTAATTGGAGACATTGATGCAAGCCGCAGTCACACGATTTACCTCGTGCAATTATTGCTATTAACGGGACAACAGGCTAGATTTGGCCCGATGTTCGATATTCTCGGCCCCGGGACTCTTTCCTTTTCGATTCTCAAACAGTAGCTTGGCTGCACAACAACAGCCAATAACTATGTGCCGATGACCAAGGGTTTATGCAGACCCATGAACACCACAAAGATCAGCAGGGCGACAAACGGTGACGAAAAAGGAACCCAAGACGGGGACTTGGCCAACAAGAGGCCGCCCGGGAGATTTTCGGGGACGGAGATGGTAGTTCAACGCAGGACAGAGGTGGTCAAAACATCAAGGAACAGACATGGGACCTTGCGGAAACAGGAAAGAGGGATTCGTCAGATGGGGGCCCGCATGAAACGAAAAAAGAGATCAGCACAGCGCGACGGCCAAGGCATGGGATCCATAGGTCCCTCCTCTCATCTGGGGTAGATCGCAACTAAGATTCTCCGACCCCTTCTCTTCTACTTCCTCTAGATTTTCTTTTCTCATAATCAATACTCGATTCACTTCGTTTGCAGGCGGGATAGCTGAAACTCAAAAGGCAGAAACGAAGTGCTGGTCATTTCGCCCACCAAGAACGCCTATCCCGTCTCATCGGCACTTGCTATTCGTTCGGATCAATCTCCGCTACTAACGAGAGCCTTGGCCGTCTATAACCGTCGCACCGTCTCTTACACAGCGCCATGGGACCGAAGGGTAAGTCGGAATTATTGTTTTGGTTTCAAGTCTCTGGTGCACCTTATACACACAGGTTCATGATGGACCAATGCGCCCTTGCTTCCAAACGCCACTGATGCAGGTTTACCAATTTCGTTTCTAACAATTACCGAATTTTAAAGTAGGATCATTGCGATTTGCTTTTATGTAGTAAACCTTATCTCGATGCCAACGATATATACACCCACTCACACAGAAAGACGACCCTACTCAGTCTGTTGCATTTCGCTGACTTGGTGGGATTTTACGATGCGAATTATAGCCCGGTCTGGCGCGTAGCCTTGTTCTAGCATTCGGAATTTTCATCGGCTTACTCTGGCTGCTGCAATCTTTCCAATCCCATGGATCACTACGAGTACCAGCGGCACATGGAGTGCGACCGTTGGGCGCCAGCAAAGCCTCACGATCGGCAGAAGCTCAAGGTGTAGGTGCCGCCGCCACAAAACATCACCAAATAGGCGAAAGTTCAAGTGGCGGACGCCGCATCACGAAAGCGACGATGCTCTACGGTCCGGAGAACGAGCTCCTGGAGAGCGCCCTGAAGACTCACCAAGAGCACGGCGAGCGTTGGGGTTATCCCGTGCAGGTGCTGCGGTATCAAATCGCGCGCGCACGATGGAGCAAGCCATCCTACCTGCTCTCATTGCTGGTCCGAGAGCTCGCAAAGTCCCCAGAGGAAAGAACAGAATGGATCATGTAAGTCCACAAGCCATCGGACAGTGTGAATTCCTCTTTCAATCGCATCTCCTCTCCCATTTTCAATGCCTCCGAGCCCTGCCTGCTAACCCTTCATTTACCAAACAACCAGGTGGTTTGACGCCGACACCATCCTCATCAACCCATCGATCCCAGTCGACATTTTCCTTCCGCCTCCCTTTCTCCCCTCCGCCGCAGACCTCGCTGCATCCGCACCATCATGGTACTCCTCCGGCGGGCCGAAGGGCCCTCCCACCGACCCCTTTGCACACATCCACCTCATCGCATCGCGCGACCAAAACAGCCTCACCACAGGCGTCTTTTTCATCCGCGTCTCGGAATGGTCCATCCGGATGCTGACCAAGGCCATGGCGTTCCCCATGTACGTGCAGAACGTCGAGCTCGGCATCAACGCCGACCAGGTCGCCATGGCATACATGCTCAACGACCCCGAGTTTCGTGCCGGCGCTGTCTACCAACCGCGCACTTGGTTCAATGCCTACGAGCTACACGACGGCTTCGAAGGGAAACCCGGAGACATGCTCGTCCATTTCCCCGGCTTGGACGACGACCGCTGGCCCCACATGGCTGCCTGGTTTGAGGGCATCGCTCGAGATAAATCCCTACGCTGGAACGTTCCCCTCGACAAAACACCTTATCTCGCAGAAACAAAGGCCTACTGGGACGAATGGCTAGCGGCCCGATCGGTCCGCTTCGCTGCCGAAGCACAGTTCAGGAGCGATCCCCAGGGCGCGAGTACCGCGTTTAATGACACCCTTGCGTATCTCCGCTTCGCGCTGGACGAGAAGATGGATGAACCGCATACGGTGCGCGATGCACGAGTCAAGATGGAGATTGTGATGACCACGGGTGGGCAGGAGAGTCAGCAACAGCAGCAGCAGCAGCAGCAGCAGCAGTGAACTGTGGAAACAAGAAGAGCAGGCCTTTTTCTTGATTTTTCACAGACTTATCTGTTCCTTTTCTGAAGTATATCTTGGCATCAGCATATACATTGTTTTTTCTTGTCTCATCTAGCAGTGTCATTTCTTTGCATTTCATTTCATTTTCTTTGGAAAAAAATTCAGCGGTCAACGTACGAGTTTAAAAAGGAGGTCAATTAGCATAGGGCATGCAAGCATTGTCTTAGCATAGCGTTGAACATTCTATCGCCAGTCCATCAATCAATCATTCGAACAGAGCCGGATTCAGGTACCTGGGAAATTGTCATTTCACACTGCATATGACTCTGACTGGTTTGATAGAAGATGATGATGAATAATTAAGATATGATTATGCTCTGCTTATGCCTATGCTTATGCTTGAGGACAATAGTAATAGTCGAAACGCCAATCCAAACCACATTTCCCCCGGCTAAAGAAAAAAGGTAATTGAGTCATCCCGTCCTCCCACAGAATGCAGAAATGAGAAAATAGAAAATGCAAGCGGTGCGCCTTAGCGACAAAATGATGCATGCTTGACAACTAATAGAGGAGCATTGGAAACAAGGTATCGAGTGCAAGAGGACCAAAGGGGGAAGAAAAATTATGTATGCACCGGTATTATTGAAGTCTTTCAAAAGAGGATGGTAAGTAAGGATGAGGATTTGGGGAATACGATATGATCACTAGTCATGCAACTAGACCATTTGCTCAGTGCCAGCGACAGGACGTCTGGAAATGCTTTCCCTGTGGCCGAGGCCATGGCCGTGGTGATTGTGGTGGCCGAACCCGCCGAGGTGGCCTGCACCAGAGTGGGTTCCGGCCGCTGCGCCGGTGCCCATGGTCCCAGCGGCAGTGTCGAAGGGTGCGCCGCCAATGGCACCGTCAGGGTGGCCCCAGCCAGCCTTGCGAGTGAACATGGCCGTGTGGAAACCACCTGCGCCGGGCGCGCCGGCGCCGTAGCTGAATGGCAAGTGTCGGGTGAGAGGGATATGGTTGAATCGAAAGTCCCAGACCTGTTGCAAGTGCAGTCAGCATTTTGATTTTTGGAGAAAAGATTATGGAAGACATCTGAGATGTGCGAGGAGGGGTTATGGGATGAGAATATGAAATAAGGTGTAAAACGTACGGAAGCGTAGACCATGCGGTAAGCGGAAAAGGCCATGACGGTTCCAATGACGGCACCGGCGACGACATCGTACCTGTTTTCTGGGTTAGCATTTTGCCCTTAGGATAGGCCAGGAGAGAGCCAGGAGTGGGGATGCATCTCACCAGTTGTGGAATTCATCAATGGTCAAGGCGCCAGCAATAAGAGTGGCACCGAGAATCGGAGCGTAAATGGCAATCATCTTCCACATGGCAGGGTGGTAGTTGGAAAAGACCTTGAGCTTGGCGTTGAGGTAAAGATACAAAAACACAAAGCCGGCAAAGGCAGCGGTCGAGTGACCAGAGGGAAAAGATTCAAGGGAGTCGTCAATCTGATTTGTGTCGCCCGTGCAGATGCTGCGGTCGTACATGATGCTGGCAAATCCATTTCCTGACGGCGGCTGGCCCACAGGCAATGCGGGTTTGCAGACATCAAGAAAGTGGGGACGTAGGCCTCCGATGAGCCATTTCAGGAAGACCTGGAAGACAGCGGCGGTGATGAGCGAGTAGAGGAGCCCAATGATGGCGTTATTTGTATCCCAGAAGGAGCGGATGCGGATCTGCATGCAAAGGATAATAAAGATGGGCACAAGAGCACCAAGCATGGCAGCAGCCCAGATGGGGACAATCTCCTTGCGCAGAGGGTAGGCAAACTCGGGATAGACAACCTCGCCGTCCTGAAAATAGACCGGGAACGAGCGAGTCGGGGCAGGGTGTGCTTCATAGACCTGTCGAATGTGAGATTCTTTCATGCAGAAATCAGTTACATGGGAATCATTCGTAGCTTACACCAAGACCAATGGCGCCCATGCAGACCATGGTAATAATGTCCAGCCATGTTGCCTTGAGCCACTGGCCAAACGGAGGGCGGCTGTTCAGGACGCTCGGGTCACCATAATCATTTGTGGTTGCCGCGTGTTTGCCAGTATGATGATTATGATGATGGCCATCAACAGGTGCTGCGGTAGTGCCGTTGGCAGCAGCAGTCTCGTTGCGACGTGAGAAGAAACCCATGATGCCGGTAACTTGACGCAGGGGAGGTGAGATGTCGGCGTCAAACGATGAAGAGGATGAAGAATGAACTCTAAATTATGCGGAGGTACTATTAAAAAAATGGAATCAAAGTGGACGCGACAGGACAGCACCGCGGCGACAAGGCCGTGTCCTTTGGGCAAAGGAGTCAAGCTGGAGGGAGAGTGGTGTCAAAAGGTGGGCAGTCTAAGGAGAAGAAGAATCACGATTCGAAAGGTATGGAGAGTTGGAGAAGTTCAAATATCCAGAGAAGCGAGGAAGAATAACGTCGTCACACAAAAGAAGCGTGATGCCAAGCAAAAAACATCATCATCCTAACATAACGTTTCTAACAGGATTCATGTTTTATGGCCTTAGCCAATCCCGTGCAGGGGTTATCCCATTCTGCCTTTTACCCTCCTTTTTTGGCCCTTTCCCCAAACTAGACATTGGGGAAATAAGCATGATGGGAATTCGAGCTAGGCGATGGGTAAATAAAATGAATTTACTACAATTCTTGTCCATTTTCGATTCGTCCTTTGTGGAAGTATTTTGTTTTGTTCCTGGGAAATTTGGGGCCATTTCTCCACGATTTAACTACGTCACGGCTCGGCTCCAGCTGTCACCCAGGGCACCCTAACCAGGGTTTTTTAGCAAGTTCCTTGGATCCAAAAGCAAAGCTTAATCCGGGGGGTTTAACCTGCAATTGCCGGCCTATAGCGGCCCCCCTTTCTCTTCTCGTCTTCCTTTGACATGATACCACTGTACCATCATCTTCTTTAACGGTGGGAAAATCCTGTTTGTTGTCTTGGTCTTTCTCCCTTTTGTTTGGTTGATGGGTCAAGCCACACCGGTACTTTCCACTGCACACTATGACATCGCTATTATGTGGCTTGCTGCTACTCCGTACTCGGATGCAGGGCAGTCCTTGTGGCTGCCTGTGCCCCAGTTTTTCCACCACTGGCTTCATTGAAAGTTTTGGGCCGTTCTGGAAGTGCTCAAAAAATTAGTACACAGTTTAGTATCACGTAATTTGATCAACTACAATCACTTTGTTCGGAAAGGTCATCGATATGTACTGTATAAGGATGTAAAAGATTTGGATTGCTCCGTAATCTCTAAGGTCTAATCTAATTCTCTGACCATCCCACCAAAGATGCTCGTATGTAATACAATAGTCTTCAATCACATCTCACCCTCCCCAGTCCACCCGTGATGATTCGCCATCTCTATCGGATATTAAATCCTTCATATCAATTCCCTCCGAGAAGCACGACATGTCTAGGCGTCAACTCCCTGGCGATGGAGCTCAAGCGGAACGGCTTCTCATTCCCGCGAGCACACCACCATCCAGAAAGGACAGCTGCTATGGCTGATGTTTATGCATGATCAAAGTCCTAGGGACTAGGCTTTTATAGACCGATCCAGTCCAAACGGATCTTGTCCGCTGACCTTCACTGCTGCAAGTCTTCACCTAGTGTTGTTCCCACGCCTTTGACTCTCAGAAGGTTCGGTGCACCAGTCGTCCAATGTCAGGTCGTATCAACCCCATTTGAGTATAAATTGGTCTCCGACATCGCATGATTGGCTTCAGCTCTCAGCTGTAGAGGTATTGAGAGCGAGAGAGTACGATCTGGTCCAGTGCAAGCAGAAGCACGTCCATGAAAGATGGCCTGCTTGTGTTTTTTCCGCAATCCGCTTTGAGGAGAGCGAAAATAAAGAAAGGCTCAACGATGTATGTCGGAGACATGAGTATTGAGTATAGCCGGTTTAGAGCCTAAGATCCTGGGCTGGATTGGCCTCTTTATTGAATTTGGCCATACACCGCGTCAAGGAGTTTTATCGTTTCGGATATATGTGTGTTTGTAGAAAATCTTCGTTCCAGTCGCTCGTCCGTCTTTGCATCTCTTCGAAAGTTCAGGGATCCACATAATCAAGGTCGCCAAAGAGGTCCATGACCACCATCAGCATAGGATAACAAAGGCTAATATTTTCGCCAATCTCGCCGCCAAAGATGCGGCGCTGGTCTGCCTCCGAGGCGGAGAGCAACTGTTGTCCCCGCCTCGGTGGACACTGTCGCGAATGGGAGTCTGTGTTTCGGGACCGGCACATGTCTATCGATCGAGGTAGGATGGATGCAGGATAGAGCGCAGTTGGGTAGGGCGCATGTTTGGTGATGCATCCGCTGCTGCTGTAGCTGTAGCTGAGGCTGCTACCGTTGTTGCCGCTGCCGCTGCTAGCGATGTCGGATTTGGTTTGTCGTCCGGGGCGTTGCCGAGGACGAACTCTCCGACGATTGTGCCGCATAGTAAATTAATATGCTTGTTTGATTGGATTTGTATTTGGAGGAAAGCAGCGGCTGAGGATCGAAAAAACATCCAACATGCGTGGCCGTGTGTTTATGTATTGCCTGGCACGACAACTTGACTCACCCAATCACGCCTTGATCGGAGCCATCGGAGGTGTTCGGGTGAGTCATTGTAGCCAATCGGAGTGGTTCTGCATCGCTCTTCCGCCTCCGATTCGGGTAAAGCGGAGTTGAGTCACGCAAAGAAGGGAATATTACATGATGGCAATCCCAAAAGGCGCCACTCTGGTATCCCCAAGCACGCGACCTATTTGCAAGTGTTGCTCATATTGCTCAGAGGGGAGAAAAAGGGAAATCGGAGAATAAAGAGAGATTTTTTTCTTCCTTGGCTTCTGGGGTTAAGCATCATTCGCGGGGTGTAAGGCGCAATAAATAAAAGGTACGAGGCAATACGTCCCCCCTGCCTAGGTGCGTACGTACTCCTCTAGTGTAGATCATCAGGATGGTGTAAGGCAGCACGCAATCACCGTCATCTCCCTTCTTTTCCTTGCGAGAGGGAAAAAACAAGCCATGTGACCAAGGCTGCCTGATCATCAAGTCTACCTAAATATGAGCTTGGTGGTGCGTCAGTTGAAACCCGAAACTGGAAGAAAAAAAGTCTTTTTTTGGTTTCACGTTTTGGCTCAGCCAAGTATTATTCGCTGCGGGCTGTACTTCTGCACACACACACATACACACACACGCCTTGCATAAACCAGGTGCGTCCCCTCGGTCCCTGCCTTAGTCGCCCCCTCGCGCGCCTCAGGGACCCGGAGGGCACATCCAAGGCATCCCCAAGGTCATTCTGCAACATCGTCATCCGCCTTTTCCGCATCAACACACCCTGCACGCCCGGCCCTGGACTTGGCCGCGTGAGCTCTTTTCTTCCCCTTCTGCCCCAATTGTCACACGTACTTGTGCTCCGTAGCTCCCAATAAACTTTCTCAGTCCTTTCCCTGCCTTTTTGTGTCACATGGTCCAACAAAGACATCACTCTCTCCCTTTAACAGATCATTCACATTTGATCTACCCAAATCCATTCTTTCTTTACACCTTTTTTTTTTTTTTTAATTTTTTTTTTTTTTTGGGCCTTTGCATTTTAGTTGACCGTCTTTGCCTGCTTCGTAATGCAATGATGCGAGGATCACTGATCACTGATCATTGATCATCACTTTTTGCTTACTTCGGGTTTACGTGTGCCCGACAATCCTACGCTTGCGACGCATCATCCTCTTGCCATCAGGTCGATCCTATATTTCTGTCCTGCACAAAAAGCCAAAAAAAAAAAAAAAAATGAAAAAATCTTTACTTTACTGGCCGTCATATTATCGACCTTTGAAAAGCTCCAATATTTTATTGATAAAAATGAGAAATAAATACAATTTACTTTTTTATATATCCTGTGCGCAAGATTAAATGGATGACAATAAATTAATTACACAAAGGTCATTATCCAGAAAGCCCAAAGATAATCACAGATTTCAAACGTCAAAATAGGAACCAATAACTTCCCGACAAAAGTTGAAAACTGAAAGCATCATTTGGCAAAGTGTTCAATGACACAGATCCTCGTGTGACAATGCTACCATGTCAATACGGAGGTACTCTATTGCCACCTCGAACCTAGATCCTGACCGAACAAATTGCATGACGTCTTCTATTTACCCACGTGGCCTGCATGTCAACAGTATGCATTCATTTAACAACTTTACCTTTGTACCACGACGTCGAACTAATCGTCACGATGTAGATCGCAGAGCCTAAATTGTGTATGCCCATTAGCCTTCTGTAAACATCTGAGAAAGCCTTTTTTTTTGTTTGACTGCAAGCTTGAGAAAATCATGACACAACTCACTACTACCGGAAAAAAGGGTTTTTAATCAAACTTTGTCAAAGATGGTCTGCAATTTACAAGGTTACCATCATGAGATCATCGACATCACTTCCGGTGTCAAGAGACGATCAATGGCAAGGGCCCTTACGTATCTGTATTTTCGAACATTTTTTTTTTTTTTTAGCCCGGTGGTTCTGAATGTATTTCATTCGCCCTTAACCATCCAGGGAATGACGAGATATTGTACACGAGCACTTTTCCCCCTTGACTGTCATCACATATCAATGGACATCCACTTTATAAAAAATACGTTGCAAAGCATATTTGTGCTCGCCATTGTCATGCTCTAAATGGTTCGCTCAAAGGCAAAGGAAAGGATACAAAAGTTGGGGGCATACATGATTCTTTGAACCGACATCAAAAGAAAAGGGGAAGAAAATGTTTAGAAAAAACAAAATATTGGCTCTTGACATAAGGGGCATCAGATCATTCCCGATATGGAAAGATCCTGTACATGTAGGGGAATAACATAGAAACCAGAGGGGGGGATCTTCTTTATACACAATGAAGAATGGGGGAGATGGAGAAAAGAAAAAGAAGAGGTGTGACGCCGGGGGATTTTGAAGAAGACAATGACAGATCGGGGGTTTGGGAATTGAAGGCGAGGCAGGGGGCGGGGCTCAAAACTGGGAAATTCCTGGGGTTAAATTGAGGGGTGGTGAACTTGACAAGGCATAGATTCGAGGAATTAGGTGGAGGGGAAGCGAGGAAGAAGAAGAAAGTAAGAAGTCCTGAAGAAGCTCTGAAGAAGCTCTCAGCTAGCTAGCGCATCAAAAGAAGCAACCAAGGAGAGAGAAAAAGAGACAGAACTAGTTGGGCGTGGCTGAGCGCTCGAGTAATTAGTCAAACGCTGCCAGAGAATTTATGTCGACCAACAGTCTAGGACGCCGTTGTGACCCTGCCAGCCCCTTGAGAGGTCCTCACTTAGTTAGAAGAGAAGAAACAACATGCCGAGAAAATTCGAGCAGAGGCAGCTCAAGCCTGCTGGTTGACTCCTGGAATCGTTTGACGCTTGACTTGCTCACGAGCCCAACGAGCAGTGTCAGTTGTCCGGGACGAAAATTCTCGGTTTGACCTTGTCTCCTTAATCATTGACGTGACCCAATCGGATCGGAAGTAGTGTGCGTATTCGCCGTTGGGGAAAGCGTCGGCAAGATCACTAAAGCTTGTCAGCAGATGGCCTTCGAAAGACCCAGTGACTGGATTGGACTCGCTCAACATACCCAATGACTCCCATAGAGGCCCGGAAAAGTGACTCGCTCCGGTTAGGGTCCTGCCACACAATGCTAAGGAGCTGGAAAATGATGTCAATGTAGGGTTGCAAAAGCGACACTGATAACAAAAGTTAGCAAATCGTAGTCATGGAAGGTATCAGAAAAGGACTGGAATAACTAACCAATATTGCCCGACTTCAGCGCCAGGATGATGCCGCCCCAAGCATCCATGATACCCTCGCGAAGTGACACGACATAGTCGAGCATCTCGTACGAGCCGTCGTTGCCTGCCACAACAGTGGCGGCTTGCTGCAGCACTTGAGCAACGACAGAGAGGTAGGTTTGGAAGTGACCCCCAATGGCTTGGGCAATGTCGCCAAAGCACTGCAGAATAGCAGGCTTGAACTGGTTGCTGAGTGTTGTGCTCTATGGTAGGTTAGCTTCCGCTCCGCTCCTTAGAACCTGGTTTCCTTAAACTCACCCTAAGGTTGTTGAGAAGGTAATTCATAAACGTGTCGCAATACGGTTGAGCCTTCTCTCCAAGGGATCGAGTAATGTCGCTGACAAGACCAATGGCCATCGCGCACAGACCAGGTTCGTCCTGATTACCAAGGGCATTATAAAGGAATGGCGCAAAAGAATCCATGTACTTGAAGAAATCCTCTTCGAGAGCACTAGCCAGCGCACCGACAGCGGCAAAGGCTGTATCTGGTACGCTAGATTTGGCGTTGGCAGTACTGAGAACTTGCAAGAGGACATGCATGATGTGGTCAGCCTGAGGCTTGATCTCTCCCTCGAGTCTCTGGATGATCGCCTAAAGGATAAAGTTAGTCAATTGTCAGTGGCAGGGCCAATGAATCAAGAGGCATACCAGGAGCACGCTGATAAGGCTTGTCTGCATTTCCTCCAATGTGATGCGATCCTCAACGCTAACAATCTGCTGCTGGAGAGGGATAGTCTTCTCTAATCTCTGGAGAACGACGCCCGAAAGGGTCGCAACGACTGGAAGATTGTCATTTGCAGAGTTGAGAACGAAAGTGTTCAATACTTCATAAGCAGCAGTGCGCAGCTGGTTATCGGCGTCGGCCCTGGCTTAAGGATTAGCTTCTAATTCAAGAGTAATCGCAGTAGATGAATCCTTACCGCTCCGTAACCTGGAGGATATGAGTGACACTGTCCTGGAAATGCTTCGAGAGAGGGTTCTCGTTGCAGCCAGGCTCACCAGCAAAGCGCTCGGCAAGGTTCATGAGCGCCCAACAGCATGAACCAGCCATCTTGGGGTTGCTGGAGAGACCGGTGAAGAGTGCAGAAATCAATGGAGGCAAGTGCACGGCAGGGTCGATCGCGTCTGGGACACTCTCGCAAATGCGTCCAAGTGCATAGGCTGCAGAGTCCTTGACGTGAATAGAGCTATCATCCATCATGCCGATCAACACAGGCATGGCCTGCTTGACCAAGGGATCGAGCATTTTCTCATCAGGACCCTCCATAATGGCGCCAAAGGCAGACACTGCAGCATCCCGATGGTGCCAGTCTTCGTGACGCAGATTGTTCTCAACAAAACCCAGGACAGAGGCAATAAGTTGAGCACCGACGGCCTGAGCGTAGAGCTGAAGACTCTGATAAGCAGCGCGGGAGATATTGTACTCGTCATCTCCCGCATCCTCATCCTGCTTGGTGAGAAGCTCAAGAAGCACGGGCACGACTTCCTGGGTGGCGATCCGAGCAAAGTTGAAGTACGGTCTCATCTCGGTCGAGCCTTCGGCGAGGGCCTATAATCATCAGTACACGTTGTTTTCCGGGAGTTGACATGGGTAAACGGAGAGAGCATACCTGAGCATTATCATCCTCAATCGCAATTTCCTCCTCGCAGACGGTACTCCAGAATTCAACCGCAAGCTTGGCGACATCTTCCTCTTCATTTCTCATTCCCATAATTGTCAAGCCAAACAAAGCCTTTTCCATGTAAAATCTCATCTTGTCATAGTAGAGGCCCATGATCTTGTTCAAGCAGCCAAAGGCATCTTGCTCCACTCGGCTATCCCCAGCCTGCGTAGCTTCACAAACAACCTGCATAATATAGTTACGCTCGCCCTCGTTCTCGAAGTTGTTGCGGACAAAGTCGAGACTGTCACACAGTGCTGTCATGGCGGCATGACGAACGTCATTATTCGACTCTTCTTTCCGGGCACCTTGCACAACAGCAGTCAAGATGGCGTTCGAGTGGCCCGTCAGTGCTTCCCGCACATCACCATCCTCTGTCTCACAGATGAATCCAATGGCGACAAGGGAGGCTTGCTTGAGATGGGCAGAGCCTTCACCAACGTTTTGCACTAGCACAGCCATGAGCTCAGGCCATTGAGCTCTAGGGATCTCAATAGCCGCGATGGCGGAGACAAACTGGGCCGCAGACTGTCCAGCTCTCGCATCGTTTGAGCCGAGTGTCTTCAAGGCCAGATCCTTTACTGATTTTTTGACATTAATGTCGACCTGTTGCAGCCATCGCTCCTGCACCTCCCGTAGTCGAGCATATTCCCTGGCAGAGAAGGAGTTCTTCAAGGCAATACCAGCAGCAGTCCGAATGTGGGGCTGAGCTTGCTCGTTGGCAAGCTCCTGGGCAAGCGTTGTGACGTATCCTGACTGTAATCCCGGTCAGCAGCTGTAGGGGTTAATGCAGAAGCCAGTTGAGATGGGGAAAATTGCATACAAAGTCCACGCTCGCTGCGTGAGCTAGTTGCTGTTCAGCATTGTGGCGGATGGTGGCATCTAAAGAGGTGGGTTAGTTGAAAACGGTTTTCGGCTTGAAAGCTCGAGAATCGACAAACCAGGAGAAAGAGTGCCTTCAAGCACTTGGTTAACATCCATAATGGGCAGTATTAAAAGGTTTACAGGATGAAACAGCTTCAGAAAATGAGCCGATGTAGTCTCTTGAGAACGAAGAAGCTCCCCCCTGCGGACCAGCGAGGTTTGGCGGAGTCACCGAAGCAGAGAGTGTGCGGTTTTAAGCGGAAGTTGAGGTGAAGCGAAAGTTGACGTCTCGAAAGATTTAGAACACGTGAATTGTTAGAGAGACGCTCGCCTGCGCAACCCTCAAGCGTAGTCGGACTGAAAGAGAATATGAAAGGGAAAAAAGGAAAGGAAATGGCTAGACGGCAGTTGTGACCGTCCCAACTTTAAGTCTAAGGTGAAGCGTGATGAGTTACAGAGATGAAGGGAAGGCGCGCACTCTCTCGATGAGGGATTGCAATAACAAATAAATTATTATCGAAAGGTGCCGAAATAATCGGAGAGGTCCTCGCTCGGCCAAGCAACCCACTCACTGTTACCCACTTTCTTTCTCTCTCTGTCTCTCTCTCTCTCTTCTTGCTCTCGTGGGGCATCCACTTCCTGTTCAAGGCGACGAATCAAAAAGGGAATCGCACGGGCCAGAGTAGTCTACGAGGCCAAACCCGAAAGAGGGCTCTCTCAGTGGGGTCGGCCAGAATGAAGAGTCAAAAAGTGTTGCGTCGTTTACTTTGTGCTTCCAGAAGGTTTTTGCTCAAGGCATGCTTGCCGCACCATAGAGTAACAGTGAGACTCAGTGCTCACACACCTGTGGACCTTCGGCAGTAGATCATATCCATACACAGTCGAACTTCGAAATGGCTTACGTAGTCGAATGGACTCAAATCGTTAATACAACGGTGATTGCTAAAGACAAAGCCCACAAAGCTTAGTTCCTGTTGCTCCGCTGCTTGTGTGCAACACTTATGGACTTTAAGGAACATCGCTACAGCAATCCCCCCCCCAGCCAAAATCCACTTGGCCTATCATAATGCCTGAAAGTCGGGTGCAAGTATCTTAGAGGGTACCAGGCCGCAAGCAGCGGGTTTCTAGTGCTCACTCAATATCTTTCACATTGGGGTAAATGACAATACGATTAATCTTCTTGTTCTTTTCTTCTTTTTCTGGTTTCTTTGAGATAAAGCACGCTATCATGCAGACAGTAGATGAAGAAATTTGCCCTCTCTATCCCGCTTTTCAAGTCCCTCGACAATGTAGAAAATCATGCCCGGATGAAGCTTGGTTTTCTCCTTATTCCTCTGCCATAACGCCCTTATAATGCCTCCTGGAACGCCAGCTCTAAGCGATGCCGCAAACTTTTCGGATTGAAAGAACTATGATCAGAAATCCCGAGAAATTCTCCCATCATTCAGACATCATGTCCTCGTTTTCATACTCACTCCCCGCTGCCTCAAGTTCATCTACCCCGCCACTGTCTAGATCGAATACTTTGTAGCGTAGCAGGTCTCTGTCTAGAACACAAACAGCTCGGCGGCCCTTTCTTCCATTTATTTCAATTCGCACTGGACTGAACTTATCAGTACCATCAAAAGTATGAGACGAGCAATTTGTAATCGCCTCCCGAGTAAAATCAATGCTGTCCATGGAAGCCAAACATTCCTCGGCTTTAGTTTCTTGAGGCACTGTTCGATACCGAAGCCTAAAGGGATGTGTTGTTTGACCTTTGTACGGAATCATCAATAGATGCGAAATATCTTGCAGGCCGTCAGCGAATGCAACGGGATTGCAAAACATTCATTCTTACCTTCGTTATTGAAAAGAACCATAATGAATTCATCGTCCACAAAACCGGCGTCCTTGATGCTGCCAGCAGCAAACTTAATCGTCGAAACCTCGACCGCTCGTGTCGAGCTAACTCCACCTTCAATGTCGAGAGTTACTCGGTATACCTGGACTATCTCTGGGTTAGCACGGCGAACAAACATTTTTCAGTCATTACTTATGCAATCCATGAACATACGCATTGAGTGCCCTGTGATTTTCACCTCAATAGCAACATAGACGACAAAAGCCTCGCCCGAATCGGTTTTCTGCCATATCGTTAGAATGTGTTCTGTTGCTGGAGATATTGTATTGTACCTCATAATTCATTCGCATATCTAGTCCAGTCGGCTGGTACTTCGAGGCAAGTAGAATCGGTCGGCCAAAAACAACACCTCGTTGTCCTGTTGCTGAGATTCTCTTGAATACGTGCTGAAATTGCTGGCCAAGCTTCCCTGTTATTTCCTCGAATGTTGGGAGGCCCTTTTCTGTTCCAATGCCCTTATTGTACTCGCTGAATCTCTCCGCGATGACGGCGTTAGGTAGCATCTCCTTCTTCGAAACGTCTATTTGGGAGTTGTGCGACGTATGAGGCTGGAAAAATCCCCCTATCCTGCTCACAGTCATGGCTCCTTGAATATATTCGAGCAATCTAGCATAATCAATGATAGTGTCTTTTTCCACTGCGTCATCGGCAGATGAAATTGAAGGGTCAGAAGCTTGGACGTCAATCTCGTGTCTCAGCCAAGTTGAGAATGCCGAAAACTGTTGAAGTTCTATACCAGCTTGACGAAGGACGGTGTGGGCCACAAGAGTCAGGCAATGAACCGTATCAAGTACTCCGTCGAGTTCGGATGTCGATAAACCGAAAAGAGCATTCGAAGGCTGGTAACGGGAGAATCCCCGAAGACGACTGACGAGGAGGTTGCATCTTTCGAGGGCCGGTAGAAGACACTGATGGATCAGTTTCCGAATGTTCTCGTAACCAGATGTGGTTGCCTTTTCCCAACGCTTATGCCCCTACAAATTGATGCTTGTTAGCCGCACTTTCAGCAGTGAGAGAAGGCTATCACGGCTAATACCCGTTCCGTAAGTATTTCCACCAACCATTCCTTCATCTCAGGATAGCAATTTCCTGTGACAGCAAGATGATACATTGCTTGGATGATATTTGTTTGTGATTTTTCAGCCAATGTTTCGTTGATATTCCGAACAAATCTGCTAGGAAGGTCCTGGGAGCTTTTCCACTCTAGCTGCAGCTGGACGCGTACCTGATCGATATATCTGAGTAAGTTCTGCAACTGAGTGGACTTCGAAGCAATAAATGAAAGATACTGGCCCATGCCAGAGATAAATTTGAGATCAAGAGGAACAATATATAGCCCTTGACTCGAATTGCTTGCCGTAGCAGTATCGACGAGTAATGCGTGGGTGGAAGTACAGGAATTAGACGCGTGCAGAACAGGCCGACAGATCTGCAATGAAGGTAGCGCCTTCTTCATTTCAAAAGAGCCCAAATCGAATGAATCGTAGAGTCTAATGTGGATTGTGCCATTGTCGAACCCTAGTAGCATAACATCGACAGACTTTTCGGCCGTTGGATCATTCACATGAAAAATGGCATCCACTGAAGGCCTGGAGCTAAAAATATCCTCACTTTCCCCCCACGCTATCAGCAATAATGAAATTCCCCATTGCTATGGGCATATTGACTTACTCCTTGCCCGCTGAAGGAAGTATGCTTAGCTTCGGAAGGCTACTCTCGATATCCAATAGAGCTAGTTCTCTCGGAAGGTCGGACTCAAGATCACGCATATGACGTTTAGCAGCTTCTCCAAGGACTTCTTCCAGCGGATGTCGATTTGTCTTTGTTTCCCCACCCATCCCAGCTTTCAAATCTGTCAGATTGGTCCCCCATCCGATACAAGTCACGTGAGAACCTCCTTCTGCAGAGAAATCGAGCTGATGAACAACTTTGCCGCTATCTGAACTGATAAGTCGAGTAATTTGATCGCTCCATGCTACTGCAAGTAATTGTCCTGAAAAAGAAGTTGATTAGAGTCGAACAATTGGTGGTTGATAGTGTTGATAAACGAACTTACCATTGGGTTTCCACTTGAGTTTCTGTATGGCTAGACTGTACCCCTTGGGCACATAGCTAAAGACCCTCTGCCCTCCTAATCTAAATAGGTTCAAATGACCATCTTTGGCTCCCATCGCCAAAAGGTCCATGGTGGGGCAGTATGCCAGCAATTCGGGATTGATCTGCTGGTGGAGAGACTTTTCAGCCAGCACATGTAGCGATACGGCCGGCATGATGGGATTATTCTCAGCCATATTTCCGCGCCTCTTCCGGAGCTGATCCAGGTCACAGTCAATAAGACTTGCACTTTTTGCGAGTCATAGGTTTTGAAATTCAGTACACTACAGCCTGGGTCTAGAAGTTAAGAATCTCCGAACCACATGTTGACATGTTCGCTACACTGGTGCTCGGGTCGCTTATACATGTGGGAGCTTTTGGTCTACTCTGATATATACACAACGATCAATCTCTCCCCACTCCCGATTGCAAAGATATTCTTCACTACTGCTAAATTGCACACGCATACATTCTTAAAGTGGTTGAGATTACTAATCCATTCAATCAAGCAAGTACAAGCAAAGCCTTCGCCATCTGAGAACGGGCCAAATTCAGCACGCGCCAGAGGAAGGTGTCCGGCCTTTTGCGCCAATCACCCGCGCAATTGATATCTAGGCTACCTTCTCCTACTCGATGGTGTAGGAATCAGTAACGGATCTAATATCCTTGGAAAACGACACTTCCTCATTCATATCAAGTAATGTGACCGACGAAACCTAATGAAATGGTTAGCACCAAGCAGAAGTTCGGTGACAAAAAAAATGTAAACCGCTTACATCGACATCCACAAAAGGATTGGTTTTCGAAAAGCGAACGCTCATGGGGAAAAATTCGCTTTCGTCTTCTGCTTGAGCTTCAAATTCGAAAGCTCCAGTCTGGTTGGACTCGTCTACAGAACCTATATTCCATAGCAATGAATCCCCTGAAACTTCGTATACTGCGTCGAAGCTGGAAATAACCGGCTCATTTGTGGAGTATGGTATAGTGACCATCACATCGTTGAGCGTGTCTACACTGGTCAGCTCATACTCGACGGTGATCGTGAAGGAGTCCTCGTCGTTCTTATTCACCCAGACGGTGAAAGTTATTGGAAGGACATCAGCAGCGTTGGCGTTTGCATTGGCTTTCCATCTGAGAACACCAACGGAATTGTTTGGCGGGAAACCTCTGGATGGATCTTTGAGTTGAATCGCCTTCTCGTTGTTGAACAAGGTTCGATCAACGTTGGGATGTGTCCGAAACTGAGCTCCATTGTCTGACTCCGCGATGAGATCAAGTCTGACCTTTGTAAGTGTGGCGTCGCTGATACGGAGTTGAAGATCACCCTTGACTTCGAAGAACTTCAAAGATCCCTCCCTCGAGAGCTTTGCGGTTATTGTTTCTGAGACTGTGACACGAATAGCGTCGCGATCCGAGGTCGATGACACCCTTTGAGGAGAGGCAACCTCGACGGCTGCCGGCGCGTTGGAAACCAACGGAGCAGACTCTTCCGCCTCTGGACCAAGCTCTCCACGCACTCGTTCGAACATATCCGTGGTCTTTGATTTCTTCCCAAGTTGCAAACCCTTGGTTTTTGGTGCAGTAGGTCTTTAAAAAGAATTAGCGTCCTGAATCGTACTACAGCTCGTAAATCTCACCTGTTGTAAGTTTTGTTCTTTTCGGCCTCGTAACTGTCAAACATTTCCGGCTTAGGCCGGGACGGCGGTGTGTACGTCGGATACTGTGGCGTTCGAGGAGACACCACACGACTGCCTCGTGACATCTCCTTTCGTTGAAGCTCCAATTGTTTGGCCTTCCGTTTACGCTCTTCGCTCGCCTCAAGTTCCTTGTTCTAATTTGCCGGAGATCAGCAGTCGATCCCCAATGGATGGATCGATTAAATTTGGTCCTTACCCTCGCAATAATCTCTTGTATCCTCTCTTCATGACTCTCCATTTCAAGAAATGTCTTAATTTGGTTTATGGATAGATTCTCCCTATAGCCCAAAGTGACGATTTCATCGAAAGCACTCAATAGCTCGAATGCGTTCCTCACAATCTCCCTTTCATCCAAGCTTTTGCAAATGCTTGTAACCACCTGAGCAAATAGATGGAGTGAATCGATGTCCTGGAGAATGTTTGACTGCCGGTTGGTTATGAGGACCATGTAGAGCTCGTCGAGTGGTTGGTAAACATATCGAACATTGTCTTGCTCCACAGTGGTATGTTGAGTACCCGAGTCGGCGAGTTTAGGAAATGATGCTAATAGAGCCTCCACGCGCGATCGAGCAATCTCTCGAAATTGACGGGATAGGACAGCTTTACCACCCCTTGTGCATATGGACGCTGCGAGGACAACCTGTTCATCGTCAACGGGGAGCCATGTATGATCCTGTCGAGACTGAGCCTACCATTGTGAGCCCCCAGTTATCCAGGTACTCCTCTTGGAAACAATATCAAAAATCGAATTGTTCAGAAGCAAGCAAGATCCCGAAGACGACTTTGAAGCCGGATGGATCTATGTCCCCTGTGTACTCTAGTTCGAAGGTGGCATCTCGCTACTGCACGCCTACCATTCAGGTAACCTGAGCGCCAAGTCTCTCTGTTACCCGGCGCAGCATACGTGGATAGCATCCGCGCGCGACTTTAGGATTGGTCACAGCTAGTGGAACACGCCTATTACTAGTCTCGCGCCTTTATTCTCCACAGATTTCTCGCGCTTCAACCACCGTCAACTCCAGTCGACCAGCTGTTCATTTCGCCTTTGAATGCGCAGACTCATATCGGAGAGTCTGATTGTATCATCAAGATTATTTCGACATCCTTCGCCCGTGTTACTTCGGAAACTTCTTTTCCCTCTTCCCGCCCCGCCCAAGATTTCTTTTTGAGTTTACTTTACTGCTTTTCTTATACTAACAATAGGTTACCATCTCGAAGACATAAGTATTCAGCATAGCCTTTCACCTCAAATCCAGACATCTTGGTCTTGGGGAAATATCGAAGGAGGGCTGTACTTCGAGGTCATACATCTGGAGAGCATTCCAGGGATGCTGTATTCTTGTTTGTGCTAGCTAGATCCAACACGTCAAAGTAGCTCTGTCTCTATCAGCTCTGACCATGGCGACGACTCAATTTTCTACCACTATCCAAGATGACGATATGGAGATATCGTCTGACATTGATCATCGACCGGGCATGGACGAGGACATAGATATTGATCTGGACCTTACCGATGGCAGAACTGAGGATCAGGATGACGACTACAACATCAGAGATGCGAGTCTGGAGCCAGCAGGCATTGAAACGGATTCAACAGCTGCCATGAATGACGATATAATGTTGGATGAAGAAAACGTTATGCAGGATGATGGCCATGTTCAAGATGAAGAAATTTTCGACGTCAATGACACGACAGAACATGTCGAAATAAAAGATTTTGCAATCCCAGATCAACTTGACGCAACTCGGAACGACCAATTTGGGACATCAGTTGAAGAGATGGGGACTTCAAGTGCGCCAGTGTCAAATGCTTTGAACGTGGATACAGAACCTGATCCTGGCATTTTAAATTCGATTAGTCAAGAAAATCCACCAGAGTCAACACTCCTGACTCCTAATGAGAATGGGTCCGAACATAATCAAGTGGTTTCTGGCTCCGTCAAGGACAGTTTGCCACTCGCAGCCGAGGAACGCCGTTCCATTGATCGAGTCGAAGAGGTCGATGACACGCAAAGGGAGACAGATGACCAAAAAGACTCTGGTGAAAGCGAAGAAACCCGCGACTTGCAAGTGAACAGTCTGAACAGTCAACATCCAATAAGCCCCCAGGCAAGAGAGCAGGTTGAATCGCATTCTGGACAACCGGACGCAGAATCCCTCATCCAATATCATCCTGTTGTCCTGGTCTACCAGGGAAGCGAGATGTCACTGTTCCCTCCTACAGTCGAAGACGCTGCAGACACATTTCTCTTGGAGGATCATGAACTTGTTCATCAAAGCTTCCAAGAACTTCTGAAAGCTTGTAGATCTGTTTTGGCCGACAGCATTAGTGAAGAGGATGAGTTGGAGATCAACATTGACGATCTTGGGCTGTCCCTTAACGAGGTAAGCTTTGAGGCGCTCTTCTTCATTTTTTCTCGCTTTAAAAACTGACACTGATCTTTAGGATTCAATTCATACCAAACGCACTAGCTTATTCCGAATCTTGGAGGTCTATATACAGTTATTGCAGCATGATGGCGTGGAGCATCCTGATCCTCTGTACATGACATTGAGCACCAGAGTCAGATTTTCCAAGCGGCTTGATGATTTGGTCCATGCTGTATCAGAGGGAAAGGGTCTTTCTCAGCTGCCTTTCTGGACGCAGCTTTCTGGCGACGAGGACTACGAGGGTGACGAGAATGACGAGCCAGAAACAGAACATGAGGCTGAGGTTCGCACTCATGTAGTCTCCGACGAGGCGGCTTCAGAGACAGGCGCTGCAAAAGTGCAGGATCTCAGGAAGCCGCCCTCCACTCAACCTTCTACTTTGGCAATTGACTTGCAGTCTGCCGAAGTCGAGGCCCCCATTTTGCAGGAAACCTCCAAGCCTGCCACATCAGGAGGAGAGCAGGAAGGGCAAGAAGAGCAAGCAGACGGTGTGGAAGAAAATGGAGAAGAAAAGGTCGGAGCACGGGAGGTGAACTCCACGGCCCATGCTGAAGCATCTGAACACCCTCATTCAGCTGACGACGAGGGCCCTGCGAAAGATGACAGCCAAGAACAATATGAGACAGGAGATGAGCTTACGGGTCACGATAAAACTGCAGTGCAGGATAATCCCACAAATGAGCTTCAAGGCCACGCTCATTCAGAACATCAAGGTTTGGACTTACCTGCTGAGGATCAAAATGCCAGCGGCGCGTCTACACTTTCAGCGGATAAAGAAGAAAGGCTCAACGGTACGTGTTCTCGTCGTCTCTTCGCACGGCAAATTTATGCTGATGATCTTGTCTTATGTGGTAGACCTAGACTCAAATATTAACGCCGAAGGCGCCGAATCTCATACATCTTATGCACAAACGATACAGCAACCCTATTCTCTGTCCGAGGCGGATGCGGTTCATTTTATCTCCGAGGATGCTGCGAAACTATCCAAAGAACCAGAATCCGATGAACATGTTCAAAAGCAAGACATTGAGTCTCGCCCTGGACAAGGATCTTCTCTTGCAAACGGACAAGACCACGATGACCTCGGTCATGCCAACAATCTTCCACAAGGAACCCCCCAAACCACTCCTTTAGAAATTCCGGACGACCAAGCCAACGATCTAGAAGAGGGCTATTCTGCCAGTCCTCGTCAAGAAGATAGGGAACCAGAAAAAGAACAGCCGGAATATACCGGGGATGCTCAAGCTCAAAACGATGAAGAAGCAGAGGAAAGCTGGGACATTAATGTTTCCTATCCGGAAGAAATAATTTTGCCTGCTGGGTTTGACAAGGCTGAAGACAAACCAGGCCTTGGCACACCCCTCAGTGAGGACAATGAAGAAACGGAGGGAGACCAGCAGATCTTTGAGCCAGTCGAAGGGGACGACGAGTCTGGTCCAGCTGTTGGTGAAGTCTCCGATACCGTGGGCACCGAAAATCCGGTTGACTATAATCATGAATCGCGTCATCTAACCAATGATGCGCAGGCTGCACCTGTCCTGGTCCACGAGCATGAAGACGAGGTTGGAGATGACGAAGATGAGATAAATTATGATGACATTGAGAATGGCATCAGTGATGATGTCGATGAACCACGCGCCGATGAAGTTGACTCAGCTTATGCTGAAGTAGAGACGGTGACCATGAAGCGTGGCCGCCCAGATGACGAGGATGGGGAAGTGAATGAGGATGAAAGCCAAGGTACGACTTCAAATGTTTCTCCGCTTTATCTCTCCTATACTAAGTATCCGCAAGGCGAGTCCAAGCGCTTCCGCTCAGCCTCGAGGGAATAGGGACTTTCGGTATCGCCCTTCAGTCACCGTTTCCGTCCCATCTCTAACGCCCTCTTCCTCATGATCCCTGATTTTCGCGGACGATTTGCTCTACCCCCATTTAGAAAGTTTTCGTCTAGCGCCTTCGATGGACATCTACCGGTGCTCGTCCTCCCTGAAGAGGCATTCAGCCCTCACTGGTTGAGCCAGCGGATGCAGGTCCAAAGCGATCTTCAATAGTTGGGTTCAGGCCCACCTCAGTACTTGCGCATTTTTTTTTCCCCCAGTGGCCGATTTGCTTTAAGGGTATACCCTCTGATGCTTGGTAGGTATCTGCGGCTCTCAAGCCGGCTACAGTAAGTCTTGCATATCTCGTGCATTTTCATTATGGTTTCTCTACGTTCTCAAAAGCGATGCGATCATTCATCCCCTCAAATTACCTCAAATAGTTTTCCCCCTCCTCTTTCTCCCTTTCTACTTTATTCTTTTCCTTTTCACTTCAAGTTTCATTTCTTCAAATAGTTCTTCCATTTCCATCTAGCATTGCTTAATTTCTCATGTTCCTTGCATGGATATGATACCTATACCTGCCAAGAAATGTTCGCTGCTCTTCTTGCAGGGCAGTAGGGTCGATTATCTGGTGGAGGTATCTAGGTTATAACGACTTGGTGTTACGTGTACACTTAATCTAGATAGCTAGGACAGTGCACTGTACGGAGTAGATGTTTCGGGAGAGACAGGGTTTGCCATGTTCACAGCCAAATTTTGACGGCGATTTGGTTTGTGCCCAGCCAAAAATATGGGCTTTGAGGATGTAACAACACAAAAAATCAGAGTACTAGGAGTAAAAGGGTTGAGTTAGGTACATTATTGAGTTAGATTGCCCTAGCAGAATCGTCGGTGATCCAGATCGAAATGGGAAAATAAGGTACCTTTTGCGCAATTTGGTGACGAACTCTTCGGGGGTGCCCCTTGACTGTACGGGTTCCAGGACACGCGGACCGCACAGTTATGATTGGAGCAAAGTACCTGCGGGACCCCTTTGACGGCAACAAGCGATGGGGGCCCGGCCAGGTCATCCAAAACGCCGGTCGCAGGTATCGGTACCTGACATGACATCCTCAACGTGTGTGGCCGCCACGTCTATAGCTGCAGTCAAAGGTATCCCAATCGAATCTCATACCTCCCGCTGCCCTCCTTTGAACGCTGTGTGGCCTGGAAAGGAGAGCAACTGCGCGGCTTCACTTGCATAACACGTCTCTCGCTCCAACGAATCCAAAAGGAAATATTCCTGCCTGGGCAAACCTCATCTCTGCTCGACCGCCATCGCCCTTTACCGTGACCCTTCATCTCGTCTGTCCTTATCGTTACGATTAAGGCGAGTGGACCGTGCAACTGGCTCGGCAAGCCCTTTCACCACCTATACAGACTGTCTCGATCAACGAGGTTGCGATCGAATTCCGCACCCTGGCGAAATTCGAGCTCTGCATATTCGAGCTGCTGCTCATTTGTCGTGCGGAACCTACGTCTTACCATAGAGAATATACCTGTGGAGCAGTTTGAGCATCGGTGACCGAACCTCGGTGTCTCTTGCTTTCGACTGCGCTCTTGCATTGGAGTAAACGGGCATACCATTCTCCACCTGGCCTTGGCAGCTCAAACAGCACATCTTTCTCATCAAGTGCACTGAAAGTGTGCCCCCACGCCGTGATGATAGAGGACAAGTATGAGATGCGCTACTTGCGAATGATGAGGCGGTTCAGTGTACTCACTGACTGGACACTAGGTATATCGGTCTGGCTCTCGCCGTCACTTCAACCGTAGCTATTGGTAAGTCCCGACTCCCTTTCTTCGTCAATGCACACTGGGTGAAGGCTAACCAGCCCTTTGCGCTATTCAGGTACAAGCTTTGTGATCACCAAGCGGGTTCGTCTTTCCTATCCAGTCTCTCAATTCCGATCCAATACACGCGGTTCTTTGGCGAAGCGGAGTGTATTGACATCGCAAACAGGGTCTCAACGAAGCAAGTGAAAGGCATGGATTTGAGGGTGAAGGCTTCTCATATCTCAAGAGTCCAATCTGGTGGGGAGGAATAGTGACACGTAAGTTTGACAGTGGGAATGAGGTCAAGATCTAAATGAACTTACAATGGTCAAAGTCGTCATTGGAGAAATCGCCAATTTCGCCGCATACGCCTTTGCGCCAGCAATCTTGGTAACTCCATTAGGCGCACTCAGTGTATTAATTGGGTATGTAAATGATAAACAGTCTACAGATTGAATAGATCAGATGCTGACATCTCGAAGCGCTGTTCTAGGGGCCTACTTTCTAAAGGAGGAACTTGGAACACTGGGCAAATTGGGATGCGCGACTTGTCTCATCGGATCGGTCATCATCGTGCTGCATGCTCCTCCCGATAAAGACATTCAGACGGTTGACGAGATCCTGCACTATGCAATCCAACCAGGTGTGTTCTGGCGCTGCCTGTTTCCAATGACGTGAGAGCTTACCCTGGGGATTATTTATTAGGCTTCCTACTATATTGCGCCGTTGTCATTGTCTTTGCAACCATCATGATCTATAGAGTGGCTCCTCTTTACGGAAAGCAGAACCCTCTAATATATATTTCAATATGTTCCGCGGTGGGCTCGGTCTCAGTCATGTCGGTCAAAGCATTCGGCATTGCGCTGAAGTTGACATTGGCTGGCCATAATCAACTCACTCATCCGTCAACTTATGTCTTTGCCATTGTCACCGGCGTCTGCATCCTGACGCAGATGAATTATTTCAACAAGGCACTCAGCCAGTTCCCAACGTCCATGTACGTCTCAGCGCTTCTACCATGGCAAGCACGTCGTGAAACTGACAAGGATTCCCGTCTAGCGTAAATCCATTGTACTACGTTACCTTCACTACCGCAACGCTCTGCGCATCGTTTATTCTGTTCAAAGGATTCAATACCACTGACGCCGTCAATACCATCTCGCTGCTTTGTGGATTCCTCGTCATCTTCACAGGTGTTTACCTGCTTAACCTTTCACGCGGTGACCCAGACGGCCACAAGCTCCTAAACGGTAAAATTGAAGATGGTGTACCCACGGATGGCATCGCTGGTCTCCAAACTCGCCGAAGCATGCAGTCCCGACGCAGCCTCGAGCCTCATCGCTTGAGCGCCGGAAGCTTCCGGTTCAATTCAGGAGACCGCGAAGGCTTGATCCACGCCTATGACGTGGAACATGGTGCGGTAGATTTGGACGATCTCGCCAGCGCCAGCAGCGACGAGGGCGCCAACGTTCGACGGAGCACTTCAGGGCTGAACGGTCATGCTCGCGCTACGCAATAACAAGGATGAGCATACTCCACGTTCCCAACAACAATCATGCATGAGAGAGATATGCGCATATACGAAAAAGTCCTTTATGTTTTTTTTTTCTTCTCTCTCACCCTTTTCCCTACTTTTCTTTTTAATTTTTCAAGTTTTTACTTTATTTCTTCGATATCCAGATATAACCGTTTATTCTTTTCCCCTTCATTTTTAAAGGAGGACTGAAGAAGATTTTCCCTGATCTTGATCCACATACCTTTCGTCTGCACTGTCCGCACGAAGGGATTTTCTTGTCTTTCTCTTTCCTCGCACAAACATTGTAACATTTGTATTCATTACGGAGTCCACGGCGTTCGAGCGGGTTTGGCGTTGTGGATATGGGGTATTTAAGTCTTGTTTTTATGCATCAGTGCTCTCGGTGGTGCTTCCTTTCCCGTTTTTACCCTCTTGAGAAATTCACCAAAATGTTGCATCTGAATCGCATTTCATACCTTTGCCTCTTTTTTTGGTACATGGCAGGAGAACCACGAGGGGGTGCGCTATCTGGCGGCACCACCGCAAGTCTGCAAGTCTGCAACACCGCAGCTAGAAAGTCTGGACAAGGCCCTGATCTGGATGGGACGGAAATCTCGTACCACGTATCAAGTCAACTTTTATTTTTCTGCCAAAAAAAAAAAAAAACCAGTGAGCCAGTGACGTGTAATGTTTTTCTTTTTCTTTTTCTTTTTCTTTTTTTGCCCCCTATAAAAAGAAAGAAAGAAAGAAAGATATACAATCTCATAGAAAGAAAAAACAAAAATTGCAATTTAAACCAATTGAGTATATACGCTTTTCATCCCCTTCGTCTTCAAATCACCATGGGTTTTCATGAACTTCCTCAAGTGAAATAAAGTCTTATCTAATACTGGTAACTTCAAGTAGTCATAACACAATAATTCGTAAAAATCTCTTGTTAGGTAGACAAGTAGACAGATAATTGTATTCTTCTTCTTCACTGACATACGTTTTTGTTCTAAATGCAAACGTGTGATCTAAATTTGATTATTTCAAGAAGCCAGGTAATCCAATCGCCAAGTGTGAAACCCCTTTTTTTTCTCGGGTCAGCTCGAATCAAAATTCCATGTGTTGTGCGGCTGGTTAACTCCCATTGTCGTATCAAATATCAAGAGGTGTAGGTACAGGAAAAGGGAAAAGAAAAAGCGGAGAAAGGGGAAAGGGGGATATGTTATTCACATGAATGGAAATAAGCATCAACAGAACGAAAAAAGAAAAATATAAGACGATGCTTTTTGGAAATAAAGCCACATAAGAGGTCCACGCACAAAATGTCTTGTTCAATAGATGGTAATAGATCATAAGACGTACGAAAAGAAAAAGATATTTGTAAAATAAGAACAGGGGAGAAAAAGAGAAAAAGAGAAAAAGAGAAAAAGAGAAAAAGGGGAAAGAAAAAGGGAGGGAAGGAAAGAAGAAAAAGAAATGGTAAGAAAAAATGCTAGAGGCACAAATACAGCTGCAGAATAAAATCTTCATGAGAACATGTTACAATAAAAGACTTTGTCCAGGTTGCGAGATTACAAAGCTGCAGCCCAGACCGGCATCACGTGCTCGCCGCTCTAATTGCTCTAGAATGATATCACCCACAGGCGGGCCATCCAAGAGTGTTTCCTTGACGTGGATCACGACAATCTGGAGGCCTTGGAGAGGCAGGTCATTGGACTGGTTCTTTGACTTGGCCTCCGCTTCTGGTCCATCTGATTGCGCGGGTGCCTGTTGCTGCTTGGAGTTCCTCTCGTCACCAACATCGTGCGAGTTCTCAGACGTCTTCTGGGACTTTCGAGGAGAGGAAAATCTGGCATGCCGCGCGTCTGGTCCTGAGCTGGCGTCTGCGTTGTCCTGGCCCATGTCTTCTGGCGATGTTCTTCTGACGATGTTTGGATCGGATTGCCTTGCTGCTCCGCTGGCAGCCTCGTCCTTGTAGATGGCGATTTCCGGATCCGGACCAGGACTGGCGTCATTTCCTTCCCGCTTGCGCTTTTTCTGTGCTTTGAAAGAAGGATGATCCATGGTGTGGTCTGATGGATTTGCGGCTACTTGCGCTGTTGTTTCAGCTTCGGCTTCTGTGGCTTCTGCTGCTGCGGCGGCCTTTATTTCCTCGCGAAGTTGCTGCCTTGCGTCCGTCACTAGTACCGCCAACGCCTCCAGTTCGGAGATGAGATGGCGGGGAGCCAGGTGGCCAAAGAGAATCTCATCCTTTTGCGCATCGGCATACGAGCATTCAATGAAAATGGCACTCAAAATGCCAGTAGCAATTTTGGGTGCCGCATCTGTCCACACTTGCTGCGTTCGAGGATGTAGAGAGAGAGTGTCAGGCTCAACATCGCCAAAGATGAGAATCTCTCTTCCTGTTGCATCATCGCGGATAAAAAAAGCCGAGCTATCGTAGACGCATGGTTTATCCGACGCACTGGAGAGGTCTGATGCCATCGATAGTGACTTCCTTGGAGCGTTTCCGCTCATCCCACCACCCACTGCCTGTGCGAGCGCTTCTTCATGCGTGCCTGCATTGCTTCCGCGATGGCTATGTCGTTTCATGCAGTGGCCGTGGCTCACGCTCCAGCTTTTGACACCAAGTCCTTCGCAAATCTCAATATATCCCATACCCTCACCTTCTCCGATTGCGACATTGACACCTTCAGCCAAGCGCATGTAGGTCAGGAGCCCGACGCCTCCTTCCTCATCTGAAAGATTCGGCCAGATCACATCGTTAAAAATATGGGTTTTGAATGCCTCAATAGTGGAAGGCAAGCCTGCCAGGCGCTTGGGTCGATAGGTGTTATGGAATGAAGCGGTGTTGATCACAAAGCCGGACATGTGGTCCAAGTGTGGATGAGTTATGAGATATGTAGATACAATCTCACGGGTAATATGAGCGGCATTGGCGCGCGAAGATTCGTATGGAAGCTCCAGACCCGCAAACGGGCCTTTGACCAGTGTAATCCGCGGTTCGGAACCAAGTCCTGGGGGCTTAGCGGAGAGGGACCCAGGAGCAGATCTTCTCGGTCGAGGGGTATTGACCCTCGTAGGCATACGAGGGGAAAGCTGAGGGGAGGAGAGCGTCTCTGGCGCGATTGATTGCAGTCTGCTCGCGTTCTGCGAATGGGCCGGAGGAACATTTTCGGCATATTTTGGAGCCGATTTCACTAGAAGGTCGGGTTGCGACAGATTCTGCTCCAGCAATCGGATCAGTGCAGCCAAATGGGTTCCCGCATCAACTACAAGCATCGAGCCTTTGCACCAATTAGTTGCCAGGGATCTGACAAGGAAGCCGGTCACATTGTCTTCAGTTGGACCGCCGCCTGAGCCCTTGAGGAGTAGATGATCATGTCAGCGTTTTGTCTCATGTTGCAAACTTTTTTTTTTCATAGCTTTGAAGTGCAGAATGGGTCTAAGCTTGGCTGTCTCGGAGGTGAATCAAAGTAGCGACTTGCTTCCCGTCCAGAACCAAAGAAGATGACCGAAACACGCAAGTTGTGGTATCGAGGGACGACAGAAGCAAAGTGCGATAAAAAAAAAAGAGCTTGAAATAACAGACATACAAGCTTAATAAAGCAGGGACTGCACCTAGGAGCACACTTACCAGGACAATAACCTGCAGAGCGGGTGCGTCGGGAGCGTACTCGCCCGCGTTTACGCTAAATTCCTCATTGCCGTTCATGAATGCAACTTTCTGATTCGCTCTATTGTCGATCGCAATGGTAAAAGTTTTGACGTCTGTCGCGAGGGCAGGAAACAAAAATAAAAAGTCCACTGAGTATGATCATTTGTCCAGGGAGGTTGAGTGCTCCCCAAAATTGCGGCCCTTCACCATGTAACTACTAAAGTGGAGCTATTTCGCGCACAGGGCGACGTCACAGCCGGATGAGCTAGGTTCGTCCAACAGCTCGAGCACAGCTTAATTAAGTTGTCCTCATCCAAGTCTAGACTCCTTACTTTAGCTTTGGTAGCGAGAGCTGGGAAGGCGGCGGACCCCGACCCCGGACGGTTCAACTAGAGCACAAGATGGTGCTAATTAACGCATACACCGTAGTTCAGAGGGCTGAAGTTGGGTCGTTAAAGTGGCAGCCCAAGTCATTTTCTTTTCTTAATTGTACGGAGTATTACATATAGCGTATACTGGAGGTTATATCCCTGTACGCAGCAATGTGGCACCTCAATCTTCTGCCTTACTTGGTACACTTATTCTCTTCCAAAGCCAGCCACATCATTTCGCCAAGGGAGCACTAGTACTAAAAGAAGCTTTGAGTCCAGTCCCAACCCTCGAGATGACACGGAAAAAAAAAAGGTAGTGAAAGATAAAAGAGGACCAGAAGATGAAAATCTATCTCATAACGCTGCCGACACCTTGGTATCGTGAAGCTAGCCCGAGATATATACAAAGCTTTTAACAGAAGATGGTGTTGAGGCAGAGATCCAAAAGCCTCCCTTCGTGAAAACGCAATAGGGAAGAGAGAGATTGAGACGGAGAAATAAAAAGGGGGGTAACAAAAAGGGGGTTAAAAGTGAAGGGTAACTAAAAGTAAATGGAGATATGATCCTCCTCTCGAAAGATTAAAATACCAGAAAACTGTTTCACCCCAGCCCAAAAGAATCTTGACAGTACCATGAATGCACCGCTCATGGACGCGAAAGAGCGGTGGAATGACAGAATAATTGTGACGACTCCACCGGCTTATCTCCGATGCGCAAAGTCGGAAAAGCTCCAAGTGAAAAGTGAAAAGGCTCCTCAAGCTTCCTCCGAAGAACGCCATACGCTTGCGTGCTGTGAAGTCCAGCGAGATTACGATAAACATATTTCAAATTGACAAGCTGACAACTCTGGCACGCGTAAGATGACACGCATCCGGGAGGAGTCAGAAAAACGTGTATTGGAAATTTAGGATGAAAAAAAAAAAGGGACTGATCAAATGGGGGTATAGTAGCATAACGTAGTATGTTCGGGCTTTCAGCGAGGCGGATCACTGGCGACAGCTGCTTCATAGCTAGGTATTGGGGGCCGGGAAGAACCAGATTCGTGTGGTAGCATGGGTGTTCGATCATTATCTTCGCTTCCGCGTGGGCTGGTTGCATGAGAACTTTCCGGACTTGAATACTCCGGAGGAGGGTGAATAGGGTCTTGAGCTGAGAGGTCCGACGAGAATCCACCAAAAGGGACCTGCGCAGCTGTGCTGACGCTGCTCGTCCCCTCACCAGGGTCTTCATGAGACGGAATATGTTCGAGATGGGCTAAAGAGATATCGGTGGGCGATCGAATCGGGCCTGGGCTCGAAGGAGGCCCAGGTCGAATCACAGCACTCCGCGAGCGGCTATGCCCGACGTTGACGTACGATCCTTGTCCGTCTCTTCCAGATTCGAGAAGGATACTCCCCTGTTCACTACCATATGGCGGAGGCGGCGCAAGGCTGCCAGTCATAGGAGCGAGACCCCATTTCTTGACGTTCGCCTCGATGAAGACAAACCCCATCTGCCCGAAATTAACATGAACAGTACAAGGCCCGTTAGCTCCGATTGTTGGAAAGAGGTTTTGCGTCTTTAGACCATGCGCAACCTCTTCCAGTCGTTTGCCATTTCGAGTAAAGAAAACTGTCCCAGATCGAGGCCGGTATCCGACCCCAATAACATCGCCTTGTACATATTGCGGGCCATAATTTGTGGGTGCGAAAGGCTGGTTGTATCGCCGATGTCCAGTGGACAAATAGGCTACAGAATATTTATGCCATCCTTTTGCTCAGTCAGATTAAGCCATGTTTTAAAATTTAAGAAACTCTCAAACTCACCTGGCAGACGAAACAGAGGATAGGGCTTTGTCGTCATGCCAACACTGATCATTGTTGATTCTGGTTTGTCGTATATCTTGGCTTCCCAATAGTAAACCTCGTTCTGCTTGGGTACTGGCAGGTTGCTCTGAACGCTGCATTCGGAATCGAAAAACTCAACCTCAGTCCTCCCTTCTACGAAACAATTGGCAATTTCAAGCTCTGGTTCAAATTCCCATGCTGAAACCCCCTTCTCTTGGATGGCTAGAAACTGTGATAATGAAATGTCGGTCTGCATCGAATCCGGGGGGTTTGCTTGAATAAATGCTGCACAGAAAACATATCAGCCCTATATTTGAGAAATATCATTCGCGTACGAAAATAGCATTCGAAGGAAAAAGGAATTTGGGCGAGGAAAGCTTACCTTTGGCTCGCAGATATTCTGACCTTTGCAGATCATCCATCGACTCTAACGCTTCTGCCTCCTCGCGGGCAAATGCCTGTTCGTCATCGTACTCTCCTGGTCGCCCGATTCGATCTAATAATATCCTTCCTCTACTCGTATATTTGAAAAAGTAAATCACAGCGAAAATAATTGCAAACAGACCAGCAGAGCCAAACGCCGAAAGCATTCCAATCAGAATTCCTCTTCCTGTCGACTCGCTATCGCCGGTGATATGCATATTATTGGACGGAAATTTAAAGTTAGACGAGTCATCATGAACTGAATATAGACGCGATGTTGAAGTGGATTGAGAATCGCGGCTTGTTGTTGGAAGAGTGGTCGGAATGATCGCGCCCTGAGGCTCGATAGAGGCGGGAATGATCGCCATCGATGCAGATCCTGTCGCACACGATCAAATATAAAGACCTTCAACGATATTTGAAACAGTCAATCGATCGATCTCCAAATGATAGTCGTTACAGATGTCTGCGATGTTGTTCAAGCAAGTCCGATAAGGCGGGGTTGAGATTCAGTCGTGGCTTGCCGCTGTTAGGCAGGTAGGAATCAAGGCAACATGATTAGGGAACAGCAATCGGCACCGGTGTGAAAAATGGGATAAAGAAGCCCTGCTTCGCACAGTTTGGAGGGCTTATTCGTCCGCGACAAATGACAAGAGTTGATGTGAGGTTCGTCGAAGGGTGAGATAGTACGATGGGAGGACTTGGTTCCGTAGGGCCGCCCATGACGAACCCGCCGGAACCGATGCTCGCCACCACCCACATGATTGCCATCTCACATTTTGGGGTGTTTCCGTCCAAAGCCAACTAGCGCGAACCCTGCGACCGGTGATGGTAGTTTGCACCTCAACTGGAAAATCGATTGATCATCACGTTTGCAGTTTATGAGTAAAATAGTTCAGGCATTCCTTCTCTAATTGATGCGGTATTGAAAGTGCCAATTCCCTGGTACAGTCAAAAAAATCCGAGAGTATGTTCATGATTTCCTGTTTTGGGCTTGCGATGATCTAAAATCGTGCCCATGGTAAAGTCGGGTACATGCTGTCGTACGAACAATAACCAAATGTTCTATCTCCAATGTTCTTTGGATAGAGAAAACGGTCAAAATAGAATTAAATAAAAAGTCCATGTATCGTGATATACGGTGTCATCACGCATTCCAGACGCCCGCCGATGCGATTCGGAGAATACCCAAAGTACTATACATGCGAGGTGCACCCTATCTCGAAACCGACCAAGACAACCCCGGGCTTAGAAACCCTCCGCAGATCCGCTTCCACCTCGTCGATCCTTAAGCCGATTTTCTGTCTTGCTCGTGGCATTCTGGACCCATTCATCGTAGCTCGTTCCGCTTTCCTGGAGCTTCGATCTCACTACGCCTTTAAGGATTTCCGTTGTAAACCCAAGGAAATTATGGCGTCGGAGAGCATTTTCCCACTGCCAAGCAGTACGTTTGTGCTCTTCGCGAACGAGTCCTTCATGATCTCCAATCTCCTTGGCCCGGATCCGCAGATCTCGCACCATGGCAAGCAGGTTGAAACGTATCTCAGTGGCAGGATATCGCCCAATTCGCTCCTGCAATACTGGGATGACCTTGTCTGGAAATTCATCAAAGGTGCAAGGACCATGTGAGATAGGGGCGGGCTGAAGCCCATCGAGTTCATAGAGGCTGCCATTAATAGGTGTGTAAGCGATGAAGTGGTAGACATCATCGTCTTCGGTCGCGGCACGCTGTGTCTCGTCAACGAAAGGGGATGAGCGTGCAAATGAATTGTGCACGTCACGAATAAGTTCAGAGTTGGAAAGCGCTTCTCCTCGTAGCTAACACGACGTGACAAGTGTCAGAACGATATGCTATGGAAGAAAGACTTTGGAACTTACGTCTGAGGGGAAAGCGTTTGTAAACTCTTTGAAATCTCTCATCTGGGAACCAATGTCGATAGCCCCATCTTTGTTGAGAAGCACCGAGAGCAATGCCTGCGTGCCGCAAGCATTTTGAATTGTTTGGGCCGCAAAAAAGATATTTTCAGCAGCTTCAGAATCAAATGTTCCCTTCTGCGGAGTGTCTCTCCTTGTCTCGCCGGTAGGGTATTTGAAGAGGAAAATGACACCATAAACTGGGCTTTCCATTGATGAGCAACGATTGCCACTTGAGGCACATAATTCTAACTGCAACAAGGCCTGGCTTACCTGATCTCGCGCAGAGAATCAGCGTCGAGAGCTATCAGCTCTTCAAACTGGACATCCTTCACTCCAAGATTGTCTACCAAGTATGTGAAAACTCCCTGCATGTGTCATGGTCAACTCGGTTTTATCCTGCATGAGGCACTTTCGGAGTGCAGTAAAAGAAAGTAGGACGGACAGCATCAGATTCTATTGTGTTCCAACCAGCCGACATGATGCAACGTTGTGACAAGCTGCTGTATGGCGATGCGATGGACTAGGCAGCAGTCGTAATAATTGATATGAAGCTCGGACCGTCACGCTTGGTATGGCAACGCGGCAGAAGTCTTGGTTTAGCTGGAGCCGTACAGGCACAGGCGGACTAAGCCAAATCGGACTCAGTGTAACATCATTCTTGTTGCGGGAGTGCATAGTTTACGACACGTGATAGGCTCAGAACATGGGCAGGAACGTTTGAAGTAATTTATTTGAAGCTACATACCTAAGGTACCTACTTTATCCATTTCCCTTAAGACCACCGCTTCGATGTTGATGTGCTTTTTCTGTCAACGCTGGTTATTATCAATCGGTTATAGTTCCTGCAATAGTATTATGCTTTATGGTTGGGCTCTTCTAGATCTATGCGGAGTATGCTTCATGTTTCATATGGAACCAAGTCGATGTCAATACAGAGCTGTTGAGTGTTATAATGCTACCGGCGGAGGAAGCGGCTTACCTTTCTTGATCCTTTCAAAGTCGGGGATTTGTAGGCAAGGAATTGTGCGCGCGAGTCTCGGTAATGAGCGTAAATTGGGGCTCCCATGTCGGAATGTAATCCGCAGCATCCGTGATCAAGAGTCAAGTGTACCGTGGTACATTGCTAAGACTTGTTATTGGAGCCCGCAGAATTGATCAAGAAATATTGTAGGTCCTTGTTATGCATGACTGGTGTGATATCTCTTTCAATCGTGCCCAGCTGCTGTGACCGATCAGGTCCGTTAGCTACCTACCTTCTTTCTCACCGATCATGCCGTGTCCTACCTGAGCAGGTCACCAGGTCATAGTGGTGCTCTTGCTATAGGACCCCTTGGCAGACTATGGTGTTGTCCGCAATGGAGATGCTTGCTCCCCAGCATGTCTCCGCACGCCCTCCGGCTGCCATCTCCGGATCAGATCCATGGTAGTACGATAACCATGATATTACGATCTGCGGCTCATCATATTTCAGGCATGATATTATTGACAACCATGTTATAGCCTGATTATTCTATCCCCTGGTCCGCGAATCTGGTCGACCCTGGCAAACGTCCCAACGCGGTCGAAGCTGCCAACGTTAGTGCCAGCTTTTGGCAGATCTATCGATTGGCGCGATTATAATATGTGAAAGTCAAAAATGAAGTGGGGCTTTCAATTATCTTTAATCCATCGATCCAAGTCGTGAAAATATCTAGGGCGAAATATCTGTCGGGTTCGCTACTTGCAGTTGATTGGGGCTGAAGGAAATAAAATGAACAAGCTACGCAAAAGAACCAAAAGAGGAAGCAGACCCCAGGAGCTTGGGGGGTTTTCTGGGAGAAAGGTTGTGTGGGTTGGTGTCGGTCGCCCTAAAGGGAAAACAGCTACTGTACTGTCTCGATACGAGTACGAATGCCCTTGTACTGTGTACGGGCAGGAGTATGATTAATTTACTGTCTACGGAGTACTGAGTTATAAGGGGAAAGAGGTGTGTGGGGGGAGTTTTGTCTTAATCAAACGTTGGACTGAGCTGCGTTATTCAGAGACGGAAAATGGCCTGGCTGCTGTTCCTGCTGTTCCTGCTGCTCCTGCTGCTGCTGCTGAACCAAGCGGGCATGCCAAACAGATTTCCCACTATCCTCCTAGGCGATGACACCCCGCTCCAGCATAATGCAGAGAGGTATAATCACAATACGAGAATTCTTGATGCATGCCAAAGGAAACATGACGAAAGGGATGGTTTCTGCACCATTTTACTGTGGTCATCTAGCGTGACTAAGAGGATTTCTCCTTGATAACTGAGCAGCGTCGCCCATGAGAGGGCTGCAACATTCTGAAACTTCGGCTCGCAAGGCGGAGCTGAATCAAGGTTGTTCAACCTAAACCGTTGTTACGGCGGATTTCGGGGTTTGTCAATCTTTTCTAAACCAACCAGAGCTCTGTTTCGTTTCTTTTTCTGCCTTGTTTCGTTGTGCTCACAGCCTCTTTTGGGCCAAAGATTAGCGTCCACGCGAGAGACGCTTTGGCCTGCCGGGTGGGGCCAGGTGTGGCCTGATGATCAAACAACGGCTGCATGAGTGCATCCGCAGATAGGCAGAAATAACAATGACAAGTGAGAATGCTTGCATGTACTGATGAATTAGACACTGCAGGACGAAGCATGGCCGCTCGTGATTATTATTGTTGCCATTGAAGAAATCATTTCGGCATGTTTACATTATTGTTTTGAATCTGCAATCATCTGCAAAGGTACAATACATGAATTCGAAAGGGCGTCGATGATGCATACTACTGCCGGCACCCATCTGGACCAAACCTGGCTACGTTCCCCTTATCGGCGAGGATTACAGCTGCACTTGTTTACTGCGGCACCCATTCATCGCGAGTCGATTTCTTCCGCATCCCATTCTTTGGCGCACTTTCAGGAGGCGATCAGATGCCCTGGTATTGATCAACCTGTGCATTTCTCCGTACCACCAGCGGAACTTGCGGTCCGAGGCAATCTGTACCCGTAGTACTGTCGAAATCGAAACGAACAAAAAGGAGCCCGCATTCGTGCTCAACGGAGCGGCCAAGCAGCGCTACGCCCCCCTCAACTAGATGACTCAGTCCAATTGAAATCCGAATGCTTGATGTTCTGGATTTCAGGCGCCCATCTGCATCGCGAAGCTCTCAGGCTACTCGTTCTGCTAGAGTAGCTCATTCTACAGAATTATGTGCCTTAGCGCGCGTGCAAAACTCAATTCGCTTGCTTCTCGAGAAGTCCTTTCTCGCAATAGAGCTCAATTCCAGGCCAATGGTAAGCTTGTTCTTGGTGGTGAGCCGACCGGGCCGAAACGTAATGGGCAGCAGGGCTGCGGGCGGTGTCGGCAGCGGTGTGCGAGTCATTGAGCAGTCTCAAAACCGCCATTGGGTGGATCGAGCAGAAATTTGAATCTATGTGGGGTGGTGAATAGGGGGTGACGAGGCTACGCTACAGTGACAACTTCTTGTGCAAACGGTACTCTGTGATATTAACAAACGCCAGGAGCTTGGATGGTCAGACTACTTGATGATGATCATGAACGGGGGAACCATGCGGTGCTGTAACTGAGAGGCCTGGTCGAGGCGATGGACCACGCCAAGGATCAATAATGTGTAACAAAAGGCAGAAATGAAGAAGGTAAGGATAAGTAAGGAAGATAGCAATCAAAAGGAAACGACGAGGGGGGGAAAAGAGACCTTAGGAATGGGGTTCATGGCAAGTTACTGTACATTATTGTACGACAATTAGCTTCGCCACAGAATGGGAAGGCTGAGAAGCGGGCGATCGGTCTGACCTCAGCGCGCAGCAAAGTACAACTTAGTGGCAGGCAGACCGGACCGGACGGTCGTGGGAGAGAAACCCCCGTTCTTGGCTTCCCAGGGACAAGGAACGACATGGAAATGGAGAACCCAATTGAAGAAGGGGAAGGAGCGACCCAAGACAAGGGAGGTGTGGGGGGGGGGGGAAGGAACAAGGAAGCCCCTCCACCCTTTCCCTCTCGTTTTCCCAAGCGGAAGGAAAGTTTGTACCTGAGACTTGGGCATCCAGCGGGCGGTACCTCTCTCATGGGCCGATTACTTGGCCAATTAAAGCGTCAACGGTTCGCCAACGGTCTGTACTAACAACCCCCTTTTGGGTCTATGACTGAACCCGGCCGTTGTTAATCTCCCGGCTACCATCGTCTACCGAAAATCCCCCATACGGCCCTGACGGAGCAAAAATTAGAGAAGGAGCGTAGAAGCGAATAGAGAAGCGCGAGCGAAGACCCGTCGCTGGGAAGACGATACCAAGCAGACTGCACCAATGGACGACGAGTGAGTCTCTTGGCTCCTGTTGCAACAGATCCCAACTGGGGTTCTCCCCTCCCCGAAGTTCAGGTACTTTCCCTGCACTCTACTTTCCCTACCCAAATAGGCCCGTAAACGGCAGAAAAAGAAGGCCACTGACCGTATAGCTCATTGACTCTTCCCATCTCATCTCCCTATTTACGGCACGAACAGTCAGCGCTCATTAAAAGCCTTCCACCGCTCCTTTCCGGGATACACAAGACAATTTGCGCATTATCGATTTTTGACTTTACGTCCTTATTCGAGTATATCTCCATCCTGCAAGAGCTTCCTCTCTTACACTCTCGCCTCTCCTTGTGTGACAGGTACCTGACCGGCGAGGCTATCAATTGACGTGGGGATTCTGCTCAATCAGAGGGAGGGAAAAAAAGGCCAATCGGCTCATCGACGATTACATTTATCCCTACGCATTGCACTCAATTCTCTTCAGCTGTTGTCTGCTGTAACCTGGTCAGAGTCGACTTGCATCGGCGACATCTACACGATAGCACCAAACTCGGACGCGCGTGGCGGGCAGTGCCAGACCAGGTCTCGCATTATTCTCTACACCCTTGCTCACTTCCGCGCCTCACTCCGCCCGAGGAGCACCCTGTCGGCGTGTGCTGTCATAGCTGTCGTACGCACGACATAGTTTCGCAATCTTACTTGACTCACGGACGATCTCCGTTGCAACGACAAGAAAACACCCTTTCTTCGTGGGGATACTTTTTTTTTCGGCCTGGTGCTGCGGAACCCCTCGCCGACGACGTGACGATTATCCTGACACTGCAGGAGTCCTGAGATTTTTGAGTCGCTGTCGTGCTTTGTGTGCATTGCGCGTCGTCCGCTGTTTTTCAATTTAGCACCTCGTGCTTCCCATACTTCCATTTTCGCTGCTCTGCAGCCCTGCGTGGGGATTGAACGGTGTGGCGTGCGTCACTGAGAGGTACCGCATCATCGAAGCGGAGCAGGGGCAGCGCGACTGTTGCAGCTCGTCTGCCGTCTTTCACTGCTGCACCCCATCTTATTACAGCCTGCATCACAAACTGCATACCAGCTGACCGAGGTTGTTGACCTGCCGCCGCCAATCGGGCGTCTTCAGCGCTGCACGTCTTGTTGCCTGCAGCAAACACGCGAACTTCCATTTCCCGCGCTCACCGCCGTCGTGGGGTCGACTTGGCGCAACATCCCAATAGCTGCATTGCAAGAGCCCATGAGACCCTAATGCAGAAAGTGAAGGGTCATAAAGCAATGTATTCACCGTCAATTCGCACTCATTTATGAGCGTTGAAATCACCAAGTAATTTGCCCTCCATTTTCGCTGGACCATCTAGCAACTACAACCCTTCGGCCGCAAAACACACTAGCTTGCTTCACTATCTTCACCTCCTGCGGATTGGGAAAATTTTGCCTCATTTTTTGAGAACCTTGCACCACGGCGAAATCGTGGTGCGCCATCATTGACAGAGATGACCACCTTGGCAACGACGCCATCACCGGCGTTGTCACCAAACGTCATGACATCTTACCCGCCCAATTCACCATCTCCTTTTTCCCAACGAACAATAAAACAACATCTGAATACCGCAATATCTCCTGCCTCCACACCAGTGCCTCTCGACCCCCTCTCTCTCTCCCCTTCGGCAACGATTTCCGCTTCTCTCTCCCCACATTTGAGCGCCAATGGGTCACTCAATTCCTCTCCAGAGGGCCCGCGTGGTCGTGTGCTCTCGCCGAGTATGACGCCGGCCGCTTTACAGCTTCCAGAATCCTTGCTCGGCGTCTCCTCGACCCCACCAAGCGCCATGAGCGATGCTGTAGCGATGAGCAAGAGTCCCGGCTTGATCCGGCGTATTTCTCGTGGCGCCGCCAACAAATTGACGCGGCGCCGTCCGTCTTCTGTAAACCCTAGTCGACGAGACCGCAGTACCGGTCCCGTCATCATGCGTCGCCGAAGCGACAGTAAAGGTGGGCCAGATACGGTCGCCAGCGCAATTGATTTGGGGGTGGAAGACGGTGACGAAGAGGCAGTGGATGACGAACACATTCCTATGGGACCTGAGACCAAATCACGTTCAGCTCGTCCCTCTGCCGCTGCCTATGTTTCGGAGCTTACAACTGAAGGAGGGATCGCTCCTGTCATACCTTCTGTGCTCCTCCTAGGCACAACTCTTGTCAAGGTCACAAAGAAGAAGAGAAAAACTCTCAAATTCGTCCTTGACACGGATTCAGCCAAGGTCTACTGGGACCCGTCGAGACCTGCGAAAAGGTTTTATATTGATGACGTCAAAGAAATTCGAACCGGCGCGGATGCTCGCAATTATCGAGAAGAATTTCAGGTGCCTGCAGAGCAGGAATCAAGATTCTTCACCATCATCTATTCTGATCATGACAGATCTAAAGGCCGTCCTATCAAGACCATGCATCTTATTGCACCAAACGACTATGTCTTTGACTTGTGGACAACCACGCTCGAGAACATCTCCCGCTACCGAATCGACATGATGGCTGGCGTGGCCGGAATTGGCGAGAAGAAAATCCGAGCTCATTGGAGACGCGAAATGCTGAAACTATTTGGCACGGCGCCACATGCCGAGGAAGACGAGAAGATGGGCCTCGAAGGGGTGGAGAGACTTTGCTGGAGTCTGCATATTAATTGTTCGCGAGAACTTATTCGAGCCCAATTTTTCAAGGCAGACAAGCACAAGACCGGCTATCTTGACTATGACGGGTTTAAGGATTTTGTTCGCTTACTCAAAGAGAGGCGAGATGTTCGAGAGCTTTACCAGTCTCTTGTCCCCCAAGGTGTCGATGGTTTTGACCTTTCTCAGTTCCTTGGCTTTCTGCGCGACGAGCAAAGGATTGATGTCGAATCACGCAGATCCGAATGGGAAAAGATTTTCGAAAGACTTGCTAGGAAGAGCAAGTGTCGGACATTGCAGCAGCAAGACGGAGGAGATACGGCAGAGTCTCGAATGGACTTTGATACATTTTCAGCTTTCCTCTCTTCAGCGTACAACTCAGTCTTGGAGATTGGTGATCCAGACGCGAAGCTGACTCGCCCTCTGAATGAATACTTCATCTCAAGCTCCCACAATACTTATTTGCTAGGGAGACAGGTCGCTGGCGAATCGAGCCCTGAAGCTTATATTAGCGCTCTTCAGCGCGGCTGCCGCTGCGTCGAAGTGGACTGTTGGGATGGTGCGGATGGTCGTCCTGTGGTCTTGCATGGCCGAACATTGACGTCGAAAGTGCTCTTCTCTGATTGTATAAGCGTCATTGGAAAGTACGCCTTCGTATCTTCTCCTTATCCTCTGATCATCTCTCTCGAAGTCCACTGTAACCCCGAGCAACAATTGGTAATGGCGGAGACGATGAAATCAATCCTGGGAGATCGATTGCTTCTTGAGCCATTCATGACGAACTCTTTGCTCCTTCCGTCTCCCGAGGAGCTCAAATATCGCATATTGATCAAAGTGAAGGCTGCGGATGAGCCCGACGACACTCAACTCATGCCTGAAACTCCAGCGAGGAGGCAACGAAGCTTTAGCTCGCCGTTTACGCGCCCAGTATGGATTGATAACTCTCAGATCCCTAGTCTACCTCTGATACCAAGCGGGTCATCGATCACTCCCTCGGATCGTTCTTCGTCTCACACTGGCCCTGGAAAAGGCTCCATAACTGGAGGGACTGGAACTAGTACTAGCAGCGCTACCGATGATAGCGATACCGCCACTGGCAGTCACAATTCTGAAAAGAGGGAAAAGAGGAAAAGAAGCAAGATCATCAAACCTCTAGGTGATCTGGGAGTCTACACCCGTGGGCAGAAGTATTTCAGTTTTGCGCTACCGGAGAGCAAGAGCTACAATCATGTCTTCTCTTTTGCGGAACGTACCTTTGAAAATCTTTGTCGAGATCAGGATAATAAATCGCAACTCGAAAGACATAATATGCGCTACCTCATGCGGGTGTACCCGTCTGGTTATCGGATCAGCTCCTCCAACTTTGATCCCAACAAATTCTGGCGTCGAGGCGTACAGATGGTGGCTCTCAACTGGCAGACGTATGACTTGGGCACTCAGATGAATGATGCCATGTTCGCAGCCGGTATTGACCGGACCGGTTACGTCTTGAAACCCAAGGAGCTTCGGCAGTCAAAATTGGCTCTGGAATTACTCGACACACCTGACGCCATCCGTACCAAGAAACATAAGAAGGTGGTTAGATTCTCCCTAGATGTCATCTCTGCTCAGCAGCTTCCGCGGCCTCGGGGTATGAGCTCCGAGGAAAGCATCGACCCATATGTTCAGATTGAAATCTTCAGCGCGGATGATAAAGCCAAAGGTATTGCATCAGGTGAAGGTGGTTTGGATGCATCGGCGCGGAATGGCATGTCCGGTATCGGCTCACCTCATCGTCGTCGTACCAAAATCATTCAAGGCAACGGTTACAATCCCATTTTCAACGATACTTTTAAAGTCTCCCTTGAGACAAAATTTCCTAGCCTTATCTTCGTTCGCTGGACTGTCTGGAATTCTAATGACGGTCGAAACTACAACAACAATGGAGTTGCTCTGGCTACGTTCACTGCCAAGCTAAGCAGCCTCCAAGAAGGATACCGTCATCTTCCATTGTACGATTCGAACGGCGAAGAGTTTTTGTTCTCAACACTATTCTGTCGTATCAAGAAGGAAGACGTGATTTCCGTGGAAAGGGAGGACGAGAAATCGGGCCGAGTAGCGTCAATTCGTCAATTTGGCCGTTCTGTTTTTGGTCGCACGCGATCCGTGGAACGCAAACCTATCATTGAAGAGGATCGGTAACCAATGCTCATAGAGTGGCATGGTCACCTGTTTCCTCCGTCCACGAAGTTTTCACATTTCATACTTGCAATTCTTTTCATTTTGTATTCCGTCTTTACGGTAATACCTCTATTTTCAAGATACCCCACAAATTTTTTTTATATCTTTTTTCACTGTCGTTTGTCCTGTTCCGATTCATCTTATTTCACAACGGATTCACATACCCACATTTGCTAGGGCAGATGGTGGGCATGGTAAACTGGAGTTTCATCAGCTTTTATCAGCCGCGTTTCTCTATGCAGAAAGGACGGAAAGAGCCAAGACAATTGGGATTGTTTCACCACAGCGATACTGGGTGATTGCATATTTGCATCTAGTCCCTAAGGAGTTTTATTCTTTCGATTTTCTCACATTTCGGTATTCAGCCTTCTGGTTCCTTCACTTTTATCGGTCATTTGACCTTGTTTTCATTTGGCCATCTCGAGGTCGATTTAGGTCCCTCAGCTAGGGGAATAGTGATGGAGTTTTCTTGGAAGGATCATATCAAGCATTCGCTCAGAGTTTCATCTGCTTATTGATATGCCAGCTGGTCTGGCTCAGCCTCTCGCTACTCAAATTTCCTTTCAATCTTGATACCATGGCTTATTCAATTATATAGCACACCGGCTTCACATCATCGAGGTGCCTTAGCAATACAATGAATACAAGCCCAGTCATTATTATGACAGAGCGATGTGTAACTCTCTTTTGTGCACAGTTCATTGAAAAGGATAATAAGATGCCGTTCCACTTTTCAGTAATGATAGATACGTCAAAACAATTCCCTGATTTACGCCGTGAAAACACCCCGTCATTATCCCGCTCCTGTAAACCCATAAAATACACGAATTTCTTCAGACATGGGCCGATGCAAATATCAATTAAAGGTAGTCCTTCTTCTTAGCCGTCCTCGTGTATTGGTTCATGTGCCACTCTACATCGCCGTCCTTGTTCTCCAATGTGCCGCCCCGGATCTCGAAAAGTCGCATCGTCATGCGGGGTCCCACCTCGGCGAGTTCGACAGATTGGTACCCAGTCTTGACAAAAACGTGATGTCGCACTTCGATGCTGTCCTCGATATTCTTGAACGTAACCACCCGGTTACCGACCCGTGGGCCGTCTCGCGGCGGGAAGAGATGCTTGAGGATTTTTACTACTCGCTGGCCTAGCCGACTTGTGAATCCTTCAAAGATGAGATGAGGGTAGCTCTCGGAGACAGTTCCTCTGGCCGCACCGGGAATGTCATGTCGCAATACGACATTATGCAGGGAAAAAGATGCCGTCGGTCCATGAGGAAAATGTGAAACAGTCAGAGCGGTAGGCGTGCCTCGATGCTCATGTAATAGGATAATGTCCGAGAGACCTGAGGTGTTTGCCGACTGAACCAGATTCGGCAGAATCAGGTTGCCACGATTCAGTCTGATAGCGGTCGGCAGAAGCAAACGGATCTCCTTGGCAAAAGAGGACAGTCGCGAAGAGGGATCTCTTGAAGTGGTCACCAAGACTCTGGGATCGACAACGCCGCTGAGTTGCGCATATTCGTCGTCGAGCTCAAGCTCTTCCTCCGCGGTTCGGTCCGCACGCGATTCGTCATATTGGAAATCCTTTCGCAGCTCTTTATCGTTGGCAATTTCCGCTGGCAATGGCTTGCCGCTGGCCAGCGAGGCCTTTAATTTTGCACGCTTCTCCGCTATCTCCGCATCACGAAGGGTGAGAGCACGCCGGTAGAGGTAGTCGCGGCGTTCGCGAGCTTGGCGGCGCTGTTGAATACAGCAAATTCCAGGTCAGTTCAACTGAAACATCCCGGGAAGACCAAGAAGAAGCCGGACACTTACAATCATGATGGTGATGGGAGGTGATAAGTTTGTATGTTTGTCCGTTTAGGTGCAGGAAGGCCGAACTTTGTCTAGAAAGGCAGTCCCTCCAGAAAAATTTAAGCGAGAATCTTACGGGCGGTCAACGGCCTTTCGGCGGGAATTCATATCTAATCAGATACTTTACGATCTAGTAGGGGAACCTAGAAGAGTAAGAATTATTGCGAGGAAAACAAGTACTCAGGACTTTAGATCTCGTAGTGGAAGTCTACGCCGCGTCGGACTAGGAAATCCCCTCGGGCAACATTAAGCAACATCTAAATGTTACATCGCCATCGTCTTTAGATGCCCACGCATCTTTCACTTTGACTTCTTTGGGATTTGTTGCAACTGGGCCTGTTCATAGACTTAGTTGTATCTTATTTATTTTGGCCGGCGAGTTTACTGCAAAGGTCAGATTCATAACCTCTGGTTGGATCATCCATTCCTTTCTCTGGCCCAAGCGGCATCTGGGTGAATCCTGACAACCGACACCGCCACCAAGAAATAAATACATGAAATCTGTTCAGAAGACGATTTGACGGAGTTGAACAAATTTCTTATTCTCCTCTATCATACTTATACGTCCTCTGGAAACATCGAATCAAAACTGCACACCGAATACGTTTACTCCGAAACCGCGGCCTTGATACGGCTACGATGGAAGGGGCTTTCACCCATCTGGGGAATCATTTGATCTCCGACTCAGCGTCGACTATCAATGCTGGCGATGACCTCTCGACTATTGACCCCGATGATTCCATATTAGATAGAGAATATGGGCGTGGAAATATTGGTGGCGGGCCGCGACGGCGACGCCACGACGATGAGGACACGGAACTGTTTGACGACGATGACATGGAAAGTATGGCCAGCATGCCTGTAGATGGCAGGAACGGCAAGGCTGGCATGAAGATCGAAGAAGAAAAAGAGCTGCCGCCACATGCTTGCGCGTGAGTACCCCAAAGATGCTTCGGATATCCCTATGGTGTCCGGGGCGACAATTGCCACAAAAGACATTGATAAGCTAATAATTATTTTTTTCTCCGTTGGTTTTTACAGATATTGCGGTATTCACAATACTAGCAGCGTCGTCAAATGCTTAAGCTGTAGCAAATGGTTTTGCAGCGCTCGTGGCAACACATCGTCTTCGCATATTGTCAACCATCTAGTGAGAGCGCGTCACAAGGAGGTGCAGCTTCACCCTGCGTCGTCGTTGGGTGATACTGTGTTGGAATGCTATAACTGCGGAACGAAGAACGTCTTTCTACTAGGATTCATCCCTGCGAAATCGGATACTGTCGTGGTTCTACTCTGTCGACAACCTTGCGCGTCCATGCCGTCAACAAAGGACATGAATTGGGACACGTCTCGGTGGCAACCTTTGATTGAAGATAGATCATTTCTGCCTTGGCTAGTAGCCGCGCCCACCGACCATGAGCAGCTCCGCGCGCGCCATTTGTCGCCTCAAATGATTGCAAAGCTGGAGGAGATGTGGAAGGAAAATGCGAATGCAACAGTAGCCGATTTGGAAAAGACAGGCGGAGCGGACGATGAACCTGCGCCGGTTCTTCTTCGATACGACGATGCCTATCAGTATCAAAACGTTTTTGGTCCCCTTGTGAAGATTGAGGCCGACTACGATCGCAAGCTCAAGGAATCTCAGTCCCAGGATAACCTAATCGTGCGATGGGACTTTGGTTTGAATAACAAACACCTTGCCAGCTTTGTTCTTCCCAAGCTCGAGTTGGGCGACGTCAAACTTGCGGTCGGGGATGAGATGCGCCTTCGTTACACGGGCGAGCTGAGACCTCACTGGGAGGGTGTTGGGTACGTTATCAAGGTACCTAACAACCAATCCGATGAAGTGACTATCGAGTTGCGCACCAAGGGAGACCATAAGTCGGTTCCAACCGACTGCACTCACAATTTCACCGCCGATTATGTATGGAAAGCCACATCTTTTGACCGAATGCAATTGGCCATGAAGACTTTCGCTGTCGATGAATTGAGCGTCTCTGGCTACATTTTCCACCGCCTGCTCGGTCACGAGGTCGCTGCAGCTCCGATGAAGACGCAGCTCCCCAAGAAGTTCAGCGTCCCCGGTCTTCCAGAGTTGAACGGTAGTCAGATTCACGCCGTGAAGAGCGTTCTTCAAAAGCCCCTGAGTTTGATTCAAGGTCCTCCTGGAACAGGCAAGACGGTGACGTCTGCGACAATCATCTACCACCTCGCCAAGATTAATGGCGGTCAGGTTCTTGTATGCGCACCATCTAACGTTGCTGTTGACCAGCTTTGCGAGAGAGTCCATCGCACCGGACTGAAGACGGTTCGTGTGACTGCCAAATCGAGGGAGGATGTGGAATCCCCCGTTCGGTTCTTGTCTCTTCATGAGCAGGTTCGACTTAATGACAGCAATGTTGAATTGACCAAGCTCAATCAGCTGAAGAGTGAATTGGGTGAACTGTCGAGCCAGGACGAGAAAAAATTTAAGCAATTGACTCGTGCGGCCGAACGGGAGATTTTGGCCAATGCTGATGTCATCTGCTGCACCTGCGTGGGCGCTGGTGACCCGCGACTTGCGAAATTCAAGTTCAGAACTGTCCTCATTGACGAATCTACTCAGTCCGCAGAACCAGAGTGTATGATTCCGTTGGTCCTCGGCTGCAAGCAGGTTGTACTTGTTGGTGATCACCAGCAGCTTGGACCAGTCATTATGAACAAGAAGGCAGCCAAGGCAGGTCTCAACCAGTCTCTGTTTGAGCGTCTAGTTATCCTAGGCTGCGCCCCAATTCGACTGAATGTGCAGTACCGTATGCACCCATGTCTGTCCGACTTTCCCTCAAACATGTTCTACGAAGGGTCTCTGCAGAATGGCATCACTATGCATCAACGACTTCGTCGGGACGTAGACTTTCCCTGGCCAGTTGCAGATTCTCCGATGATGTTCTGGTCCAATCTGGGCAACGAAGAGATTTCCGCTTCGGGTACATCCTATCTTAACAGGACCGAAGCATCCAACGTGGAGAAGATCATTACTCGCTTTTTCAAAGCCGGCGTGCAACCTCAGGACATTGGTATTATTACTCCTTATGAAGGCCAGCGGAGTTTCGTGGTTTCGTCAATGCAGGCGAACGGAACCTTCAAGAAGGAAAATTACAAGGAGATTGAAGTTGCTTCGGTGGATGCCTTCCAGGGTCGTGAAAAGGATTATATTGTTTTGTCCTGCGTGCGTTCAAACGATCATCAGGGCATTGGATTCTTGAGCGATCCGCGCCGTCTCAATGTCGCGCTCACTCGTGCCCGGTATGGTCTAGTGATCCTTGGCAATCCCAAGGTTCTTTCGAAACATCCCTTGTGGCATTACCTCTTGATGCATTTCAAGGAGCGCAATTGTCTGGTTGAAGGACCTCTTTCCAACCTGCAAGTGTCTCTCCTCCAGTTTAGCCGCCCCAAGCACAGCTACCGCGGCCCTCAGCGCTACCAGATGTCATATGCGAACAACCTCGGTTCTGGTCAAGGTGCTCGCAATGGTGCCAATGGACGGAACGCACGGCAAGAGTACAACGACACGGGCTCTGCAATTGGCTACATTCCCGACGACGTTTCCTCAGTACATTCTTCTGCCTTGGGAGGTGTTGGTGTCCCGTCTGCGTATCCTTCAATCTTCTCCAGCTTCACCGATGCATGGCCTGCTTTGAGTTCTGCCCGCGGCGGACTTGGTGGACCCAAGGGTCGCATGAACGGTGGTGGTCCTGGAAGCATCGCGGGCGAGTCTATTGCAGCAAGTGAATTGACTGATACCAATGGCATCGATGGTAAGGGCGTAGCTCAAGGCGGTGTCACCCTCGGCGGTGGCGTCAGTCTCAACGACCTTGGCAAGCAAACCTCGTTGAGCCAGTCGGACCGTTTGAAGCGCTACGTGGAATCCAGCGGCCGTGCCAATGAGACTGGAAGTGTGTTTGGAGGTAGCTCAACCGGCATGTTAGGAGGTCGGATTCCCCGTGGCGGCACCTTTGACGACGACGATGTACGAAGCGTTTCGACCGCCTTTGCCAGCCAGATTGGCTTAGGGAACTACGATTGATTGAAGACAATGCTAAGATTGAGTCCCAGTCTATTTTGGGAAGAGTCTTCTGGAAGCAAGAGACTGTCACGCAGAAGAAAATTCATTATCGAGACAAGAGAGCGGGAAATTTGTTTCGCCCTTGACGGTGCTACACGGCTCTTGGGAAGACCTTGTAGTACCCGCCTGCTCTCGAGGTTTGAGGGGCTTGAGACCCCGGGTGTGCTTGTCTATGGGCAACACAATAAGTCTCTAGCTCAAGCTGTTTGAGAACCCATGGGACTCAAACACTTGAGGAATGCACCAATCATCACATTTCCCGATCGCGGAGGGTTGAATCAGAGGCTCGTATCCGTTTCGAAGGAAGGAGCACTGCAATATCCACGGCACAACCATCCTTTTTCTCATCTCTAACATACGTTCCATCTTCAGCGTCAGTTTGGACTGCAAATTCCTCGCATTTCAACTACTGCCATGCTACTTTCTCGTCAACTCTTCTAGTGGCATGCTGCAGCTCTTGAAGGACACGGCACCCTGTGCTGATTTCGTCCTATAGGGGGTTGATCGTCTTTGGGTCGACAGTAACTGCAAATCAGAATTGTCCAGATTATGTTTGTTCGGGCTCTCCAGCAACTGACAAGCTTCTCTTTGCCCTGCTGTGGGCCACTCGACCCCGTTCAGGTTGCTGATGACCTGATGCGAATTTGACTTGAGTCTTTTTGCTAAGAATGTATGCTGCCGAAATGGAGGTGTGGAAGGTGGTTTTAAATGGCCATTGCGCGGTGGAATTTGTAGTCTAGTGGTAGACTGTTTTACACTTTTTAGATTGCGTTCCTTTTTTCATTTATTTATGTTCTTCCCTTTCAAATCAATCTTCCAGTTCTATTAACTACTTCTTTGAAGATTTGCCACTTTCTGAACTTCCTCGTTTCTGGTGATTAAGTGATTTGTCTATTCTCGTGATCAGTTACCTTATATCTAGTGATACCGTGCCATTCGATTGCACAATCTCAAGTCCTAGAATTTTTTTTTTCTACCTGAATTTCCCTCTAAAAAAAATTCTAATATATATATGTACATATTCTGCGCGTAAACCTCTTGGTGGAAAACCAACCCGGAAATGCAAATTTTTTTAGGCAGCAAATTGTCGTGAAGTTGAGGTTGTAATGTAGATTAAACCTACATTGGCTTTACCTCCTTCTACAGAGCACCACCACTACTATCCATCTATCCTACTTGTCGAGAGCTGGGCAGTTGGCAAGTAAGATAATGAACAAGAAAGAATGTGTTACTAGATTTTAAACTTTTGATTAAAGTTATAATGCTATTGGGTGGTTGTTGTTGTTGTTGTTGTTGTTTTGTTGGTTTTCCTAGGTAGACTGTACCTTTACACAATAGAATTTGATTGATTGTGAATGTACATACCTTTGTACAGTAATTCATGTGCCATGATACAAATTTACAAAAGCATGTTATTGCATGCCTCTTCACAATTAATCTGAATCAATTTAAATCAATGTAAATTGTTGTGAATTTGGGACACTGAAATTTTGTCAACCAGACATTGTGGGAAGGTTTAAGTTTGAACAAGACATTCCATCCACAGATGGGTTAAAAAATACACACACACAATGGCAGGCAACAAGGCAGCAGGTCATGGAGTTGGGGGGGGGTGGCATTACAGAACAGAGTACGGAGGTAACATGGAATAATCAGTAACGTGGCATAGCGTGGGATATAAGTAACACATTAAGCATTGCTCGGCAACAAGATTGACCGATTGGCGCAATGGTAGCGCGTGGCTCTCCTACTAAGGAAAGTCCTTGAAACTTATAAGTTCAAGCCAAGGTTGTGGGTTCGAGTCCCATGTCGGTCGACAAATGTTTTTATTTTTTATTTTATTTTTTATTTTATTTTTTCGAATGCAGACTTCAAGTGAGCTTGCACTGACTGAAATGGTGGATGCGAATGAAATTTTTCTACTTATTGGGGAGCACGGGTGCGTGTGGGTGAGTTCAAAAATTAACTGGCATAACGTTAAAGGGAACAGGGAATAAAGTGAGAAAGTGAGAAAGTGAGGAAGTGAGGAAGTGGGGAAAAGTCTCGCATCACAATGTCTTGGATTCACTGAAAAAAAAAAGGGGGAAAAGAGAATGGAAGAAAAAAGATGTGGATATTGTCTATTCTTGAAAATTGAACAGAATAGAATAGAATGGTTTAAGAAGAACAGGAGAGAACAAAATGCTCAAAAGTAATTAATCTAGTCCAATGATTTTCCGTAGTTCTGGAACTTCAGTATGGTCACGGGTCGACTGCATTCTGTGAACCCAGACGACATGGGCTTGTTCGTCTTGTCCTGACGTCGCTGGATGAGGGGTTTGAGTCTGGGTCTTCTCTTCCTCTGAAGATCCATATTCCTTGTAGGGTAAAGGTTCAGCAATATCGGTGTGTGTTGCCGCTCCAGATCCCACTTCGATCAGTAATTCGCCTCCGACTTGCTTAAAGTCTCCGCCCTTGAAAATCGATGGTCCAGACATGACCATCTGCTTCATGCTGCGCAGGGTCGTTCCGACAAAAGTACCGGGAGAGTAAGCTGGCTTTGTCTCGCCCAGAGATAACGTTTTGGTCATCTGTAGCGCTTGATATAGCTGACCGCTGGGGTCGGCGTAAATGGGGTACGGACAGGACGTGGTTTCGGCATACCATGGTATGAGTGATGGCTCGCCGCATCCGATGACTATGATTTGCGTTGGATATTTGAGAGGAGGGCTGTTGAGCGCTTCTGGTTTAATCGATGCGCTGAGCATCTGGAGGTAGTCTTGGCAGACCTAGATGGCTGGTAAGCCCCCAATTTTCGCCCCCGATATTGCGAGATGTAGAGCGTGGAAAGAGAGAAGTAAGGGGAAATGGACCGCGTAGTATATATGACGAGTAATAAACACTTGGAACGTTGCGTAGAGAAAGGAAATGACCATTTTAAGAAGGGAAAGCGCATGTCTGCGGTCAAGGGAAAATACAATGAAGGGTGGGAGGGGGGGAAAGGCAAACGATGAATATGTAAGTGTTTATTGCTTTAAAAGTGTCTTCTCTTGTATAACAGGCAATAGTGGAACTTCTGTTGGATAAAAAAAAATGAAAGAACAGGTAGTAGGAAATGAAAGAATTGATTCATGCAGTGAGCATCTTGCTGACTTACTCCACAGAAAAAGTGTCGAACGAAAATAAACAGGGTTCGGTGCGTCTGACTATGACTTGCTGCGCCGTGGCTGGAGCGGAGATAGAGATCTTTGAACGAAAAGGATTTCCCATCTGCTGAGAGTACATGCAGATCAGCGACCTTGGTGAGGTCTACTGAAGCGCTGTCTTCTGATTTTCTTGGCTTTGCTTTTGGTGCCGGGCCTGGGTTCGGCATGGATTTCAGGTCTGGGCGCATTTCGGCCCCGGCAGTAGCGTACATGAAACTTCCTCCACTCATGATGATGATGATGATGGGAATGATAACATAAAAGGAAGGTTGATCAGATTATGAAGGAAATAGAGAAATTGGAAATTGGAGAATGCTCGAAGTCCCAAGGGGTATTTGATATTGGACTGATGACGATATGTAAAGAAATGGCCGTCGAGGGATAGATTGTGAAAATGACAACAAAGACATTGATCTGCTCAGGCAGCAAGAATATCAAAAGATAATGAAAACAACCTATTTGAAGAGACGAACAGAGATTAAATAAATGGACATCAAGTCGGGCATGACAGGGAATGATATCAAACAGATATTGTGTACTGCCTCGCTGCAGGGGGATATTCGCGCCAAGAGGATTTCTCGGCTGACGTAGGATTTTCGTGGGGTAAAACCTGTAAAAGGAATGCTTATCCGTCTATCGCCCCTTTGGCCCCCAGGGACTTCGTATCGTAGTGCACGTGTACTGTAAATACCCACAGAACATTGTACCGAGGGTGTACACTGCACCTCTACTTTTCGTCAAACTGCTTCAGATTGGTATAATCTTTGTTTATACTCGATTGTATATATTTCTTTTTCGTCGACCCGGATTATGCTATCTTTGGCTCTCAGACGGTACCCTCTCTGTTCATTATCCCCGAATTGGCGACGTTGCTTATCAAGTCAGGCGTGTGGCTCTACCCCGCATTCCAGGAGCATCTTCTGCATTTCCTCGTAGAATTGTTAATTCCGTAAGTAAAATGCTGCAAATTTGTCTGGTTTCTATTTCAAACTGTCAATTTTTCTGAGTCGATAGCATTCAACCTCCAGTCAAAATTTTATTCGTTTTGCTCTTGTTGTTTCCTCTTGTTGTATCTTGCTGTTGATGTTTACTTATGGAACTGATATTGACTTGACGATTAGCAAAATATACCGTTTTTCCAAAGAAAGGACCTGGCATGCTATTTTTCTATAAATGCACGGCAGAATCAAAGCATTGTAGAAAATGAATTTGGAAGCGCCCAAGCGGAACCCACTGCCTTCTCTGATGACAAGGCGATTACCGTCCAATGGCCTGACAAAACACCAGCAAAATTGTAAAGTCAAGTTATTGTAATTAGTATGAAAAAACCCAGCTAACTGTTGAATTTACAGCTTGAACCTATGGCTGAGGTGCGTACGAAGTGCATTTGGCCGTAGCAATGAGACTGAGTGTTTGAAGAGATCATTGTCAATGCTCAGCGTGTGTTCATCAAGACACAAAACAGCGTCTCCTTGATTCCTTTGCTGTACGTTTCAATGGTTGCTAGCCTGCTCTAAGCTGACTCTGTGGTAAGCTCCCAAGGGACATCTATGCCAAAGCCGTCATTCCAAGCCCGAAGGGTCTTCATGTGAAATGTAAGCCGAAAATGACTCCATTTCAGGAAAGCTACTTACAGTATGTCAGGGAATAGCGACGGTCATGAAAGTATATATGATTGGGATTGGCTTCACTTACATCGTCATTTCCCGAAACGCCCGATGCATGACCATGAGCTGCCAAGGTACGCAAATCTACGCTGTCGAAAAGGACATAGAGCATTACTGAAGATCTTAGTTTTAAGCTATGGGGCAGCGAAATTCGGAACTCCCCACCTACAGTCCAATACAAGGATATAATGAGCTCTGAAGAAGGAGTAGGAGGTTGGTTAATGAGCATAGTATGTTCCTTTTGCTCTCGTACGCCTTATGTACGGTAGTTGACATCAATAAGCATCGTTTTGGTTTCGCCTCTGTCGAGGGTTGCCCAGCTTCTCCAGAAGCTACCGAGGAACTTCTCGAACGGATTTCCTTTATCCGTCATACGCATTATGGTATCTCTATCTGCCTCTCTAGCTGTATCTCTAAAACTGACACTCTATCTCAGGCGGGTTCTGGGACTTTACCTCTGATCTAGCTTCAAAGGATACGGCTTATACGTCTTTGGCCTTGAATGCCCATACTGACACGACATATTTTTCCGACCCAGCTGGCCTGCAGCTGTTTCACCTCCTTTCGCACACTCAAGGAGAAGGTGGTGCTTCGCTATTAGTGGACGGCTTCCGTGCTGCCCATATCTTGAAGAAAGAAGCACCGGAAGCCTATCGTATCTTGAGCCAAGTGAGGGTACCATCCCATGCAAGTGGAAATGAGGGAATCAGCATTCAGCCTTATACCTCGTTTCCAATCCTTAACCATCATCCAGTTACAGGAGAATTGATACAGGTCCGATGGAACAATGATGACAGGGCCACTATGGACGAATGGGAAAATGAAGAGGACGTGGAGAGATGGTACGATGCAGCTCGTAAATGGGCCAACATCCTCAGGCGTGAGGAAAGCGAATACTGGGAGCAGCTACAGCCAGGTCGTCCATTAAGTTCGTTGCTCATCAGGTGTACATTAATAAAAGAAAAGGAGACAGATGCTAATACGTTCAGCAGTCTTTGACAATTGGAGGATACTCCATGGAAGATCAGCCTTTACAGGAAAACGACGATTATGTGGTGGATATAGTTCAGTTTATCCTAACCTCCGACTGAGCAAGCCAAATACTAACACCTTCTAGTCAATCGCGATGATTTCATTTCTCGACTGCGTATGACTAACTGGAACCGCGAGCAAATATTAAAGGCTCTGTAATTATCTATGGTCGCCATCAACCGTTGTCCGTACCAGTCGAGAGTGTTTCACTCGAAATGCTCCAACACTCCGTAGTGGTTCGCATTGTTTCGGAAATGCTCCTGTTTGCGCAATTGAGCCTCCATTGACATGACATGTGACACGTCGGGAATCTATATCAAACCCTAGCTAGCTGTTCCCTGCCAAAAGACAACGTGCAGCACCCGCAGGATCCACATATGACGTATATACCTGATAGCTAAGCGCGGTAATTTTTACATCTATGAATAGCATGCCCTGAGGGGTGCTCTACCGAAGGAGGCGGTGGAAAAGTCCAAGCCGGAGATATGCAATCATCAGACGAACAATACCTTTTAGACGGTTTAATTGAATACCAAGCCGTAGTAGTCTGTTGAGGATGTGGGGCCACCCCATCGTGTCAGCACACATGTCCCTGCTTCCGTTGACAAGCGGGTGGTTCTTTTCAGTCAGGGAATTATGTCGAGCCTACCAGCGGGATGCGAGAAGGGCATTCCGTGCTTTTTATTTGGTGCGGCAACAGTTACAACCGTACCTTTTGGCTGACGGCGAATCCCTCCCAAATTTGGCTTGGGCTGAACAATGTGGATGATCTTTCTTAACTGCGGATAACCGGGGAATCGATTTGCCCACGGGAAAATGGGTTTGAGGCTTCTGCTTTCAGAGCTGATTGCCATTTTATTGGTTGCCCATGCTCCCCATTTGTCGCAAGGCTATTAGATCCGGCTTTTACACCGGAATCTATATTCACCGAGACTGGGCTGACGGATTTACCGCATCGACAAGCTCTCTTTCGAGAAATCCTTGAGAGTATTTGAAACCCCCCGACGCGGTATGCGGCTCTGGGTCCTTGGCCTTGTGGCGATTACTCCGTATGGACTCAACTTGGGGAATCGCGGGAGCTGAAATCTCGGCACGAAGAATCAATGGGCCGGGCCACCTGAGGGGGCCCCTGGGGACTAACTTAGTCAAACCTTAACCAACTGAACACGCGAAAAGAGGCAAACCACAGAAGAAAGTTGCCAGCTGTTCAACAAATTTGCACACTTTCTACCAGGTAACCCAATCGCCGCCAACTATATCATACTCAGCCACTTTGGTCAGCCAGCCTATCTGAGTCAATGTTAATGCATCCTTCCCCCCGGCTGCGGGAAATTGAGTCTCGGTCAGTTATTCGGAAAGCGGATGGCGAGCTCTTTAGCTCCTCCGACGTCATCCCGCGAACCTAAGGCGCTCAAGCTCAAAGAAGGAGAAAGTCAAAATATTGAATCCCCTAAGATTAGTTGGGATTGGTCCCATCATCTAAATAGCTTGATGCTGGGATATATATTTCTTTCCCTGTGTTAGGGGATGTCTGAGGTTTTGACAATGGCAAGTGGTTACAATAACGGCCCTCAGCATGTCAGCCGTGGCGAGGATAGAATGACGATTACTCCGTAGGCGAGGCGATTATTGAAATTCGAGCTTATACAATATGTACTCGGAGATGCCGCCGATTCACAGCATCCGAATCATCTTGGCGGACTTCCGCAATCCCCTGGCAATGTATCTTACCTCACCATCGATTAAGGTGGGTTAATCTAATGTATGAATGAGAGCCGGCCTTTTCGTAATTGTTCCCAGGCTCGGTGGCGAGACACTGGAGAGCGATGGACTTAATGGATGGCATCATAGATAAAATGCGGCACTGAGAAAGTGCCGGCTACTCTTCACCGGCTTGGGCTCTGCCAGCTGAAGGGGAAAGTTTCACGGTAAAGAAACCACTTGTAGCATCTGATACTGAGCCTGACATGGTCGTCTTGATGGATTAAAGTGTGTACTTTCTGTTTCCTAGAACTGATTCTGGTCCTGGTTGCGAATTGGCTCCTCTGTTTACTATGACTGTCTGAGAAGTATTGATGACTGCCTACGTGAGATTGCAATGCTCGTAGGCTGTCGGCTGCAGCATCGGAAATGAGCCAAGCTGAGTGCCCGAAGATGGCTGTTGCGTGTAACCTGCATTCATCCCTCTCACCATCTTACCACAACCTGTTGTAGGGCTGCTACTTGAGGTGCGGGCATTGGATATGGAACTATGGCAAAAGTCCTGTCGTACAATCTGCCCAATACATTCACTGCTTTGTACGATGACCACAAGATGCATGCGAGGGAAGAGTCGCAGCAGGCTGGAGGTTTCGACCAGTTTGATGGTCATTACGGCCAAGCAGCCTTTAACCCATATTCTGCTTCTAGACAAATCCCTGAGGCTTTCTTTCAGCTTCTTCTTCGTCGACGGGCTGTCGCTCTTTCCCTTTTCTCTTTGACCTCTTCCTTCCAATTTCGATCAAAGGGCCTATGATCTGCCTACTGAGCTGTTTCTTTGCCTTCAGGAGGAATACGACACGCTTCGCCTTCAGCTTCCACCAATCTTCCCACCAAGTCAAAGGCAGCATGTACCAGGTGGACCGACAGTGTCATTTCATTTGACCACATCCTACACACTCGTCGTTTCGGTCGACTTGGCACAGTGGAGAGTAGCTCGCGCAACTGATTTGACCACTCTACGGGGGCCTTTCTTCTTATCGAAGGATTTGCAACGACACGTCAGGAAAGGTCGGCGTGATACAACAAAGATACATCTTTCGCCTACAGTGAGGTCTACGGCTAGAGGTCAGACTGGACGAGACTGAAAGGTTGAATCGGAGTACCCAGCAATACTGAATGACTTTGAAGGGAGACAAGCTAAATTGTGGGCGCATTTGGTCACTTTGCTTATCCAGCTAACCGACAGTCTCTCTCTCCAAGCCCCCATTCCGCGGCTTGGACAGGCCATTATAACTCCATACCCAAGAGAGACAAGCTGGCAGACGCTTTGCAGTACCGGCGCCGCTCCACGACGACCATGACGGGCCCCGGCGCGCCCAACGACATCACTGCCGTGGCCACCGTCTCCAACATCCCTACCGGTACCCCTCATGCTATAAGCTCAGGACACAACAAGCTCACCGAGTGGGATGGTACTGCTCCTGCTCCTGCTTTTTCTTCTAGCTCAGATGAAAATTCTTTGATACGAACTCTTCCAGAATCGACGTCGACACGTTCAAGGCCCAATTTTCATGTGCAGACACCTCTTCCTGCATCGGAGCTTATAGACTGCTTCGATATTGCGGAAAAGAAATTAACTACGTCAAAACTCGAGGCTCACCGAGTATCCTGCTATTGGATTCCCTCCATTAGTGGATTCATTCCTGGTCCTGGCGGTCAGGCAACACCAATCCACTCTCGCCAGAATTCGTGTCAAGGGTTTGGTCGTCCGGTGCTCTACAAATCTAACAGCTCAACGACGTCGACCAGGACACAGCCGAGTTCAAGCGTTAGTCGCTTACCGTTGCTGAGAACCATCTCCTCGTCGTTCGCTGAGCTTAGTTTTCCTGCAACACGTCCTTCTGCCATGGCGACACAGGAGGGCGTTAATGCTCAGCGAGCGACGGCCTTGTTAAGGCAAGCCATACTGCAGAGGTAAGTGCGTTGCAATTATTATTGTTTCTTAATTGTTGTTATGTCGGAAGCCGCTCCGTTCGAGGGCAACCTTCACGAATCGTGTTCCCGATGGGCTTCTGCGATCCACCTTGCGTCCAAACTGCATGCGAGCGACATGGGGCCGCTCCACTTTTTTTCGTCTCTGATTGGGGACGACAGCATGTGCACATGCAGAATGGACGAAAGGGTGGACTCGTTGCGATTCGGGAACTTTTTTTTTTTTCGTCTTTGGCGCTTCTCGGTCCGAACAAGCACCATTTCTAAGCTATACCCTTTCGTGGAAAAGTCAAGCGTCACTAGACGTCGGACTTTGCCCACTTTCTCTCTTGTCGTGCTTCCCACAAATATGCTCGCCCGGTCACCATTTTTACGTCTTCCTTTCCTTCCCTTCCTCTCGAATTCCCTTGTTGTTTCAAAACCGTCTTCAGTTTCTCCTGACAACCACGGGCGCAACTTGGTTATGTGAAGCCCAATCGTGACCCACTTCCATGATCCCTTAAAATTCGTTTCGCTTCATCGAGACCCTGCAAACTCCCTTTTCCCTCTTTTTCCTCCCCGTCAGCTTTCTCGTTGCCACTAGAGGCGCGGCACCTGCCGTCACATCGTCACTCCCCTTGGACGAGTGTGTGACCCGCTACGTGCTCCTCGTGGTGATCTCCGCTTACCTTTGGCGATTTCCAAAGCGTACTTCCATCGTTGCACCTCCTTCTCCGCCAAACAATTCATCCCCACGATGGCCTCTGCTAACCCCTCACACGCTGTCAGCCGGCCTGATAACGATGGCCATGACCAAATTGGCTCAACCGGGTCGACCCCGCCGGCGGGAATCTCTACCCCTCGCCCCAATCTCGTGGACAAGAGACTCCCCGGCATCGCGCACAGCTTCTTTGGACAGGTTCGTAACAGATCCTCTAGCAATCCTTCTCCTCCGGGCTCCACAGCTGTAGCCACCCCGGCGGTGGATACGGGCGTCGAGAGTCATGATCCCTTGCACATACGGGAGGGTGTGGCGGGTGGTGATTCGAAGCCGCCAGCGGCTTCAAGTTCCCCTGAGCGCCGCGCTGATGAGGGACACGATACGGCTCCGCTGTTGCCTCATGAGGCATTGGGCGGTAGGCCGCATCCGGTCTCCTCGCAGGAGGTTGAACCTTCTGCATATCCAACCCCTCCAATCTCCTCCGCCTCTTCCATGTCCAAAAGCACAAGGGACGAGGACGGCACACGCGTTGAGGCTGGATCTGCCGGCGGATCTACCGCGGAAATGCGTGCTGCAGACCCTGCGTCTGATCTTTCTTCCTCTACACAATCTCCAATGATGGCGCGGAGATACACTCTTACCCCGGTCAATCCCCTGGGCGGCGTAACCACGACCCCTACCGTCCACGCTGCACATTTGTCGAATCCCACTTCCCGCTCTTCCTCGACGACACCTGAACAAAATGCTAGCTTTTCTGCCCCATCTACGTCTGATCCTCCTTCGGCTTCTTCGTCGTATCATGGACTGAAAAAGCTAACTGACGGCGCGGATTCTCCGCGCGATAAGAGTACCCCGCCTCAATCGCCTCGAGCGTTGTCAGCAGAACACCCAGAACGGCAACAGTCCTTATCTGTGGGCCCTTCCTCGAACAAGACGAGCGAAAGCCCCTCCATCTCCTCCACGGCGAATACCATTGCCACAAACGCAGCATCGAGCGTTGGTCCGCCCAAGGGGAAGCTCTCGGTGCTCATTTCAGAAGCAAGAGGTCTGAGGCCGAGTGTAGATCCATATGTCGTTTGCGTCTTTGAGTGGAATGAGTACATCTCCAAGGGCCCCAAGGGGGAAGAGGAGGAGGAAGAGGAGGAAGCGCTAGTGCCGTCGCCCACAAAGGAGGATCCCGCTCAAGGTGTTGCTATTCCTCGTCCCAGTGGTGGCGAAGCGGGACGTCCGATGCCTATTCCTTCTAGGAGCCGTCAAAGCAGCAATGCAAACCTGACGGACTATCAGATGGGGAAGAAGAAGCTTGTTACTGACCCCAAATGGGACCATGAAGCTGTTTTGTAAGCATTTTTTTTATTCTTGCGCAATCATTACGTCCCCTCTCCGAACTGACAATTGGGGAACAGTGACGTCGTGGGAAAGCATTCGGAGATTGAGATCTCGGTCTATGACCGTGCAAACCACGAGGCCTTCCTCGGCCACGTTCGATTTTGCCCTAATCTTAGTGAGCGTGCGTCCGTTTTGGAAAACTGGTTTCATCTCGAGGGCCGAAACCATGAGAAGGAGCTTGTTACTGGAGAAATTTTCCTGCGCCTTGAATTTCAAAAGACAGAGAAGAAGCAGTACGGTCCGGCCGACTTTCAAATCCTCAAGCTGATTGGCAAAGGTCCGTGTTTGCCCTTGAGGAGCCTATTCAAACTTCTCGTCCTTTGAGACCATGCTGACACTTTTCAATCCATAGGCACCTTTGGACAAGTGTATCAAGTCCGCAAGATTGACACCCAGAGAATCTATGCCATGAAAGTTTTGTCGAAGAAGGTCATTGTCCAAAAGAAGGAGATTGCCCATACGTTGGGCGAACGAAATATTCTTGTTCGAACCGCCAAGACAGAGTCGGCTTTCATTGTCGGTCTAAAGTTTTCCTTCCAGACACCTACCGATCTTTACTTGGTGACCGACTATATGTCCGGAGGCGAGCTCTTCTGGCATCTGCAAAAAGAAGGTCGGTTCCAGGAGCCGCGTGCTAAATTCTACATTGCCGAGCTCATTCTTGCGTTGCAACATCTCCATCAACATGACATTGTCTATCGTGACCTCAAGCCGGAGAATATCCTGCTCGATGCCAATGGCCACATTGCGCTTTGCGACTTTGGATTGTCAAAAGCCAATCTAGCACAAGACGATACCACCAACACCTTCTGCGGAACAACAGAGTACTTGGCACCCGAGGTCCTTTTGGATGAACAGGGATACACCAAAATGGTCGACTTCTGGTCACTTGGTGTATTGGTGTTTGAGATGTGCTGCGGCTGGAGTCCGTTCTACGCTGAAGACACGCAGCAGATGTACAAGAACATTGCCTTTGGAAAGGTTCGCTTCCCGCGGGATGCTCTCAGCACAGAGGGACGTAATTTCGTCAAAGGGCTTCTCAATCGCAACCCCAAGCATCGTCTTGGTGCAACCAATGATGCCGAAGAGCTCAAGAACCACCCCTTCTTTGCGGATGTGGACTGGGACGCTCTGCTAAAGAAGAATGTTGTTCCTCCTTTCAAACCGAAACTGAAGTCGCAGCTTGATACGTCAAATTTCGACCCGGAGTTCACCAACGTGATAACTGCAGCTTCTTCTCTCAATGCTCGCGCGGCTGCATTTGGTGCAGGTGGGGTTACGGCTTCGACGCCTCTGTCGCCTGGCATGCAAGCCAAATTCAAGGGCTTCACTTTTGTGGATGAGAGCAATATGGATGAGCACTTCCAGCATCATGATCTTGATAGGATGGACGAAGATGACCGCGAAGCCGATCCCAGCTGGGACCAACCCATCCCGCAAAATGGCAAGCTGCATGAGCGGATGAGCGGCGTCGTACGAACAGGCAATCACACGGAAGATGGCATCTTCAATAACGAACACTTTGAAGTATAAATGCCATTTGTCTCGTTCTTCAAGCATCTCATTTGGAGTTTCAAGTGCCTCCGCATGGCCATTTTTCAACTTCCACAGCCCCGCCCTTTTCTTTTCAATAACTTGTTACCTTGCACAAAAAGTTTACCGAGCGTCGCGCTGGACGGGATTTGGATGATTCATGAATTTAGGGGTTTTTTGAGAGGATGCACGGGGAGTTTACGTTGCATCGTGTTTCTTGGAAGGGGAAACAACGAACAATCTGAACAAGGCTCATTCCTTGCGCAAAAAAAAAAAAAAAAACGGCAACAAAGCAAAGGCGGTAGGCATGTTCACCATTTCCCCTTTATTTCTGTGTGTTCCACCGTCTTCTCCGCTTTCACAGCCGTGCAGCACCTCTTATTATTTCTGGTGCGTCGTGCTTTGTGTCAGGCAGTGGCGAAAGGCCGGCATTCTCCCCACGTTTGTAAACAGCTGTTTTCCGCGTTTTGATAAGTCACGTGCCTCCACTCTTGTCGATTGGCGGGCTTTATCACCGCGTGACTTTTGCTTGTATTTTCTTTTTGGCCTCTTTTTCCCGTTCATCGCTCCATGTTGTGCTGGACGAGACTTTTTTTCATTACTATAGCGTCAAAAGGCCGACTTTGGTAGCCTAAATTTGTATGTATCGCGCCAAACAAGGGGGGGCGGGGTTGGAAAGTTCCTTTTTTTTTTTACCACATACAATATCCCCTCTTGGGCGGGCAGATTATTTCCCCCAGAATCCCTCCCGGCCCCCCTTCATGTTTTTTTTTTTTTTTACTTTTACATATATTAACAAGAGGAACCGATATGGAAACATTGTTTCATTTTTTTTTTTAATATTGTGAGATTTTTGAGATTTGGTGGTTTGACGCCGTGCTGGCCGTGCAGGAAAGATCGGTCTTTTTTTCTTTCTTTGATTCCTGGCCATGTCGCAATCTCAATTACCCTGCTCAAGTGCCTTTTCTTGTCTCTCTCTCTCTCTCTCTCTCTCTCTCTCTCTCTCTAATCGGTTTGATGAAGATTTGTCTATTTCCATGTGAAAACGTCTCAGTTGCTGACTCAATTTTTTTTTCCCTTTCTCGAAAAGTCACTGTCACTGGGCTGGGTGAGGGGTTTAACTACCTAACTTCTAATGTTAATGGATAAGGCTCAATTCAAAAACATACCAAGAAATATTTTTTTTTTCAAAACTATGGAACGACCTCTTCCTCCCCCTCCCCTCTCCCGTGTATATTCATACAAGATGTGGATTATTTCAAGTTGACAACTCATTTGGGTCGGCGGTGCGTGTTAAATTATATCTATCTGGTCTAATCTCCTCATCGTCTCATCTGCATATATATTGTTTACGTATTGCGTCATTGATTACAATGGGAATGTCATATTTCGGACTTGTATTATTGGTACGCGGAATACAAGTAGTAGTATTCATACTCTTTAATACTCTTAACTACTACTTGCTTTCACAGAGCACCAGTGAGGTACAGGGCAGGCAGTGAAAGATGTGCGTTTACTGCAGGACTGCTACCAGAGTAGATTCTGGGGTCTGGGGAATCGAAGTGATCTAGAGATCTACACAGTGTACTGTATCGTCGGGTCTTGGCAAAAAAAAAAAGATTTAAACATAGTTTTAAAGTTTAGAGATAATTTACCCCAATGCCTACGTGTCCGTGCTAGGTGCTCGGTGCGCGGTGCGCTCGAAAAAGATCTGCGCCCTCGTGGCAAGGTTGCAATATATGGCGGGTACTCGTAAAAAAAATGACGTCGTTTGGGTATTACCTCATTGTGAAGAAATAGAACATGGGTTGTTATTATGTGGCTCTGACTAGTTTAAGTTGGTGTTCATATGAAGGCATGGATGACAGAATAATTTTATGCGAGTTAGGACGGGAAGGGACGTTTAATTGATCTTTGGTTTCACAGATTTGCGAATTGACATCACCGTAATGCATCATGAATTGAAATAATGAGATATTGTTTTGAGGAACGAAACCAGTCGTTCAAGATTCGTCTATTTATAAAACAGACATGGGGGTCATCCAGTCATATCGAAAAATTCTCGTAGATACACAAAAATTTGTAAAGAGGAAAAAATAAGAGGTAATAAAGAGAAATAATAGGTCGTAAAGCCGTTAAAAAAGCATTTACCGGATAGCCTCGCCGGGCCAGACGTCGTAGCCAAAGGTGTCCTTCATGTTGACGAAACGGACGCAACGGCCGTGGGCGACCTTGTTGACAGCCTCAAAGTCCTCGTCAGAAAGGTCAACGGGCTTGAAGTTGCTCTCGATACGTGCGGGAGTGGAGCTCTTGGGGAGCACAACGTAGCCACGGCGGATACCCCAGGCGATGAGGACCTGAGCGAGCGAGCGGCCGCTCTTCTCGGCGATGCGGTTCAGCTCAGGATTGGTGTTGACCTTCTCGCCGGTAGTGGGGACCTGGTTCTGGGAGCCCAAAGGAGAGTAGGCCGAGGGCATGACGCCGTGCTTGAAGCACCAGTCGACAAGCTCGTCGTTGGGGAGGAAGGGGTGAATCTCAATCTGGTTCACCATGGGCTTAACCTCGGCGAACTTGAACAGCTTCTCGAGACCCTCAATGGTCCAGTTGGAGACACCAATGGCACGGGCCTTGCCAGACTTGTAGATCTTCTCCATCGCGCGCCAGGTGGGCTCAGGGTTCTCGGTCAACTCCTTCTTGATGATGTACTATCGAGAGTGTCAGTCGAGCATTCTACATTAACGATTTCGTAAATAAATTTCGTCAGAGGCTTACCTTTCCATCAGCACCGATCTTGGGCATGTTGTGCTCGTCCTTCTCGGCAGCAATGGGCCAGTGGACAAGGTAAAGGTCAATGTAGTCAAGACCAAAGTTCTTCAACGAGTTGTTGAAAGACCACTCAACCTCCTCGGGCTCGTGGAGGTGGTTCCACACCTTGGTGCAGATGAAGATGTCCTCACGCTTGACCGAGGGGTTCTCCTTCAAGAAGTCGCGGACAGCGTCACCAACCTCATGCTCGTTCTTGTAGAACCAGGCACAGTCGAGGTGACGGTAGCCAACCTTGAGAGCGGCAGTGACGGCATTGTAAGTCTCACCCACGGCACCCTCGCTGGCAAAGGTACCGAAACCCAAGGCGGGGATGGTAACGCCGTTGGAGAGCTTGTAGGTCTTGGAAGACATGATTGTGATGATGGATGGAGGAATAAGATGAAATCGAAAGGCTTTTATGGGAAAGGGGTATATAGTAGGAGAAAGATGGAAAAGAAGAATTCCTAAAACTTTGTGCACCAGGCTGGAAGGGGAGCTTTTTATGAATGATCCATAGCAACCAGCGCTATTCTCAAACTCTCACAGAAATGAGACGAGAATCGAATGAGGTAGTAGGCACGTGATCGACGATCGTTACGGGCCCAGGCAAAGTGTGTTGGAAGAGAGAGGCTGGTCCCAGAGTTTCTGTCCCCACCGGTTGTGAGGGAATGACGTCTTCGTTGACAGGCTGTGGTGTTGCTGCCCCTCCGCCGTCATCATCGCTCATATATGTGCCCCTCCTTCCCAATCGGGCATGTTTCATCTCGTGTCCGAAGCGAGTGCGTCGGATTGATTAACCAATGTCTTTGGACACCTGTACGCAGCTGTCTGCACGGGAACCGAGAAGTGCCGATACCGATCTTCAGGAACCAGTCGGTCAAGTAAGGGGGATGGTGTCCTCTTTGCTGTGGAAACAAACGAGCAAGAAGAGAAGATTACTCCATCTTATTGCGACCGAGTGGATCTATTACGAAACATTGAAACAGCCTTCATCTGAAAATACCGGCAGGCACCGAGGTACTTCTCCTCCCAGCGGAACCCACGCCAGAATCCATGTACAAATTTCTCACGGCTTTTTAAACTGCAATGGCCTAGGAAAAGAGTCTGCACCTTGCCGATTTTGGCTTGAATCACTGTTTCAACCAATGGGTTGCGGTAATGATGACCAGGGAGCAACGAACGGCGGCTCTTCGGAGAGAATCCGGTCCTCGTTACATTGACCAATAGAACACGAAGGTGACCACATAGGTGCCCGGGCCATTGACGTCGCAGAGGCACCGGAACTACGAAAAATTTCCTTGAAGCAAGGCGTTTTTCTTCTTGCATTGCATCTGCATCTGCATCTGCATCTGCATTCATCACGTCCCCTAGGGACAAATCCAACAGTTTTTATTTTTGGACGGTAGAAATTTCGTCGTATCTTGCCTTGGGGCGTTGACCAGGATTAATTCGCATCTAAATCTTTCCATAGCAAATTATGAGTACTCTAGAAATGGTCCCTTTCTCCGAGAACAAGGTGCTATACCGAAATAATGAGACCCGCTACCCCACCAACGAGGGGCTATGCTCTCTGGTCCTTGCTCCTTGCTCCTTTGGCGCGTTGTACCTTGGCGGCAAAGAGATGAAATCTGGGATTAATGACAGGCCGTGAGAAGAGAGATAAGGTCAAAGTCTCGGGACGGAAGCTGATGGAGAAAAAGGTGCCCTGCAACCAAGAGACGAGAAGACCGTAATAATGACTTTACGACTTTGGCAGCAGTTCCTCTCTAATGAGCGGTTGTCCTGCCAGCAGGTTGTTTCGACCCCTCCTTGGGGCCCGCATACTGTAATTGCAGCGTCGCTTGAGATAAACTCTCCTTTTTGCTGGAGGCGCAATTGCTGCGGACATGTCAACATTCATTTGACGCCAGTCCCACTTTCGGGCAAAGTGGCGAGGTAATTACACAACACGACGTACCAGTCTCTCGATTATTACTGCTCGGCAGCCAATATGCCAGGATGCTTGTTGCAAATGGGGGATCGGGACACTTGCGGTACCTTTCTGCACACATGAGGGCTCCGCTTTTCCTACTTGGAAACCAACCCTTAATATTCTCGTGGTGCGTTAGCAGATAGGCTTTCTCTCCATGCTCGACTAATGAGATAATGAATAGAACCAACCTAGCGGTGCGTCGGCGGATCCTTCTCGACAGCACTGACATCACTCTTGCCCGACCGTGCCCTCTCTTACGCACCTGCAATGAGACGGTTCATGGTAGTCGAACCGCCCACACCGACGCCTCCCAAGGCCCCAAAATCACCATCCCGAATTTGTACAGTTTAGGATCCAATGGCGACGAGGAGGAGGGGTCCCGAAATCAAGAGCAAGCCCCTCTGACGACAGAAGACGGAGCGAATGCCCCTCGTAATAAATACCTAATTCTTCTCCCTGGTCTGACCCAATCCCGTCCTTTCCCTTTTGTTTTATCCCCTTTACTCTTCCTTTTCGAACCTTTTTATACCCTCACAATCCCTTTTCAATTCCTCTGATCCTCGATCCCTATCATACGATTCAAAATGCCTACTTACGACGATTCCGATTTTGGTGTTAACGCCGCCCCCGCTCAGCAGCAGCAGCAGGAACAGGCCGTTGGCAGCGCTGGTGGCCGTTCTGGCAGCTATGGCGGCAGCTTGAGCATTCCTAGTGATGCTCACCGTGGAAGTGCCATTGAGGTTCCCGCCACGCGGTCCTCCATCAGCGATGCTTCTCACTACATGCACAATTTGAGCATCTCCCCCGCTGCCAAGGAGAGACGGGGTTCTCGTAACTCCTTCGGCGCCTCCTTGCCCATCCCCCGTTCCAAGAGACAGTCGAGACTGTCTTCCGTTGTCACCGCTGAGGAGGGCGGCCGTCCTGGCATGCCCCCAATTGCTCCTTCTCGGGACATCATTGCTGCCCAGCTTCAGGATCTTGCTGGTGAGAAGGTCAAGGCTGCTAAGAACATGTCCTTCGTCTTCGACATTGATGGTGTCTTGGTCCACGGTGACCGTCTCATTCCTGAGGGTCGTCGTGCCTTGCAAATCTTGAACGGGTAGGTTTCCTCTCACTCGTCTCCCCCGAGAAGAAAAGAAGCTCTTTCGACTAACTCCGAATTTTAGTGACAACGAGCTCGGCATCAAGATTCCTCACATTTTCCTCACCAACGGTTCGGGCAAGCCTGAGCAGCCTCGTTGCGATCAGCTCTCCAAGATTCTCGGAGTCCCAATTTCGACTGAACAGTTCATCCAATCCCACACCCCTATGCAGGCTCTGTCCGAGTACTACAACACCGTCTTGGTTGTTGGTGGTGAAGGTGGGTTATAAAGTCCTACCACTGTCGGTTTGAAGAGAAGGCTAATTCTTGACTACAGGCTACAAGTGTCGTGAGGTTGCCGAGCTCTACGGCTTCAAGGACATCGTCGTGCCTAACGACATTATCGCTTGGGATGAGACAATTGCTCCCTTCCGAAAATTCACCGCCGAGGAGCGTGCCACTTCTCGTCCCCGGGATTTCAGCCGCATGAACATTGATGCCATCCTTGTCTTCTCCGACAGCCGTGACTTCGCCACCGATCTCCAGATCATCATGGACCTGCTTCAGTCGGAGAACGGCCGTTTCGGCACTCGCGCTAAGGACCCTGTTTCGCAGCGGATTCCCATCTACTTCTCCCAGGGTGACCTGTTGTGCCCTAGCGAGCACCCTTACCCGCGTATGTCTCAGGGTGCTTTCCGTATCGGTCTTGAGGCCATGTACAAGGCTTTGACCGGTGAGGACCTCGAGCGTGTTGTCTATGGTAAGCCTGAGCTGGCTACCTACAAGTACGCCGATGAAGGTTGGTTCTCCCTTAATTAAACCCATGTTTTATCGCAGTAACTGACTCGCTTTTCAGTCATCACCAACTGGATGAATGTTATCCACAACGAGGAGAAGCTCCCCGAGCACATTTACATGGTTGGTGACAACCCCGCCTCTGATATCGTCGGCGGTAACTCCTACGGCTGGAACACTTGCTTGGTCCGCACCGGTGTTTTCCAGGGCGGTGAGAACGACGAGGAGAATCCCGCCAACTTCGGTGTCTTCCGTAATGTGTTGGAGGCTGTCAAGACAGCCATCTCCAAGGAGCTGGGCAAGGACTTCAAGTTTGAGTGGAACGAGAAGGCCAACCCTGTCAACGCAGCCCACGGTGTCTCGGCTGTGGAGTAATTATGAGGCATGGCATCGGGAAATGGCGTTTTGTTTTTACCTTGACGAAAGCTTTTCATTTTTCTTGTGAGGTCGTCCACGGTTGGCTTTTTAGTTACCCTTTTCTTTTTCTTCGTTTTTTACATTTGATGGACTATTTGGACTGTAATGTCATCCGGTTTAAATGATAAAGAATTGGAACATCTTATGATGACTCGAAAATACAATTGCTACGGCTTTCATACCCAACATCCTTCAGTGACGAGATATTTTGTGTATTCTGGTTGAATTCCCAATACTGTTGCTTAAGCATGCATTTGTGGTTCCATCTTCAAGCGAGATCTTGCAGTGGAAATCTTGGCATACAGAGAGATGCCGATTTCAGCGCCCAGGCACCGGCTTTGGGATGCAGAGATCGCTGCTTGTCGGCCACATTTCTTTTGTGCAACAATGTCGCATTTCGCATGTACGTAGTCCATCCTTGCGCCAGCCATTCCGCGGCCGCGTGTGCCTGCACATGTGGCACTACCACCGGGCTGGTGGGTCCAATGGGCCTACGGAGTACAGTAATCGGAGACTTCTCCTCACAAGTGGGGGTACACTTTGCATAATATTATTCGAATGTATTACTTCACTCGCTCTTCTTCGCATTTTCAAAGGATAAAGTCGTCATAATCCTCTCCCACATGATTCGTGCAGCTGCCTGCTCAGTCAGAAAACCAAGTACATTTTACCTCGGCAGTACTGAGTCCCTTACATTTGGGGATAAATACCTAAGGTAGGCAACTTGGAATCCCTATGACAGAAGTTCTGAAGTAATGTGTATCTCAAGTGCTTCTATCTCTAACAGTGCTGCTAACCAGGGGATGTTCTTGCGTGCTCATGCTTAGTTGGAACTAGCCAACGGCAAAGTCGTAGCCAGAAAATGTTGCAACACGTTCAACGAGTCTCGAACATGGCATTGGCAAACGTTAACAAATCACCATCTCAACCTTCATGATCAGATTCATGTCAGAACTGAAAAAGTCTTTTTGCTTTTATGTTTTTTTGGAATTCGGCCATGAAGAACACAAGGTTTCAACATTCAATTGAACCCACGTGTTCGAAACAAGGATGCTTTCCACGTTTTTATATTGATCCTCAAGCTGCTTGCCAGATCCAGAAAACCGAAACTTCCCCGTTCCTCGCTTACGTTCGAATAGGGAAAGAATGACACTGCATGATAGCTTTAGAACCCTTGAACAACTGGATAACATGACCGGAATGGTGATGGATTATCATGGAGCCTTTCCCCTTTTCCCTCGATTCTTCAGAGCTAATGTTGATTTGCGTCTCTTCTTGCACTTTTGGTCCTCACATCCCGCTCGCTCAGGCCACGTTTGTGCGTGAATGTTCACCATGTTCCTGATGCGGGATGGCTAAGTGCAGTTTCTCTGGGAGCTGAACCGCCACGATGCTTGTCCGTTTGAGGGGACCGGTCTCGCCCTCTCCACAAAAGCATGGCCACCAGCCCAAAGACAGCAAGAGCAGGCGGCCGTGACTGGCGCAAAGCGGGAACAACCAATCTGAGCAAATCACCGTTGGATGATTGAGGACCCTTTTCCAGTCATAACGTGGGCGGTCTAACCAAGCTTGTCCCCCCCCCCCCCCCCAGTTCCCAATACTCGCATCGTAGGCGGACCTGTCTACGTCCATCAGTGACTGGCCTTTTGACAACCCTGGCAAAACCTTTTCCACGACAGCTTTGCGTTGAACCTTTTCCAGCTGGGCTGGCTTTAGCTTGGCGCCCTCCCCGGTCAAGAATACCCATCGCCAGTGTCAAAAGCGTCCGCGCCCCAGGCGCCACTATGTTGATGTCCCAATGATCCCGCTTGATCCAGGCCCTCTTTCGGCTGCGGAGAAAGGCAGGCAGACGATTCGGGAAGCGCACACCCATGAGCTAGCAAAGCGAAGAAGATTCTGCTTTCCAGATCAAGGTGAGCACGATCCTCGTGGCGGTACGGGCTCCCCTATTTCTTCATTGTGTCGAGGATACAAGAACTAGCCGCCGTCGTGCGTGGCTCTGCACCCTATCCAAGACAGAATCCTCCATACCATGCTCTCCAACCACTCGGCAGTGTCTTCCCTGTCATTGTGTCAGCGCGTTACTTTACACCCTCCATGACCTCCCCAGCGCACCTCCGATCAATGGCGACGATGGAAGGCTTTCGTTCGCAACGAGATCACCTGTTCCCTGAAGATGCCCTTCGCTCGCGGTATATGCGCCTGCGATGTTATTTTCCGACTCGCGTGTCAATTTCCATCGGACCAAAGCTCATTCTAACTGTTGCGATAGCTACCGGCCACTAGATTCGTACGATCCAAGCGTCATCCGCGCCTCGATGGCGTCCTCACGAAGCTCCGTCAGCTGGCAAACCCTAGAGGGTTCCGCCTTTCGCCGCAATTCCATGTCTTCCATGACCAGTGAAGATTCCAGCTTGACTGGTTTCTCCAGGTCTAGCTTCGCGTCAGCTGCAGATCCACGAGCCTTCATGTTTGTCACAGCGCCTCGTCCAATTGCCGGTGTGAGGGACATGTCGGCTGTCTTCAAAAAGCTTCCTCCGGAGGTCTACGAGCGCATCCTCGCTCAATTGAAGGTGCTTCATTTAGGAACCTCTTCTTCAACTTGCTCAACATGCTATCTCAGAGATTTATATAGTCTGTCTCTGACAAGTCGAATGTGGGAAAGAGCTGCCCGGCAACAATTGTAAGTAGATTATTTGACGGTTGACAAGACTCGTTAATTCCATGTTATTATCCGTTGCGACAACATGTTTGATTAGTTTTGTATTGCTTTTATAAGATTTACACGATGCCCCCAGCTTGGACATTTGATTCAACTGGGCGGCCACAAGCTGCAAACACTTTGTTTGCTATCGTCATCAGATCTTTGGCTAAATACTTAGTGTAATCCAGGTATGCCTCCATATTCATTCCCGGTCGGGATTCGCCCTATCACACCAAGAAGTTCAAGATGAAGTATGGCACACGACTCAAGCTGCTTCGGCGAACTTTGCGAGAAAGAGCAGCTTTAGCACGGATAGTCCGCGAAATCGAGCTTCCGAATCTGAGTTACTTTGCCTGTATTCTCTCAAAGGAAAAGCCAGAACGGGTCATGAACCTGGTGGCATCAGTCGTAATGGCTTGCCCCAATCTTGAACGGCTGACAGGGTACTATCCGCCCTATGTCCATGAATTTGATCGGTTTCGGCATGCATTATCAACTCGAGCCAAGCTCAAGGAGCATGTTTGGATCCTTGGCCATGACCACTCCAGCAAAGCATCGGCAAAAGGATCCCCAGGCGAGTTCCTACATCCAGATCAGGCCACGGAGTTTTTACACCTTCATGACGGATGGGCTTCTCTCCACACTCTTTTTCTTCACGCCGAATCCTCCAATGTACTCGAACATGACCATTTTGTTGGCTTGTTCGATCGCCTGCCCTCATTGCGACATCTAGCACTCTCAAATTTCGATGCCGGGGATTTTGGTAATTTAACGCTCCAGAATTTGCCACCCTTGCTCTCACTTCGTCTGCAGGATCTGCATGGAGTCAGCGACGGAGGGCTGTCACTTTTCGCGGGCTGTCCGAGCTCTTTTTCTCTACGGAGTTTATCTTTAATCAACATTGAAGTCATGTCCTTGTCTGTCATTTCGAAGCTGTTCGCAAACCTTACTGAACTACAACGGTTCGTCTTCGTCCAAGAGAGTTCGCCAGAGCTGCCGTTGGGCGGGATTGTTATGCAGCCTGTCGTCGCTTCGAGGAGTCTCGAATACTTGCATTGGGACATCCTTGTCCCTGGCGTAGCCACTGAGCATCTCGCAGCGTCAATACTGGCAGGTGGATTCCCGAAACTTCACACCATCCGCTCGCCGAGCGACCATCATGGCGTACTGCAGTCGATTTGCAAACCAAAGGCGCAGATTAGTTTAGCTAGCGACAAGTACGTTATTGCCCGCCAGCCGGAACTTGCGAGCGAGACTCGCTACTTGCGAAATCTTTTTGTTGCACGAACGGCAGCCCAAGCACGGATTGAGGAGGCGAGAACGCAGCCAGGCTTCAAAGTCGTTATCGAGGATGAAGGAGTTGTGCAAGACATCTTTATTATGAATGCATTTGTTGGCACCGTCGGTTCTACGATTACCTACTCATTGAAACCTGATATACCTGGGAGCGAGTACGCTCTTATTGACATCCCGGATCTTCTCGGTCCGACTAAAGAAGCACAGATGAAGATTACATGCTCAGGAAATTGGAATGCGGCCCACCCACTCGGGAAAAGATGGTGGCAGCACACCGACAGACCGAAAGCGCGAACATTGGATTTGCAAAAGTTTTTCTAATTTCCCACAGCGAGTATATCTGTGCGTTTGGAAGGGTGGTCTAGTGCTTTAGGTTCCTGTCGTCGAGCTTCCCGTCACGCATTATTCTTTCAAAAGCGGTGCATATAGCATGTCTACAGAGCAAGTGAATTTGGGGCGCATATGGCTTGATGATACCAAGATTTGGCGCATATTCTTTCTAGTTCTTTACACTACTTCCGCTGGCGGTGATAACCTTCTGGTTGGTGCAGCTCGTTGACGGTCTCATCCATACATATTCTTCGTTTCATGGAATGTTTTTAAGGGCGCTTCATCAACAATGTCAATAACAAGTTTGTATATTGAATGCTTCAATACAAAGATAAAATGAACCGGCAAAAAATTCCGTGTGACGAGATGGCTAGATGCTAGTCAGAAACATGAAAAAAGGTTGACGTTATTCTTTTGCTGGATTATGCTGAAGGATGCCTCCATACTAATAGATGCAGCATCTGTCTGATATGGGAAATTTCGAGCAGGCCGTTCCTGCGCCATTTGAGTAAGCCGTGCGGTGCATTATTGAGTTAGTGGCCAAATGGTAATGAAGATTGTACCACTTCATCCGAATAAGAAGAAAGAGGAAGAAAATAGAACAGGACGGGGTCCGCGAATATTGACCACTTTCCCCTTGTGACGGTAAGGTTTTGGCGTGCTGGGAGGGACATGGTCACCGTAGCGAATTGTCGCGTTCTTAGTCGTTCTGCGACCTCAAGTTTCGACACCCTGACACGCACTTGCGCATCCTGGCATTCACTAAGCTTTATTCTGCTTTCATATTTGGCTTTCTCCTTCAACCTCTCCGGTTTCGTGAAGCATGCCTTGAACCAATGAAAATTAAATGCCTTGATTTGATGATACAGCAAGCGCGGAAATCCGAACTTGATCCAGTACCGTGGAATATTTTGAGCTTGCGGCCGTGACCTCGAAATCGGACCGCTTCCGCAATTTTCTGAGGCTATTCAATTGGATTTGGATCGAATGAAGCCCATTTCAGCGTCTTACAGAGATTGCTTTGGAAATAGCAAAGCATTTATACTCGATTAGACCAAGTGTTTGGAACTGAAGTTCACAATCGCCAGCGGCTGTACAAACCTTAAAGGAAGACTTGGTCATCTGTTTCTTTCCGATCGACAATCGCAAAGCGCGTCATTGCTCTAAGGGTATCCCAAGTGAAGCGCGAGAAAGCGCTCATTGGACTGGCATCCCTGTATCTCGCTGGAGATATTTAAAGTTCCAGAATAGACCGCACGACCTTTCGCTCACACCGTTTTTAGAGCATCAAAACGTTGTCTTACAACCCTCTTTTCCTCTCGTCGTTCCCGGCAGCTGGATCTTTTACGCCAAAAATGGCTTCGGCACCTCCAACGGTATTGGCACCAAGAGAAGCATCTCAAGGAGACCGTCTAATTCCCACATCTTCGCCAAATCCCGTTCTTACTCCGCCTTCACGCCGGTTCCCTCCGCCTTCACCGAATCCTGTCCTTTTAGAGGCCGAATCACAATGGTTATTCAGCGAGGAAGAGCTGTTGCGCACCCCATCGGCTCTCGATGGTATGGCGCCCGAGAAAGAACGAGAAAACCGAGGCAAAGGGGTCAATTTCATAACTCAGGTCGGCATTATGTTAAGGTTACCACAGCTTACCTTGGCGTCGGCGAGTGTCTTTCTCCACCGGTTTTTCATGAGACACTCAATGGTAGACACACCAGAGAGGCCAGGGATGCATTACTATGTATGTTGATGGATCCGACATCGTCTTGCTCTCTGGTGACTGTAGGCAAATACAAGATGACTAATGCAAGTGTTTCTAGGCCATTGCAGCGACTGCCATCTTTTTGGCAACCAAAGTCGAAGAGAATTGTCGTAAGATGAGAGATCTCATCATTGCCTGCTGCCGAGTAGCGCAGAAGAATCCCAATCTCGTCATCGACGAGCAGTCCAAAGAATATTGGAGATGGCGAGACACTATCCTCCACAACGAAGATATCCTTCTTGAAGCAATATGCTTTGACCTCTCTCTCGAGCCGCCCTATAAAACACTCTACGATTTTCTCGTGTTCTTTGGTCAGGAACACAATAAAAAGCTCCGCAACGCCGCCTGGGCATTTGTCAACGACAGCAACCTGACTATGCTGTGCGTGCTTTTCCCATCAAGAACCATCGCTGCAGCTGCAATCTACTGCGCAGCCAAATATTGCGAAGTCGATTTTCCCGACTTCGACGGCAGACCGTGGTGGGATATGATGGGTGTCGACCTAAAGGACGTCCGAAAGGCGTGCAACTACATGGCCTCCATCTACGAGAACGTGCCCATGAAACATTCCGAAAACATCTACAGCCGCACCCCCGAAGACGGCGACCCGTTATTTGCCCGAACTCGCGCTCGAGGTCCCGAGACTCCCGAAACTCCTTGTGCTCGACCGCCTCCACGAGAGCGGCAAGGGTCAGTAGCTTCTGTGACTGGCAGCGAGAAAAGCGCGGGTAAACGGACCCATGATGCGAGCGCTAGCGCTGCAGGTACAGATGCCCAAGCGCCAGATCGCAACGGAACTGGCCAGAGAAATGGTACAGGCGCAACAACGTCTACTTTCGAAAAGACGCACCACCATACCGGAGAGAAGCGCGAGCTGGAATCGGCAGATCACCAAGGCCAACGTGAAGCCAAACGAGCAAAAACCGATCACTTGGACGACAGAAACACGTCGCGACATGTCCAGTCAAATGGTACTACCCCGTCAACTGCAAAAGAACATCCCGCCAACAAGCCATCTCAGCCTCAGGCTCAACCAGACTCTTCTAAGCCACAGGCAACGGCAGCAGACAGCCAAAGGATACAGCAAGCTGATATACCACCTGATTCGAAAGAAGATCAATTAAGCGAAGAAGGCGAAGTCCTTGAAGAATGACCCTTTTTCACCCCCTGATGCATATCGTTCTGCAAACCTTCTTTCGCTATGTCGAGGACTGCTTCTTCTGCTGAGCATCATCTCGTATACGAACAAGGATATCTGTTCGGTTTTTGTTTTTTTTTTGTCATCCGACATGTCCCCTTGTGGCTGTTCCTCATTACTCCTCATCACATGTCCTCTTCTACCCTACCGGCCCCTCTCGCAGAGTGGGGTATTTTATACAGCTCTCTCTCTCCCTCCCTCTCCCTCTTCCCCCCCCAAACTTCTTCTCTGTTGCGTTCATGCGCGACAACGGTTCATTTTCTTCATCATTCAGCAGAATCCACCAGGTTTTCGGAGTATAAGAGTATACCTCGGGCGAAGGCGTGGGCGAGATGCCGCATGTGCACACACACACGCACAAGCAAAGTCTTCCGCATGGAAAAACGAACTTGATGAGCATCTTTTGAGGCGTTTTATGGGGCGTTCTTGTGATTATTATTATTATTATTATTCTTCTTCTTCTTCTTATCATTATTATTATTATTGTTGTTGTTGTTGTTATTAGCATAGAATACTAATATAGGGGCGTACGTACTTTTGCTGGGGAATTAGTACTTAAGGGAAAATTGTCTCTTTTGTTGTCTTTTTTCCCCTCTACATTTCTTTTTTCTCTCCTTCTTTTCCCCCTCCTTTTTCTTTTTCATTCCACATCCCCACCACGGAGTCACGAAGTTTGAAGGTGTGACACAACGCGTTAGATACGTATCAATCCCACAATGACATTCTTATATATCATTCCTTCAGTATTATCCCTTATGCCCCCCGGAGGAAGGAAGGGGTAGTGTTCTAGTTTGAAGAAATTCCTATCAAAGAAATTCTATTGAATAAGTTATCATATATCCGTCAATTTCACATGTCAGAATATCTCAAGTGATTCTTTCTCAATTTTCTCAATGTGTTCGAGATTACGTAGATTATACCAATTTGCAAGTTGATTTGATATAGTGGAGTAGTATTTACTGATCAGCAGCGGGAGATCATGGCATATACTACAAGATCTAGTTTGGAAGTGCCAAATGTCTTCTTCAAAGGATCGCGCCGTGCCGTCCAGGTTCGGGAATAAGTATTCAAATCATGCGGAAAGAAACATGCGCGCTGTGGCTGCGTATTGGGGGTATTAAAGGTGGGAGAAGAAAAGGAAAGGAGAAAGAAAGAGGGTAGGTGAGGGAGAGGTTTGTATTATGTGGCTGAAGAATTAAGGGGAGAGGCGATTAACGGACTTTTTTTTAGGAAAAAAGAAAGAAAAAGAAAAAGATATTAAAAAGAAAATAAAAGAAAACAGGAAAAAAGAAAACAGGAAAAAAGAAAAAAGAAAAAAGTGGACATGTCAGGTAGATATATGTAAAATGAGAAAGAAAGAAAGAGAGAAAACAAGAGGAAAAATAAAAGAAAGAAAAAGAAAAATACAGGGCAATAAAATCTACGAACCCACTCTAGTCTTTGACATAAAGTCTTCCAAGAGTTCAACGGCCTTCTCGCCACCGGGGTATTGCCTAAATTCTGCCTGGATTCGACGAGCATTCTCGCGGTATTTAGGATTCTGGAGGATCTCACGAGTTGCGTCTAAGATCTCCGCGGCGGAGGGCGACTGCGAGCGGAGATTGATAGCGGCGCCAGCCCAAGAAATGCGGCCTGCAACATCAGCTTGATCGTTACCCCAGGGCACGATGACCAGGGGGACGCCGCATGCGAGGGCCATCTTGACGCCATTGTATCCGCCAGTGGAAATGATGGCGTTTACGTGTGGAAGAAGTTGAGCATGCGGGATGAAAGGCTCGATGCGGACATTCGGGGGCACGTCTACGCTATCGAACACCGAGATATCTGCAACAGTCACGACGACAAGACAATCCCAATTGGCAAGAGCCTGCAGGGCAGGCAAGATGAGTGCAGAAGGCTCCGCAATGAGGGTACCTTGTGTGATGTGCACGACTGAAGAAGCTTTGTCCATTTCATCGGCCAAGGCTTGCGGCAATGAAGAAGTTTGATATTTGTCTGGGGAGGTTCCTGGTAATGGTTGTTGTTGTTTTTGTTGCTGCTGTTCTTGCGACGACTCGGCCAAAGGAGGAGCAGGAGGAGGCGTCACAAGAGGCTGCTCGGGCAAAAGAGGGCCGACAAAATGGACATAAGTGGGCCAAGGGTCTCGGGGATATTCAATTGCTGGAGTTGCAGCTTGCAAATGCAGCTGGGTTGAAAACATGTGGTCAAAAACGGTGACGCCAGGGGGCAAGGGTGTTAGGCCGAGCTGAGCCCGCACGCTTACATATGCCGTAGTGACGCCGCGTAGCATAAAGATGCCGAGCGGTCCCATTAAACGGTTCATCAGCCGTCCCAGCCAGCCAGGCGGGGGATCGCCCGTGCCAAACCGAGGAATCTCAGGGGCTGGGATGGTGAGCGGGCTGATTCCGAGCGTGGCCAACGGTATTCCGTGGCGTTCAGAAAAGGCTCGGGCTCCGAGGGCGCACAAATCAGCCAAAATGACATCGGCCTTGCCGTATTCTTGCATAATCTCTTCATAATCGGCCAATTGGCCTGCCATGCGGTCAACAAGGAGCTTTCGAAGCGTTGAGACTGCAGCGGCAATACCGCTGAGTTCAGCATCGGGTTCCGGAGGGAGCTCTTTCAAATCTGGCGCCTTCACCGCTGCCACAAACATTGCGCCGGTCCGCTCCACCGTCCCTGCAAATTCCTTGCCAATGTGCCACAAAACTCGATGGCCGGCGGCCACAAGAGATGTGGCGACGGGAATGGCTGGGTTGACATGGCCAGACGCCGGTAGAGTGCTAATGATCACCACACGCCCCATTAAGACATAAGCTCCGATATCAGAATGGCTCAAAGCAAATTCCCAGAAGACCAAGGGATCTGAAAAGTCCAAGACGGTGTCACTTGTGTAAGCATCGTTATTCCATTAAGCTTAAACCCCCTTTCCGTCGAATGGCGCGGCCCGCTGCACGTGATGTAGAAGCCATAAGCAGCAATGGGATTACACTTAAAAGCCCCCCATCATTCGGGGGTGACACCTCCAGAGTCTGGACCCTTCGGAGACTGGACAAATTATTTCCCACAAGATCAATCATATTCGCACACATAAATAAGACAAAGATGTCTCAGATCGTAGAAACGGGGGGTGTATCCATCGAAAACCATGGTTTGAAATAGACAAAAGATTGATTGTTGGTCATCAATTGAGGAGAATCTCAGACTGCAGGATTGCTTGCTTCTTCGCCAGAGTGAGTGAGCCGCAGTGGGGAAGTCGGCCGTTTGATAGGCTGCCTGTGCCTTTTGCCTTATCCAACGAACGCATCTCTGTGGACCGATCGCAAGGCACTCCCATCCCCGACCTTGTTATTAAACGCCACCATTTCCGGGGCTCATGGTCCGAGAGCCTGTACTGCTCGGTACAAAGAGAAGAACTCCTTCTTTGTGCTAGAGCTGCAGGAGGTTCTGCGTATCGATCAGCTTTGACGACAGCCTGTACCATGCATCGTGCAGCTGCTAATTGGGCCACAAGTCGGCATAAGATGACGAAAATGGCAATTCGAATTGTTGAAGCTTTTTTCAAAGCCCGTTTGCAAGGAGCTTACTATCGCCCTTGTGTCTTGACCCGACGGAGCGTTGGTCAGCGGAGCTGTCTCAACGAGTACCACACTTTATGCACGACAAGTGGTGGGGGAAATTAAGCACAGCTCGCTGCCAGGGAGTCTAGCCCCGGGGCGTCACTGGTGCCTACCTCAGCCGCAACTGTCAGCGTCAGCTGCTCGATTTATTAATGCTTGAGAAAGGAGACTAACTAAAGCCCGGGAAACTTGCAGATCGTATATATAGAAGAAAAGTCTTGATGATGTTGCTCTACCGTTGCTGAATCTTTGTTTGGCTCACTTTTGACGTGGTGAGCGTGAGAGTGTTGCAAAATAGCTGATTGAGGAAGGAGCAAGACGGATTGCAGTTTGGTGTTGTTTGGGAATGTCGGACAGTGTGATGGTGACAAACAATGCGGTTTGAGTCATTCTAGCTGCCTGGACTTCATTGATTGTAGGGAAAGATCGAGAAACGTTCTTTCCTTTGCTAGATCCCCATCCGTGATTGCCATTGTCGGTCTCTGCTTTCCTGGACACATTTTCACGTCCAACTGTCCCGCTGCCAAAACGTCACATTACATTATTGTGTCTCTGTCTCTGTCTCTGTCTCTGTTTCACTTTTACACTATAAGCTTCTTTGTCATGTTCAGCAGACTTTTATCAACTCTGCCATAGCCTCATCGTACACTTTTTACTTAGCCACTGCAGTCCATCGTGGTGGCTGACTGGCGCCATGGAGGCCACTCCGATTCCAGAGGGCTCCAGCAAGGGCATCATGACCCTTCATTATATCTATCCAGCAGCCACACTCACCTATTTTGGGATTACTCTCCTTACGAGTATATGCATGCTTCATGGATTCTCTTCTAAAGCGAGCCCGCGAGTTGTCAAGCGCGATGTGGTCCTGATATTAATGGTCGCTGTGACTGCTACCTACGTACGTTTTGGAAGACCTTGAACCCATAACTCTGACTCTTTTTTTGGATCGTCAAGAGGCCTAAACATTTGCTGACATTTTGCAGGTCGCAGAAGCAGTACTGCTTCTAGTTGCGGCTCTCATTCAGAACAGCTGGACGATCCCAAAAGACTTAATGGTAAGTGCAATCTACGCATGTGATGATTTTGCCTCTCAGCTCCTGCGGCATCCATACATTTGAGATACTGAGAGCTGTCACAGGTCTACCTCCTTGCAACAGTCTTTGTGTGGGGTACACAGGTCTTGGTTCTCTTGGATTCCAAGCACCCAGTTTGGTACCCGTATTTCGGCTCCTGGATAATTGCTCTGGTTGTTGAGGTATCTCTTGTTGCACTGTTTGGGGCTTCAGAGCAAGTGTATAAGTCCCTCAAATATGCCGAACTCGGTATTCAAATCTCTCGTCTGTGTCTCCTCATTCTCTTGTTCCCTCTGTTTTTCTTTCTGAAATACAGCTCTGCCGGAGCCAAGGGTACCGACGAGGAGAATCAGGGCTTGCTCACGGGGCAGAAGCAGGGTCCAGACGGGAAGACACAGGACTCTAAAACCAATGGCTATGGCTCACTCGAGCAATCACCTACGTCAGAAGAGGACGATGGCGAGGACTCTGAACAAGAAGAAGCAGGGAAGGCGCGGAGTCGCATCTCCGAACGGCTGAAGCGCGACGGCAACTGGTGGGCATATGCCAAGGAATTTTCCGTCTTTTTTCCTTTTATCTGGCCAGCAAAGTATCCACGGTTGCAATTTTGCATGACCGTCGTGGGACTGTGTTTCCTGGCAGGGAGGGTATTGAGCGTTCTTGTACCTCGCCAGCTTGGTATTATTACAGACGCTCTTACGAACGGCAAGGATTCTGGTAAGCTCTCTTTGCTTCCAATATTGTAAGTGCCTTTCATTGCTGACATATTTATTCCAGGAAAGATACCATGGATGCAGGTCGCGGTTTATATTATTCTGCAGTGGCTAGACTCCCGGTCTGGAGTATACGCATTGAAGGATGTCCTTTGGTTGCCAGTGAGTCAGTACTCTCAGCGTCTGATCAGCACGACTGCCTACAACAAAGTTATGGCACTCTCAAGCGATTTCCACAATGATAAGAAATCCGGAGAGCTCTACAAGGCAATTGATCAAGGGCGCGGTGTCACGGATCTTTTGGAGACGGTCTTCTTCCAGATTCTTCCAATGTTCGCTGACCTCGTAATCGCATGCGGATACTTCTATTATCTTTTCGATATCTACATGACACTGATTGTAGCCTTTGTTATTGTCTTATACCTCTGGTCTACCGCGAGACTAAGTGCCCGGATCAATCGTATTCGCAGAAGCCTCATCAAGAAACTTATCCATGAGTGGGAAGTCAGACATGAGTCGATGGGAAATTGGCAGACTGTGTCGTACTTTAACAGGATACCCCATGAGGAGAATCGATATGCTCAGGCCGTCGAAGCCCACAATCATCAAAGCCGGCGCTATTATTATGCGTCTTATCTACAGACGGCAGTCCAGTCGTTGGTCTTAACTCTCGGCCTGCTTGCCGCCAGTTTCCTGGCTGTTTATCAAGTCGTCCGCGGTTCAAAACCGGTTGGTAGCTACATCACCCTTCTCACATACTGGGCGAAGCTCTCAGGTAATTTTCCCAATCCGCGGCCGCTGTTACAAGTCCATTTCTGACACCTGATAGGACCGCTCGCCTTCTTTTCTTCCGCCTTTCGAACCATTATCAACGACATGCTTGACGCCGAACGCCTCCTGCAAGTTTTCAAAGCGGAACCAAGTGTGGCCGATAAGCCTGACGCTGTCGCGCTTCAGCTTAAAAGCGGGAAAGTTGAATTCGATGATGTCCATTTTTCTTATGATCCCCGCAAAGAGAATCTGAAAGGCATCAGTTTTGTTGCGCAACCGGGGAAGACTGTGGCATTTGTTGGGGAGACTGGAGGTGGAAAGTCTACAATTCTGAAATTGTTGTTTCGGTTTTATGACGTGAAAAATGGGAGTATCAAGATTGATGGCCAAGATCTGAGGGACGTTACCTTGTTCAGTCTCCGAGATCATATTGGTGTCGTGCCTCAGGCAAGTCCAAATTCAAGAGTGCAAATAATTTGGCTGCTAACATCTATTCATTGATAGGATCCTTCTCTTTTTAATCAATCCATCATGGACAATGTCCGTTATTCCAGACTTGATGCTTCGGATCAGGGTAAGTTTGACGATTATCTACTACGAGAGAAGCCTGTCATATTAATAGATTTACTCATTGAAGAGGTTCACGATGCTTGCAAAGCCGCAGCTATACACGACAAGATCATGTCTTTTCCCGATGGCTATAGTTCGAAGGTTGGTGAAAGGGGCGTCAAGCTCTCTGGAGGCGAACTGCAACGTGTATGTGAATGCAAGTTGGAAAATGGTGTTTGTGGCTAACAAGGGAAAGGTCGCAATTGCTCGTGCAATCTTGAGGAATCCTCCTATCGTCCTCTTGGATGAGGCTACCAGCATGGTCGATATTGAAACTGAGATATTGATCCAAACGGCCTTTAAGCGTCTGACCGCTGAGCGCACCACTTTCATTGTAGCGTAAGTCATCTCTAACCGTTTGCCAACCCCTGCTTGCTCATACATTTCAAGTCACCGTTTGTCGACTGTAGTTAGCGCGGACCTAATAATCGTCATCCACAACGGCGAGATTATGGAGAAAGGGAACCATAAGCAATTGCTCGAAGCAAAGGGCAGATATTACGACCTTTGGTCTAAACAGTTCTTCAGTGTACCCGAAGAAGATAAGCAACCTGAAGCTGAAGGCGATCCTGTGCAATCCGAGACGAAAGCAGATCATCGAGGCAATGAGGCTCAGGACGCTTCTGGGACAAAAGACGACCAGAGCATGATCATAGCCGAACGCTCTGAAGATACTCGCAAAGAGAATGTGCCCCCTGGCAACACAAACGACCAAGTTCCAAATGCAAATGATACTCTTGCCGGTATGACCGACACTCCGAGGGCCAAACTCTGGAAGCCGGAAGCTCCTGATTTTGTCCCTCAATTTTTGAGAAAGTCTGACCAATCTTCAGTTGACCAATCTACCTCAAACATTCACCAGAGTGACGGTCATGATAAAAGTCACCAAGTCCAAAGCGTGGAGGATCACCAGCAAAAATTGCCAGAAAGTGCGGCAACTGAACAAACTCCAACAAAGGAGAAGACAGCTGGCCATAACGGCTTGACGGATCGCACCAATTTCTCTCAGAATAAAACGGAATCCAAGAATACTCCGGCAGCAGCCTTTGGGGTTCTCTCTAACAAAGGCCAGGAATCAGATTCCGCAGCAAATTCTCCGAAGCCGTCCAGCTCTAAGGATACATCTGATCAGACTGTGGATAAGACAAAGAAAGTTTCAAAGAACCCGCTTAAGAAAAAAGGCCGACAAGGTCAACCCTCGCGAGGATCCGCACCCGTGAATAGACCCGAAAGAGGGACGGCCGAGGACGTGCCGGGTGCCACTGAAACTCCCTCACAGGACTCTGGCAATGGAAAACAAGAGACAGTTGATGATCGGACAGCGAAAATTCGGGACGCTGATCGGCAAGGGAAGCTGGCCTCCAATCGGCGTGCTCTGTCCAAGAGTGAGCCAGTGAACAATAATGAAGTAAGCACAAGCAGTGAAGGGGAAGTTAAGCCAGCTGCAAGCCCACGTCGTGCTTCTCTTCCAGAAGCGTCCACTACTGTGAACGTCGCTGCAGCTTCTTCCGGAGTTGGACGGCGCCGGCGTGCTCGTAACAATGCCAGACGCTTGAAGCTGAAAGTAAATACTTCAAACAACACAAGTGCGCAAGGCGCCGGAGGCTCATCTGCTACTTCAACTCAGCCTAACACGCCAAGAACTCCAACTGTAGTTGTTACTCCTCCGGAAAACGACCCAGATCCAGCTGCCAGTGCCTAGATGATGGCGATTCATCGTTGTCAGCTCCATTCTTAATCTGAAATTAGCATTGGTGTCAACGTTGTGCGCCATTATTTCTTTTGTTGCTTTCTTATGAGTATAACTGCCATTATTTCTGGTCACTCAAAGCACATATGTTGCCCTGCTTTTATCGCATGTCTATCCAATTGCTTGTTATTCGCGGAGGTTTGCTTTGTGCGTACAACATTATCATGTAATATTTGCGTGCACGATGAGCCGCATTGCTACATTGCGTCCCCTCACAATCAAGGCGGCCGCGTCTTTTCACGAAGTCTATGGTCTAGGCACTTGCGCCTATTAGCAGTGATGTATTTTATTGCTCACAAAAAGCTCATTGACGGTGGCTGGCTTTTTCTTTACTTCTTTGCGTTCATTACTTTTTCTCGAGCCGAATTGTGGCATACTTGCTTCGTTTGGCCATACGCCTCGAAATGACTGGCTTTATTTAATCAATACTAGTCCATTTTATTTCAACATCTCAGACTCGAGACGTGGTATTTGAGCAGGCCTTCGGGTGTATAACTGACGATGATGTCTGTGAATCCAAGAAGAAAAAAGGGAAAAGAAGAGAAGAGAAGAGAAATCGTGTCAATTCCTTGCGAGTAAAAGTCAGCTTCGCGAAAGTATGCAATGGATTTTTGATGCATTCATTTCTATATAGTATCATGGCTTTTATCATATAATTAGTAGGTCGTCATCGTCGTCATCATCAATATTATTCCTGGGGGTTTGTCCCTTCGCGTTCCCAGCTGCTAACATTGAATTGCCATTACCCGTCGTGGTCTTTCTTAAGATGCCCCTACGAGTAGCCTCTGCTGCGGCGACGGCTAATCTGTTACCATTCCGGACGCCAACGCTATCTGCTCCGGCTTCTTTGATACCATCTTCCGTCACGAATCTTGTTCTTTTGCGAGGCGAAGGTCTCTCATCAAGTTTCTTATGTGCACTCGCAGACGGAGTGGGCGGGGCACGCGGGGAATTAAAAGACAGGGCTGGTTTGGGAACTGCCTCATTCTTGTATCTTTTGCCATCTGAAAAGGAAGAAGAAGTAGAAGAGATTTGCGCTGGCGTGGAGATACTGCTGTCTTGCCCTGGCAAGCCGCGCTTAAACGCGTGACCCCATCCCACCGGCTGCTGTGATCCAGATGAGAATGAAGAGGCGTCTGCTCTTTTCCGCTTGACTGGACTTAATTTGATATCCCGCGTCGAACTCTTTACGAGCCCAAGCGCACTGGCATCAACAAAGGGGTCTGAACCAGTATTGTCAGCACCCTCGTCTCCAATTCTTGCATTGGGCCTAGCAGATGAAGAGGCAGAAGATGATGATGCCCGCACACGCATGTACTCCCCGCCCATGCCGTCTCCAGCTTCTCCTAGCTTTTTGGCCAGGTCACGCTCGCGCTGATGTTCCGCTAGACGGCGACGAAGCCGCTCGTCTTTGCCCATGCCACGGTGGAAGGCGTCAGGATCGACGTCCTCGTCGTCGAGCAAGCACGCTGTGCTTCTCCCACCATTGACGGCCCCGGGATGCATATTGGGCGCTATAAAAACGCGGGAACCAGTCTCGCGATCAAATACGGGTCCTTCTTTCTTGAGGCCATCGTCTTTGAAACTGCCGCCACTGCCGCCGTTGCCGCCGCTACCTTTACTGCTTCTTGGTCGTCCGCCGGCACCGTTCCCACCAAAGAATCCAGTGCTAGGTCCAGACCTCCCACCGGGAGCAAAAGGAGCAGACATGGTATTGACTTCCATGCGGCTGGCTTTTGTTTTTTGAAACTGCAAGTTTACATGGAACTCGCAAAACTCTGTCCGCCTCTTGTCGATCCATTGTCCGCACTCTTTGCCGTCCTTTTTGACGCTCTTGCAGTATCCCAAATCTCTGGCAGATCCAATCTCGAGGATGAGATCGTCGCTTGAGTTGAGCGTGAGGGAAAATTTGCCAGTGTCGCGCTTATTCGGCGGCGGTGGCATGATGCCCGGATTGAGAATGGCCAGGACCGTTCCGGGAGTGAGTTTCCACCATCGATCGAAACCGCTGCCGAAGAGGAATACCTCGAGTTCCCATTTCAGGTCGGTGAGTGTCATGACCATGTATTTGCTTCGCTGCTCGCCGTCGGGCTTGCTGCCGTTACTGCCACTCTTGTGTGATCTGGGTTCGGATTTTGATGCGATTACGCCGACGACGACAAAATCTCCATCGACGTCGGGGAGGTCGTAGTCTGGAGATTTTACTGTTCGCAAGAGATCTGGTATGGAGAGGACTTTCTTGCCGGAAAGAGTTCGCGCGAGAAATGCGTGAGGGAGGATTCGCTTGGAGAGGTGGAGAGAAGAGAATGGTTCGAAATTGGGAATATCGGCGGGGGAGGTAGAAGGGGTCTCTTCTTCCTTGGGATTGTTAGGGTCTACTCGGTGGACGGGAGGTTGTAGAGCGGAAGAAGATGATGGTGTTTGAGAAAATGGCGCAGCCCGTGAAGGTGTTGCACTCTGGGAGGCCTTTGGCTTGGGGACATCTCTGCTTCCGGCCTGTAAGGCTGAGCCCGGACGCGCTCTTCGAGAAAGTCCCTCGGTCGATTCTCTCAAGGCACGTAAAACTTCGTCTCGAGAGAACTCTTGCTGGTTGGAATTGTGACCGGTTTCTCCGGCTGGACCTGCTAGAGACTCAAAGTCCTGCGTGTTGTTTTTGAAGCTTTCAACTTCCTTCTCGTCTAGCCCGAACCCTTTGCTTCGAGCTTTACGGATACGCTCATCTCGCTCTCTCTGCGCTTTCTCGGCCGTTCGACTCTGTGCGATTCTTTCACTGAAGCTTTTAGGCCTCTCTTCCTGGGAGAAAGATGGGGGCTGTAGAAACCGGGGCGTCCTAGATTCTGACGATGCTTGTCCATCCCGAACACTGGGTGCCCGTCGTAAAGAGACATCACGACCCGTCAGGCCTTTATCAATTCCTAACAAGACCCGTCTCGGCGATTTGGCTTCTTCCTGCTTCTGCCTTTTCGGCGGCGGGGATAACGGTATCTGCACCTCACGCTGGGTATCTGTGCCTCTTGTTCTACCTGCCCTTGAGCTTGGGGGCGCTCTTTTTGTTACTCCCCCCCGGTCTTCTTGGCTTCCAGTCAAAATTGTCTGAGTCGGTTCCTCCGCATCTTCACTATTGGTTTCCTGTGCCGCCTTGATCTTTGCCTGGCGCAACCGTCTAAGCTTTAGTCGGGCTTCAATCGCCTGGAGTTGTAATTGCAAGGTTTCCTCATCTTCCTCGTCTTCATTTTCGCCGTTGATAGCGCTAGACAAGGAAACTCCTTGCTTTTGTGTACTCCGCAGAGATGACGGGGACAGTAATGTCCTTCTAGAAGGAGAAGCCGTGGGCGAAGTGTGGTCCTGTTCCTGCTGCGCGCGAAACTTTCGTCGGCCACTCGGTGAGCTCATCAGAGCTTCGTAAGGCGAGCGTGGCGGCCATTGTTGTTCATTCAAGTCTGTCAGAAGTAAGCGCAAGAATATAATATTGTCCTCTCCTCTTCAATTTATTCACCATGTGACATCGTTTTCTGCAGGTAAACAAAAGAGTCGGCAGTATGTGCCCCAGGGCCCAGCTAATCAAGTGGTCGTGTAGAGCCACTTTTTACGGGAACTCAAAATGCCATGCAATTAGTTCCAATGCTCAAGATATCTCCAGAATTTTGGCAAAGAAAGGTCCAGGTATCCAGTAAATGTGCCGAAACAAGAAATCGATCGTAGACTATAGACATGAAACATAAAGCAACTCTGATCAGGCGGTAATTGGGGGTTTCATGGCGACCGAAGGCGGTGAGTGAAATATGCATTGTAATTGGACGGCGCCAAAGTCGAACGCGTCGGTTACGCGACTCGTGTCCAACTTCATTCGACAGCTTTTAGGGGACAGCAACCACAAGACAGGATTCATGGATCTTTTTTTGCCAGAAGTTGTTGCTTTATTTCCAAACTTATCTGCTGTGATTTGACTCTGAGCTGGTTCTACTTGGTTCTCAAGATTCCATATCTATTCGAAAGTCAACAACCTTCTATCTTGGGCAGAGCGTACCTCTGCTGCTTACAAGATGAGAACGCGCTCCAGTGCAACCCAGGAACCATCCACAGAATCCAAAACAACAAAGGTGACCAGAGCTATGGAGAGGAGCGATGATCCGCATCCGCCAAAGATGTTCATCCTCCCAAAAGGAGGATCCAATGATGCGCGGGTCGTAACATTGGCAAATCCGCGAACTTCTCTTCCCAATCGGTATTATTTTTGCCCGGAAAAGGGCGTGTACGAATTTACCAAAATAGCTGCCCCCCGAAGCACGCCCAGAAGTATATTATTAGCTCCAAAACACCACAAAGTCGAAAAGCCGCAGGATAAGGAGTCTTCGATCAGCCCGAGCAAAGAGGAACAAGAGAGCACCACGGAAGGCCCAATTGCGACACACGTATCTCACAAAAACGGAGATCCAGTCACGTCCAATGGCTACGTCACAAAAGATGCCGACGTCTTCGTGGCAACTCCGCTGGATCCTCTCTTCTTGATATTGCCGGCATTATGTCCAAGTCAAACCAAGGACCGCTCGGACCCTCCAAAACAAATGTTCCTCTCAGCGGACGACTACATTGAGACGCTGGCGGATAAGTCCAAACATTTCGCGCAGATCACAAAAGCTCCATTTTTTCGACAGATACTAGAGTCCAGAATGGCAGCCGCCTGCGATACCGTCGACGCTGGAGACGAGAAAATGTACCGCCTCAATAACGACAAACTACTCCAAGAATTGCTCGTGAAAGCACATTCCATGGTGCAGCGGGGTCTTCCGTCCAGCATGGAAGATAAATTTGTGACTCGCGCGCTTGAAGCTCCAGTGATGAGCATCAAACGCGAAGATACGACCGTATCAGTTGCTACGTCCACTTCGAACGATCCCAAGGCCTTGGGATCGGCCCCAGGCGGACGGTCAGAGGAATCGGCATCGGTATCGGTATCAACAACAATGCCAGAGCTCGCCTCCCCTTCCTCCTCCTTCCCATCCGGTACACAGACGCCTGCAGATTCTGCTGAAGAATCTCAAGTCAGCTCAGCTACCAGCCTATCGGTTGAAACGGAATCACCAAGTTCAACCTCGACGGGACCAGACCCGCATATCCTCCATCTTCTCCGCCTTCGCATCTCTCTGGACTTCCTCCTCGCAAGCTACGTTCCAGCGCACATTGTTTCGCGTCTCAACTCTCTACTTTCCGCCGACGATCCTATAACTCTTTCAGCCACGACGTCTCCTTATTTTGCTCCAACAGAGAATAATGGCGTCGCTTCGGGCGGCTCTCCGGAAAAAGCCACCACTACTACTATTTCCTTTGCCCCACTGACTGCACATCTCGCGCACCTTGCGGCCCTTCGCCAGCAGGCACAAGCGTCCCGCTCTCTTGGCGATTTCAGCCGGAAACGTACCTTCAATGGCGGTGGCGGTGAAGACGACGAGTCAGCGGAAATCAGGGCCGAAAAGAAGCGGAAAAAGGATGAAGAAGAGAAGAAACGCAGAGCAGGCGAGTCAAGAGCATTGCGTGATTTAAAGAAAGTAGATACCTCAGGTATGAAGAAACTGAGCGATTTCTTTGTTAAGAAGCAGCCTGCGGGCGGGACAAAGGGAAAGACAAAGTAAAGGTAAATGACTTGACACAGGGTCATAATTACGGGGCGTTGTTCGGTGTTTCGGTCTACAGGCACAGGAGAAGACGGCACTATCTATGTTGATTAAATTGGGAAGACATATATACGCATATATCATAACTTAGAAATTACCAAAGGGTACTTACACTCCATAGTCCTCACTGCATCCAATAAAATGGCAAAGATATATTTCTTTTTTATCGGATTTTGTATTTTTTTGTAGGCTTTATTTTATTATTTGAGCTATCGAATTGTAGCAATGTCATCATTGCTCATAGACAACAAGGATGATAAAGGCCACAGAAGCTAAGCTAAGCAAAAAAGGTTGGAGATGGGGATGTGTGTGAGAGCAAAGAGCAACAATTTACATGCTATGGATTGATTGAATCATGAGCAACCGAACCTGACCCGACCGAAACCCGCTAAAAATCCCATTTGAAAAACAGACCCAGGTATCCTACCCTATCCTGCCCTACCTACATGTCCACTCGCTCATCCCTAACCAGAGGGTCGACATGCGTTCATGTAGGCAAGGAGGAAAAAAAGAAGATAAAAAACCAGATGCGCCGTAACCTGACCCGTGAAGACCCGAATAGAATGTAGCACTTGAAGCAATAATGCCGATGCATGGTTGCAGTTTCGAAAGAAGAATGCAGTATGCACTGGTCGTAGATGAGGATGAATGCAGAAAAACGCCGAATAACCACAGCTATTGGTATCTCTTTCTTTTCTTCTTTTGGCTCTTGTTTCTATGCCGTCTCTTGAGGAAAAGGCAGGCAGGCAATGAGTAAACAGAGAGTGAAAAAGAGCTTGTCGAAATCATTGAATTATTGAATCTTTCGATCTGACATGAGTCGCAGAGCGCCAGTCTCCTTGAAAACGCCGAATCGAAAGAATTGTAATCGTTACCGGATTGCTTCAGAGCACAAACTCGTGAAAATGCCATGGTGTAACAACAAATCGGAACAGTCATGAGAAAAAAGAACAACATGCAGGCAAAGAACAGAAGTCGCAAGAGGCGCGCGAGAGCATAAAACTTTCATGACTGGTCGTCTCTCGTCTCCAGCCGGACTTCGAGGTCGTAGCCGATTAGAATATTTAAACGGCACCGCTTCTGGTACGCTTGCTCACGGAACGTGTAGGCCTCATGTTGGGGCTACCCTGTCGCTTCTTGCCGCGTGGGCTGCCACCACGTCTGGGCTTGGACCGACGCCAGATGTCAAAGGGGCTCGTCTTCATGGCATCGGCAGAAGAACCTGGAGTGGTTGGAACCACATCAGAGACTGAAGGCGTCTGCTCGGCAGTAGGCTTTCGGGTAGCTGAGCGGGTGACGCGAGTGGTAGCTGGCGAAGTGGCAGGAGAAGTGGCCGCCGCAACCATTGGCTCAGGAGGAGAATCGGAAACCTCTTGATCGGTCGTACTTTTTGAAGCGGAAGCGCCATCTTCGGCATCACTAGTAGTCGTTTCCTTGTCGTCGGTCTTACGCTTGCTTCTTTCCTCGCGTTCGCGGAGCTGCTCTTCAGAGGGGAACAAAAGGCGTGGCTTAAGGGAGGAGCGGGTGAAAGCTCGACCAGAGGAAGAGGAGCCGCGTCGAGCATCCAGGTCGTTGAAGCCATCAGAGTCTTGACCCTCATCAGAAGAGCTGTCCATGTCCTCGAATTTGCGGAAGATTTTCTTGCCACGACTGATAGAGAGACGATATTAATAAGCAGGAAGAGTAGGTCATTAGATGATAGATTGAACTTACAAAACATAGACGATGCCGTCATCTCTTCTAGGAGTGCGAGTCTCCGTGCTCCGCGCTGCTTTGGCCTTTCCGGCAGATTTCTGCTTGCTCAGATCTGCAGAGCCAGACTCGTTGCTCACGTAGAAAGGATTGTCTTCAGAAGGGTCGAGCTCCGGAACTCTGTCCTTTGAATCGGTGTAAATCTGAATCTTTGCTCCTCCATTATTATCGTCGTCTTCGTTCGCAAGACCTCCAAGGGAAAAGCCGTTTGCTTTGCGTCCTTTACGACCCTTCTTGGGCATAGGCATCGCTTCTTCCACGTTATTAGGAAGGGTTGGAAACAAGACACGCGCAGTGGCACCCATGCCTTTTGGCTGGGGCTGACGCTTCCGCGGCGTTTTGGCCGGAGTGGGCAGCAACTCATGGGTCAAAAGACCAGGGCGGCCATTGGCCATGTTCATCGCTCCTCCCATCGCTCCTTCCTCATCCGCCGCAGTCAGGAACACATCTTCAAGACTGGAACCATCGACAAACTTCTTCCGCGACATGGGTTGGTTTGAAGGGGGAGGCGACAAAGTATGCGAAACAGAGTGTGACGCTCGACTGGACGACGGATAAGACGCTGCTGGAACAGGTTCAGGAGCACCACGTCCTGGGGATGGGGTACGATTGGAGCGATTTGCCTGTTTCTTGGACAAACGAGTAGACTTTCTGATTTCGTATGGCTCGTAGTCGTCATATTTGGGCCCATAAAGAGGCGCTGGCGGAGTGCGAGCCCACTCCCGAGGAGGAGTCGTTGTCATAGCCGGCAAGACAATCCAACGGCTTTATTGCTATTGATAGATGAATGTCTGATTGATGCACCGGAGATTGCCGTAGCCTGGATGGCCGAAGCGAGTTAATGTGACTTGCTTGACCTGACCAAGTTTGTTTTACAATCAACGGTGATCTTGAAGCAACAGATGAACGCAGATCTTCCGCGAACCAACCGATGCGGCAAGCGCAAGACTGTCGGCGAAAGAGCTTGAGAATATTGAACGAATGCAAAGGAGAGGGATATTGAAGATGAATTGAGTGGGAAATGAATGGCGATAGCTGGAAAGGTGGAGGAGAGAAAGAGGACGAGGATATGAGGGGCGGATTGATCGGAAGAGTGAGGATTTACCAAAGGGAGGCAGAGGAGCCAGAAGATGGTTGGACAAAATGACAAGTGAAGGACTCTCGCCGTCCAAGAGGTGGCTGGTGATATATTGCCTGATTGGGTTAGAGTCTCTCGCTTACGAGAACCCAGTACTTACTGATGTATGAGAACTGCCATTAGACTGCAGGTACCGATACCTAAGTCGCGTCTAGGACAGGGCCCGAGGCAATCAACAACACGTCAACCTGGAGAAGCCTCACTTGGATCGGAGAGAAAGCGACTCTTGACTCCTCAGGCCCCAGATTCAGTGTGAGACAAGACTCATCACTCCAACAAGAACCCTCTCGGCATTACGAAGAGCCCTACCTCCGACGACTCAGTACTAGAGAGGCTTCAAATCTTTGGCCTTCGAATTTACAAAAATTATTGCATAATTGCACACCTTTAATCTCTTTAAGAAGCGTTTATATCCTCCCTCACTTCTGAATTATGGAATCACACGACGACTTTGAAATCGATCTCGATCTCGACCTCGACCTCGAAGCAACTCCTAAAATGGCAGATCTGGACCTGTCAGATAGAGACCACGAGGAACTTTTGGCGTCACCGTCCAAACCCGATACACAAGCACGCGGCACAAATACGACCACGATCCCTCTAAGTGATAAGGAATCTACCATAAGACAGAGATCACGTCAAGCCGAACGCGAGCCTCGCTTTGATACGGAAGAGGAGCATGAAGCCAGCTTGCGATCAGAACTACAGAGTGTACGAAATATAAATCATGTGATTGAAGGTGTGGTAGACAGCTTAGAACGAGCCAAGGGGAATATGGAGGTATGCTTTTCAAATCTGGCAGAAAACTGCATTGGTCCTTACTCATTATTTCTCTGCAGACCGTGGCTCGAACTGTCACTTCGGCCTCAGCATTACTCAACACTTGGGTTCGCATCTTGTCCCAGACAGAACACAATCAGCGATTGATTCTCAATCCGTCGTGGCATGGAGCTACTCAGGACGTCGCCGACATGGAAAAAGAAGCGATCCTCAAGCGCCAAGCTGCCGAGAGAAAGGAGCAAGAAGAAAGGCAAAAGCGAGAAGCGGCCATACGTGCAGCTGAAGAAGCGGAGAGGCGTAAAGCGGAAACTGCTTCACGAGGAGCAACCCGAGGCACAAGATCAAGAGGGCGGGTCCTCGGCCGAGGAGCGAGCATGCGGCCTTCTGCCGTGCCCGCGCCGACCAGAGTCCCCAGCCGGACTAACACCACCGCGGCGTCGCGGGCAGGAAGCAATATTGGCCGAGGGATTGGCAGCACGAGAGGCCGAGTGCGCAGTGTACGTTAAACGGCGGCGATCTTGTGGGCGTCGACCGATTCTTGTCTACTGCTGTCGAGATTCGGATTCTTCCCATTGTTCTTTCTCGGACTTGGCGGAACAATACTATGACCACTTGTTCAGTCATCATTATCTACACTTTGCGAAAGGAATCCTTACTGTAGGACTCTGTCCGCTCTCATCCTCGGAACATATGACTTGGACGTCCAGAGTCTCGTGCTTGAGCAAATGCAAGCAGAGCATGGCTTTATTCACAACTAGGCTTTGTGGCAAGACACGTCAAAGCTAGTTAGTCCATCGCGGACTTCGTAGCGACAAGCCCGTCCGTGAGGTAAAAATCGGAGGTAACAATCGACGCTGGTCGCTGTCGAACATATGGTTGAAGTGAAGACATGGAGATGAAATAGTTTATTGCAGCTAGAGGAACCGTCCTTAAGTGTAAATAGGTCGCTGGGCGGCCTGGGAACTCATTGGAGAATATTCGAACTGTACGGAGGTACATAGTCGAGGGCAGCATTTTATTCAGATCAGACGTACAGATTTGAAGAGAATGATATTGAATAATTGCGATACTGGTATAACGCATTGGTCGGTCTCTAGGCCTTTGAATTTTAATCATGACTTCTCATTGTGCACTGGAAATATTTACGAGTTTCTGTTTACTTTTTTCCAGCTGCACTGATGGATGCGATAAGATGGGGTCAGGGGTCAGGGGCGGGGGATTTGCGGGAGACTCGCCAGGGGGTTCGCGAGGGATCGAAACGAGAGCAGAACAGAACACGGTGACAGCTCTGGAGCTACGAATGCATGCTCTTTCAATTCATCCATCTGCCGACCGTGTACACTCTTTGAGCTTTTAATATATAATCTTGAGTTCAACTTTCTCGTCATCATTACCTAGCTCTCTTTTTAAGGGACGATACTCTCGAAATTACTTAGTGTGACGCAATGGCCTCAAAAGACAAATACTCGGTCCTCCTCCCGACATACAACGAGCGTCGCAATTTGCCCATCATTACGTGGTTGCTGGCAAAGACATTCACAGAAAAGTGAGCCTTTCCTCTACCTCGACTCGAGATTGATTTCTAATTGTGCTTTAGCAACCTTGATTGGGAACTCATCATCGTCGACGATGGCTCGCCTGACGGTACTCAGGAGGTTGCAAAGCAGCTTCAGAAAGTTTACGGCTCCGATCGCGTCCTTTTGAAGCCTCGAGCTGGAAAGCTAGGTCTGGGAACTGCCTACGTTCATGGACTTCAATTTGCGCAGGGCAACTATGTCATTATCATGGACGCCGACTTCTCCCATCACCCAAAGTTCATCGCCGACATGATCCGGTTACAGAAGACCATCCCCAACGGTGGATATGACATTGTCACTGGCACGCGATATGCTCTTGGTGGCGGCGTTTTTGGCTGGGATCTCAAGCGCAAGCTCTGCTCGCGCGGTGCCAATCTACTAGCGGATACATTACTGCGACCGGGCGTCAGTGATTTGACGGGCAGCTTCCGTCTCTACAAGAAACCCGTTTTGGAAAAGGTTATTACGAGTACCGTCAGTAAAGGATACACGTTTCAGATGGAGATGATGGTGCGGGCCAAGGCCATGGGCTACAGTGTGGCCGAGGTGCCCATCTCCTTCGTGGACCGTCTTTATGGCGAGAGCAAGCTTGGGGGCGACGAGATTGTCGAGTACGCCAAGGGCGTTCTAAGCCTGTGGTTGCGAGTATAGAGTTATCTCCATGTTCTTCTACTTTCATCTGGGTTTGATTGGCGTCCCTTATGTTCTCCACCTGCATGTTTCACATTCTCTAAATATATCCCATATTTCTTCTTAACCTTTCCCATGTTATCTTTTTCTAAATCAAGTTCAATGTAGATAGCTGAATGAGAGATGCTATCCTACAGCTTCATTCCTTTTTGGTGCGTGATCTTGGGATTCGCCAATGGTCTTTCGGTTGCTAGAATCTACAGATCAGAGTCCTAGTTTCACACCCTTCGCGTACGGAGTAAGGCGTGTCTAAACTATCCATCCCCGTCACCGGCAGCGATGTTTCATAGCATAACTACTAAACATAGGTAAAAGGCGATGAAACAAAGGTCGCTACTGTAGTGCACAGAGCTGATGACGCATCATCGTCAGCCTCCGTTGGCCACGCGTCGAAGAGTACATTTCGTCTTCCGCAGGCCGGTTGTTATTGCAATTACTGTGGTGAGAAAATTTGCAAGGCGTGTTCCTGCTTTGGCGCAGGGTCTTGTTTCCGTCGCAGATCATTGCAGATCTAGTCTTATGGAGTAGTATAGTATGACGGAACCCCATATCAAAGTGACGACGACGGGGAGGATTTTGGTCCTGTTTCCATGGTAGAGCGTACAAGTCAACGGCGGCAGAATCCACGACTTCGCTTGGTCCCTTGACCGCTCGCCCGGGAACCAACCACCGCCTTTCAGGTCCACCAATGACAGGCCAGGAAAGTCCCCGACCTGCGCGGCAGATCAACGGCGTCGTCAACAACAAAGCCTCAGATCAGCCGTCCCCAGCCTCCTCTGATTGCGCACTGGCAACTAATCCCCACAGAATCTCGTACACCAGTTCGAAAGAATTTCCAGCCATCTAATATTTGCGCTTACGACGCCCACCATGGCCTTTGGACATTTAATGCCCTCGTTCTTGGTGTCTGGGCAGCATACAATCTTCACACCATCCTTTCCATACTACCAAGCCACTTGAAATATATTAAACCTTCTCCTCTGTTTTACTCTACCAGATTCGCATTCTTCGTTTTACTTTGCTCCCCACGAAAAACTCTTTTCCGAGACAACCTTATACATTTCTCGTCCAATTGCGCTTTGGGCCATCAGACCTTCGCCATCAAAGACTTGCTCATTCCGATCATTTTCGCACTCATAGAGATTCAACAATGCATTTCTTCTCCTCATCTACACTCGCTGCACTCTCTTCATTCTCAGCCCTCGCCGCAGCTTTGCCTCTGGCTTCTCAGAATGGATCGGCTCCGGCTGCGCTAGACCGACGATCAGCGTCCTATTCTGTCGTTCAAGTGGATGGCGGAACAACATCCTCCACGCCTAGCACAAAGACGGAATTGCGCACCATCACTCACAGCGCGAGCGCCTCCAGCGTGACAGAGGTGGTGACCTTGACCGAGCAGGCCACTCCGCTGCCCCCAACCACGCAGACCGTTGTTTCAACTATACTATCTACGCAGTCCGGCGCACCTACCACCATTCTAGTCACCACGACCATCACAGGATCATCCACTGCGACGCCTTCGTCTTCCTCGGCTGTCACTGGATCATCTTCCTTGCCTTCTGAATCTCCAGCTATCATCTCCACGTTGGCACCTGTCCCGGACTTTACGCAAACCTCATCCCCTGCATGGCCCACCAGCTGGAACACCTCTTCGCCTGTAGCCACGCCATCTTGCAACGAAACGCTACCAACGGCCACACTCGCACAACGGGCTGCGCTTGATACTGCGCCAACAGATCTTCCGAAACTCCCTTCAGTCACTCCAAAGGCCGGATCTTTCAACGCTACTAGAGTGCCCGGAGCAGTCGGTGTCCGAGACCTCCCATCTGGAGCCAACCCTGCCGCTGCATTCCCTACTGGATTCTACAGACGTCAGGTTGCCGCGCCCACTGGCGTCGCTGACTCCTGGAATCAGACCGAGGATGGAGTCCACGTGCGGACCTTGGCTTCAGAAACTGCTCCTGCAGCTCCGTCTGGCTTCGTGACCCGTCGCGCTGTTGCAGCTGCCACTGGTACCGCGCCAGTATGGAACTCCACTGTTGAGGAGCGCGCTGTCCCATTCGAAGCTCCTGTCGCTGCCTCAGCCTCCGGTCATGCCCCTGAACGTCGAGCAGTCATTCAGTCTACTGGTGTTTCGTCCGCTTGGAATGCGACTTCTGCTTCTCTAGAGGGAAGAGCACTCCCGTCTGAGCGTGCTGCTGCTCCGTTTGCCACTGGTTTCCTCTCACGCCGCATCGTCGCTGCACCCACTGGAGCCGTTGGCGCCTGGAACGCCAGCTCTACCTCGGCCTAAGTCTGTCGTCAGGCAGCCAGGCATTGAGAGACTTGAACAAGAAAGGAGATGAAACAAGACCAATTATGATGCGATTCAAAACGAACCCAATAAAACGAAGACCTTATGTTACGATCATTGCTATAATTTCACATCAAGCAACATTGGATGCCGGAAAGCAGAAGAAGACCAGACGAGCTGAACGAAGAATGATTTCACACGAATAATTTTCACAGAAATGAACGGATGGTGCATTGGAAATGGCGTTACTGGTTGGGAATAGAACAGGTCTCTTTCACTTCATCTTTTTTCACTATATTCGCCTGTAACCCTTTAGAATATCGCATATAGATAGTGTATTGCAATTACACTCTAATACTACCATGTATCATAAAATAGACAAATATTGCTTAAATCTTTAACTGTAACTTAGTGAGCATCATTCATGCTTCTGCTCTAGAGAGATGGCAGGCTACCACCTGTGTCAAACCTTAGCATGAATTTTTGGTTTTTTTGTTAGAGGGAAGGGATGTTGCTACAGCGGACTGTTCATGACACAATGCATGCATTCAATACCTGGTCACCTTGTAGCAAAACCCTTTACATGGAAGCAGTGATGCCTTGCAGAGAGGCATAACCAAACAATCAGGCAATGGTCCACCTCTAGCATGGTTCACTGTATTTTTAATTATTGTTAATGAGAAGATTCAAATATTACAATGGATTTCCAAGCACTCAAAACCACAATTACTAAAGTTTAGCTAAGAGCGGGAGCCCCCGGGGTTGCTTACGGGTGCTTACCCTTAATCCGGATAGTGTAAGCCGCTGCTCTCGGCACAACCTTCGTTCCGAAGGCATGGACCCCCCTACGTCGTACGTCAAGATGTCAGCCAATGACAGCACATTGTCTTTCCTGTTTGGAGTGAATGAATGCTGTAGTCCATTAGAATGTAAATGAATAGACTTGGATAAACATGTCGCCCAAGGCGTATATTTAAACCTTTTGCATCCGCATCTTCAATCAAGTGGACTATGTTAATTCAAATTTACCACCACGGGCCTGTAATGAGTCTTAAAAACAACGACACTGCACAATAAAGTCACCCAATCACAGAAAACAAAATGCCAGGAGAGCTTGTGCTGGTACGTGAATTTTTTTTTACCCTGTTCAAATTTGGATCTTGTTTGATAAGTCGTTTTTCTTTCTGCTTTGCCACTGGTGTATTTGATGGTGGCATTTTATATTCCCTGAAACGCGTATTTTGGAGTAGAATGTTGGGCCATACATGGTGATTGAGCACTGTGGGGTACATTTTACTGTACTTGTTGATCCATGCTTTTGAAACATTTGGTGGATTAATCTGCCGCTACATCTTCTTTGCAAACATTGCAATAGAGAAATTGGAATATGTATATTCACACTTTTTGCAAACGAGAAGAATCTGACATATACAGGTTACTGGCGCGTCTAGCTCTGTCGGCGGAGCCATCTTGCGTGCAATCCTAGAAGCCGGCTATCGTGTGCGCGGCACCGGCAGGCGCATCGATCAGCTCGAGGAGCTTCGAAGTGTTCCTAGCCTTCAAATGCATGAGCAAAACCTCGAATTGGTTCAAGTCCCTGACATGGCTGCTCCTGACGCCTTCAAAGATCTGCTCCAAGGTGTTACATATGTAGTGCATACAGCCTCGCCAATGCCAACCACAGGAGTTCCTTCCAATGGAGAGACTTATGATAGTCTTTACGTGCAGCCAGCGGTCAAAGGTGCATTGTCTCTGCTCGAGACGGCCAGAAGGTATCCAAGTGTGAAGAGGATTATTATCACCTCATCCATGTCAATTTATTTGTCAGAGGGAGGCGAGAATGATGCAGAGAAAGAGAAAATGCTACGTGGTAAGCGGCTGGAACAATTTTCCATGTATAAGAACTTGTGAAGCGGAATGCTAAATAATTTCAATGCGTATATTTACAGATGACGACATTCAACCTGTTTCAACAAGCCCAATCAATGATCCATTGTGGGCGTATCGTGCTTCGAAACTTGCTGCGTATCACGCCGCAGTCGACTTCGTCAAGAGCGAGAAACCACAGTACGAGATTGTACACATTATCCCGAGCTTTGTTGTAGGGAGAAATGAAAAAGTACATGTTTCATCCGCGTCCTCATCTGCTGCGTCGGATGTCATGTCTGGTAGCAATGGTATCATCCTTTGCCCGTTGTTCGGCATCAAAAGTCCACAGGGTGTACATGGAGCCACTGTGCACGTGGATGATGTCGCAAAAGCCCATACAGAGGCTTTAACAAAGGCAGATGCTGGCGGTCAGAATTATATCCTGAATTCGCCGGATTGGAACGCAGGCGCCACATACGATGACGCGTTGGACATTGTCAAGAGACGGTTTCCAGACGAAGTGGCCTCCGGGGTGATACCCATGGGTGGAACGCTCCCGACAATCCCAGTAAAGATTGATTCTAGCAAAGCGGAGAGAGCTTTTGGGAAATTTAAAGGCTTTGAGGAACAGGTCGTTGATGCGGTAGGACAATATGTGGAGATGAGAAAGGCTGGAAAATAACAGCCCGCAACTGCCCAATCTCTAGATGCACAACTTGCTCGAGTTCCTCCTATTACCTCTATGGCCGAAAGTATCAGAGACTATAGATTTCACGTTTCTTGCGCAATGAAATTCTCTATTCTTTGATCTCAATTGATGTCCGTGGCACTTCAAAAATCCCAAAGATTGGCAAGTCAAGCAATGACAATCACCCGGGCCCGGATCTCCGGGTATATATACACCCAGTCTGGGGGGGAAAAAAAGGAATAAGCTAGAGCGTGGCCAAGAATGCACGCAAAAAGCAAATTGCCGCTGGAAGATCCGCCACGATAGTTCGGAGCGTATGTATTTTGAGCCAGGTCCTGACTTCATTCTTGGAATTCTCTGGTGGTCCATATACCGTCCGCTTGATCACCTGTGCGACCTAACAAAGAAAAAGTCACATGTTAATCAACGATTCAAGTTTTCAACATTTACACAATCTTCGAATGAAACCAGAATGAACTTACAAAGGGAGCAAATATAAAATGGGCAGCAGCAAAGATTGCTCCCCATTTATACAACGACTGTGCTTCTCCAGCTGTGTGCCGCATGCTCAAGATCCCAGCGCCCACAGACGTCCATCCAATCGCCAAAACCCCCGCCGTTCCCGGCCACAATGCTTGATTCCACCATATCCCTGGAGCTTCCTTGGGAATGTCCCGGTGGAGAAAAGGTACCAGAACCCAGTATTCACTGGCGGCATATGACAGGGCTGCAGTAGCCGTTAGGCCGGGCAAGAGGCGATATATGGGAAGAAGATTCGAAGAGGAAGTCATTATTTAGGGGCTTCGGGGTGGCTGACTTGATTGCGCTTTTGCAAATGAATTAATTGTATAAACTTGAATTGATTTCTTTTATTAAAAATAAATAAAAAGAAGGATTAATATGGCTTCATTTTGGTAATGGGTGAGACGCAAATAATAAGTTACAAAGCATGCTCGTATTCTCTTGTCGGATGCGGAGTTTTGGGTCTCCCCGTCGGGGAATCGGTGCAATTTGGAGCTTCAACTGTGGGGAACTCTGAAATGGCGTGTTTTCTCTTCAACAACAGCTACAACAACAAACCCAACAACCCCATACTCTCTTCAGTCTCAGCCACGAGCACTTTTCTTTGGAGCTGGAAGAAGCTTTGAGATGCGAATGATGATCCAAAATATGGAACTCCGAATCGAACTCGCGGGATCACGTAGGACAGATGCGGCCAAACTAGTCACGTTCTTCGAGGTCGTAAATCATCTTCCCTCAGACAAAGAAGTCCCAGTAATCACGACTATATGAAACAAAGAAAACTACAGCGACGTACAATATGCAGTATATATATCTGTTAGGTCAGCTGCTTTGGCCTACAACTCCAATCGTTGAATGTCCAGCTTCCGGAGGCTTCTTTTGGATGCTCAAATGTGAAAGCGTCTTACAACACAACCAACCCGGCAAACGACTGGTTACATTTCCATCTGATAAAGCCAGTCAGGTAAATTTCGATTTGCAACCAGGAGCCTGAGGCCAAGAAGTGCACACTGAAGATGTCCACAAGGCCGAAAAAGTCGTGGGCTACTATCAATATCGACGTGCTTTGCGATTTGGCAAGTAATTTGCGTCAAGGGCTGCCTTGCACTTGTGAGATGCCGCGGAATCCGTCAGGTGGGAGCTTCAACTGGGTGATCTTCTTGCGTTTTGAAGACGGTGTTGAATGGGTGTTGCGATCTCCACATGGCATCTTTCAAGAGCCGGATATGGACTCGAAACTCATCGAAAGCGAAGTTGCAACTTTGCGGCATGTGAGAAGAAAGACGACCATTCCAGTGCCAGAAGTCTTCCGTTGCAGGTACGTCGCGCCTCATTTTGAATCTACATGCTTTCTGACCCTTTAAAAGCTCTTCCAAGAAAAATCCCCTTGGGATTCCCTACATTTTAATGAGCAAGGCTAGCGGTTCCTCTCCGGAGAATTGGGATGAGCTACCGGAAAAGATCAAAAGAAAGATTCTGTTCCAACTAGGAGGAGTAACCCAGCAACTATCGCAGCTTCGTTTTGATAAGATTGGATCTTTGATTGAGACTCTGAGAGGTCTCGAGGTCGGCGAGTGTTTAGATTATGGCTTGGTACATTGTGAAAGTGACGGTGCCGAAATCGACCGGGGGCCTTTTCAGTCCGAGGAAGAATAATATCGTGCTTTGATCTCAGAGTTCCAGTCCCGGGCCAAATACGGAGTGGTCCAGGACTGCTTTATCGCACCTATGCCGATGCCAGCAGAATACCAAAACAATACTGACTTTACGGAAGTAAGAGGACTTTGGAGTGCATTCATCCATGTGGGACTCAAAGGTGACAACTCGTACAACAGGACCGATTTAGTCGTGGCCGGCGACCTGATGCTGGAATGTATCGGGGAGTTGACTAAATGTTCGCCTCGCGTGACAGATGGCCAAGGTCGATTTCCTATATACCACCCTGATCTGTCGGCCAATAATTTCTTTGTTGATGATCAGTACAACATCACCTGCGTTCTCGACTGGTCGTTTGCTTCCACGGCGCCGATGTCTGTGCTTGTCAATGCTCTTGAAGTGCCAGCATCTCGATCTATCATAGATGAGTCACTGATCACCTCCTTTGCTGAAGGTCTTGGCCACGGGTCAGACGAAACGTCCATTCCCGTCTATCCAACGAGGGGCATTTGGCTGCTCATGCGGCTCCTGAAATGGTGGCTTCTCTACTCTGGCAACAGTTGTGCCGAGATTTGGGCGCAGGTCAGACCAACGCCTGAAGATTTTCAAACTGCCTTGTCATCAAAACAAGCCTTAAAGGAATACCAAACCCTCCGCAACGAGCTGGCTCTCGACGATCCGACAGCTGAGGAAATCTACCCTTACGAGAGCTACTATTACAAGCCGAGCCATCCTGCAGCAATGGATAACAAGGTGATTCTGACGATAGTGAGGCATTTGGAAATGGTCTCGGAGTGGAATTCTCGATATAGCAGTACACCTGCACGCTACAGTCTCCGCAAGAACAGTCCACTGTTCAAGGCAGATGCAAAGCTGTGGAAATGGATACTCGGATGCATTGCGGACAAAATAGAGCCGGCAAGAAAAGCTGCAATGGTTTCATCACGGAGGGAGTAGAGATTCGTTGCAATTTAATTCTATTCTCCAACTGTAGCTGAACTCAAAGATGACTGTAATCAAGCTAACGAGTGTACCCGTTCCAAGAAAGAACGATGATTTCTCGCTGATCAAAATACCAATGAGTATACGGAGCCCGAACAACATCCATGTGTTCTCCCGTACGTGACCACGAGTCGCTTCAATCGCATGCTCGTCGTTGGCGAATATATTCGACATGAGCTTGGTATATACATCCGGTGGAATCTTCAGTGATCTATCAAATGTTGCTCGTTAGACACTGCAAGGAGAAAGAGGAAAACGTACGGAGGTAACCTGACAGGGAAAACTCACCAAATAATTTCTAGCGTCTTGGGAAATATCGGTCACGTAGCCGCGCCTCCACTCTGGATATTGATCTGATGATGTTGTTAGTCGTGGGTTTTTCTCTTTGCAGAACCAGGGAATTCTCGCTGCACACGTACCGTCGAATGAAAAAAAGAATACTTGATCGTAGATTGGATAATAGTCTTTCTTTATAGAATAGCACGGTGGATAAGGAAACCGGCTTGGTGATGGAGGCTGTCCTTGCCAGAAATTATGTCTTTGCCAGAAATTATGTCTTTGCATTTTGCTTTGCTTCAGTAGGTGAGCTGACGATGTGATGGATTGTCTTAATCGGCTAGAAGCGTATATATATCAAGTAAAGCCGTTTGAATGCCTATAACTGATGATGGTTACCCTTTAAGATGACGAGGACAAGGCACAATATAAATACACGAGAGTGATAGTATTATATTTCAACGCAGAAGACGACAGATTTTCTAGAAAGATCATGGACGGGTAGCGGCAGACAGTGCAACAGGGTAGATGATTAATCCGTAAAGTCTTTTTGACGGTTTCTCATCAGAATGAGATGCCAGTCACGGTGTTCTCATGCATTCTTTCTTTGGTCTATGTGTTAGTGCCCAGGCAAGGCTGAGAAGACTTCTGCGTGGTCCCAGGTTTCAGTCTCAAACTGTAGTCACCATGCAAATAAAAATCTCTTTGTGGGTTTTCTATGAAATCCATCGGGACTTTGCAAAATATGATTCAACCTGTCCATTATGTGAAGTGTATATCAAAAGAATGTTGAAATGATAATGTCGATACAATGCTGTTTCTTCTGGAAGAGCCGAGGCTAATCAGTAGATAGCTAAGACAGTCACATCAAGTGACGGGGAACCTACACTAAACAAGCTTCCCGCACCCCATCCACAATTCAGCCACTCCACTATCCACCCCTCCCCCAGTCGTTCCAATCCAATAACTAATAATGACGCCTACACCGATCTGTCAGTCTTTTCCGAACGAATCTGGTCACGGACCGGATAACAGACGACACACAAAACATGGGCGGTGTCGTTCGTCGCAGGACCCGCACTGTGTATCAGGGTATGCAGCAGCAACAACAAAATAAGCTACCGTCGACCACATGATCATGCCGACATCTTCCATCTTTCATAAGAGCAAGCTGAACCAACTCTTCTTGTTTTAAAACATACTCTGTGGTGCCTTTTAGATCCTCCGCACCCAACGAGGTTCTGGTGCTTTTTCTTTCTGCTTGCTGTTTGGTTCCATGTAAATATCTTCTCAGTCAAGACATCTTTTTTTGTCAGTCTAAGCATGGACGGCTCAAGTCCTCTTTCGGTCCTAAGGACGATTCTGCCCAAGGTACCATTCATGATCAAGACCATCATCTGGCATATCCTGGGCCTGTCATCGACGTCACGGGAATGGGATCTGCGCACTGCAGTTACAGTCCTTTTGATCCGGGCCTTGATCTGCGACTCGAAACCCTCAAGCGTCTCAGAGCAACAGCAGCGTTCGATTCGAGCACCGCCAGTGCGTGGACCCATGTGGATCAGCCGGGTGACATTGTCCCCGCCGCCAGAGGAGAATGATGTTAAGCGGCTTTTGTTTACCGCCATTGACCAACTGAATGAAAGTGATAATGCCAATGACAACAAGACGGGAGAAACCGCATATGAGAAACCTGAACTCGTACCGGTAGAGGCAGAATGGACGGGCTACCGTGCAGCCGCTTGGCGCACTACGCCGGAGCCCTCGGTATTATCAGAAGAGGAAAAATATCACAGGTTGATGAAGGAAGTAACCAGCGATATCACCATTTTATATGTTCACGGGGGAGCACTGTAGTATGTGTCTTTTTCATCCCCTTTTCTTTATTTTATCCCTAACCTATCCGAGCCTTCCCTCATTCTTGCAATCCTCAGGACTTTGGAACCTGTAACTTACATTGCAATAGCCTCATGGACCCAGCAACGCACCGGCCCGCAACAGCACGCCATGCCCGGCTCACCGGCGGCCGCGTACTTTCCGTGCGGTACCGGTTGGCGCCCAAGTACCCGTTCCCTGCGGCTCTATTGGACGTCTTTGTGGCGTATCTCTCTCTTCTTTCTCCGGGCGCTGATGCACTGCACCCTGCCGTGCCGCCCTCAAAGATTGTCTTTGCGGGAGATAGCGCCGGGGGGACGCTGATTTTCGCTCTTGTTCAATTACTCCTCCATCTTCGCCGCACTCTCCCTCCCGCAGTCCGGGTTCTACAAGACAGCGAGCCAAGCCAGATAGACCAGACAAGCCAGACCTCGAGCCCGACAGTCCAATTCAACGGCCGCTCTGTCCCGCTCGACCTCCCCGCCGGCATCGTCGGACATAGTCCCTGGCTCGACCTTACCCAGAGCATGCCGTCTGGCACGATCAATGCGAAATGGGACTACCTGCCTCCGCCGAAACCCCATGGGTCTCATGGCGCAGACACTTTCCCGCCGTGTTCCCTGTGGCCGACGACCCCGCCGCGCTCTGATCTCTATGCGCCGGCCCCGTTGCTTGTGCATCCGCTCGCGAGTCCGCTTGCCGCGCCGCCGTCCGCATGGCAGGGTGCGCCACCTGTGTGGATTGGTATCGGGCAGGAAATGCTCGCTGATGAAGCAGCTTGTCTGGCTGGATGGATGGCTGATACGAGTCCAGATCGTGATTCTCATTCTTATCCTTCTCATGATTCTGATTCTTCGCATTCTCATGATTTTCACGACGATTCGCATCATTCTCATCAAGAACAAGATCAACACCAACACCACCATGAGCGTCAGCAGCAACAACAGACTCCATCTCCGATCGTGCATCTCAACCAGTACGCCCACATGCCACATGCCTTTGGGCTCCTGCTTGACCACACTGCCCAATCGAAGCATTATATGCGGTCCTGCGCAGACTTTATTACCGCTTGTGTTAATCTCTCCTCTTCCTCTTTTCCTTCCTCTTCCTCGTCTTCCTCTGATCCCTCACACTCCCCCCACTCAATCGCCTCCTCTTCGCCTCCCTCTCCCGCGTTGTCGTCGTCGCCATACGACCTATGTAACTCTGATTCAAGCCTTTTGCCTCCTTCTTCCCCTTCCCCTCTTTTATCCTCTCCTCCTCCATCTTCTTCTCCTGCTGCTGCTGCTGCTCCTGCTCCCTCTTCTCTTCCATCCTCTACTTCTGCTGCTGCTGCTGCTCCGACGACGACGACAACGACGGCAACAGCCCCGCCGCTCCTATCCTCCAAAGCGACCTTCTTCGACCGGCATGTCCACGCGACTGTCGAATTGCAAAACACCTTTGACATTTTCGCCTCCAACTCTAATTCCTCCTCCTCTTCCATCTCCAGTCCCAGTCCCAGTTCCAAGTCCAACTCCAGGACCAGGACCAGGACCAGCAAGAAAACGGACAAAAAGTCCAAAGACGGCATCTTCTTCTCACAAGTCGATAACAGTCATCATCACCATCACCATCACCGCCGTACAAAAGACTACTATACGTACGAGGCGGTATACAAGACAATGTGCGAAGCGGCGCGGACGCGGGCAGAGTTGTTGAGCAAGGCGCTGAGCTCTGAGGGTGGGAGAAGAGGTGTAGAGACTGTGACTGTAGATGGGCTAGCAAACAACGAAGCAGACGACGACGAAGATGAAGATGAAGAAGAGGACAAGGTAGACAAAGTAGAAAAATACAAGATAAAAAATCAAGCCAGAGGAGATGAAGAAGTCCATGGAGAGGGAGCAGCGATAGGGATGCCGCGATTCTGAGGTCCTTAGAACAAAGAACATCTAGGTAGCTACACAATATATATCGCAATGGGAAATGAGAAATGAGAAACGGGAAATGCACATCTCGTTTTCAATCATTACAGTAGACAAGTGAGCCAGAAATCTATATATTATCCTCACTAATCGCTAAGATGGCTTTCTGTATCTTGATTCCAATCCCAGTTCCAATTCCGCGGTTCCCCCCCCCGCTGACCGTAGATCCTACCCTAGTCTATCTATAAAAGCATTGATGCCGAGCAATGTCGGGCTAATAAAAGAGAAAAGCAGAAAGAAAAAAAAGGGAGTAATTAAGGGTGTAGTAAAAGAAGAGAATATGTTACAAGCGTGTCCATTCTTCTCGTTCTCGTTCCCATTACCGTGCAGTTAGAAATTAACATTGAAATTATTACATCCTCCACATGTCCGATTCTCCAGCGATCCCAAATATCGTCAAGTCAAGCCGAAAAACTTCAGACATGATGGCGTAATGGGAGACAAGGTGTCATTTTCCGGTCCAATAGCATCGTGGATCAAGGCCAAAAAAGAAAATGGTCGAGGGCCGTAATATTAATCAATCATTTTCCGCCGTAATCAAACATCACGTTAAAAAAAAAAAAAAGACGTGATGTCGAGTAAAAATCCGGGAGACGCCAAACCGCGAGGAATGCTCTCAGCAATGACGGTGCGATACCAACACCTCCGCTAAAATGCAAAAGCAATGTCAAGCGTTTAGGCCTTGATGGCATACTTGCGACGGAACATGTCGTCAACCTCGGTCAGGTAGTAGGTGTTCTTGACAATGTGCTCGGTGCTGCCCTGAGGAACGTAGTTCTTCTGCAAATGAGCCTTCTCACGGAGCGAGCACATCTAGAACAAAAGAAAAAAAAAAGTCAGTAATGGACATACAGAAAACTTGTATCATGAGATGACATACCTGATCGTAAACCTCAGGAGCGACGGTGCGGCGAGCGTCGAGGCGAGCGTGCAGGTCGAGCTTCTGCTGGAATGCCTCCGTGGAGCCAACCACACGCAGAGAGAAGAAGGAGCTGGCGAGACCACTTCCGTAGCTGAAGACACCAATACGGCGGCCCTGGATAGCGGCGCTGTCGACGTTGCTCAAAAGGGCACAGAGGGAGCCGTAAACACTGGCGCTGTACATGTTGCCGCACATGGTGGGCACCTGGACACCAGGCTGGACACGCTCCTGGAAGCGCTTCTTGCTGAGCGCCAAAAAGGTCTTTTCAATGTTGCGGTCGGACAGCGATTTCTCGTAGTCGAGTTCGCGCAAGTCGGCGGGCACCGACTCGAAGGCGGGGTGGCTGGGGTTGGCCAAGAAGTCATTGTAGAGCAAACGAGCGTACGACTTGGACACAAGTTTGCAGGTGGGCGAGTGGAAGAGGACGTGGTCAAAGCGATCAAGCGGTGTCTTCTCGTTAGCGGCGTCACCGTTGACGACGCCATTAGTCTCACCCTTTTGCTGGAGAGCCTTCTCGCGGGCGTTGTAGGCCTTGTAGCAGTTGTCGACTGCCTCCGTGTAGCAGCGAATGGAGTAGTGGCCATCGACAATGGGGTACTCGCTGGTGAGATCGGCCTTGTAAAAGTCGTACGCGTGCTGCATATACGAGCCACGGAGACCGGGCTCAAAGATAACCGGGGCATCTGGGCCAATAACCAAGGCCACACAGCCGGCACCACCGGTAGGGCGGGCAGCGCCCTTCTTGTACAATGCGATATCTCCGGTGACGACGACAGCGTCCCGGCCATCCCATGCGGACGATTCGACCCAGTTGATGGAGTTGAAGATGGCGTTGGTGCCACCATAGCAGGCGTTGACGGTGTCAATGCCCTCAACGTTGGCGTTGCCAGACTCTTCAAAGAGCTGCATCAAGACGGACTTGACCGACTTGGACTTGTCAAGCAGAGTCTCGGTGCCAACCTCAAGTCGTCCAACGTTCTTGGGGTCAATGTTGTACTTGCGGAAGAGAGACGAGAGCGTGGTCAGGGCAAGAGAGTAGATGTCTGTATGATTCTTAGCACACTGATGGACCAGACGGAGGAAAAGAAATGGTAGAGAAATGTGTATGGGATAGGCCTACCTTCACGATCATCACAGAAGCTCATCTTGGTCTGGCCAAGACCAATGGTATACTTGCCCTCACTGACGCCATCAAACTTTTCGAGTTCAGCCTGATCGACACACTGAGGAAATTATTGCCATTAGTCAAAAGGTCCCACAAGAGGAAGTGCAGACAAACGGGAGATAGGTACCTGGTTGGGGAAGTAGATCTCAATGGCCTTAATGCCAACATTTCTGGGACGCGCAGACATGGTGATAGTTGAAAGGAGGGTAAAATAAAAAGTCGGGCTAAGGAGTGGGAGCAGAGGGGAAAAAAAAAGGATTAGAAAATGGAGGAAAGGGAGTGAGAAGACGAAGGATGAAATAAACGTTCCGAGCGCGGAACAAGAGGAATTGGAGTTTCGAAGATACAGTGGTTTTGAGGGGCAGAGAGAGAAAGAGAGAGAGTGAGAGAGTGTGAGAGGGTGTGAGCGACGGCGAGGTCGTCCAGGGGCGTTGAACAAAAAGGCGGTCGCCAGCCGTGGATGTTGAGTGAAAAGTACTGGTACTTGTAATTGCTCAAAACTACTTTATCTAACTCTGATATGGGAAAGAAGTTGTGGCAAAGATCCGAGTAAAAGGGTACCTCAAAGTCGCTCAAAGTAGAGTACTGCAGGGTCTGGCGGGATGGCGTGGTTGTGTTTCCCCTGTGGGTTGTGTGGGGAATAAGGCAAGTAAATTGAAGAGCTGCGATAACTACAATAATTTTACTACTACGGTACACCGGGCATGGCCTCTGATTTGATAAAGAGATATCTACTCTTCTCTGAATGCCTGTCACCCCCTCACAAAGGTGATCAATTTTCGGCGACACTTCAGCGGCGAGATAAACCCCCATGGCGAAATCTTGTCTGTGTGTTCCCGGCAGAAAAAATCGGTCGCCTCGTGGCAGAACGACAGAAACGACGCGGCCGCCCATCTGCCGGTGTCCAATGCGTCGTAGGCAGTTCGGGTACCTGAGACGGGGGAGGCTTGATGGCGGTGGGAGATGTCTCTCTTTTCGCCTCATCTGTTATAGCATGACATGACACGGGGGCACGGTGTACAGAATGCCGTACCTAGTTACGGAGCGAGGAGTACTCGTCCTGACTGTTACGTACCCGAGCCCTTTTTCGGGCAGTAAACTTCGGCGTCCCACCGCTTCACGGTAGATAAAGACCAGTGGCCAACACATTTATATATCTACATGCATGTGCACCATTGTTGCTGTTGATTCTACACTACATTCTGCAAGAGGGATCGATGGTACGATCGTTGCTTTTTACTTGATTACTGTTGTCGTGCAGTAAGATTATTTCACCAATAATAAGGAGCAATCTGATCATCGATAGGCCCCACCTCTTACCCCTCTATTGCTTTCTGACAATTAGAGAGATATGATCCATCTGCAACTAGATAACTATCAAACTACCTCAATTCATTCCAAGACACCATCCCTGGTCCCAAGAACTTTCACCGAACATTCTCAAACAACGTGCTATGGTGCTCCTGACATCAAAAATGGGTTTGTATAATGTGAGCTCAAGTGACATTTTGAATATTGTGCAGGCCCAAGGAAACCACTATCAGCTATCCTCCTGTCACAAAATCATCCTGTATCTCAAACCAATATTGTTTGCAATCAAGGATTTGCAGTTCCATTGTCGCGAGTACTGCAGTTGCGTGCACAATGAGATACATTTTATCCACCTTTATGCGTAAGTTATGCATAATCTTATTCATCTCATCATTCGATGCTGGGGTTATTAGTCAGCAATGACATCTGCTCATGAGACTTTTCTGGCCAAGCGACCCACGATGGCCGCCCAGCGCCGAGGTCTTTGCCCTGCCACACCCCCCTATGATCTCACTCTACGCGTAGTATCGATCACAGAATCACAACTTCAGCTGTCATTGGTCGGACAGCCTCGCCCGGGCATCCAAACTCTATACAATTGAATCGAATGAGAAGTGATGGACCTGTCTCCGCGGGCAGAGAACATCAATGAGCTACCTCTGGTGCTACCTCTGTTCGTGGAACTTTCTTAAGAAGCTACAATTAAAGTATGTTCCCGCTAGCCATGCTAGGCCTGGAAAATACCAAGGAAACCCAATTTAAAGAGAAAAAATTTCCACGCATCACGATTCTTTTTGTCCAGAGTAAGGCACCCTGGCCGAGTCCATGTGGAGACATGAGAGTAGCCATTCTCCTCAACCTATCGTCGTCGGAGGCGCTCTTGGTCGATGGAATCCACCGTAGCGCAGCATCCATGAAATCTAATGGCGCCAAGCTGAACCGACCCGGGACTAGTGTCGGGGGTTTTGACTGTTCGACCCTGCCATCGTCCAATCAACGGTCCGGAGTGACGGCGGAGATGATCCTTTTTTGCTTCTCACTCTTTTCAGGAACCAAAGCTCGCCCAGTCCATTCTTTCGGGAAGACGTTGCAGTAGTAGTCTCGTGCCTTGTCGAGTGACAATGATAATTATCATCAGCCTCGTCGCTTTTGATGAAAGTCCGGAACCACTTCAACGCAAGACATGATGATTCAGTAAATTCGGGGTCTCGTAATTCAGCTTTTACCTTGCGTATCTCGGCCGGACTCACATTCTCATGTGGGATTTAGGGATACTTTTCTGGAGGTAGCTCCGTCTTGGATCACAGTTACCACTACGGAGTAATTGATCAACTGAGAGACGAGTACCTAGCGGGAGGTACCTTTGCCTTCCTACCAGGTACTTGCACTGCCCACTGGTATTCGGTATCCGATAAGTTTGATGTTGCCAATCGATAATGCTGCAGCAAGCCACCTTGAATGCGGTAAATATATACCATCATAATCCTCATCGCCGACGAAGATATTCTACAGTTACTGCCTACCTAACCTGACTTCACAAGGTATACTGAAGATAAAGTACTCGTATCGCTCAAAGTCATGTCCCTGTTTGACTGTTTTTGCTCGTGTCCAAATTAGCGATTCACCGGCGGCACGGTCTAGGGGAGAAAAGTCTCGCCTGGACTGTTGTTGGTGTCGCTTCGGTCGTCTTTGCCTTGTTGCTTTGATGGAATCTGATTCGATTGTCATCCTGTCCCCCCTTCTCCATCGTCTCCTTCGTCTCCTTCGCCCCTCTCCCCCCTTCCTGTCGAATTGAATTGCCTTTCTCGCCTTTTGGGGGGGGGAAGACCTCTCGTTTGCCCCCTCCATCTCCCGAAAAAGCCAAAATCCGAGACGTGACGGCCTGACTACGGGCCCATCATCGCTCTACCCCCATACCGCTACTGCGCTACTACTGCTTGTACCTTCTCACAAGTCTCATCCCATCCCATCCCGTCCCGGGTTCTTGTCCCCCCATCCTGTCCGTCCCCGTACCCGTCGTCCACTTACCACTCTCGATTCTTCCATTCCAACCTCGACATCAACCCTTTCAATCTCCATCCCTCTCCTCGCACTCTCCTCATCCATCCATTCATTCTTTCTTCAACCAACGACAATTATTCCCAAGTCCGACTCGACACATCTCGGCACCATTCGCGAATTGGAAATCCTTCGATCCGCGACTTATCCGATCGATTAAATCATAAGATTGAGAAGTTGAATCGGAAAGAAAAAAAAATAACAGTAAAAGGAGACGGATAGAGAGAAAGAGTGAAGGATTAACGAATTCGGATTTCGCCTTTAGGAGGCTTGAGGACGCCTCTCATATCATCATGGCGGACCGACAACCCGAACGTCCTCCTTCAAGCGCCTCCAGGCCAGCATCTCCCTCACACTTAGCCCCCGAAGCCTCGTCTTCAACATCGGCCTCATCCTCTTCTACACCTTCCTCAACTTCACCGACCGCCGCTGATGTGGTCCGATTGCCCTCCCAGACGTCTAACCCCAACGTCTTCGACGATGAATTTGCCATCGAATCTGCAGACGTCACGGATAACTCAGCACCAGTCACTCCGATTGCTGCCGAAGATCCTTCCTCCATTTCGCCCGTTGAAGCTGCTGCTATTGTTGATGGACCCATGAGACCACAGCGACCCGCAGAAGAGATAACTCCAATTGCATCGCCTCCTGTGTCCAAGGCACAGGAAGCCGCGCAAGAGACTGGCTTGGCTTCCGATGCAACAACACCGGCAGCAGCAGCAGCTTCTGCTAACGCACAAGGCCCCAAATCCCACTTCAACTTTCAAATGCCTCCACCAATGGGCCAAGGAAGACCCGCATCACCAGGCTTTAACCCTGATGGCACCCCTCGTCGCCCTGCCAGCATTGCCTCGTCTTTTCAGATGCCGCGTGCACAGAGCCCTTACCAAGGAGCCACAGGCCCCAGTCATCCATACGACATGTACCCGCAAGGCATCGGCTTGCCTCGATCTCCTAGCCTTTCTAGTGCTTCCAATGTTCGCACATCGCGTGTGTACACTGGCCCCAACGGACCCACTCACCCTTATGGCATGTATCCCCAGAATACGATACCCGAAGGTACCGATGGTTTGACATCGCACATTCCTGTCGGCTTCCCTGGAGTCGCACAGCAGACCTTTACCCGTCCACTTGGGCCCAGTGCTGAAGGCGCCGATGACATTGTTGGCCCGGATGGCCACACCGAGCAGCTCCCTCCCTACACTAGATACCCCGATGGTCATCAACCATCTCCTGTTGTGAATACACATGGCTTAGACTCGGCGGCGGCGGCAGGGGCGGCAGGGGCGGCAGCAGGAACTGACGCAGCGGCCACACACGCCTTGCCTGGGGCTGATGCAGGCACTCCTGTGACTATGAGCCCTTCTCCGCAGGAACGGATACAACCCCAGACAAGCGAAACGCAGACGACGCTTGTTGAGCCCGATCATAGCGGTAGCTTCAAGGAGAAGCTGACTGAGAAGAGCAAACATCGGGTCTGCTGGGGCAAGGTGCCCATGTGGCTTTTTGCTGTCAGCATCGCCCTGATTGTCATCTTCGCGGCAATCTTGGGTGGTGTCGTCGGTGGCCTCGTGAGCAACGAGAACCGCCATAGTGCGCAACAAGCTTCTCAACAAGCTTCAGCGGCGGCAGCTAGGTAAGAATGATTATCATCTCAGTCTCATCATATTTTTGTTATTTTTTTTTTGTTCCAATTTTCTGACTGATCATGGTAATAGCGCTACACGATCGGTTGTAACGGTGACTGCCAGCTCCTCGTCTTGGAATGATTTTTCACCATTGTCATCGACTCCTACCAATCTCCCCACGCTTGCCTCTGGCACTTATGTCGTGCCCATGCCCACGGCTCAGGTGGATTCAAGTGCCTGTCTCATTGACAATAATCAATCGAGCGCTTGGTCGTGCAATGTCGGCGGTGACCTCTTTGAATTGCTCTATATTGCTGGTGGCCCAGGAAAGTCGAATTTTGCCAAATTTATCACCCCGGGTGATACCATACAATACGGAGCGCAACCGCCGTCGATTGGTCAACCACAAATGGTTAATCTTGTGACGGACAATGACGCTGCCAACCTCGGACCCGCATACTTTTTCCGCACGCAGGCATACGACAAGGTCGTGGTTGTTCCCGAAGAGCAGTTTCCTCAAGGCTCTTCTAGTAAACAAAGACGATCTGCATCACCCATTGTGCAACGAAGTTCTGCCAATTTCACACGATACACTGATATTGTCAGACCAAATGAAAAGCCATGGTTTTGTTTTTGGAATGGAACCATGCTCGACGTCTTCATCTACCTTTATGAAAACTCGTCGGTAGCAGCCTGGGACAACGCGGCGGCGTCGGCAGCAGCCAAGAGCTCCGGACACTCATCGACGACCACTATCACCACGACATATAATTCATACCCCAGCGGCATGGCTCCAACATCGACAACCTCCAGTCTAACAACCACCAGTGATACCGTTCCCTGGCCCAGCCAATTTAATGATTTCCCCAAACGTGTCAAAGCTATTGAGCGAAGGCAGGAGCATAATGCGATCCAGCCGTATTGCCAGCAGATGCAAATGTTGGATGACTGGTCCATCCAACCGGCCCAAGAAAATGGCAGCCCAGTCACCTTCTTGCTCAATGAGACCGAGCCAGAACCGTCACCTACTACTGCCGCGTTCATCACAAGCGTGACCGCGCGCCGTCGCCGGTGGGATGATGGACCTGAAGTCCGTGCCAAGCGGTCCGAAGGTGGCGCTACCTGGAAAGACGGCTGTTTCTGCGAGTGGCTAAGCTCATGACATTAATTTTCGACGTTTTTAAAGATATCATTTTCTTTTCCCTCAAATTGGTCCTTCTACTACTTCCCTCGTGGAATCCTCGAGGCTTTTTCTCCTTCTTTCAACTCTTTCCTACGACTTCACCATATATATTTCTTTTTTTCTTTTTTTTTTGCCACTCTTCCTAATTTTTCTACCGGAGAATATGCGGGCGTTCTTTGACATATATATTCTTTATCATTTCTGGCGATTACGATTCTCGTCATCACCGTCATCATCTCATGAACCTCATTTTTGTCTTTATTACACTGGTGTCTGTCTATCTAGCCACTCTTTTTCTTGTCCTTTGTCCTTTGTCCTTGCTTTTGGCCAGGGGAATTGGTCACCCTGTTCAACATTTTCATCTTTTGCATATTATGTTCTAAAGCCCTCTAAAGAATCTTGTAATTTTTCTCCTCAAGAGGGAAATATTATTTGATGTCTTCTCCTTTTGAACCTTTGCTTTGCTTTACTTTTGCTTTTGCTTTTAATTATTGGTCTTGCTCTTGATTTTATCTACAAACAGGACGGTGTAGTCAGGCCCCATAGGAATTGGACAGATAAAATTCTTTTTTCCCGTTTCCGTTTCCGTCTCCTTTTTCTTGTTGTGTTTTTCTTTCATCCCTTTCTTCGTCCACTATTGGTCGTCTTCTTTTTTTTTTTTTTTTTTTTTGTTTTTTCTTTTGTCCACTTTTCTAAATTCCACATGTTGTGCGTATTGTGTATTGCGTACTGCGTATTGGATGGCTTGTTTGATAATTATATCCCTTTTCTTTTTCTTTTCTAAATCTTTTTTTCTTTTTCCTTTTTCCTTTTCCCTTTTTCTTCTTCTTTTCCTTTTCGTGCATTTTTATTATCAATATTTTTACTACTATTACTACATACATGACTACTACTATGTGTGGTCCCGCTGAGAGAGCTATATTAGACAAATAACAATCAAGGAGTTATAAGTAAAAGTTTCTTTTCAATTCAATTCATATCTGAATAAGTGAGCAACGGAATGAGTGAGTGAGTGAGTTCGAGATATCGTCGTAGACTTTCCTGCTTGCCGCCAAGTAATTTCGTGGATAATGGTTCATGGTTCGGGTCGTCAAAGGAATAAGTATGAAAGGAACATCCACATTTCATATTTTGGAGAATGGTTGGAATAGGAAGATCATTTGATAAAGATTGCTCTAGAAATACGGGATATATTTGCAATTTGAATACTGGTTGAGAAGCGTATAGGTGGTTTGGTATTGGTATCGGTATTTGGTATATATCTTTCCGAAAGGAGGAAAGAGGGAAGAGAAAAAGAGGCAGGAAGCGAGACAGAAAAGGGCCGTGGCTGAGAAGATGGAAAATGGAAAGGGGCCCAAGGGTGAGAAAGGGGGGGATTATAATTTAAACGTCGCATTCTCCTTTTCCCATCTTACAGCCACAGGCCTTGATGGGAGGGGCTGGGATGTCCATGCTTGAGAGGTAAATTGGGACTCTTGCTGTGAGGAAGGCGATGATGATAATGGATTGATAGGTTCTGACTGCGCTGGTAATGATGATGCTGTTGTTGGTATTGGTGAGGCCCCTGACGGGGGATAGGCGGCTAGTTGTCCTGCCAAATCGAGTTTCAAAGAGCGACTGCGCTCGGTGCACAGTTCGTAGATGGTGCATAGATTGAATATACTTGCTTGAGTCATTGGTGGCGTTACTGGCGTTGGCGTCGTGGCAGGATGAGATGGGGATTCAGGGTCTTTTGTCGGCGAAGGTGCTTGCGATTCAGCAGGAGCAGATGATGACGGCGGGATTAGAGATGAGAGTAGAGAGCGAGACTGTTATTCGTAAGAAGCCATCAGTTATTGAATTTGCTCATTGCAACAGATGTTCAGATTAAAACATACCTCTAACAACCGACCGGAATATAATAGACACACAGCGAGGTTTTGCGCAATGAGAGCGTGCAGGCCAGGGTCAAGGCGTGCCGAGCTACTGGGCGGGCCAGTGTTGTCCGGCGTTGTATCTTTCGCAGCTGCATCTGAAGCTGTTTCAACTTTGTGCGAAGTCATCTCGTTTTGAGACTGGGATCCTTCACCCTCTGCTGCTGAAGGTTCTTCTTTAGCGTTGGCAGAAGAATCTTTCTTGTCTAATAGAGCGCGCCACTGTGACACAGCCAGGTTAAAATCACCATCCGCCATACTGCACAAAGCATCAACAACTCCCCCAGAGATCTCTTCTTTAGCTGCTTCTCCATTTTCATCAGATCGCGCTAGACATTGTCTCGCCGCTGTGACATTGCCGCCGCGAAGGTATATCAGAGCCAGCCTAGTATTCATCGCTTGAGCAGCGGGACCATGACAAGTAGGTCTCAACGAGCCAAGATGCCTCACGGCCGTCTCCAGATCACCCATTTCAACGAGCGCATTTCCAACGCGGAGACCAAGATCCCAGAGGCGGTCTTGCCAGAGACGAATCTCTGCTTCGTCCGGGGTCGACTTTGATCTGGCTTTGGCAAGGCTGAAACGCGCGTCACGAGCTAATTCATAATATCCCATTACGCCTCGACGCCAATCGCCATAGCCAATTCCTTGAAGACGCACAGCTAGCACTCGGAGTTCCCACGGTACCAGGTGCGCTTCGGTAATGGGATCGCGGTAGAAGGTTGAATTGAGATCCTCCAGTGCCTTGACCTCTTGAGCGGCAATCACCGTTTGGTTTATGAGTGTGAGACATGCTAGGCGAGTATATAAGAGCGAAAAGATTTCCGCATGAGCTGTTGGAGATACTTCGGTCGTCAGCGTCGAGGCAGCCCGGATGGCTGCGGCTCGAAAATGGCCTTGTGCGAGAAGCTCCGGGAGTGGTGCAACGGGTGAGGGCTGATAGGGAGATTCCCGGAAAGCTTGAGGAACGTCCTACGGGATATATTAGATATGGAAGAGCATTCAGGCTGAATTATACGAAAGTGAAATGTTCTTCTGTTGCGCCTGTGCAATGTGAGTCGAGTAAACGTACCAATTGGCTCAACGGATGATATATTTCGGGCCGTAAAAGATAGCCAAAATCCCTGAGCGGTCGGTCTATGCTTGCTAGAACAAGCTCAGGGTCTAGTGTGGGCGGATTGGATGGCGAAGGAGTCACAGCTCGTGGAGTGGGATCAGGGCTAGGGGAAAGCGAGAGAGCGGGCAATGAAACCGACAATGGACTGAAAAGAGTCAATGAAACACATATCACAAAGACTAAGAGCCAAAATTTTCAACAACTAACTCATCTAATGGACCTTTGGTAGAGCTTCGCGGTCGCAGTACTTGAAATAATTAGTTCATTGATCTCAGAAGAGAAAGGCTGGGCCTGGTGGTGTGTTTATCGCGCCTTTTTGTTCTAGGGAAGATATTAAGGTACTAGCATACCTCGACGTCGATCATCTGCTGAGAGATGCCTGTTATGCGCTTTAGGCGTAGATGTGCCAGATGACGAAGACATAATTTCAGCTAATTGTCGACACCAGGCCAAAGTCAACAAAGACGTTAACCTCTGGAGCAGCTGACGTCGGAAAGTGAGTGAGAGCTTAACGACGATGGCGGTGGACCGGAGCCAAGCATTCTGCCGGGCGGTGAAGCGGGACACCGAACTACCAGCGAGGGACCCTGACGCAGCCCCATGGCCCCACCACTGGATTACTCTCTGTATCCACCAACCGTCATCCCACTCATCCTGTCCCCCTCCCAGAAGTCCTTTCCTCTATAACCCTCGAATTGAATTCATCTCTCTCTCTCTCTTTCCCTCCCTCTTAAAATCTGATCAGCTTCAGTCAATTGCCTAATTAAAATAAACAGAAAATGGGCTTCATTGCAGGACCTCATCCGGGCATCCTCCACCACTACGTAGGGAAACCCCCTTTGAACAACCTTGTTTAATCAGTACCCCAGATATAAACCAAAAAAAGAATCCAGCATCATTAAATGCCTTTTCTCTTTCCAATTTATATCACTTGCGCTGTACTTAATCACGTAGCTGATCCCGCATAAACAATATAGTCTCCCCGCCTCGTAGCTTTCGAACATTCTCCTCCAGCGAGCCATGCCTCTGCACCGGAGTCCCAGCCTAAAAATACCATCATTTTCATCGCAGGATTAGGTGACGGTCTATTGACTGTGCCATATGCAACGAAGCTTTCTCAAGCTCTCCCGCCCAACTACCGCCTCGCCGAAATTCTCCTCTTTTCTTCCTATACTGGCTGGGGCATTTCATCATTGCAACGGGATGCTGCTCAGATATCAGAGTGCGTAGCGTACTTCAAACGCGCTCGGCCAGGTGGTAAGATTATCCTGATGGGCCATTCCACTGGTTGTCAGGACACAATCGAGTACCTGGTCGGTAGAAATGCCGCTTCATACACCCCTATTGATGGCGCAATCTTGCAAGCCTCCATTAGCGATCGAGAAGCAATTGAGGCGGAGCTCAAGCCGGCAACGCTGAAGAGGGGTATTGAAATAGCCCAAAAATGGGTTGCTGAGGGCAAAGGTGACGATGTGCTGCCGGCCGAAGCGACAGATGGATCCTTTGGTTCGCCCTGTACCGCTCGACGATGGTTGAGCCTTACAAGCCCTGACCATGATGGCGACGATGATTATTTCAGTTCCGACCTCTCGGACGAGCAGCTCCGCCAGACTTTTGGGAAAATTCCAGCCTCCAGTCCCTTGTGTATTTTGTACTCGGGGTCGGATCAGTTTGTGCCTGATTTTGTAGACAAGGCTGCGTTGGTGAAGAAGTGGATCGGCTTCGTCAAAGAAGGAGGTGGAAAGGTGGACGAGGAACACTCTGGTCTAGTGAAAGACGCAAGCCATAACTTAATTGGCAATGATGAGCCGGTCGTTAAAGACTTGATTGAGCGAGTTCTGGGATTTGTGACGAAGATCGCCTGAAGCAATTTTGGACGCCTACGCTCCCTTCATTTTCGCGCAAAGTCCGAAACGCAGCAGCCCTCCTTCGAGAATCGTTAGCTCGATGCTCTCATTCGCCTTGAGAAGAGTTGGTTTGAGCAATAGAATAATGACTGTAAGAAGATAAGACGATAGATGATAGCCTATTGGTATATAGATTTTCGGTTACACAGAATTCTAAACAAAGACAAAGTATGAACCTGAATATCACATCTCTACCACATAAACAATACGGACGAAACCACTACCGGTCTTTTACATGTTGTTCGTCTATTGAAGGAGCGCTATAAAGGTGAATAGGGCTACTTTTCCCGACCGTCAAGAAGAAGGGAGGATATGAGAGAGACGCAAAGAGGAATCAAAATTGAAGATGACTTGTGGCTCGAGGTAACAGGAAGTCAATCTCTGCCGGAATGAGAACATAAGAGTAGCAATGTACAAGACGCCTGACCATGACATCTAATGATTAAATAGACAATCATGGTAAAAACAACTTATCGAAAACTGTCGGAGCCCGTAAACATGGAAAGCATAGCAAGAACTACTTGGGTTGCGTGACGACTCCTTCATACTCCCTCGATGCAATGTAATCCAGAGTTCGCTGAAAATGGCCCCGAGGGTTCTCGAGCGAGCCGCTTTCTTGGTTGGTCTGCAGGTTTGAATGGATTAATTCTATCAAACCATTGAGATACTTTGTCGTCACCTGTGAAAGTATTAGTTTCGAAAAGGATTAATCATCAGAAATCAAGCTATGCAGCATACCGCTTCGTTCTGTTGGTCAAAGTAATAGACGTATCGGTTCAAAATCTCAACAAAGAGCTCCACTGAAACCGCGGTATCCATGCAGGCATCGGCGACCCGAAGTGCTCGCTGTAGACACTCGAGCACTCTCTTTCCATCGCGGTAAAGCTGATTGTTGTTTGTGAGAAAATTTTCTTTGGGACTACAATTGCAACCACTTACGTTTTTGGAGTCATCTTCCCCTCTTGACGGAATGTCCATCGCCCACCACAAGTGGCTTGCTAGATACACAGCTCGGCACTGATCAGGCTTCTTGAGTAGTTTACTGCCGTGCAGAGCACATTTGGTGATTAAGGTATCATAGTTTTCTTTGCTGAATCCGCGGGTGCCGTGGAGTGCACCGGCGATGACGCATACGGATTGAAACTGGGCACGGGAATCGCTGATCGCTTCTTCATAAACGGTGAATGCTTGAGCAAAAAACTCGTAGCTAACTTCCTCGAAGCCATTTTGATCTGCAATCTGACCGCAAGAAACGAAGTGTCGAAGACTCAGCTCTGCAGCGCCAGTGACGCGAGTATAAAGAGCTGAGATGGCAGTGTGCATAAACTTGTACAATGCGGCAGATTGTGATGACCAATTATCATCGTAATGCTCGCGAGCCTTATATCTCCGGGCGAGTTTAATAGAGGAGGTAAGAAGCGCAGGAGTGGTATATTTGATCCGCTCGTTTCCCTCGGCAAACGCTTTTCGCGTTGATTGCAGTAACTATAAATATAAAGAATCAGAAAAGAAAGCTTGCCATGATATTCAAGATGCAAACATACTTTGAATTGCGTATCGTTGTCGGGGCTTTGGATCAGGTGGACTACTCTTGCCAACCAGCCTTGCTCTTCAATTGTCTCATCAGTCTCAGCCCCTCGTCTCTGCGACTGCAGAGCAGGGTACCCAGCGGGTTGTTGAAGGCCTTCCTTGATGAGCACTTTAAGGATCTCAAGCATCCCCTCTAAATTCTCCAATGTCGATACGGCAGTTTGGTTTCTGAGAACGCTCTTGGCTACCTCACCCGCAACAGCACGTCGAATGCCATATGTTTGAGCCTGGAGCAAGGAGATATAATTGGGAAGTGCCAGGGCTGTGAAGAGGGAGAAGTATGCCTTTATGGGTGCTAGAAGGAGATTCAAAATGTTCCCTTGCGAAGCAGGCGAGTGCAGATCCGGGCTATTTGCAAATTGAGTCACTTTTTCTCTGGCATAAGCCAAGATTTGATCGGCGTAATCTAGCTTCTCCGGATACACATTCCTAGATCAAGTCAACATTCAGCTCAACGATGTCATCGGTCCCAAGCGCACTCACAATGCCAGATTAGCAAGTGATACCAGCAAGGCAGTAATGTCTGCTATCGGAAGTCGTTGGACATTGACGAGATTGACAACCTGCTCATAAAATATCTCGTAAAGCTTGACGTCCTCTGGGATACTACGTGCTTTGTTGGCATTCTTTGTCTCTCCGTTCGCTGTAGCCTCCTCAGCTTCCTTGGGAGCCTCAGCTTCTTTTACCGTCGTATCCTGAGTAGGTGCTTCCTTAGTTGCGCCATTCTCTGCCGTCTCTCCATCCGGGCGGGCAGCACTGGTCGGCGGCTGATTCTCCTTGGAAATGCGTAGCTTTTGCAGCATCGCACTTGTTGCTTCCTCTTCCTTCTTCTCACGAACCTCGGGAGGCAACAATTCCGATTCACGTGCTGCATATGCTGATAATCTGTCCATAAGTCCGATAACTATCGCCTTGACGTTGACATTTGGATTAAGCCTAGCAGTCGCAGATAGGAATTGGTCCAGCGTGTGCAGATGGAACTCGTCAGGGAAAACCTGTGTGATAACTGTGGGCAAAGGGTTAGAGCGGGTAAAAAGCATCGTGATCAATATGTAACTTGCCCTCAAGAAGATACTCCTGTGCTAAGACATCCCTGCATTGAACGACCTGCTCAAGGAGAGGCTGAAGGATAACGGTCTTGTAGGTCTCGAGATCTACCAGTTGGCTCAGTCGGACCAAATTACTTCCGACCAAGAGTTGAAGTTCCCGTCTCTCCTTGGTTCTTAATTCCCTCTCTCGCGAGTGCCCTTGGTGCTGCCACCGCACCCACAGCTTATTCATCTCGACAAAATTAGTCAAGACAAAGCTGATCGAATCCTGCAAATTTCCTTCGGGGCCATCACCGCTGCCCGTTGGGAGATGATCTCGTGCTTGACCTGAAAGATAGTATCGCAAGAAAAGACCTCGTATCGGATGCTGAACTCCTCGACTCATTTCCATCATATCTTTCATAATCTCTTTGACCGGTGCATCCTCCACTGCCATGTACACTGTTCCAACGGTGATCATGAGATACAGGCGAGGAACAATGTTGCCAGCATACTGAACGAGCTCATACAAATCGGCTAGATGATTCACCGGATGACTCTCCCGTAAATAGACAGAAAGGTGTCGGAGAGCATCGAAGACGGCCATATAAAGTTCATAATATTGCTTTGGACCGAGGCTGCTGGTTCGCAGTTCTGAAACGAGCGTCGAACTTGAGCAAAGCATCCAGTTAGCGAATTCAAGCTTATAGTGAGACGTAGATAAGAATCCTCTGTTTCCAAAGCAAGACGGGAAAGTCTCAGCTCGGAACCTGGGAATCCAACAAGAGGATTTGGAAGCGCGAAGGCAATTGTCATCTATGGCTAATGGGATAACCAGAAACAAGGCAAGCAAGCTACCTACCTGCATTTCAATGCATCCATCAATTTACCAGGCGTCTCAAGGCATTTGCGCATCAAGTGAGTTTGCTGACGGACCACACCTAATGCTTCCTCCAGCAGGCGAGCTTGGTCTTCGACGACATTGGTGACTGGTTGTAAGGTCGCCATTTTGACGCTCGAAGCAAGTGCTTAACGGCGCTCAGTAGGCACAATGACCGGCAGTTTGGTACTTCGTTCCAGCGTTGACAATGGCAAGGCCAAGTTGAGCCGTTGAAGTCTATCGCCGTGCGGGACCTTGACGGCAGGAGTATTCGATTCTCGACCACACTGGAGCTTGGACACTTCGGTTGACGTGAGAGACCGATTCAGGACTAACGAAGGCACGCAATGATAAAAAGGATAGATAGCTCTACGGAAAAGTCGAGCTCCGGTAACGTTGGTTTGTTGAAGAATCACAATCACATTCCCACTTCCTTGGAGCCTGATTGGGGACGAGCGTGGAGTTTAGGTAGGTAGGGTGCGTATGGTACGGAGCTACCTATCGGGGACCGGAGCATGCGCAATGCGCGGCGGTTATGTAGGGTAAGTACCTCCGTATTTGGTATACGACATGCCAAAGCTGTCCTCCCACGCGCGATACGGCAGCGCCTGTCACTTACGTAATCACGGTCTTCAGTGTCAACATCGGAGTAAACATACCCTGCGATGAGGGCAATGCAGAAATAGCTTCAAAGCAAAGATGATGAGCTTAAAATAATAATGACATTTAATTCGCAATTATGAAAATGCATATTCTCGAATAAATTGAGTGGTATCGGAGAGAATGTTGAAAAAAAAAAAAAAAAGAAGAAATTCAAAAGTATCAAAAGGAGTCTCCTATTTACTCTCCCTCATCCGAGTCTGCAAACATGTCTTCAGCCTTTGGTCGTCGACGTCGAGGAGGCGCTTCCTGCGTCGGAAGGGGCTGAGCTCCTTTGAAATCATTTGTAGTTATATTTGACGAATTTGTGGAGGAGCCTTCCTTCTTTGAAACGGAAGAATCACGGCCTGACTCCTGAGCATCCAGATCCACACCCTGTGGCTCCAATTCAAGATCATTTTGCATGGGCATGCCATCCACATCCTCATCTTCCTCAGGCATTGGCACGCCATCAATATCTTCGTCCATTGGAACACCATCAATGTCTTCGTCCTCCACCATCGGTTCACCGTCGAGACCGGCTTCTTCAGTAGGGGCCTCGGGCAAAGTTGAAGATGCTGCTGCTATATCGGGCGTTTGCGGGGTTTCGGCGGGTGACGCATTGACGTCAACTGTTTTCCATTTGGATTTTGGCGCACTAGGTCGCGGCGCTGAAGCTGCCGCACTTTCCGCCGCGACTGCCGCCTCTTCAGCAGCAGTAAGCGGGGGGTTGGAGAAAACAGAGCTGAAGTGTTCTTGGGTCGCCTGAGGAAAGACGCACCAGCCCTCCCATAAGCTAAGCACGCTATTGACACTCCTCTTCCATTTGTCGGCGCGCAGTCGACCCCACTGCAAGTCTTTTTCAAGCCGACCCAGGCTCTCGAATAGCTTCCGCCGCTTCAAAGCGGCCTCAAAAAGTCCACGATATCGCCAAGCATGTCGGACCCCGCTTGTGGAAGATGAGGAGAGAATGTCAGATACTAGGTAAAGAGCAATTAGCTTTGCCGAGGATGTATCCTCTTTTCCGTCCTTCGATTTATCCTCCATATTATCTTCAGCAGCGTCATCGGCATCCGCTCGCGAATTTTTGCTCTCTGGATGCGCGGTCCGATATGCAAAAGGCTGTTCAATATTTGACACAATTATGTCGACAACCTCATCGCCCCCTCTGCCGGCATGTTCGATGGCGAATGCGGTCACACGAGCCACGTCACCGCGGCGTAGTCGCGCCGTAGTCCTTGGTAAACGCGCCAGGAGATGTGTGAATTTCGCCTTTTGTAGAGGATTCAAGAATGCCTTCTCCATGGACTCTTCTCCTGCAGAGTCTTCATCCTCCGAGGAGTCATAGTCGGGGTCAGAAACAAATTCGTCTAGTCTCGTGGTGTATTCAAAACGAAGGTTGTTTTCGGGTGAAACCCACGGAGCCGCCCCTTCGAATACCGTTTGTTTCAAATTATCATAATTCGAATGACTACGGCCTTTGCTGGCCGATGATCCCGTCAAGATCTCCCACAAGCGCCACCTGAACCAAACTCCGCCAACGCTGCGGGGATCCCAGAGCCATGCCCATTTCTCGTCACGTTGGACTTCTGGGCGGCTCATAAGTAGTGCCTCAAACTCAGGTCCATGTGTGAGCATCGCTTCGATAGTTTTATGTATCAATTTTAGTTTCTTGAGATTTGATGGCGGCCGCACTGACACCTGCAGGGGCAGCGTGCCCCTTCCGTAAAGCCCCGCGTCCGACGTGGCGAAGGACGAGGGAGGAGCAATACCGCCACGGTGTGGACCTGGAGGTGGGGCCCGGGCCAAAGAAAGTCCAGGCCCCTGTGTTGGGCGGGCTCCAAAGGGCAGAGAGGAGAGGGCGGAATTGAGCGATGCGGAGACAGAAGCACCCGTGCCGAGCGCAGCAGAGGAAAGATGGCGCGAAATTGATAGGTAGAAGCCGAAACCCAAATAACGGTGTTGAAGTGCATTGACAGCGGTGTCGATATCGCTTGCGGGGGTGTCTCTCGCAAGGGTTACAATGGCTGAGAGTGATTTTCGCTCGGTCGAGCCTGGGCCAGCTGGAGGAAGAATGCGAACGGCATCAACATTCAATGACGCGGGAACCAGCGATTTAATGACGGCTTGAGAAGTTCCCGGCGGTAAGCAGGAAAGGTGGAGTGTGGGCTTTGGGACCGCACGTTCTCTCGCCCCAGGCCCAGTTTCGGCTTCATCCTCATCATCCGAAGTCTGAAAGGCAGCCGCTGGTGCTGCCAATGATTGGGTTAAGTCTCCCGCCTGGTTGAGCTCTCGCTGAAAGGCGGAGGTTCCATCGTGGGCTCTTTTTCGTGACAGCGATGGTGCCAAGGGACCTAGGCTTCCTGGGCCACTCCTTGCTCCGATTCCTAATTTCCCAGAGGCCGGCCCAGTTGACGCACCAGCGAAGTGTCGCTTCGGAGGACCACCGACACCAATATCACCAAAAGATGACCCAAGGAGCGTGCCTGGGCCAGATCGACGGTTTCCGGGACCCGATAATGACGGTTTCGGGGTTTCGTTATCCTCGAACGACTTGACGAAATCTTCGTAGACTGCTGCTGTCTCAGCTTCTTCGCGTAATCGTTTAGCTTCAGCTTCAGCCTTTTGTCTCTCATAAAGAGACTTTTTGCTCGGTGCAGTCAGCTTGGACGAGATGTCGGGAAACTCTTGAATCTTGGACTCATCGTCCATGGTAACTACTGATGGCCAGCGTAACGCCCCAAAGAGCCGATTAAGTCAATGTTCGTAATGACGTCAGGCGGATCATGCAAAGAAAAGCAACAGCATCTGAAGACGAGCCTCCTAATTGCTGGCTGTACAACAGTATCCCTTGTGAAGTCTTGAAAATAGGACGGCGCAGACAATGTTGAGTGATTAATTGTACCCATGAGATTGATTGGCGGTATTAGTGACCGAGACGGCAGGGCTGAGGCTTGTGTCTCGCTTGGCGATCACAGCCACAAACAGCAAATTGGGAGGGAGGATCAAGGATGTCAGTCGGTTCTAGCAGGGCACCTTCTTGAACAAGGGAATGACAGAATAAGAGCATCGGCTGCCATGGGAGAACCGTGTGTAAAGTTCTGTACTTCTAATTCTGCAGTGCTTACGATGCTGGAATACAATCGTGTACAGCTAGGTAGTCAAAACGTGTCTCTGGTCTCTCTAATTGGCGGTTCCGTGGAGCTCAGGAGCTACCTACTTGCGGCGAGCAACAGTTGCTTTCATTACCTAAGGTACCCTAACTTATGCCGCGACCGAATTGCGCCGCTGGGCCGCAATCCATGTTGTCCAGAGTTACTGACCCTCGCTAGGTGTCGCAGGTCCAATTAGCCTTATCAGCCTGTCAGGCTACAATTAAGGAGAGCGCCTTTGGGTCCCTTGGTTCTTGGCGCTTTCATCCCCCTATTTTGTCCTCGCAATTCGTTGATCAGAGTTACGGATAGACCCTGAAATGCATACCGCTGTCTCTACCAAGGCAAAGCGGATAGACAGCGATGCCTCAGACCAGGGCCACCAACCTCCTGTGTCAAAAAAAAAAAAAAGATGTTTATTCAATATGAATAATTTTCAAAACTACGGTCCGTATTTACCACGATATCGCGTGTTGTGTGGCAGAACAGCTTTCAGTAAGTGGGGTCTGCTTTTGATTGGTAACACCCACTGAAGATGACAGCTACGGACGGGGTGTACACCAGTGATATCCATGCCAATCACTTGCGTCTGCTGGTTGGCCCCGCTCCCCTGCCTGCTAATTGAGATGATTTCGGGAAATGTTTGGGGGCCGAAACCCCACAAGAATCAGCATATGATTTTCCTCGAGGGCCCTTTTCTCACTTGCTGGGCCTGTAAGCCGCATTACAGTCCATGTCACGAGTTGGTGTAGAGCCTCCCTGCTTCAGAATACTCTGCAACACCAAAATTGAGGTTATTCACCTATATTTCGCGAATTTATTCAGTTTGCGAAACTTCGTCGATTTCAGCACTCGTGTGCAAGAGGAATTCAACAAATTCTGTTCTCGGTCGAATACATGTTCTACATTTAATACATTTACGGGATCGCGTTTCGGCTGAGGGCCGGAGCGATTGAGCAAATTCACGCATCGTGAAGAAGGAAAACTAGCTTGACTATGAGACTTCTCGAGAGAATAGGATGGGGAGTTGCGGTGCTGGTTCTGCTAACTTGTCGAGCTCAAGGTGCGTGATTCATCCTAGATTAGCCACGAGAAGTGATCAACTAATTGAGAACGGCTTTCCAGCGGACGACGCACACTGCGACGACAGCATTATTACTATTCAAAATCAACGCGATGCCACTGCCATAGAGAACTGCACTACTATTAGCGGCCAGTTGGTCCTCGACTCTAGCATTTCCGGCTCCATTGTTCTTTCCGGCGTAGAGAGAATCAATGGCCCTTTAACCAGTCAGGGAACGAAGCAATTGGTCTCCTTTTCCGCCCATGACCTACGTACTGTGGGCGGCGAGCTGCAATTCGCCAACGCCACCATCTTAACAACACTTAACTTCCAGAATCTGCGAAGCGTTGAAAAACTTACGCTGTCAAATCTGCCTTCCCTTCAAAAATTAGACTTGGCTGCGCCATTGCAAAGTGCTTCCTCTGTCGCCTTATCCAACACCAACCTGTCAACCGTGACAAAGGGCCTAGGCGTGAGGACGGTGGACGTTTTGAACGTGACAAACAACCCAAATCTGGCAAACCTCTCCATGCCTTTATTCAACGTCACAGAAAGCATGCTCATCGCGGGGAACAACAATAATATGATGAACCTTTCTCTGCCTAATCTTGAATGGGCCTTCGCAATGAACGTCACAAATTGCAGTGTCGTCAACATGCCCTCCCTCTCCACGGTGAACGAAACATTGTCTTGGGTTCACAACCCAATACCTCTGCTGTCATTCCCCAACCTGACTGCCGTCGCTGGAGTACTGGATATAGAAGGCAGCTATTGGCTGAATAGTTTATCCATGCCAAAGCTTACCATTATCGAGGAAGATTTTATAATAAAGGATAACCCAAACTTGCACAATATTTCTGGGCTCCAGTCCCTGAATTCAACTTCCTCGATTAATTTCGAGGGGAACTTTTCCTCGTAAGTGATACATTCAATCCAAGATATTTCCTACGGGTAGTCTTATGTATTGATTTCGCTGACGCGAATCTGTCTATCTAGCGTTGAGCTGCCTTCCCTTGCGACCGTGTATGAGTACTTAATTATTGAGTCAACATCGTCCGATCTGAACTGTACGTTCTTTCAACGGTTCAAAGATCAATCATTGACGAACTGGACTTGCACTGGCGATGTGAGCAACTCGACCATCGGTATGGGATCAGGAGATTCATCAGATTCTGGTTCACATTCCAGTGGACTCTCGTCTGGCGCCAAAGCTGGTATTGCGGTGGGAGTCGTTGTATTTGTCGCAATTCTGGCAGTCGGGATATTTTTCTTTGTCCGTCGCAAAACACGTTATTCGCCCGTCGCCCACGAGAAGGGCGACGACAAGGAGCATACTGAGGTACACGGTGGTCATCGAAGCTATGAACAATCCGTAGCTTTAGAACTTGATGGTCAAGACAAAGCTGACCAGAAACCGAAAAAACCCGTCGAGCTCACTGGATCAACTATGGCTCACGAGCTGGAAGCATGATGGGAGGGTTGCATCACAAACTACATCTTTGATGGTCATGCCCCAAGACCTTTTATGATCCGATCTGCTAAGGTGTCTTAGCTGGAGGAACAATCTGTTTTCCGGTAGAATCTGCGATACCCAGCATTAGCTTTTCTTTTCTTTATCTTCTCTTTATTTTTTATTTACTTTTGGTATATACCACCTGCCACGCCAGGAAAGTGAGTTCTTTGAACATGTTTAATGATAGACGTTAGTGAATTCGATGCCTATTTTTTTCTTCTTTTTTTTTAAAAAAGAAAATGTGAGCGATAAAAGAGTTTAGATGCCCCGTCTTCTCATTCGAAGAGCGGTTAAGGCATCCTACATCTCTACCCCTTTCCCCGGTGCGGCCTCATCTAGGGGCGCCCCTCAGGCAGTTGGAAATAAATCCTTCTGCGATTGTGGCTACACCCCGACTCGAACTCGCCCCGTGAAATTCCAGAACGTTGCCAGAGAGCTACTAACCGCTCTGGCATTGTCCCTTCTGGTTCAGAATGGTAGTGATTGACTTTGTATTTAATGTTTGGTTGACAGTGAATGAAAATGGCGGGGTGGCCGGGTGCATTCACATGATTCAAAGCTGCCCTGCATGTATCATAGACTCCCCTCATACGACTCATCTCATATCCACTACTGAATTCAATATATTTCTCCTTACTGAAAGTAATCCTCATTAGCAGCGATTTGGACTGTTTACTGTTTGAGCATATCCTCTTGTAAATTCGATGAATTCTAGTTGGACCCTAGTCCGCCTTTGAGCACATTGCTGCGATACTTGGATGTGGTTGGAAAAAACTAGATATCCACACCGATTCAGCTGCCCATAAATAAAATTGCTCTCAACCCTACGTGACATTGATATACTGGGACGGCTTCTCGAAGTGGCAAAGGTATAATAATATAAGTTGATTATTATTTTTTTAAGACGACTTATCAACGAAAACAAGGCCAATTCCATCCGAAACCTGACGTTGGAACGGGTATTAGCACCAATTGGCTCTAGGCTTAGATTCGATCTTATCAGATTAGATCAAAGGGGCTAGCATTAAAGCGCCCCGGCCGAGTATATTGGGACAGCACCTGAGTCCGATATTGGTTTCTCTCATCCTCGGCGTAGAACACCAGAAATTACAACTACTCACTGCGTATCTATTGGTTGGGTGCATTTCGACTGTGCATATGGACGATTACGAAAGTCGACGGCATCGACGCCGATCCGAGTCTCACTCGAAACATCCTCAACACCACAGTCTATATGCCGCTAGATCTGAAACCCGTTCACGCTCACGCTCACCTCTGTCCTCCGGGCATCGGCACCATGAAAGCCGTAAATATAGACATGGCGACTTAAGGGAATCGAATCATCGTTCGGATTCACCAAGGGTCAGACGGCATGGTAGAGAGCGATCCGCGGGACGGGAAGAGAGAAGACATAGGAGGAAGGAAAAGGAAAGAAAACACTTGGGCGTCGCACCGGTAGCTGCTCTACCTTTTGAATCCCGACCGTTACACAAATCGGACTTTAAAGAATATAAACCACTTTTTGCGCTCTACTTGGATATTCAGAAGCAGTTGTTTCTGGATGATTTAGCAGAAGACGAGGTAAAGGGCCGGTGGAAGAGCTTCGTGGGACGATGGTAGGTGTATTTGTCCATGAAATGTTACTTTGGCCTTTAGAATCTACCTCAAATCAACTTTCGGCTTTACTTCGATTTTTTTTTGGTCCGGGAGAATCAATATCAAAGTAATCAATACTCTTCAAGTACTTTCGAGCTGACATTTCTGAGGAACCGCGGAGAACTAGCGGAGGGTTGGTATGATCCGGCAATGAAGAAAAAGGCATCGCAGCAGTCATATACAGAAGATGTTTCTGGCGCGCAAGAGTATTCCCGCGCAGCCAGGTCTAGGTATTCGCCGACGCGAGATCATCACGACGATTCACGCCAAGCCGGTGATGAAAGCGACGAGGACGAAGTTGGGCCTGACTTGCCATCACAACAGTACGGCACTGGTAGTGGTAGACGGCCAGGGCCAGCAATACCAAAAATGCAGGATCTCGAATTGCAGCGAGGTAGGGTTTCTCAGTACTTCTCTTGGAGGAGAAATGGCTGATGACAGGAACTATTCTACAGAATTGATCCAAGAAGATGAAGAAGCTCGCCGGGAAGATATGCGCCATGCGCGGAAGATGGACAGAAAGCAGCAAAAGGAACACTTAGAGGACTTGGTACCTCGCGCGGAGCCTGGGACACGAGAACGGCAACTGGAGAAGAAAAAGGAGCTCAATGAAAAGATGAAGGCATATCGCGACAAATCGCCCGTTGAAGAGGTCAACGAGCGTGATCTCATGGGCGACGATAGCCTTGAAGCATATAGGGCACAGAAAAAAGAGGTGGAGAAGAAAAAGAATGAGCGCGAGCTGCGACGTGAGGAAATGCTGCGGGTTGGTATTCCCCGCGGGGCGAACACTGTACGAGAAGAGATGCGCTGACATGACCGATGCAGGCCCGGGCAGAGGAACGCGAGGAACGACTCCAAGAACATCGGGCAAAAGAAGATAAGACGATGGCGATGCTGAAGGCGCTGGCGAAACAAAATTTTGGGTAACCGTACTTGAGATGAGAATAGGTATGATTACATCTGCATGAGCTCTCTCTAGTGATATGGTTATCAGACCTCACTGGCTGGCTCGCCCATAATCGAAAACATGATACTTTAAAGCTCATATACTACCCCTCATCATCAAGGTGGCACGATTTTCATCCCCTGTCAACAAATTGAATTTGAGAGCTCCCGTGGATCACTCTGCGCAAAACTACCGGGGAATATACTAATCCCAATCAAGCCGTCCGGAGAAAGTAAGGCCATAAATTTCAAAAAGCAATCAAAAAGCAAATTAATACCTCTACTGCAGCCATTGGGTTCGCGTCCTATCGATGTTTACGACCTTTTATGTTTTGTAGTGTATTCAGCCGCAAAGCTTGGTTAAGTGCCCGCCCGAAGGGTCCGCACAGTAGTTACAGTAGCTAGCGGAGCTTGGTATCACTAATCTAGCTAGCAACCTTAGCTGTAATTTAGCCGCGCTGTTATCCCCTTGATAGCCGTATGCGCATTAAGGCTCCCTTGTTCACCGTAGCACCCACGTCAATCGTCAACAGCTTCAAGGAAAGCTGAAGCTGCAGCCTTAAATCCGACACTCGTTGCTGGACTGTACAGAGCTCTCCACTTGACCAAATTCATTCGGGAAGCTCCTCTAACTTATCTGTTCCAACCATAATTGCAAATACAGCTCTGAAATCGTCCGACAACATTTGTTCCTCGTTCTTAATCAGAACCAGCTACCCTTCGCGCCCTCACACCGCTTTCTTTTCAGCCAAAGAGGCAGCAATTAGAGACGCTCTCAATTTTTGACAAATTTGCAGCTTCAACACTGTCACCGTCTACGCTAAGCAGGGGGGATATATACCATTTTTGAATCAATTGTCAATCTTCTCTCCTCAACTTCTCAGCATGGACTTTGCGCCTTATCAAGACCAAGCGCCTGAAACGACGCGTACACGCTCTCCGTTACCCAACGGCGCTCGACGCTCTGGCTCGTTCTCTCCCGTGCCTCGACTGGGTCCGAACAATGCGAAACCTCCTCAGCGGCCCATAGTCGATCCTTGGGCTCCTTCTGCACGCCTGCCGTCGCCGACGCAGTTTGCCGATGAAGACAGCCAGTACACATACCAGAATCGCGACGCGGGACGGGGGTCAGACTGGGAGAGAGACTACGAGGCGGATGTTGGAATAACGGCCAGCGGAAGCCCGACTGGTTTTGGCGGGGGACCGAGCAGCAGATCAAATGTCGATCTTTTTGAGACGAGCCTCCCGCTGCGCCTAGATTATGAAGCAATGTTGGCGTACCTTTTGTTGCCTCCTGCGGGCGGAGTGTTGTTGTTGCTGGTCGAGCATAAGAGCGATTATGTCCGGTTTCACGCATGGCAGAGCGCATTATTGTTTACAGGGATTTTTGTAAGCCTTCTTGCCTCTCTATAATACCTGTTCCTCCTTTTCCGGGCCTCCCTTGAGGTGCAGCCCGTGTGCGCAGCACACTCTTACGGATACATTACAACAAAAAAAATATGTGCTGACAACAGGTTGTATTCGGGACATTTACAGATCCTCCATCTTCTTCTCTCCTGGTCCCGGTTTCTCTCTTGGCTTCTTTTTATCTGCGACTTGGCGCTCATCGGGTGGTTAACTCTGCGCGCCTATCGTGATGGTACGTTTCCCTCACTATTCCCATCTTCCCACCTTTCCTCCCCCTTTTTTTCTTTTCTTTTCTTTCCTTCCCTTCCGTTCCGTTCCGTTTTGTATTTGTTTTGTCTGTTTTCGTCCCCTCTTCTCTTTCTTGTCTATTAGTCTCCCGTCCTAGACCACTCTTGTTACAATCCACTAACACGATACCGCCAGCCGACACGCTTGATCGATGCGAAGTCCCCTTCTTCGGCCGTCTTGCCAGCTCTTTTCTCGATGACGAATAATGATAACCGCTCTTTTATATCCTTTTCCTGTTCCTTTCCCTTTTTTCTTTCCCTTTTGCCTTTTCAAAAGGCCTTTTCCCTTTCTCGTTCCTTTTTCCCGTTCCCACTCTCCTCTAATGACGGCATGAGATTTGTATATGTGATATATGCATTGGATTATCATTACATTCTAGCGCTGAACTCTCTTTTTCTTTTTCTTTTTTTTTTTCTTATTTCCCTCTTCCGTCTTTTCTTTTCTTTTCTTTTCTTATTCCCCTCTTTCCGTCTCCCATCTCTTTTTAACCTCCATCGCCATTGCCACCATCATCTTCAACCTCTTCCTCTTCTTTTTCTTCTTCTTGTTCATCACCATCTTCATCTCTTTCTGCGCATGCTTTCATTTCGTTCCACCGTTTCCACCCTCCACCCTTTTCTAGTAATCTGTAATTTGTAATTTGTATTCTCTTTAATACCACTCTATTCCGCAATTGCGCATTTCTTCTTTTTTTATCCCTTTTTCTTTATTTCTATACATTCTTTCCTGCTTGACCCCCTCCCTTCTTTTTATTTTATTTCCCCTGGTCTTCTTCACTATTTCTATTCTACTATACGTCAAATACCTGCAAATTGCAAATTGCAAATTGCAACTACGATATAACATTGCATTTCCATATTTCCTAGTGTCTTTTCTTTTCTCTATTGTTTCTAATACCGGTGTCATGTACATACGACACGCATTGCATTTTGCATTTTGCATTCTCGTCTCTGTTTATTCCAACGTATGTGTATATATTTCTGCCTCATGATATCAATTCCTTTTCGAGAAGTTGTCAAGGTGGATTTGCAAATGCAATTGCAATTGTCATTAAAAACAATATCACAAAGATGAATAAATAATTTAAAAAAAAAAAATACGAGGTGAGCAATTGTAGATGACTATGTGTTTGGATATCATGGTCGCATTAGATTATAAGATGAATCTAGAATACACGCTTTTGGAAAAGAACTAGCTGGTAGGTATTCGTTGAGAAGATGAAAAGAAATAAAGAGAAAGAGAAAAGAAGATGATATTGACAGATTCACATCACCGCTGACAACTTAATGAGTCACACCAAGTTGCTTCTCGAGCTCGAGCAGATTCTTGACCGTGTCGACGATAGTGTCCTTGAGGCTGCGGAAATGGATATCCAAGTCGCGCTCCGCCTTGGAGTGGTCGACCTTGAACATGTCCGGCAGAGGGGCGTTCGGGGTGCCCTCTGGCACACGGTTGCGCAGCTCGGGGAAGTTCTCGCGAATAATGTCGCAGACCTGCTGGTAGGTAAAGGTCGAGGAGGCGAGGAAGTAGCGCTGGTTGCCGGCAACCTCGGACTCGTAAGCGCGGAGATGGGCGAGGGCGACGTCACGCACGTCAACAAAAGCAGGGAAGGAAGTGTCTGGGACGCTCTTTTCTGAGCCGTTGATGAGGCGGTAGATGTCGGCCGACGAGGTGTTGAGCTTCTTGATGTCCGTGACGGTGTGCAGGTTTGGTCCGTAGATCATGGGGGGACACAGGGTGGTGACGCAGAGCTTGGGCTGGGCGGCCTCGACAAACTCGTAGGCGGCGCGCTCAGCGAACGTCTTGCTCGCGCAATATGCGACCGCGCCGTTCTCGGTGCTGCGCGCCTCGTCCTTTTCCACAGGGTTCCAGTCGTCTTCGGTGTAGGTGTGATCGGGGCGGAGTCCCTTGGGGATATCAATCATGGCAGCAAAAGAGGAAGTCAGGACGAGTCGCTTCACGCGGGTGTTCTTCTCATGGAGCGATTTCAAAATGTTGGTTGTGCCCTTGACGGCGGGGGCCAAGAGATCCTGGTTGTTGTCCTTGACCTCCATGACGAATGGCGAAGCAGTGTGTACGACCTATTTACAACAAGTGTTAGTTGTGTGATTTGAAAGGGGGAGAATATTCAGAAAAAGGAAGAGTACACAGGAAATGGGGGGAGACACATACTCCATCGACATTCTTGACGGCCTCATCAAAGGCACCCTGCGCGGTAATGTCGGGGACAATGGCAAACGAAAGCTGCTCGCCATACTGGGAGTGGCTCTTCTTGACAGCTTCGGCGGATTCCTCGGACCGCACGGTGCCACGGACCTTGTATCCGGCTTCGAGGAAGACGTGGAGGACGTGAGCAGCAACGAAGCCAGAGGCACCGGTAATCAGGATAGTCTTATCCTTGCCCTTTCCCGTAGCAGCGTTGACGAGAGATTTGGCAACGACCTTGATGGATCCTCTTCGACCTTCAGTGGCAGACATGATGGGCGAGTCTTGTCAAAAATGGAATTATAATTAGAGCTAAGGAAGATGAGAAAGCTTGAGGGTCTCGAGGCAGCAGACAATCAAAAGTCAAGCAGATAAAAAAAAGAATTGGGGTATATGGTATGTTCAACGTAAAGGATCTTGTGTCAAAGGGAAAAAGACAATTGTAGAGGAAAGGGGGGTGACGGGCGTTATAAAACAGCTATGGAGGGGCAGAACACACAAACAGTCTTTTTTTTTGGTGTGCCCAGAGGACTATGATCTCATTCCTCCTTCATCATCACGGTGGCGGTGGTGGTGGTGTCAACCGTAGTCGGGCCACACTCCGGCTGACTACTGAGGGTCCAGGTGGATTGCGCTACTAAATCTTAACTAATCAGTGGACAATAATCAGGCTAGCATTAACGGAAAGATATTTAAGAAACAAAGAAGCGTGGGGCTGGCAATCCCTGTGTCTCGCATGCAAATAATCATTGGTGCTGCCGACATTTAGGCAGATTTCATCATCATCATCGTCTTCATCATGCACTTTGGGTGTTGAACAGTGTGGTTCGACACCACCCACGGGTGCCTTTGTTCCTCTCATGCACCATCATGCAGGAACCAGCATCTTCAAGGACATGCAGTTTTCTAATCTCGTCGATCGGACGTCTTCATGCACCGAGTAAAATTCCACGCCCGGGTTTAAGCATACTCCTTGCAACAAACGTTCCAATCAAAGACCGGAGGTGGCTCGGAGATAAAGATGGAAGATGTGAAACATTCAATGGTCGGACTTAACCTCGGCCGCACTTTGAAGATCCGACTGAACTGTACTCATAGGCTGAATGATGTGGCTGATCGGAGGTAACAATACTCGTATGAAAGAGTGAGACATCCTGACATGAAGCACACGCATGCAAGGTTCCTCTTGCTGCTCCGGCTCCTTCGGCACGATAAAACGTTGCATGCGAGATCGGCATGAGCCGGGGCGAGAAGAAAAACTGTGTGCATAATCCCAGTACAAAACATGCATAAACAGTTGGCTTCATCTGCCAAGACAAAGAAAAAGGATCTGTTGATCAGTCTGGAGAGTCCCTGGAACGCTCAACTTCGGTCGTTTTCGATGGAAGAGCTATGCGCATTCATTACGTCATGGCGCGTTTCGTTATCCGTGGGGCTTTACTGCGATTAGCTTATCGGTTGTCGATGACGGTCAAGCTTTTCAGTTGAGTAATCCATAGCGCCGGCAACTCTATTGCGTACTCTGGTAACGGATTCATCGCTCTTCTCCCCTGCAATGGTCAAAGCCACCATGTGTCCGCCAAAAGCAGGCAGCAACCAAATGGCACAAGGATCGATCATGTTTCACACAAAATAAATGCTATAATAGTCTTGAATTAAAATTCTCGTTCATATATCGTAACAAACAGTATCAAGATCCCAACCTATACTCCACGACTTTTTTTTTTCTGGCAATTCGCATATGACCAGCCTAGCCTATATGGTACACCATAAAAATCCCATGCTCCCCGATCAAACGTCTAGCCTCGCTGCACGACCCACGCAGAACAAGTAAGACGCCATATTAAAGAGGTAGAGAGAGAAGTCAAGTAAAAATAAGAAATGCAAGACGAAATGGCAAGGTAAAAAATGAACGGAAGATGATCAAAATGAAATAGACAATGCTTAAACCCGATCAGATAATGTTGAAACCGTACAAGCTCTCCTGCAAACATGCCACTGGTGAGTCGCCCAATGATGATGACGGTTGTAAAAGAGATATAAGACACGTGACAAGGTAGTAGAGGCTTTTGTGGCGACGTGGTTCGAAACGTAGGAAAGACTAAGAGTCCTCGTGCTTGTTTTTACAAGTGAAGCAGAATGCTGCAGTAAACTCGGCCCATTTGCGCAGATCATGTAGTTGCGATGGACCCATGGCGGCCGCCAGGGTTGCCGGATGATTGTTCCGTTAAGCCAACGCCCGGGGGCTTTGGTTGATATGTTGGAAGAGGGCACCAAAGAGACGTTCAATCTGCACCAGCCAAGAAAAAAAAAAATTCCCTCCATCAGCCATGTCTTCCGAGATCCACCTAGAGACGAAGCAACATGCTTACCTCAGGCGCTGCCTTGACAAACGGCAAATCCCAAAACATGTAGCTTGGGTTCTTCAATAGTTCCAACAAGGTAATGATAAGACCCCACGGGTGAGGTCGATGCACAATCAGACGCTCCAGCAATACCCTCGTCACCTGCTGTCGCACGTCCGACTGCGATTGGTCCGTTTGGTCCGTGCCGAAGAGGTGGAGGAGCGCATAACTAAAGTAATGCGTGTGGCTATTGGGATACCGAAGTTGGTTGGCGATGGCACTCAAAAGGTAGTAGCGCGCTTCGGGCCGGAGTTGCTTGCACAGTTGTTCTAGTAGCGCCGAATGGGCAGAGTTGCTACTGAACGTAGGTCCGCCCTTCTGACCGGCATTGGCAATTGCATTCATACCCGTGTAGAGAACAATCGAGTTGAGGAGAACAATGTCGGCTTGGATTGGCTCAAACGCGACACCACTCGCGTCGCTCGACGGGGTGGAAATGGCCTCCAAGATTGCCGAAATTTGCTCCTTTTCAATCACGTTGTTCTGGAAAATCTGGTCGATGACATCCTTGATTCTTGCGCTTTGAAGCGGCTCTTCCACGTCACCAGCGACGACAGGAGATTTGCGAATCTCTTCGAGCCGGTCCACCTTCAGTCCCGCCGTAAACGGGTCTGGGAGCTCAGGGAAAGAAGACGGGTATGCGCTCAAGATCAAGTTGCGCAGCTGAGGGGAATGAGCAGGCACGACATTGCAGAGGCGATAGTGGTTGTCAGCCAAAAACTCCGGAAAGTCGTGATGCAAAACGAGCAAAATACGGAGGACACCACGGTAGATATCCTTGGCAACGGGGGAAATCTCTAATGGTTTCAGCAGCTCTCCCACATATTTGAGCATGGTCACCATGATTTGCGCAAAAATCTCCCAGCCCTAGAAATAAGAACAAAAAGTCAGCTATCCTGAAGGAACAAAACACATTTAGATTCTCAGGGAAAATATAACATACTGCTTCATCGGCCATCTTCAGCAAACCAGGCATGAAGATTCGGTGCGAGATCAACGTCAGCCACCCAAAAGCAAAAGCAGGGAAATACAGCGGTTGCAGGGCCAGCCATTTATCGGCGAACACCAGCATAACTTCCTTGTCTTGCTCAGGGCTTTGTCGAGCATTGGTATGATATTCGCATAGGATGCTTGAGAAGAGACGGAAGAAAACACGCTGGTTGAAGAGTTCGCCACGCATAGTGTGGTGATGGCAGAGAACGAGCACAATGAGCGAAAGAATCGAATCCAGATATTGAGCTTTGCTGGACTTGACAACTCCGTCTGATTCCCCTTGATACTTCACGAGTAGGACGACGAGTTTGGCCAAAGCATCCACGCAAAGAAAGGCGTCGTTGAGGCTACCCGCTGGATTGCGCTCCTCCCGTTCAAAAGCCTCGACGGATGCGTCGATACAGACACGGAAGAAAACAGCAGAGGCCTCGCGATCGTGCATCACCTTCTTCTCATGTAGCTGCGCTATGAATGCTGCCAGCAGCTTCTCGGTTGAGCTTGGGTGATTGCAGACACCGACCCACTCCATAAATATGTACTCCATTTGGTCACGCTTTGCACGTGCCTTTTGTTCTTCTGGGCCAGCAATCGTTTCAGGAATGCCAGCCTCCCGTAGACGTTGCAGCAGCTGCGAAGCAATTGTGAGATCCTTGTCTTCGGCGAGCCAATTAGCCATGGCCTCAAGGCTGCCTGCAAAGTCGGCGCGCAGTGCAGTCGGCTTGTCGCTGAAGAGAACTTCAGTGAGAAGATCAGAAAGGAATTGAAGGCCTGCAATCTTTCGTGCCTGAATAGATCTTGTGATGATGAGATCAACGCGGTGCACCTCGATTAAACCAATGTCGAGCAAAGAAACCGTTACGGGAACGTTTAGCACTCGCTCATCGTCAATGTTGGCGAGCCACAGGATGACCTCCCTTGCTGTAGCCGGCGAGAGTTGACAAAGCTTGTTCAGCAACTGTACCAGCACTTCAATCTCTAATGGCTTTTCAGATTGCGTGTAGAGAGCAACGCAGATTTTTTGGGCAGCAGTAAGAGAGATTTCTTCCCGTTGAGCAGACGTGACGACTAGGCGAAGCGTCTGGTCCGAGATGTCTCGCACGGGGCTGTCCGGACTGAGCTCTGCGAACCGCTGCTCTTGAGCCCCTTTCATAGCTCGCTGCAAATCCAAGAGCAAATCCTGGACTCTGTCACGAAGAGTTGGAAGATCCATAAAACCATTTAACTGAGGCTGGGAAGATGGGATGGCCAGAGGAGCTGTCTGCAAAAGCTGCTTTTGTTGAGCGGCTTGATGTGGAACCACGGGAGGCTCTGCAGGTGTAGGAAGATGAGGAACAGAGGGGAATTGCTCCTGGAGAACATCGGATACTTGACGTGAGGCATCCTGCGAAGCGACATTCAGGTGAGTGCTGGGTCCACGGGACTGACGTGCAAAATCCTCGTAAATTGCCAGCTGCTCTTTATTAAGACCGTCGGTCGACTGCTTGTAGGGATCCGGCATAAAGAAAGCCCAGCGATTGATGACCGGGTCAATGAATGGCTCATTCGGGTGGGCGGCCCTGTGTTCCCGACGAGAAACCAAGAGATCATTGATGTGCGCCTCAATTTCGGGCATTGCTCGCTGTTCGGCAGCCTTTTCAACTGTGCTGCAAGCGAGATCAAGATTGTCGTTAACGCACATAAGGATCGCACCTTCTGCTAAAGGCTGATCAGGTAGCTCTGACTGCATAAGTCGAATATAATTTGTCATGCTCATCCGGAGAGGTTCCTTGCAGGTGACAAGAGCTAGGCTTCCAGCCAATGCTTTTGCCATTGTCAGTGCAGCCTGTCGAACCTTTTCTTCATCAGGTTCGGTCGCAAAATCTTTACGGATCAACTGAGCAGTCGAAATGGTTGCAATCGTGACTGAGCGCTCAACAACGGGTGAGATGATCTCAATAATAGCGCGCTGGACAGCGGTTGACACAATTTGTCTCAGACGAGCAGGGCTGATCATAGTACTCGAGGACGGTGGGTAGACAAGCAGAGTACTAAGGTCGGGCAAGGAAGGAAGAATCGCACCAGGGGAGAACCGACCATTTTGAGGGCGAGGGCGGTTCAGAGCGCTGAGTGACAATTCATCAAAACCCTCCAATCCATCGGGAATTGATTGTCCAGACACCTCCTCTTCGATCTGAGGCCGATCTCGAATACTGGTGGATGGTTCAACGGCCTTGTAGTCTAGATCCAAATCCTTGCAGAGCACCTCAATCTCGAACTTCAAATTGAGCTTCAATTCAGCGAAGTGGTAGAGCTCCAAGAGTAGGCGAATAATTTCCATAAGCCATGGATTGGGAGGCTTAAAAACCTTTGACTTCTTGGCTTGGATCAAAACTTTGCCGGCGAAAGGAATCACCACGAGGAGTCTTTGCGTGTCGTACCCTTCGATCAACAGATCCTTGAAAGAGATGTTTTTGTATTTGATAGGTTTGTCCCTGGCAATTGTCAAAGACCCGAGCCAGGCCCCCAAATTCTTCAAGTGAGAACGTTCAGTTGACGAATTCATCGTAGAATCGGCATTCAGCATGCGCACTACGCTAGCATACGTCTCGCGGAGAACCTCTGCCCAGAGAATCTTGCTGTTAAAGGCCGTGAGCATGTCGAGGTAAAGCTGCTGGAAATTGGGTTGGAGCTTCGCCCGCTCCTCCACTAGATAGCCAGCAAACCACTGGTGGTGTTCGTCTTGTAGAGCATCCCGAAGGTCAGCAAGTTTCTCAGACAGATTTCTTTCAGAGACATTGTTCAAAACAAAGAGAACCTTGTCTTGCACGTCTTCCTCCGGCTCGTGATAAATTTCTGGCCTAAGGGGAGGATCGACATGAATCGAATGAAAGTTGAGCCTCGGAGAATGCGAGTTTTGTAAGAACATTTCGTCAACGCTGCCATTTGGCAGGCTCGATCCCTCGGCATGCAACCCATCCGGCTTACTGTCATCACTAGAGCGACCTGCCCGGTCCCTCAAAACCTCCTCGGCCTTGCTGTAAATTTCCGTTGTCTGAAGTGCTGGCACCTGGAGCAGGCGGCTACACAAGCCTGGCCACTCGTGCAACCGATTTGAAAAGTGAATCAAAGCCTGCAGACCGAATTTGTACATGGAACTCTCTGGCGCATAATCTCGCACAGCTTCGAACACCATTCCCAGACCCACTCGCAGAGGAATGCCATCAATCAAATGGAAATTAATGATTCCACCGAACAATACAGCTGTGGTGGCTAGAGCTTCCAAAGGATATTCATGGTAGCAGCTATACTCGTCGAACAGGCCGTGAATCATACATGCAAAGAGGTCTTGTTCAGCAGGATCCCGAGACGTCTTGTACTTTTGCAGGAGCTCAACCACTTCACGCACGTCAAATTCTCCGCTGTACATCCGTTTGTAGTGTTCTTGCATCTTTGCATCGGTGCCCTCGGATATGGCATTACTTTCCTCGCCGCTCGCATCGATAATGTCATCAAAGCCTTCCCCGTAATTGACAAGGCGCGGGTAGGCCTGAATACATAATCTTTGAATCACAGTCAATTCTTCGCGGCGGTCTCCAAGATGCTCCTCTAGAATGTCAAGCATAGCATTTACGGTTTTGACCGCGAGGCTAATTGTCCTTTGACTTGGCTGCTCCTTTCGCACCAGACGCAACTCATCCTCCGCCTTGATGGTCAGGAATCGAGACAAGGCGAAGATGAATTCCTGGGGGCCTCTCTGAGCATTACCCTGCGCCCATTGCTCAAGGTCCAGAGCACCGCGGCGATGTGCCAAAGCTGCAAGATCAACACCAAAGCCGTTGAAAATCATGAGTAGCTCGTCCAGCCAGCCATGTCGCTCCGCGTGTTCGAACAGCAGAGGCAGCTGCATAGGGTCCTGAGAATGTGTTTCAACAAGCCGAGTTGCCACCCACTGCTTGTCCTGCTTCCAGAGAGCATGAAGAACGAAGCTGTAATTGGGATGCTGCTTTAGCAGGAATGGATAGAACAGCCGCAAGAGCACGCTCTGCTGCGTGTCGGTCCAGGGCCTGGGCACGCCAAAAGCGGAGCATAAGAAAATGTCCATGTCATGTTGGACTACCTCATGGAAAGCTCGTTGGCTTTCAGGCATCATCAAAGACTCATTGGACTGGAATGCAAGATCGAAAAGGGCAGTGATGGCGTCGAGCGAATTGAGAGGATGATTGATAGCTCGCTGTGCATATTCCTTCACATCGTCCGGGGCGTCATCGGCAATGTCAGCCGTAAAACTCCGTCTCAATCGTGGAATTGCTAACAAGTCAAGGGCATCGCGAGGTTGGGAGGCAAAAGCAGTGACAAAGGCAAGCTGAGTGGCCGGAAATTGCCACCTCCCACCCCAGAGGGACTGAATATCGCATGCCGGATAGGCTTTCGCCAGTGGTAACAGGGCCTTGTAGAGGGCAAGGAACTGATCTTTATCAACTCGGAAGCCCTGGCGGTCGAATTCGCGGAAGAACTCCTGCCAGTCAGGTTCATGCCCGTCCCAGTGCTCTCGAACGACGGCAATAAACGTTGCAGGATTGTATTGTCCGCGACTTTGGCTTATAATCATGACTAGTAATGCCGTCGCTACTTGCGCAGCACCAAAATCAACTGACTCTGCAGATGATAAGGCTTCCCGGCAACTTTCCGCACTGCTTGTCATCTTTGGACCAATGCGCTGCACGAGGCGAGGAAGCGTATAAGCCGGTCCGAGTATATCTACCAGCAGCAAAGCAGAGCACACTTCAGAAGGGATAGTGGAGCCCTGTGTAGAGTACCGAAGGCTTATCGCGTAGTCAAGTTGCATCTTGCCCTCATCATTCAAATTACGGGGAGGATATTGCGCAAGGCGTTCGATGATGGATGCCAGAAATGATTGAGGGATCCGATCGTCCCGCTCCGAAGCCGACTGCACGAGAGCGTGGAGAAACGGCTGGAAAGTGTTCGAGAGGATAGCGTCCGCTGCCGGCCAGTTAGTGTTAATGCGTACTTCAATCGGATTTTTCTTGTTTTCGATTCTTCTCTGGGTAATACAAACCTTTGGCTCGAAGATCAGCCCTTGATACGGTCTTGAAAGCTAATGCGAGGACGAATTTGGCCACTGGGTCAAGCTTAAAATGTTCCAGGAATGTAGACAAGTCAAAGTCCCGGAAGATGTCGCCTTCCGAAGTATCAATTGTCTCCGCGATTTTCTGTGCCTGATCAAAATCTTGACCTGCCTTCTGCATCTCATTCACCAGAAGGGGATAATTTCCGGCATTTTCGACAGGTCGATTAATCCCAGGAAAAATCTGCGGCGAATTGCCTACAACGAGGCGGCGGAAATACTTTGAAAACACCTCCATTCCGTTGGACTCGATAAGCTGAGGCAAAGGGTTAGAGAGTTAGGGCAGTAAGTGGCCTCGAAGCAAAGTCATTTGCAGGAGAAAGGTTGATGGGCGGGTTACTGTTTTGGACGTACCTTGCGTATCTGGTCCGCCTGCGACTCCCACTTGGTTTTGTCTTTGTCTTCCTTGATAGTGCTCAAAAGAAGGAAAACCTGAGCGATGACAATCTTAGAGAGCTGTCCTGCTTGGCTGTTCGTGCTCGGTGAGGGCGCCGTGGTCGCGACGTTATTGAGAGACTGGTGAGTGGGGGAGCTGATATTCGACTGAGAAAGAATTTGGGGGTATGCGGCGTTTCGAGACGCTCCTCCGCCGCCACTGCTGCCACCTCCTCCTCCTTGAGATGCGGTGGTCGATGCCGCGGCGGAGGACGCCAGATGAGGGTTCGAGGAGGACGGAATGGTTCGCGACCTTGGGGATGACAGCAGCTGAGTCGAATGAAGCTGCTGTGATCCAGATTGAAACGGAGAGAAGGGAGAGGCGGTCGACGAAGCGCCCGAGTTGTGACGGCTGCCTGGGCGTCGCACCGACGGATTAAGGGCCGCCGAATACGTTGAAGCAAACGGTGAGGAAGTGGCCTTTCTTGACGGGCTGCTTTGTGAGGTACCCCGGCGGGAAGGCGACGAGAGCGAGGGAATCGAAGGAGCAATCGACGTAGAGATAGGAGCGAGAATCCGGCGGTTTGTAGCAGTGTGATCTGCGGCAGGCACCGAGGGTGGCCGATTGGGCGCTGATGATCTTGTGCCCGAAGGGATTTCCTTGCCTGTGACGGTGGATTCCTGCGAAAATTGATGGGAGGGAGGAAAGGTCATCTAGGAAGCACAACCATTAGAATCGGGCCCACGGGGCATCAAGTGTCTTTTTCTCTGTTCTATAAGGTTGGCTTGATGGGATGTTCTTTCTTGCGAGTGTGCTTTTTTTTCCCGTACGTAGGTGAACTTGAGAAACAGAATTAGAGACTTGTTCTAGCTTCAAGCGAAGTGAACAAATGATCAATCCTCCTGCAAAGTCCCCACGGCGTGAAAAGAGAGGTTTGGATGATAGGATGCGGGGGAGGAGAGCGTTACAGAGGGAGGAATGGGAGGTGGTGGAGGTAGATTGAGGATACTGTCGTAGGAAGAGGTCGAGTTGGTGATGATGGACGTCTCTCGTCTATCGTCTCTGCTCTCTCTCTCTCTCTCTTCGCAGCACACACGATTGCTGCTTGCCTACCGTGTAAGTTACAGCACCCAACCGAAAGAGGCTCTCGGCCTAGGATTCGCTTGCGATCCTTCGCCCTAAAATTGCGTCCTGGCGTAATCTGGCGTCCTCCAGTCACCTTCGACCCATATCAGTTTGATTCTAGGTATATCCACATTTCTTCCTTCAAGAGCCATTCAATCGGGATCATTTCATAATTTGAAGTGTCAATTGCCTGCCATGTCTAATCTAACAAAGGTAAAGGTACCTAGGCACGGTATCTTAGGTACCTGTATACGGGGATGTGCAAAATGAGATTAGGTACTTATCGGTACTTCTCCTAACTCAGAATGATAGACGCCAATCGTGTTTCTCAAAAGTAGCGGCCAACCTCAACATCGAAAGCAGAGTGGGCTAGCGCAATTTACCTACCTACTTCTGCCCTTGTACTGATGTGGGCATAAGGGATCGGAACACTTGAAATGCTCAGTGGCCACCAGCCTCAAGTCAACGATATTCATCACGTCGATCATGGACACAGAAACTTGATCGAATGGTCCATGATCGTTTCAATGACTCGGGGCTTATTTGAAAGCTGCGCCTTTTTTCTGTCTTCATTATCGTTCTTTTCCCCAAATAAAATCCGAAGGAGCAAATAAATCACTACTACATGTACAATATCCATGCTGCAGGTTCACCTATCCAGCGTGGAAGGAGTTTATTGGTGGTTGGGACCTTTGTTGCTCTCGTATACTCCGTACATGACTATGAAATTTCTTATTCATCTTGCGTCGGTCTTTTCTACAATTTATTGGGTATCCTTTGCCGGGGTTCTTCTTCAAATGCTGTGCGAAGCTCGTGCGTGCCGCCAGGCCTCGATTATCAAGGTACCTCCGCACTCTCTTTTTCAACGAGAAGGAACAACGCGGAATCTTTTCTGCAGTCAAGTGCATTCAATCAAGCAAATTATAGCTATGAGAGGCTGGATACAATAGTGCAAAGGATGAGTTGGCCGGCGCCAAGTAGCAGAGGTGTTGCGGACCAACTAGCTGCTTCGTCGCGCCGTGGTGGATGTGAGCAAGATGGTTGCTCGGCAACGGACTCCCCAGGCGGCAGAGTAAACATTCGTTCGCCTCAGCGCGGGGTGAGAACCAGCTCAACCCGGTTTCGCGACCAACTTTCAGATTTATTGAAACAAATTGGAGCAATCCTCTTTTGAATAACTTCTATCATCTAACTCTAACTTTGATCGTTTCCTTGGGAAATTTTTGGCGGGCTCCTAATTCATCTGATTATAACCCACATCAGTCCTTTGAATTGACTATCCTGACTGGAATTATTGACCACGCGACCAGGCAAGATGCCCGGTACCGTGGTCTCCGAAACACCTTCCGTTTCTCTCTCTTGTAAGCTAGATATCCAAGAGTATTCACTCAGATGAACTGACAATTGCCCAGTTGCCAATAATTTTTGGGGTAAAGATGACGCCGGAGTGCAGCCGCTTATCGAGCGAATGCATAATGCCAAAGTCACCTGCGACGAAATCAAGGCATTTTACAGTGGTATGTCTCTGTCAGGAAGCTCTGCTAGAGTATGCTGACTTTTCTTTCAATAATAGCTCGTGCAGCGATCGAAGACGAGTATGCTCGCAAGTTGCTATCACTCTCTCACAAACCTCTCGGCTCGAGCGAAGCGGGAACATTAAAAATGTCTCTGGACGTCACCAGAAGCGAACTTGAGTCGATCGCCAAAAGCCATCAGAATATTGCTGCGCAGATGAAGAGCGAACTTGAAGAGCCTTTGTCGGCTTTTGCCGGAGGACTGAAAGAGAGACGGAAGATTGTCCAATCCTGCATTGAAAAGTTGTTGAGAGTCAAAATACAACAGACAAATACTGTCACCAAGGTAGACGATGCCTTTCTGTATCTTCAGGGCAATGATACTAATATACCGATTCCTATTTAGACGAGGGATCGTTACGAACAGGATTGCCTCAAAATTAAAGGATATCTGGCGCAGGGCCATATGGTTATGGGCCACGAGGAGCGCAAAAACAAGGCCAAGTTAGAGAAGACCCAGATTCAATTAGCGACGTCAAGTAAAGAATACGAATCGGCTGTCAAAATCCTCGAAGAGACGACCGGCAGATGGAACCGTGAGTGGAAAGCGGCATGTGACGTAAGCTGTACTTGAATTTACTTGCCAAAACTTGCGCTGACCTTGGCCCACAGAAATTTCAAGACCTCGAAGAAGAGAGACTGGATTTTATGAAGAGCAGCCTTTGGAGTTTTGCAAACATTGCTTCCACGGTCTGTGTCAGCGATGATGCCGTAAGTAAGCTGCTCTTAGTTCTCAGCATATCATCTAATTAGTCGCCAGTCGTGTGAGAAAATTCGGCTTTCGCTCGAAGGTTGCGAGGTTGAAAAGGATATAAACAATTTTATAAGGGAAAAAGGTACTGGACAGGAGATTCCAGATCCGCCAAAGTACATCAATTTCTGCAGAGGAGACATCAACGACAGTGCATCCGAGGCATCCGAGGACGACTATACCGTAGCTCAATTTCAACGAACCATTAATCCTGCTTTCCGAACATCCTCTCCGCAGCCATCTACGTATGAGTCTCACCACGACGCTCACGGAATACATGAAAACGCGGACCAGGAAGCCAAAAATCTGGAAGAACCGGAGCAACGTCAACCTGCTCCAGCACCGGTTCCTGCGCCTGCTCAGGGTGCTTCGACTAGACCTACGGCTGTGGATTATCAGAGATCAATCCCCAACTATACTGATTATGACCAGCCCCGCCCAGTCAATGCAAATACACGCGAACAACCAATGGCGGCAACGCACCCCAATCAGATGCCTACAAGGCCCATGCAGCTGGACTACCGTCGCGCAATCCCTGCTCCAGCAGATCTGGCGAAGCACGAAGCTCTTGCCACCGTGCCACATAATGAGTACCCGCCTGATGGGATGACCATGTACTGTCGAGCTGGTCCACCTTCCGAGCGAAGCTCTGCAGCCAGCCCTGCTAGACCATCTAGCCGCGATTCGTTCAGCGAGTACTCTAACCCAACATCAATGTCTAGCCAAGAGCCCATGCCAATTAAAAAAGGTCCTATCAGGGAGCCGTCGGCAGAGCACTATAGTCGTCCATCATCCTCGACAATCATAGCGCCTTCACCCCAGGCTCTGCCTCCTTTACAGACCTCGCCTGGAGATGATGGACAGGATCAGAAGAAACGAGGCAGTTTCTTTCAGTCGCGCAGCCCCTTTCGACGGCGAAGCAAACATGACCAATCTAGTCTCGAGCAGTCGGAGGCACCAGTGGTTTCCTCTCCAACAAACCGTAATACGTGGGGCTCTGCGCCGAGCCGGCAGCGTGGAGATAGTAATAATGGTAGCCTGGCACGGCGTCCAGGTTTTGGCGCAAGTTCACCAAACATGTTACTTGGTGGGGATCGCCGCAGCGGCAGCCCTGAACCAGTAGATCCGCGAGCCAATTTTCAGCTGAACGTGGGAAACAATGTTTTTGACGTTGCGTCTCCTGATAAACGTAAAAAGCTTGCTCAGGAAGGTTCAGAGCCCAGCCAAGAGGAGCTGGACCCAATCGCACAAGCCCTTGCGGAACTGAAGGGCGTCAAAAAGGAAGCAGCAAGCCGCATATCTGCTGATCGCTATCATGGCCTGGCAACGCCGATTCCTCCTGCCACTCCTGGCGCTGCATCAGGTCCCTCACCCATGGCGGCAGCCTCTGCGTCTGCGGCTGCTAAGAGGGGCACACCACCGCCATCTTATGAGCGACCAGTAAAGATGCTTGATCCACCTAAGCCTGCTTTTACGTCTTCACAAATGCAACGTACGACTCGGAAGTACGTAGGCCAAACCCAAAACATGTTCAAGGCGCCTACAGAAGGTTCAAACCCATACGAGCGAAGACCGCCCTCACGCCCGGGTACTCGTGGTAGCCAACAAGCGGAAGAAACTCTCCGTGCTGCAAGCCCTGGCCCCTCACGCGTCCCAAGAGCTGCAAGCCCGGCTCCTCCAAGACCAGCTTCCCGAGCAGCAAGTCCAGCACCACCGCGAAGTGTAAGCCCACGACCTTATTTGACCGGCGAGCAGCGATCGACGTTCCGCTCCACGTCCCCCAATCCCTATGCAGCAGCGAGTAATAGACCTAGAGCCATGTCTTCGAGCCCGATAAAACGGGCACCAGAGTCGGCATACGGCTACCATAACCGAAGCTATACGGCCGATGTGCCTCGTGCAGTCTCTCCACAGCCCCAGTTCAAAGCATATGAAAGACCGAATAGTAGTGGTAGCTCTCAGGGGATGCAGCTTCAGCTTGCGCCTACGCCGGATGGAGGGCAGTATGGAGATATTCACCGTGCACGAACTCCGCAAAGCGGCGCAACTCGTCCAATGACTCTTTATGGCGGTTCTTCAGCGGAGCCTAATTACAGTACGGCCGTGACAGACAATCGATCACGGAGCAGGAGCATCGCAGAGAGTCGACAGTTTACGCGGGACGGAAGACAGATTCTCTACTTTGGTGAGTTGGTCTTTGAACCAATGCTGTATTTCCTACTTCTAGATGTCGTTTGTATACTAATGAGACACCATCACAGCACGAGCTCTATACATGTATCAAGCAGCCATACCTGAAGAGCTTAGTTTTGCCAAGGGAGACGTTTTGGCCGTTTTGGCTCTTCAAGACGATGGGTGGTTTGAAGCGGAAGTGGTTGGCAAGCACGGAAGAGCCGGGCTGGTGCCTAGTAATTATTTGCAGAATTGCTAAATGATTGGCTTGTGTTAATAATCTGTTATCCTTGGTTGAGCGTGGACGCTTGGGGAGGATGATGCGGGTTTTCGCGTTGATACAAGGGCACGCTCCTTGATGATTTGTGCTCCTTTTCTTTTCTCCTTTTGCTTTCATGACATTCCCTTCCTTTGACTGCAATGATATCCGTGTGATGGTAAAGGGTCCAGGGGTTACGGATATGATTTTTCTTTTGTCAGATACTCCCATTCCTGTTCGATTTGCATTTGTCTCTCCTTTGCAGGGTTTCTGTTTTTACAGACGAATCTAGCTCAATCAGTCGCTGTGAAATCGCTTCCATCCTGAGAAAATGTAATTATTTAAGGCCAATCCAAATTATGCCAATTATTTCTGCTTTAGATGAGACCTGTACCATTTGCTCATTGAGAATCAGACGCTTTGCAATTTCTCGCAACGACGTGGTCCCTACATTCAAGAATCGCGCGCACACCCGCTCGCCTGAGTATAAGGTTAGAGCTAAGCGCGTAGAGCTAAACAGGACAAGTATACCCGCCATCGCTCAACATTATCTGGCTCTCGCTGTAAACATGCGCATTACGTTCTGCTAACCCTCTGGCCAGGCTGCCATCCACGTCGCTGTCCTGGATGCAATTCAAAACGTTAGTCCATCATGTCTCGAAGCTATTATGATAGCGACGAAGCCGATGGCTATAATGGCGATGAAAAATCTTTAGTAATGCGAATCAAGGTAATTAAACTCCCATTGTTTTGCCTCCCTGTCGTTAATTTCCCAGTCGATACCTGGCTATTGAACAATTTGCTCATGTTCATCGATTCAACCTTTTCGCGTTTATTCTTGTACTAATCCTTACTGCTGATATTTTTTTTTTTTGTTTACTTACCGATTGAATATGAATTTCTGGTTTTGGTTGCCATTTATTTGAGGAGTATCCTCTTGCCTACTCAAGTTGTTATGACGTTATTAATAACCTTTGTTTTGCTGCTACATTGTCACCTTGCTTGGGTTCAGATGTGCCGTTGTCGAGACTCAAATATGCAGAGCCATACTTACCACTTGTCTCTCTTCTATTGAATCCCTTTTGCTCTAAGAATATATCCGACGCTACATTACCTTGAACAATATGTTCCCATAGACTGGGGCGGAAAAATTCCTAATTGAGCACCCGCGCTGATTCATCTTCCACAGGATACAACTTTGGCACCTCTACGAGTGGCCACGTCCAAATCGGCAAGACGTGCATATATTAGCACCTTTTTACTTATTGCTGCAAGCTTCATTCTGTTGGGCTTTGCTATCACTGCGTATTTGCTCTTTTATTACAATTTTATTCCGCAAATCGGGTTAGAGAGGACGGTGCATTTGCAATTTGGGTAAGGGCCTTCTTTTCACCCTTCTCCAACATCTCAAACCTTTTAGAGCTGGTTCACTCTCCGAAAAATTTTTTGTCTGCGCCCCATCTAACGTTCAGTAACAATGAACCAGCAATGGCAATCCATACGGCGTTGCGGCTCTCTCGTCACAGCTCATCAGTGAGCAACCTTATGATGTCACGGTATCTCTGCATCTGCCACGCACCCCATCCAACTTGGATGCTGGCAACTTCATGCTAGACCTCTCCCTTCTCTCACGCATATCTTCAACTCCATCGCCTACTCCGTCTTCATCGTCGAAGAACCCGATCAGCGTCGCCGCCGAGGCTGCAAAACGACTCTCGTCTGAAACGAATGCCCTCGTCTCAGACAATGTTCTCACGCGTGCTCGCCGCTCTGCCATCCTCACCTATTCATCTCCATTGGTGGATACGGCCAAAAGGGTAGTAGATATGCCATGGTACCTGCTAGGATGGCACAAAGAAGCCGAAGTCATCGAGGTACCAATGATGGAAGGCGTGCAGTTTGCTCGTGGGTGGAAAAATGTTCCTGGTAGTCTGAGATTAGAATTGCAGAGCGAATCTCGAATGCAGGTGTATAGCGCCAAAGTTAAATTCACCGCGAGATTTCGAGGCCTGCGGTAAGTTCGACCCCTTGATTTCTGTCCCCATCATCATCCTCACCCCATTTTTTTTTTTTGACCTTTTCGAGCAAACAACTCTACAAAGCCAATTGCCAAAAACACATACTTAGACGTCTAACAGGTATATCATGTACAATTACCGCATTCTGTCATTTTTCGTATTCACGTCCAGCTTCTGGGTGGTCGAGCTCATGTCCACCTCGATTGCATGGTTCATACTATCGACATTTTTCTCGGCGCCTACAACTCCTGCTACAGGAACTGACGCGACAATCAAGCGAGACCCAGAAGACGAGGACGAAGCGGAAGAATACCGCATCTTCAAGCGCGAAGGAGCAGCAGAAGAACACGACCCCCGCTTCCGTACCCGGCTCGGGTCGCCGCCGACAAGAATCAAACGCGAAGATGATGATGACGACGACGAAGAAGGGCTAGAAGGCGAGTCTTCTGAGTTCTCGCTTTCCGATACGTCGCGCGTCTTTCCGAGCTTCTCAAGCCGTCAGCCACCGTTAAAGTACGTTTCCTCATCTGCTCGTCCTGCCGCTGAAGCAAGTACGGGTGCCGGTGAAACTACAGGTCCAGGAAGATCAGCCAGGCCAGGTGACGAAAGTATTGGCGGTGGCGGTGGCGGACTATTCAATCTATTCAAGCGTGAACCCCAGAGCTCCGAGCGCAGGTTCAAGCAAGAGAAACACAGTGATGACGAAGGGGAAGAAATTGAGCGAACGACTGGTATCGAACCACTCAGGAGAACTCCAAGCACTGGCCGGCAAGGATTCGCCCGAGACCGAGAAAGTGTCGGTGGCAGAACAGATTCGGGTCTCGGAACAAGTATAGATGAAAGTATGTCGACAGGGAGACGGGACGGCGGAGCTCCCTTTTCTAGTACAGGCGGTGGAGGAGGAGGAGGAGGAGGAGGAGGAGGGGATGCCGGCGGTAGTGGCAGTAGTCCGCGAGAAGCGCGACATGAAGGGTTACAGCGCCGACGATCAAGAGGAGGTGGAGGAGGAGGGAGTAGTGGTTCATTAGGAATGACGTTCAGAGAGCAAGAAGAAGAAGGAGGCCAGGATGGGGGAAGACAACCGGAATGATGAACTGCCATCAGCCAAAGCCTTTAAGAGATATTTGAAAGACATCTAGCTAATATCGCGTGCTGTTTTACGTGCTTCTCTTCTCGCAAAAAGTGAGAGATGTTTTGTTTTAAATTGAATCCACAAGAGAAATTTTCTCTTTTTAATTTTTAACTATTATCATTCGTAGATTTTAAACCACCATTTTTTTATCATATCATCATCTTCTAACCAGGCCATCAAGCTCTCCAGTACACCTATTACTCATCTGCTACCCGTCTACTACCCCATCCCCTTATTTCCTCTCTCTCTCTCTCTCTCTCTCTCTCTCTATCCCCTACCGAGATCAACATCCAGCACCATTGTCAGCGCATCCTTTTCTCTACTCTGCTTCTTCCTTGCAGGCTCCTCTTCCTCCTTCTCCTCTTCCTCCTTCTCCTCTTCCTCCTTCTCCTCTTCCTCCTTCTCCTCTTCCTCCTTCCGATCCGGTTTATCAAAAAACGGCCGCACAACCTGCTGCACCACCGCATCCCACAGACCCTGGACGACACCTTTCAAGTCCTCGCCCGTCTGCGCAAAGTCCGGAAAGGCATTGACTTCAAGCAGGTACGCATTGGCGTCTGCATCGACGAGGAAATCGAGCCCGTAGAGCTCGAACGCGTTGGGCAGGGGCTGGAAGTGCGTCGGCATCGAGCGCGCAGACGCGAGGAACAGGTCCCCTGTCACTCGGCAGATGCTGTCGAAGACGTGGGATTTCCAGCCCGGTTTGTTAGATACTGAATCTGCTACACGTCCTCGTGTTGATTCCGGTTCGATGTCCCGTTCCCGTTCCCGTTCCCGTTCCGCTGAAATTGAAGTTGAAGTTGAAGTTGAGGCCGAAGTTGAGGCTGAAGTGTATAGTGGTCCCGAAGAAGCGCTATCCAGAGGACGGTCAGATACGACAGTATCAGGCAAGTCCCAGAAGCGCCGCACCGAGGACTCGGTGGGGCTGGATTGGAAACACGTATTTGTCAGATGGGCGCCGAGATTGGCGTTTGGGTCGTGGTCGTCGTCGTGGCCAGAGTCGGCCCCAGGAGCTTGATACGGCGTGGCGGCGAACAGCGCGAGGGGGTGATTGTACACGTAGACTTTGAGCGCGCCGACGGCGAGGACGTACACCCGGATATGGAATTTACTGGCTTGATGCTCGGGGGGCTGGTCGGGAAAGGACAGGAGGAGAGGAGGGTGGATGTATGGCTGGGCAATGAAGTGTCTGAGCTGGGAGGTGATGATTGGGCCTGCGGCGTCGTCGTCGTCATCATCACCATCATGTTGTTTATCTGACCGGTTATCGGACTCATCCTCCGCCTCCTCGTCGTCGTCAGAATCAGGCTGTTCCTCTTCCCATTGTTCAAAAATAGACGTTAATTCCTCTTCGGTGCTAAACAGACGGATACCCTGGCCGCGATCGCTCATGCCGGGCTTGAGGATCCACCACTCGCGTTGGCGGGGGTCGTCTATTTGCGCATTGCGAGCCCATGATTCGTGCAGATCAAACGCATCGACGAGCGCGTCGTCGAGGAATTCGGCATAATCGACTTCAAAGTGGACAGCGGGTTTGGTATGCTGCTTGAGAACAGAGTCCGGGTGCTTGGTAGTCCACGTCGTGATGGTGCTGGAGAGGAAGTGTTTTCGGATGAGAGCTTTTCGGATGACGTACGAGTTTGCGAGAATGGTCTTTGGGTGGCTGAAGAGGTGCTCGAACGCGAGAGATTCGTACGCGGCTATTTGCAGGATCCGGTCCGACTCTGGGTTCGGGATGTCGGAGAAGGAGTTCACGAGGGTGTATGTCGATGGGTCAAGGTTTCGTTTTATAGCGGCCAGGATAAGCGGCTGTACGTAGGCGTCTTCGTACTCAATGTGTGCGTAAAAGTGAGGAATCTGCTTCGTCGAGAAAGGATGGCTGTTGGCTGAAATGGATGTTGGTGTCGACGACTGGAGATTTCGTAGAGGAAGTGATGCTTCTGTGGGCCTGGAATTGCAAATAGTCAGAATGATCGGGCTATTATATGGCTCATACGCATAGAGATAAGAGAGCGTAGGGTGAAATGTGTTATATTCTTATATCATCAATTCATAAGTAATAACAATATAATGGCTAAAAATGCTGTAGATGGTATATAAAACCTTCTCCGCTCCGGCATGACAAATGCTTGCTTTCTCGCATATCGACTTACAATGTAATCTCTCCCGTCGTCTGGCCCGCATGCATAAAATTGGCCTTTAGTGGAGTGACGCTGCAGCCCAAGTTATTAGCCATTTTCCCTCCCTATGGTGATGCTAATTTCGAATGCTGCAAATGGGAATCGAATATAAATTCCATGACATACCTTGTATATCCTCTCTGGACAGCCCAGCCATCATTTCCAGGCGCACTCTCTTCCACGCTCTGATAAACATCTGAGAAATTTGGCGCCCATTTGAAATGCTTGTGTTTATGTCTGGTATGCTTCTGGGCGCTTGCCCCACCAGACACCGCTTCTTCCTGCCGAATATGCTCTTCGTGCTCTTCTGCATTGTCGTCTTCATCTTCCACCTCGACTTCTTGAAACGAGCTTCGTCCTGCAGACCAGTAATTCTGCAAGACCGGCGTATAGAGGATTTTACTCTTCTCTACATTCTCGAGCAACGGGACGTTGACAGAGTAAACATCAGTGTTTGGATCCCAGTTGTTGTAGAGGTATTCAATCAACCTGACCGACAGACGCGAAGCACCAGCGATAATAACAGGGTCGTGATTGCGAGAGAAGAATGCATATGACAATGCGATTGCCTTCTTCCTGCACACGGCGGCTTCCATCGCACCTCCAATGGTTCCTGAAGAAAGACCGAAAACAGCAGTGGAATTTCTGCCATAGTTGGGGCCCGAGACAACTAGGTCAACGGGGCCGCGGTCTTGGAAAAAATGATAGAGACCGATTTGGACACAGCTGGCAGGTGTGCTGTCCACCAAAACCCATTCCTCGCCCTCGGCGCCGGGAGGCAGTGGCCGAGAGTGAGTGGTTCCATCATCCTTGTGTAGTGTTCCTGGCCGGAAATACGTCGGCTTCACATTCGCGCCAACCATGTGTGCCTTTCCAATCCATGACCTTTGCTTGTGTGGCAGCACTACAGAGACAGTATGCCCCGCTGCTTGGAGCAGACTCACGAGGGAGTGGACATAAGGCGAGGACTGATTCGACGGAGGGCCGTCGTCGTTGACGACCTGCAAGAATGAAGCACCATTGTTAGAATAACCGTCAAAGAGAGTAAATAAGTTGTATTTAGGCAATTCCTACCAGAATATGCATGGTTGCGCTTGTTGTATATCAGCTACGTGCCAATTGCGCGGGGCAAGCTCGGGCTTCTGGGTTTTATAGGAATTGCAGCATTTAGCCGTACGGCGAGCCGTAGTTATCGATAAACTTTTGAGGTTATCTCCTTACTTAGCACGCCATTGCGTTACCCATGTCGAAATGGCATGTCCTGAGGCAGAGAAATATAGAATCTCAGGCGCTTTGTGTTCGCCTTCAATTGGTCGTTAGGCGGACAAGTCTCTTTTCATTTCAGATCTATCATCTAGCCAGTCTATTAAGCTCAGCATATCTTCCGCCGCCAACATTTCCTGCTTCTCTTTCTTTCCGATCAATTTAACAGTCATTTCAGACAAATGATGCAAAACAAGCTTAAACGGAATGGGATATCGAACAGCATAATTCATGAATCGCTCCACTGCGCTCCAAGGCGTAACATCATAGCCAGCGAAGAGTGCTGGATTCGCAAGTAACCCTCGAGCAGACATGACGCCTAAAACTTATTAGCCTGCAACTCTATTGTAATCAGTCAGACAGCGTGTCATGTAACATACCATCTACACCTGTCTTTTCTGCTATTCTGCTCACATCTGCCATACTAAAGGCGTCTCCATTTGCAACCACTGGTACTCTCGTGTTCTCCTTGACCAGCTTGATGGCATCGAGGTTGACCGGCTCACTGCTTTTTTGTGACCGCCGACGGCCGTGACATCCAAAGTAATCCACACCAGCCTCTTGAACCGTTTTGACAAAGTCAACTGTCTCTCTGCGCCATTGTCAGCTTCCTATACTCTTCCTCTATCCAACTTTGTCCATGAAATAGACGCCGGCTTTCGTAAAATTAGGTCAAGATAATAAGCATACCTCAAGTCCGCATGGACACGGATCTTTACACTGACACAAAAGTCCCTGCCACATCTTTCTTTGACCGCTTTAACCATCTCGTAGACGTTTTCTTTCTCGTGCATGAGCTGGGAGCCAATACCCTCTTGGCATGCCCAACTCTGGGGACAACCGCAGTTCAGATCAATGCCATCACAATAGGGCTTGACAAACTCCGCTGCTCTAGCCAACTCCAACGGCGAGCTGGCTCCAAACTGGACGACTAGAGGTCTATCCCCCTCGTTTGTGGTGAAATCTGAGCGTCATACTCAGTAAATCTTCTGGTATTGTTTGATCAAATGAACATACCGCTGTCTCTTGCAAAGATGCTCCGGTTAAATTCTTTTGCTAAAATCTATTATTGTTAGCAATCTGTTTCGATTATCTATTATAGTATAAGGTATCTAGACCCAAGAAATTGATAAATGCGTACTTACCATTGGCGTATAACAAATATCTACTCCGTAGTCCCGTACCAATGCGCGGAAAGGAAGCTTGCTGTACCTGTATCACGGATATGTGAGCTCAATCTGTTTTCGTTTTCTTTCATTTTCCTTCTTTCCCCTTCCTTCCCCCACCTTTCTTTATTTTTCCTTTTTGTTTTCCTTCTTTAATTCATGGTTATTTGGTTCTTTGCCCTCTTATGCTTTAGCAGCTTTTCTCTTACCCAAAGCCATACGTTTCCCCCTGGCTTCTAAGAAAACACTTTTGCCAAAAAGAAGTAGAAAGGCAGGCTCAATGTAGGAGTGCTCTTTCAAGGATAAAAAACATACCTAACCATAGGAGCAGAAATATGCACTGGCCTATTTTCTGATTTCGCTAGATCAAATACTTTCAGCGGACTTGAAGCCATTAGCCACCTCTTTCAAAAACATATTACAACCTTTCAAAAGGCAAAGACAAAAAATTATCAAACATATGACAATACGAAGCATATGAAATCAAACGAAGTATGACAGTATCAGTGCGAACAAGTGATAACATACTGCATTCGAGGCCCGAGACCGGGGTCGCCAACGGCGCTTTCATCGCTAAGATCATGGTAGAAATTTGATTTGTCCATTATAGTCGTGCTGAGTAAAATGCTTCTAGCATGAGAACAACATAATAGCTCTTGAGATTGGAAAAGTCGCAGACAGACAGCATTGGTTGTCGAAGTCGGAGTTTGCTTGGAAAATCTCGTGAATACAATAGTTCGGGTTATGGGAACTCGCTACGCACACTTTCGCCTCATGAATTGGTCGGTTAATGGCAATTTCGGATATTTACCGCATCGCAGGGTGACTAGAATCACCGTTGCACCGTACTCGCTCGTGGCGAAAACTCACTTCAGCGACAACTCATACTTTTGACTCGAACGAGGACAGGTAAATTACACCATTTTGCCATGTTATAGACAAGATACGTCATATGAATGCTAATTACTATATAGCCTCCAGCCTGTGATCCATTGGTAGCAGAATAAAGTGAACTAAATTTCCACGAAGAGTAGTAATCAGACAACCTCGCCCGCTAGCTCTCGCTATGTATGTGCAATAAGGCCACGTCCAAAAGGAATGTATAGATGAGCTCGAATAGACAGAACGGCGAAGACAAAAAAAAATTCAAGAGGAAGAAGCAGGGTGAATAAAACGCCCAACCGAATGCAAGAAAGGAGCCATGCAAGTGGAATATATAGCTGAGTCCGGCCGGTGAGAGCGGAAATTTAAGATTACAACCTTTATACAAAACACCGCATCCCTACCTTCTAATGATTTTTGTCAGAAAATATAAAAACGTGAACAAAAAGATACGATGATGTTTCGACCGTCCTCGGGAAAGAAAAGCTGATCCAAGCATGAAGGAAAAAATAAAGAGAGTTTGAAATTGACTAGCCAAGTTTCCGGAAATTGTCGACTCCTAGCGTGGGCGTCTCGATGTATCTATTTCCTGGAACACCTTCACCCTTGCGACGCTCGAAGAAGTTTTGGCATTCAATCACGATCATGGCCCACTCAGCCAGGGCACGCCCAGCATATCGGCTGTGGCCAATTGATTGGCCCTCAGGTTGGCGAGGGTCCGTCTCAAAAGGCTCTGCGCGCTTGGACTGTAGAAACATCTGTGCCGGCATAGGAAGGCGCGGAGGATAAAGACGTCGATCCTTGCTGCTATACTGATACATATCGATCCAGTCCAGCGAGAACTTGAAAGAGTAGTTGCGGTATGGTGGTGGTCGAACTGAAATGGTGCTGTTAGGCGCCTTATTAACAACAGTACTCGGCTTCTCTGGTGTTGAAGGCTGATCATTCTGTTGCGATGTCGCAGTCTGGCCAGAAGCAGCCTCGTTAGGCTTCGCAAGACGGTTGGCAGAGCCATTGGACATTTTGGTTTTAGAAGTGTCATTGGATGAAGTACTGCTCGGAAATATACTTTTGAAAAAGCTCCACTTCTTCTTCCCCGGAGTCCCCTGTTGCTCAGCACTCGGCTTGCTTACGACGCCGTTGCTTCCAGCCGATTGAGTCGAGGTTGAAGACGTCGATGATGCAGGCGACGGTGGCAGTGGAAATGTCGAGGCCTGGTAAGATGACGAGGCTGGAATGATCCCATCAAAGGTGAAGAAGGCACGCGTAGGATTCATCTGGGTGTCATTTCGGATAATCACGAGACGTCGGCCTGGCGCAGGGCTGCAGGGAGCAGTAGACGGTGGCATGAGATTCAATTTCTCCGCAGTGCTCTTGAGATGAAGGTAGTAAGACCACATAGCTCTTAGCCTCATCGACAGTGTTTCAAATATGTCACTGAGACAAAGATTAGCACGCCGTTAAAAAAGCCAGGTTATATATACTCACTAATCTAACGTGGTTGCATCCCCGTCGTATCGAGCTAAGCGCCAACATAGGAGCCGCATATAGTACGCTCGTACCATCGGGCACCAGTGATTGAAATACTTCTCGAAAAAGTCTTCGCTCAGCAACCACCCTAGACACAGATCTCGCTTCCGGCTTTCATCCCTGGTCACAATATTCCAACTGCTGTAAATAAAGGCGATAACGCGAATCTCGGTCATGCTGTTATGGCTTTGCATCATTTTCTGACACACCTCAAACCAGAAAGGCCAATTGATCAACGGTCGCAAATCGTTGGTGAATTGCTGGTACCTCGTGAGAATGGCAATCGCTTCCTCGAGAAAGTCGCAAAGGAGGAAGCAAGCACTGTGATTATATAACGAGGTTTTTCGAGCTGCTGCTGCAAGCAAATCAAAGAAACCCTCCGAAAAGACTTCCCGGGCGGGGATTGAATCCGTTGGCTTATCGGCTAGGAAATCCCTGAGGAGCATGATCAAACGATTCTCAGCCATTGGCCGAATGGCATTAGCTGGAGGTAGGGGTAAGACAGCTGCTGAAGCATCTGCACCATTCAGAAAATCGTCGAAGGTGGTGGGTAAGGCACCTGCAGTGTTTCCTGCCAGAAGCGAGTTCGCATCTCGGTGAAAAGTTGAATCAAGAGTGCTCAACAACTGTGAGTGAACAAGAATGACGCCCGGAGCGCAGATGCGCTCAGAACGATCCGTGTTGGGAGGTAAATAATCAACGAGTAAGACGTGAAATTGCTTAACAAAGACAAAGAGAAGGTCACTCTCCCTTCCAGACCAACGGGAGACCCATGGGCCGTACCACGGGACGTCGGAGGCGCCTAGCGGAAGCAACGGCCGCATTCGGAGATACTTTGCCATAGAAGCAACAGAAACGAAGCCGAGGGAATGGAGGCAGGGTGGGAATCCTTGCACGATGGGCTGAGAGGACTCGCTCAAATTTGAGCTTTTAGGAAGTCCATATTCTTCCAAAAGTCGAAACATGGATGAAGACGGGATGTTCCACAGACGAACGAGGACATCCGCCACGCCAGGGCAGAAAAAGAAGGCAAATGCTGTTGCCTTGCCGCAAAAGGTTACCAAACTTGCAGGAGCATGTCTCAACGACATCTTCTCCACAACAAAGGCCATTTGCGCCAACAGATTCTGAACAAAAGTATTGCGAACATTGTGATAGACTGATTCAGCGAGAAAATCTGATCCGGATGATGAAAGTGACGTGGAGGACGGTGACTTTGTGCTCTTGACCGACCTGTCGGCAAGAGCAGAAAGGGGTGATGCAGGTGGGCGCCATTCAGGCCGTCCCATAATCCCTGCAATCGCGTCTAAAATAACTGGCCTATCAGTGCCAGAGATGGTCTGGTTATTTCTGCCATTGAGAAGTTCAAGCAGCCCAATCCACCATTTGTTAAGAATGATAATTCGACGATCCAAGTCCTCTGGTCGAAGAAACTTGATGGAGGGATGATCGACGTAATTTCGCAAAAATGGAAGTAATGAAGACCGGACAACGTTGGCCTTCAGCGCAGTAGATTTCGATTGGAACCTGTTTGTAAACGATGAGCGATTTGAAGTACAGCGTAAATAGATAAATCACTGGCGCCTCTTACTTGTTGAAGTCTCCATCCAAAGCGCGAAAAGCGCTCCATAATTCGTCCTTTTTTCGAGGTGTGCCCGAGCTGCGGTGTTGATGAAGCTGCTCTGAAGAAGACTGAAGAGAAAGCGGAGGGATTCGTTCCGTAGATGCTTGTGAGCGATTGGACGACGTCAGCCTGTCCGTGGAAAAAGATTTGGGCAGTGACGGCACGGAGGGCAAGTCCGCGGGCTCTGTCGAGAGCTTAAAGAGACCACTCAAGGGTCGCTTGCTTTTCTTCTTGGTTGGACTGGGATCCCGACTTCTGACTGGGGGTGTCTGTTTACCATCCTCCACGGCGTCAAGTGAGAGATCTTTGTTGAGGTCCATCCGGGAGAGACGACGCGGCAACAGCGATCTCCGTCGACTGAATGCAGCAGTCGGCCGTTCCAAGACTGGCTTTTCCTCAGCCTTGTCCACTTGTTCGACGGATTTCACCTGCTCCTTTTTCTCTTGCTCCTCTTTGACTACACCATCTGGCTTAACAAGCACGTCGGCCTTTCTGTTGGTTGGTGAGGTCGATCTTGAGGATGGAGCACTCCATGTTTTCCGCGACAAGCTGGAAAGGGTCGTTGACAATGGACGGGGCCTGGCCTCACGCTGGCCGTTTGTTCGCCGCTGCGAGGTATTATTCCGTTCTTTATTCCGTTCACTGGGTGACGAATCACCCTTTGTACGTTCCGACGAGAGAGAGAATTTAGAGAGGGTGAGTTTCGGCCTGGCGTACGCCCGGCTGGACTTCCGCCGATGCGGAAGAGAAATGCCGTCCACGGCGGCCGGTGGGGGAACCTCAGGCCATGCTATCTCCTTCTCTTCGACGGGAGAGGCAAGTTGATTCTCAGAAAAGGTGCGTTTGATGGTGAACTGGGTCAACTCATCCGATTTTCTGTCTGGAGGCAGCGGAAGATAAGTGTAACTCGCTGATCGCGGAATCTGCTCCGTGTAGGTTTCCTGTAGAGCCTTGCTGCCCGTAAAGTCAAAGTCGAAGCCAGTCGACTGAGGAATCTCTTGCTGGAGATTTTGTTGCAGAGAGTTTACGGATCCATCCAGGACCGCGGCGCCAGAAGACATTGGGAGGCGAGACCTGCTCAGCTTCCATGCCACGGCTCACAATATTCGTGTTGGGGTTGTGGTGCAGCTAGGGCACATCGAAAGAAAAGAGAGATCTGGGAGGGCTGTAGCAATTGTCGTTCGATCGGAGGACGAACTATAGCAAAATACTCTTTTTTCTCTGTTTCAACGGGGAGGGGAGGGCTGGGTGAAACGTTCTATCGTCTGCCGCCGGAACTGTTCCCCAGAACGAAGTCCTACTCTGGTCGATAGCACGAGAGGTGTGACCACGCAGGCTAGAAGTAGAGAGGGAAGCGAACGAAACGGTCGTGCAAAAGGCGGTCGTACGAATCCGAGGAGCCAAAGAAACCGGGAGCGACTGACAGAGACCACGAGGGAAAGGGGATGTAGATGAAGAAGTGGTGGCGGTGGAGGTTAGTGGAGATGGTAAGAGTAGGGGTGCAAGGAAAGAGGGACGATGGACCAACAACCTGGTCCGCGCGCGGAGAAAACGGGGGGGAATGAGATGGTCAGGCAAGAAGGAGGAAGATCACGAAAGGTTGGCGATGCGGGTAAGGAGGCTGTCAAGGCTATGATGCATCCGCGGATTATGCACAATAATGTACCGATGACCTGCAAATATAGCGAGATGCCGGTTCCAGAGTCCGAACCAGGGGGAAGGGGGGCAACGAATAGTTAGTTAGACCATGTACGGAATAATAACTGCAATCCTCCGTAGACGCCGGTCTAAACTGAAGGCTACCATGGTCTAAGCCTCCGTTTAGCCCAGTTTTTCTCTTGGCCTGGCTCTATCATAATTTCTTCACAAAGGGCGCGATGGAAAGAAGATGACATTATTCTCCACACGAGATGTCTCTACGGAGTATGCTCTGGATCACTCGGGATTAGGAAAGTCATAAAACTTCTCAGAGGCACACGAGCGAGATGAAGAGCGATGAAGAACAGGCAACACTATTACTCCTGGATGTAGCTTCGTACATATCGAGTATGGGGACGAAAAAGAACGTGGCCAGCATCAATGCGCAATAAGATGACGGGGATGGGCTCCGGCGCAGCAGGTTACAGGTCCAGGCCGAAAGAGTAAACTGAATGGGGAGAAGGGGCGAGTGCTAGACTCCCTCATCCCCTGTCGTGTTGTTATTATTATTTCATTAGAGCCACCCCATCTGGCCTCGTTTGGGACAGGAATCAAGCTCGATCAAATCATCTCTCATGCTGCACATGGCTCACCCTCTTTCGCCTGCCACTCCAACCACATGAGTTTCGTGGTGTGTGCTGGGTTCTCCCCGGCTCCGAGTTCCGTCCAGCCTCAGCAAAAAGCACACCCGACGTCACTGATGGAAGGTACCCAGTACAGTCTGAGTATCATTTCATGTCCCCGCCACACCCGATGGCGGCCCGCTTTCCGGTTAGGGAAAAGTGAACAACCGAGGCAACTTCTTAAGTAACAATAACTGTTTCTGATGACCATTTCTGCCAGCAGCATGTACCGTCCAGGTATGGTCGCTGTTGCCATATAGGTAGAGCCCGTTGGCACTAGTGCTCGTAGCACAGGAGCAGTTGGATGAGGAAAGCCAGGCGAAGAAACAGGTTGAGGTGAGATTGAGAATTGCTCCACCCCACGCGTCAGGGCGCTTCGCTGCCCCGGTTACACAATTCGGGGTGCACAAAATCGAGCAGCGGAGTATCTCTTTGCGGGATCTGTGGATCCCAACGGAGAGTGAACGACAAAAATTGCACTTTTCAGTTTTTTTGTCAGAAAAAGACGCCAAAAATTAATTGAAAGATAAAAGGGGGGGAAAAGGGGTTGGGAGGGCCCTGGTATAGAAAGAAATTATGAGATAGCATAAGCATAACTTCTCCTGTCCGTGCCCTTCATTTCCTTTGGGTCAACTTTTAAGTCAGTTTACACACGACCTAGAAGGGAGTAGAAAGGATCCAGCATAATCTACTTTGATATTCGCGCGTTAAAACAGCTAGCCAGCGCATGGGGACTTGACTTCGCGCACAATTCACGAGGCGGGTGTAAGGCAGAGCGAGATACCCTTCTCCTTTTGACAAAAGGAGGTCCCTTCTTCTCAAGGACCAATTTCAAAGAGAAATCCTATATCGTACGCATAAATGGACGTTATCTGTAGCGCCTGCTGGCGCCTCGTTACCGAAATGAGTATGTTATAGCACTATGAACATCTGATGACCGCATTGGACCCTTAGATGTAGATTGATAACGTGTTCAAAGCGCTTTCATCACTTTCACTCAACATCATCACGCATATTCTTGTAAGGCCCCGTAAAATCACACTGGCCGCTGTCAAAGGGGCCAATTACGGTGGAGGCTGTCGAAAATGCCTCGTGGGAGACAATAGGCAGAAATGGACTCAGTTTGTCCAGTCCAGTCGGGAAAAGGTCGTAAGAAGGAGGAACTCTTGCCCTCAAATCAATTGCGAGCCGATGTACATGTACACTTCGTTGGTGCTTCGAGAGCATAAAGTAAATCTAATGAGCTGCGGCAGCCTCCTCTTCCTCCTCCTCAAACCAGTCCTCCTCCTTGGCGGCGACCTCGCCAGTCTGTTGGCCCTCAATGTCAACCTCCTGGTCCTCGTACGCCTTCAGCTCGCTGGCAATGTTGCTCTCCTCGGGGGATTGGGGGGCCTTGGGGGGCGTGAACTTCTGGACGTGAGCCTCGGCATCAGAGGCCTTGGCGGGAGCCGGTTTGTAGGCCTTGAGTTCCTTAAGATACAGGTCCTGGACCAAGTCGGCTACAAGCAAATCAGTCAGCCCTTATCCTTTCCTGTTCGATTGATGAATTGATTTACCATAGCGGACAGCGGTAGGGGTGACAAAGGTCCGCCGAGAAACGGTCACCTGCTGCCGGGCCGCGCGGGCGAGGGTGGAGCGCTGTTAAAACGAGTCAGAATATGGCCATTGGCACGTGAGCAGTCTTCATACCGAAGCCCTGATAGATTGGAGCAGCATCTTGAGGGATAGGAAGTCAATTGACGATGACAGCGGCGCGAACAAGAGCTCTGTCGTGTCGCTGGTATTGCGATCTCGATATCCCCAATCTCGTCGTTGGAGGGAGAAGCTTCTCGGATCATCTTGCTGACTAAACAAAGAGCCTCACCTCTCGCTTACCTAAGCCATCATGACTCCAGCGAAGCGTATAATCAGGATGGAAGCAGCAATCATCTTTTCTATCCTTCATCCTTTCATCATCGCTCCCTCTCTCGCCGTTACCGTCACCAACTCTCGCATCAACTTCATCGCTGCTTCCATATTCACCGACGATTGAGTTTCTTGCGAGAATTCCACAGTTCCGTTCGACCTTCTGTGAGGCTCTGAGATAGAGCAACTTACAGACGCCTTCACTGGTTGCCACGGTCGGATCAGGAGCAGCGGCGAGATTCTTCGACGGTCATAAGAGACGGTCCCTTTCTGCTGGGTTTCAATATCCGCAGTTTGCTGCGCATACGCCATTTCAACTTCTCTCTAGGAAGATCGTGTGAATTCAAAAGGTAATAATTTTGGATTCCTTATCTCCGCGTGAGGTTGCCTTTTGATCTTGGGAACTCTTAATTGATACTTCCATGATCTAAATATTTTAGCAACCCAAGTGCTAGAATTTACACACATCAAGTCGCTTCGCTGTTGAGTGCAAGAATTTCATTCGGCAGAGTTGTTTGACTGACAGGCCTGTTTTTGTTCATTAGAGTGGCGAGTCCAGTTGGCACAACCGCCTAGGCTTCGTTGACGCGGGGCCTTGTTCAATTTCTACAGTCTCTCCTACAGTCCTTTTTGACTACTGTTGCGCAGACGTGTAAACGTCTGCCAAATTACTGCAAGTCTACGGTCTTCAGCGCGGTCTCGGAGTAGCCGCCAAGCTGTATTCTCCCCTCTTCATCCGGTATTGCGCGAAGACATTCGATCTTCCCGTTAGCTGGAAGTCTATTAAAAAGAGGAGAACACGAGAATTTCGCAACAGACAGCTTCAAGCCAGAATGGCTACAACAGCACCTCCAATGATGGCTCCAGGGCCGATGCATGATGAGGAGCCGTATCGGGAAAACCTCAACATGCAACTCATATGCCGTGATTGCAAAGAGTTCCCTCCCAATTTGATCGAAGAGTTCTCCTCAGGAGACATGGTTTGTGGATCTTGCGGTCTGGTTCTCGGTGACCGGATTGTGGATACTCGCTCGGAATGGCGTACCTTTTCCAATGACGACCAGGGAAATGACGATCCCTCTCGTGTTGGTGACGGGGCTAATCCGCTTCTTAACGGCGCGCAACTTCAAACTTCCATCTCCTTTGGAGATGGCGGACGGTCCAGCCGAGATTTGAATCGTGCTCAGAACAAGGCGACTCATGACAAGGCTACTAAGGGTCTTCTGCAAGCATACAAGGAGATTGGTGCCTATTGCGATGCAATCAATATTTCCAAGAATGTATCGGATACGGCAAAGCACTTGTTCAAGATTGTAGACGACGCCAAAGCGTTCAAGGGCAAATCGAACGAGGCCGTCATCGCCGGGTGCATCTTCATCGCTTGCCGCCAGTGCAAGGTGCCACGAACTTTCCGTGAAATCTACGCGCTTACCAAAGTTTCAAAGAAGGAGATTGGAAGGATTTTCAAGTCTCTGGAGAAGTTCTTTGCCGCACAGAACAAGGAGAGGATGGAGGCGGTGGCGCACTCGGGAGGTAGGTTTTTGCCTGTAGAGAATGCACTCTTACACGTTGCTAATCTTGTGATTTTTTCCCTGTTCATCAGGAATTGTCAATCCCCACGATTCCTACACGACCACCACCTCTACCAATGCGCGTGATCTTTGCATTCGGTACTGCAGTCGGCTGGCGCTTTCGCCCAACTGCACCATGGTATCCCAAGAGCTGGCAGATAAGATGTCCTCTGTCGGAGCTTTGGCCGGCCGTTCACCCCTATCGGCAGCGGCTGCATGCATCTACATGGCTTCTTATCTGATGAAGCAAGGCAAGACGGCCAAGGAGATTTCAGCCGTAGCGGGTGTCAGCGACGGCACCATCCGTACCGCCTACAAGCACCTCTATGCCGAACGGGAGAAGCTCATTGATCCCAACTGGATCAAGGACGGCAAGGGCGACATGAAGAACTTGCCTCCCAGTTAAGCATCATGTCCTCGAGTCTGCCGCGGCAAAAATGTTCCCAGCCATCAGCCAAAGACTCCTGGTCACTTCGCTTGCCCAGGTTGATTAAGTTGTTCCCGAGCTACGATTTGCCTTTCGGCTTTCTGAGACTTTGCTCTCTTTGAACCCACTCCTTGACCTTACGGCTTTGCCCTGTCGGTGGGGCGTTATAGTCACGTTACGCCTTGGGTTCTTGCTTGTCCTTTCCCCCCCCCCCTCTCAATGCATCTTCTTCGATGCTTCTAGTTCAATCTGAATTCCTTTGAAACTCTCTATCAGGGAGAAAAAAAAAACCTCTTCAGCTTTCGTTCAACGGTGGGTTTGTGTTTGCATTCTGGTTGGGACTTCTCTGTGGTTTTGCATTTGCAATTGTTTTCTCTATCCGCGCACACCAGACTTATTAAAACCCAGCCTGCACAGAAATGCAGGGAGATACCTTTTTCGTTTGCTCTCGTACGTAGGTTTCCGTACATAGACACAGTTTACTGATTCTCTTACTTTCAATCCGTGATATTGGGTTGCGTTACTTCTTTCACTCCTTTTCCTTTTTTGTTTCTCTCTTCCCTGCTTTGAATAAAGGAAAGAATTTGCCAAAAAAAATTGTGGTTATTACAACTGGTGAAGAGAGGAAGCTCCTCTTTTCCTTAGTTATCCAAGATTGATAAAGGGAATTTGTATCTTCGATGGATACTTTACATACTAAATCAGAAAAATAAAAAATAAAACAGAGTTCTCTGAATTTATTATTACAATCCACCTTGTAATCCATACCTGTGGTGACTCTTGCAATTGATTATGCACTCACTCGAGCATCTCGGCTGTCATGTAGTCTCCCATTGTGTGCACGGCAGTGCTGGTGCGTAGGTTTGTATTTCTTTTGTGGGATGGGGAGGGGGCAAAAGTCTACTAATGCCTACATGTGCGCGTGCTGTATATATTTAAATAAGAAAAGGTGACATATGTATATTTGAGACGAAGAGAACTGGATACAAAAACTCCCCGCTATATATATAAAGGTACCTAAAGTTAAGCAATAATCGGAGGAAATTTCGAAGGGATCCTATTATTAACATCAAGATAGGTGTTGGTGGTAAAATTGACTCCTTGTGTTGAGGAAACGAGTTGTCGTCCCAAGGGAGAGAAGAGAAAAAAGGGATGAGGAGGAGATCGGACGGGAGAGGATAGACGTGTGGAGTAACTTATGGGCACGGACAGGAAAGGAAGGAGGATGAAAAGAGGAAAAGAGGAAAAGAGGATCAGAAGGGAATCGGAATGTCGGTGACATGAAAAGCTGACCGGATGACAAGGGACTTTCTCTGGGAGAGAAGAACAGAAAAGAGGCAAGGAGGTCGGCAAAGTATTTCAGAAGGAAAAGAGAAAAAGAAGAAGAAGAAGAGGGTGAGAAAAGGGGAGAGAGGAAGGGACAAGATGGGGAAGAGGAAAGAATCAAGGTGAAGGTGAAGGTGAAGATGACACAAGAAGATGTAGAGGTCGACAATAAGAAGAACAAGGGGGGGGAGAGTATAGGAACAGACAAGGAAAGGGAAAGGAAACAGAAATGCTCTATAAAATGACTCGCCCATCATATGCAACCGACAGATCAAGAGAACAACCAACCAACGAGGCAATAAGTAGATAAGGAAATATGAGAAACAGGGGGAAATACAACAAAATGACAAGTCGATTTAAAAAAGGAAAACCCTCTCAAAGACTAAAATAGGATATCAGAGAATAAGCTTCTCGCTGGCGGAACGGATTAAATCTGCTGCTTTTTGAATCTGTTTCTGAGCCAGTGGCCAATCTCTGGCGTCAACAGCGTCGCGAATGCCAGGGAAAAAGGCTTCGTCGTAACCAGACCAGGCTTGCGGGGCAAAAATGACGTGTTTGAATTGTTCACGGCCGGGAAGCTACATGTTGAAAAGAAGAAAAGTTAGCTCTAGTGTCTTTAGGACCTTTGTATGGTCAATACGTACCCCGCCACCAGGAAGGAGGTCCAAGAGATCAGTCTCAAACTGCGCCATTCGCGTGTTCCGGCTCATTCGTTGAATGGCAATGACATTGCTTTCAAACCCTCCAGATCCATAGACTTCCTGGACCCACGCCATCTCCCAGGCTTCGAATGTTTCCGTGTTTTTGGCCATGACTTCTGCGGCTTCGCGGAGCGGCGCGAAATTTAACCCACCGCCCATGTTCGAATATGCGTATACTTGGACATCTTCAATGTATTTCCCTACCGCCACTGCATATCCAAACATGTCGAAAGGCAGAACTGGCGTATCTGCGATTTCGAGGATCAAGAGCGCCCAGACTTGGGCAAGAATTTTGTGATACTGGAAACCTGGATCGCCAAATTTGTCCATCCATTCGAAGCTATCGTAGCAGCTATGATATGGGAAGCCGGGACCGGAGAAGCGGATATCAATACTTGATGTGCCGGCAATGTCTTGGAATGCGACATAATCGCTGCCTGCCCCAAGACCTCCCAGATCTCTCCCCGTCTCTTCCCAGATTGCGCGCAGGGTCTTGTTCTTGAAAGGGTCTGAAGTGCGGTCGAGGACGTGCCCTAGGCTTTTTCGAAAAACAGGAGATCCTGCTGCCTCAAAGTCGCTGCCGGCAACTGCCACATCAACATTGAGGTACGCAATACCGTCCCGGTGAAGGTATTCGAGGTTTGATTCGACAAACTCGGTCGAGCCAATCAAGTTATACTCTTCCGCATCCCAGGAATTGAAGACAATAGACCGCATCGGACGCCATCCCAGATCGCGAAGTTCGCCGAAAATTCGAATGACCTCGAGCATTACTGCCGTCCCGCTGCCAGGGTCGGTAGCTCCAAAGCACCACGAGTCGCGGTGATTACCAACGTAGACGGTTTTGCTCGGCTGCTCCAGCCCAGTGATCTTGCCAACTACATTATAAATTGGCTGTTTGTCGATCTCGTCTTGCTCATTCATTAGGTGGATTATGGGGGACGATTGATCTCCAGACCACCACTCTTTAATATCCGGAACTCCGCCTACCCAATCATCGGTCACCTTGTGACCATGCCCTTTGAGTACTTGCAAGAGTTTCTGGGCATCCCGCCATGCCAATGGGATGCTCGGGATATTCACCAACCCAGGATTGTTATTCTTGGATATTCGGTCTGCGTCGGGTAGTGATCCGTAACCAGGGGTGAGGACGTCGCCGACTACCCAGCTCATCAAGCTTACTGCTCCTCGTTGAACACCGTCACTGGGTCGCCATCTTCCATCAGGCCAGGCGGCTCCTTTGCGGAAACCGTCCTCGGCAGGGTCGCTATAGATTATGCACCCCGCGGCGCCGGCGAGCTCAGCCGCCCTCACCTTTAAAGCACGATCGCCCTGTGTACCATAGTATCTCACTAATACAATCGTACCCTTGAGATCGACCCCATTCTCTTTGAGGGTTTCAAAGTCCTCTCGAGAGCCATAATTTGCATAAACCAGGGGACCAGTAACGTTGCCTGCACGAGAGTGCCCGTGGAAGACCATGGTTTGCTGCTGTTGCGGTGTCGGATGTTCGTATACTGATTCTTCTTCTATCACTGCCTCCCAAGCCAGCTCGGGGGGTTCTATAATTGCAACTCTCCTTCCGTCTTTGCGGGGAAAGTTTAAGTAAACTTGGTATCTGTAGAACGCATTAGTTACATGTCAATCCATCTACTCAAACAAGATCCTTTCAGTTCATACCTATCAAGACCCACCCCCTCCAGATTTCCGGCTCTGAATAACTCCTCCACGTACAAGGCCGAAGCATAGGAGCCTTCGGTACCCGCCATACGATCATAGCCGGTGAGGTTGGAGAGGTATTTTCGAATCTGGTGCTCATCCACATTTCCTTGCACAAATGATCTGACTGATTCGGGATCATACATCTGTCCGCCCATAGCCGCATTTCGAAATGGAAAGATCTCAGTGACAAATAAAGCATACACGACGAGCATGACAAGTATCAAGCCCAGGAAACGAGCTAACACACGGACTCTGACAGAATATTCAACCATCCATGGTGGCATGCGCGACCAAATATCAAAGGAGAACGATGGCATCCGCATCCGAAAAGGAAGATGTATTGAGGACAAGGTGTTGGTGATGCTGTTCAATCGTTTCGAGAATCGATGGCGCATTGGTGATGTTTGAGAGCTTGCTTGTCCGGATTCAGCGTCCAGCACCTCCATCTCGAACATCTCTCGTCGAAGTTCTTCATCTTCTGCATTGCGGTTATCCCTTTCCAAGGATTCAAAGGAGAATTCGCTGTCGATGCTGGATCGCTCCGATCCCACCATAGGCGGACGATATCCGCCATGTCTCGATTCTCCTCGTTCACCGGCACGTCCGCTCTGTCCGAGAAGACCTTCCCTTTCCGCATTATCGTTTATCTCTTGAGTTCCCTGATGATATGACTGAGAAGAAGTTGGCCGCGAGGAGGTTGCCTCCTCATAGGTGGGGATGGGGAGGTGAGCATAATCGACGTCGGCGGTCTTCTTGTCGGACATGGGAGGCAAGAGATTAGGAAGAAGGGAGTCGCCCTCAGAAGTTGCAATTCGTATATGTCATGCCAATGTGATTAAAAGCTTATATTTCCGTGGTAGATATCGAACAGAAGAGGGTTGGAGAGGTTATTTGATGGTTGAAGGCGGGAGGTTTTTTGGGAAGCAATGCCGAATATCCTCCTCTCCAAGTCTAACTACGGAGGTTGCCCTGCACTCTATAGTTGGTATGATGTTACTTATTGCTGATTAACTAATTCCCCTAATTACACGCGAGAAATAGTGATGAGTCTAAACCCTGACCCCGTTCCCCAAACCCACCATCCGGCCGGTACTTTGTTCGTTCCCGCAAATTCCGAACCACCCTTTCAACGTAAGGTAGCCAGCCAACCGCATACGTAATCACAAAAGTACCTCGATATCAGTAAGCAACTCCACGGTAGAAGCGTATTCCATTTTCACGCTCAGCAAGACCTCACGACGATTGTAGTTGATTCTTCAAGATTTATTCCAAAAATCGGTATTTTCGGCAAGTTAGAATGTATGTATATTTGATATACTACGAGCAGTTATGCCAACACTTGTCGAATTGCGATCATTCTTCTTTGATAATTGGCCGATCGACAACTTGCGACATCTTTCAGTATGACATTATTAGTCATACGCTGCATCAGCTGGAAGATCTGCTTTCGATGAGCTGGCTAGTGTTCCTTGAGCAATCAAAAAGAATGGATTGGGTCATGGACACCATCAATATTCCTCAGTCAATGCGGGTTAAACGTTGCGATACAATGGTAGATCCACAGTGCCATGACAGAAGAGTTTGAAGTAGCGTGCAGCCATGGAAACATATAAGTTTTAGAGAGTCCGAGATCCTTCTTGAATTGCTCTTCATATTCATTAAATGCAATAACTTTTCTCCCGCGCTCCACCTTGGGCAGTAGAGTTTAGATTTCGCGCGGCGTACTCAGGGTATGTAGTCCACGTGAAAAGCCAACTCTTCCCAAGACCGAGAGTCTTATGCCTCAGCGGCCTTTGCTTCCTGGCTTCCGGCTGCAACCAGCTTTCCAACCACCAGATATTTGCCTTCAAACATGCCCTCCCAGCCCTCGAGAGCTTCTTTCTGCTCGTCATTCAGGTCATTTAGAGGGTCCAGTGGTCCGTCAAGGTTCTTGGTCAACATATCCTCTTCGAAACTTCCACAGGCCAGACCACGACTGGCGTCTCGACCGGCAAAATTTGCGTAAGGCCCGCTCGGACCGTAGAAATTCTTGCCCGGTGTCACATCAAAGACGCGGCCGCGGACAGCTAGATATACAGGTTGTTCGTTCTCGCCGTTAAACGGAAGTAGTGTACGGGGAGTGAATGTTCGGAAAACGGTTGGAGGCGGTCCTTTGGGGAGCGTTGGGGGAGGAGTCGGCCGCAACCTCAAGTAGACCAGAAAGACGAATACGGCGAGAAGTACCATATTAATGGGGGCCATGATTGGAGCACTGGACCTCGATCAAGTGTTAGGTCGGATCGTTTACAAAGGGCTGGATTTCCTTACGCTTCAGCCGCTACAGGCGGCACATCGGCCGAATAGTCTTGAGCACCTTGGGCTGGTTAACATCACGGTGAATGAAGCGGGGTCTTGACAAGCTTCGACCTACCTTCAGCCATAGCAGAGTGCTCTCACAGCAGAGCGATATGTTGGAGGATAAAAGCGGCAAGGTCAGAAAGGGCAAGAGGATGAAACACAGAATGTAAATGTTTGATTATTAATTATCTGATGGAGCTTCAAGCTCAAGGTTAACTACCAACTGGTTCGTAGGCTCTCCAGGGTCCTAAGGTATCGCTAGGGGTTATAGCTAGGGAACGCCGAGGGATAGATCACTAAATGTTGCAGAATAGTGTATGGGTGTTGACCGATTTTTCCTTGCAACACCTTTTGTCTCTGGCGCCCAAGCAGCTGGCGCCTAATGTTGGAGGCCCCACCTAAAAGAGCGGCAGATCAGACGAGAAGTTGTGCATAGCTCGTATGTCATCATCTAGGTAACTTACCACTTTCACCTCGCACCTTGCTCACCAGTATTTCGGTTAAAGTCAACGACCTAGAGTTAAACGGTCCTCCGCCACAGTGATCAGCGCCAGAGTAAACTCTAGCATGAGACTTTTCCCGCCCAAGGTTCCCGCCGACCGTCGATCTTGAGACCCTGTGGCAAACGAAACAGCCACGCGATAAATTTAGACACTTTTGTTTGTGTTCAAACCAACGCTACAGCATTCCTCGAGGGAGAGATGATTACACTCCAAATTCTTTCCATTTCATTTTTGCCATCCATTTCGCTAAATTTATATCAGGACACCCTTGGAATTGAGTTATCTAGAGTTGATTTTGTGGCTTAACCCCATCATGATCGACAGTGGTCAGCATCAGCATCCCACACTACATCCGGGTCTGTCACAGAATCCGGTTTTCTGCCGCTGCAGAGCCAGAACTGTACGGACTCGGAGCCTAGGGCACAACGCTCAGAAAAGCTGCATATATCTCTTTCTCGTTTCGTCTGCTTTATCTAATAAATTTTGTCCGTGAAAACAAAACATTCTGTTCTTTATTCTGTATGAGCTAGTAGCTGCTTGCATCGTTGAAATCTTTCCATAACATTGTCACTGCTATTGCAACGTTAATTTTTCTATTTTCGGTGTCACAACCAATGTGGCCTCGCGTGGCGAATTTGTGGCTGTACGAGTTCTCGATTTGCTTTGACGTGGCACTGTCCAGCGCAGTGCTGGATATGTTCAAATACTAAATTCTTAAAGGGTCACGGTCTCGGTCGAGTCTCTGACATGCAGCTTTGACGCAAAACAAACTGCCCTCCACCAATCTGAAACATCTCCAGATTCATACATAACATGCTGACAACAAATACGAAACACCACTACCCCCTGAACAGCCTTTTTTTGGATGCTGTGTCCAATATTACTCGCAGTCGTCTTTAAGGCACAAATAATTGGCTGTCAATTGAAAACGTCGGCTTTAAATAACACTTAAAATAAGGCACATTATCACCGATCAACTGATAACTATTTTTCGTTCACGACAAATTTAATACAGCCACCATTAGGGATTTCCATTGCAGCTACCCCCGGTTTTTGGGTCCTAAAAGTTAAAGCATTCATATTCTTTACATCTCGTCACTGTTTTCTGCTTCTTCAAGGTAAGTGTTTAATGAGCAAAATTTTGTGTGTCAATATTCCTGCAATCCGTTACCCTTATCCCCTTTGCCCAGCAAATGCTCTCTCATGACCTATGTGGTTGCAGTCCTCAAATGCCTTCCTCAAATGCCCATGTTCAGTCAGTTTCAGAGTTTAGCCTGATAGGAATGTTTGAACGAGATCTCTAATCCTGTTCGTCGCTAAAGTATTATAAAAACCTTCACGATGTGGAAGCGATTGCAGCTCGCACATCGACCCAAGGAACAGATCATTGGCGACCCAGTGCTAGTCACCTCCACATTTGACGAGAAGTCGTTGCAGCAATTGCCAAATGTGGCACACATTCACCATGGACGTTGCGTCAGCGCCAAACCAACTTTTGTGACTAGTGATAATAGTGATGCTTTGCTGAGAGAGCTTCCCCCTCTTCCCTCGTGAGTTCTGTCCCCCCGACAACCCTGACTTAACTCTTGTTAGAGCAGAGAGTCATGAAATGTTAATTCAATGGCCTAGCAACGTGGAGTCCACCGCAACAGCATCCCCACTGACGCCCGTTTCTGAACGCATTGGCAACTCACCTCAATTTGCGTTGCCCTATTTAGGACAAAATAGTAGAGAGGAGCCAGGAAGTACTTCTTCTTTCTCACTGTCTTCCCCCTCTCAAATCTCTCCTCCTCAAACGCCAGTTCGAAATTTCAGCCGCCGCTCGCCATACTTAGGAGATGAAAGCAGTATCTCCCCTGGAAGTCCATCCAATTGGAGCTCGCCCTCAAGTTCTCCGGCCATCGATCGATCTTCTCGGCGATCAACATTTCCTTCAGGATCGAATAGGTTTGACCAAGAGCTGTTCACCGGCAACGAATCCGCGCCCCTGGACATCTCACAAGAAATTATCGAGCCTAGACCAAGATACTCATTAGATCAAGTGGAAATGAAAGAACCGGGAAGCTCCTCCCGTGCACCTTCCTCGCAGGCAATTGAGGCCGTGCAAAAGTGGATGAGAGCACGTTCTAAGTTGAAGGACGTAACTGAGCCCTCCAAATACACCATAGAGAGACCGAATGCTGTTACCAGTCGAGGTGGGCCTGCTGTACGTGACGGACATCCTGCGGCTAGAAGGGCAGCATCTGCCAGTGCAGCCTTGCAAAACTCACTTCCAGCGACGAAGCCATTGACAATCTCGCCGCGAAACATGAGGCGGCCAAGTCCCCCATTGAGCGCCATATCTGAGACCAGCACGATCACCCTGTCAGCGAACAAAGCCAAGTCTGAGCCCTCATTTGAGCTTCCGGACGAAGTGGAAGATCAGATCAAGCCTACCGTTCCGCTCAAGGTTGGCAGGAATAGTCCACCAAGAATATATACTTCCATAAATCGCCACGGACCGCGAGTCACTTCTCCGAGTAGTCCAGAGGAAGATTTCTCAACTACCTCCAGTCCTCTTTCCAACAACATATCCTGGGACAAACCACTCCCTAACTTGATAAATGAGCGTCCGGGAGAGCTCTCCTTGAAGAGTCCCGTGCCGACTGACCAACATAACTTCAAATCAGCGATGCAGGAAATAAACTTCCAGCCTCATCTTGTCAGTCGTTTCAGCGCTACAACCTATGCTTCTACCGCGGCTTCTCAGAGTCTCCCTAGTAGTCCAATTCTGCCTTCGTTCACGGGGCAGTGGAACCCTCAGACTCAGTCATCTATAATGGATCGAAGTCGGCCATTGCCAAGCTCTGCTATCACCAATGCGCGTGCGACCACTCGCAAACCTGCACCTTCTCGGGTACCCGGGGCTTTGGGGGAGACGATAAACGTTAATAAACAACGTCGAAATTCAAAGTCCCTTCCGCAGTCGCCTCCCGAGAAGGAATCAGTAGATCGAATCACCAGACTACAAGCTCAACTTGATACTCTCCGTTATCGGCGTGAGAACATTCAGAAGATCGTCCGCGATTGGACAATTTCAGTCCCTGCAGGCACTATTGCAGCATCTAGAGACGAGATGAGGGTCATGGTCGATCGTCTCAAAGCAGAGATGGCGGAGATCGGCCTGGAAGAGCACGAACTTGGTATCAAACTGCACCGAGCCTGGAAACGGAAGGATGAATCAGAGCCGGCAGAACCCACAAGCTTGTGGATAAGGCGGGTCACTAGCTAGAGTTAGTTTCGACTCGCTGCGGACAAATACGCCTGTATGGTCTTCGATGATAAATTTTCGACTTTGCTTTTACCGCTGCATTCTGCATGATATTCAATGTACTGCAATAGCTCGGCTCATAATAGTTTAACTAGGGGATCCATGATGATTCCACAAGATCACCTTCGGTGGTGACGGTTTGGGAATTAGTCTTGGTCGGCTCACCGATGGCTTTCTTCTTTGATTGGCAATGAGTCGATGTGGGTTATGGAGAACAAATATCAATTGGGCGCATCGGGAGCACTTGATAATTTCATAATTCAAGTCTGGCAATTTATTTTTCAAATTTCATGACCTCGTAATCTCCCCTCTGTGTAGCTATGAAGTTCTGTGCTCCCAAAGCCGTATGATGTAGATCCGCGCTTGAAGTTTGTGACCGTGAGTGGATATGGCTTTGATGCAAGAACCAAAGCGATACGCTTATTTCTTCTTGCCCTTCTTCAGAGCGTCGGCCATGTCCTTTCTCGCCTTGGCATCTACACAAGAAAACGTTTAGGCACAGATATCTTTGTCAAGAAATAGGGTGAAAGGGGTTCATACCAGCACGCAGCTTCTCCTGGTGCGCGCGGTCTTCATCGTCGACATCCTTCTTGTCCTTCTTGGGCTGCTTAAGGGGCTTGACTTTGCCGCCTGTAGCACAAAGGTGCTGATTAGCGGTGATTATACAGGCAACAAACATCTGTGTTAAAAAAAGAGTATCGCACCTTCACGACTCGAGCCACCCATTGTGTCTGTAAAATATATCGAGTGTAGAAACGGTGAGGAGAGGTTTGTCGAGAGCTGAGAAGAAAGGGAAAAGTTGGGCCAATGTAGTGGGGTTTTATCGTTTATCTGATCCCTCTGTGGCTGTTCTGCAATGAGAAAGTGGCTCAGTCGAGGGTCAACTTCGTGGACAGCACAACACACAAGGGAAACCAAGCAGGGGTTGCAAACAGTAATTAAAGTTATATGATTGTATCTATAAAATCGAAATTCAGTGAGGAATTCAGAAAAATAATTCTTTGCAATTTAAAGCATATTCTCTTCGTTTTACTACAACCCGGCACCTCTGTAGACGCCACGTGATCGACTCCTTTTAGCTTTCCTCTGATTGGCCCTTAGCGTGCGTAATGTTTCCGGCGGTTTATCATCGAGCCAGCGTCACTACCAGCTTCAATCTCCAAATAATTCAGAGCAGATATTGCCAGTAGCTGATCTATCATCATTTTATCTGGGTGCGGACAATAAAGTACCGGTTGGACTTCTATCCGGGTTCTGATCTTTCAAACGAATCACACTGCTGACACGACTTGCTTTCTGCATATCAAGGCTAGATTTGGCTCTTTCAAGTAAGAGAACAAAGATGGGTTCACATTCAGAGTCGGAGGGGGAGATTATCGAATCTGAAACTGAGAAGGCAACTACGTCGCTGCCTTCACTTCAAGACACCAACGTTGACCGTCATTCCAGAAATCGTGTCTCAGCATCGAAGTCGCCGACTGGTCCCCAGTCGCCTCGCCGCTATAGATCTCGCTCGCCATACCGAGCCAATCCGTCGCGGGGGGAGAAGCGAAGACATGATGATGATTTTCACAGTGGCCGCAGCCGCTCGGACGCGCGACGATTTAGGGTACATTACGAGCAACAGCCGCCGCCACCACCGTCGATCTATGAGAGACGCCGACCCCAGGTCTCTTACGCTGACTTAGATCGAGGAGGTCCCTCCGAAACGTATCTTTCGTACGACGACGATAGAGACTACTATTCCGATCGATATCGCGATAAGAGAGCCCGTACTCGCAGTCGTTCACCGCCCCGCTATTCCCAGCCCCGACATCCCAAAGATCGAAGAAACGAGAGATCTGATTATTCGGCTCGCAGAGGTGGACGGGAATGGGAGAATGGCCGAAGAGACTCTATCGGCCGTGCTTCGAATGATAATAGAGGTCACCGATCAGCAACCGGGTCTGCGGCTGCCGAACGGCCCGCTCAAGCTGCGGATACTCATGCCGCTGGGTTCGAGCGGCATGGAGCATTCGCTTCAGACGAGCGAGTTCGAGAGTAGGTTATTGTTCACTTCATGCATCAGAATACAATCGTTGACTTTTACAGGGGCAATGCCGGGAAGACAGCTTCGTCGAGCAACGACCAGCCTGTGCCGGCGCCGGAGCCGGAGCCCGTGCAATCAACGCCAGTTGATGAGGCTTCATTGATCGAAGACCGCCGTAAAAGGCGGGAAGCAATCAAAGCTAAGTATAGAGGCCAGGCTACGCCCTTGCTTGTTCAGGCGCTTCATCTGGGAACTGATTCGCAATCTTCCACACCTGTTACTGAAACTCCCGATGCTGCTTCTATACGGTCTGGTAGGTATACCCTTTGTATAAAAAAAACAAGAGAAAGGAGTTATTCGTGATATGCTAATAGTCTTGTGTGATAGTATCACCCAAGGAATCTCCTGAGACGCCGCGGGATGATTCAGGCTCCAAATCGCCGACAGACTTCGCACTTGCAAAAGATGAAGATCTTGCTAACAATATGGACGGGGCAACTGGCGAGGATGACGGTCCCTCGGCTGCCGATTACGACCCGACTTTAGACATGCAAGAGGACAAATTGCGAAACGAGCAGCGTCAGGCGGGAGAAGACGTTCCTGCTAGCGCCTATGATGAGACCCAAATGACCTCCCAGAATGTTCTCCTTCCTGCAAAACAAGTAGAGGAGGAGCCACCGGCAAAGGCCAGGGACGAATTTGACATGTTTGCGGACGATGATGATGACATGTTCGCAGAGGAGCCTCCTGTTCCTCAAAAGTCCGCCATGGACGAAGAAGAGCATGCTAAAGCAGTCCGAATCCCCAAGGCAAAGGAGCTGGATATGAGCATGCTCGACAATTGGGATGACCCGGATGGATATTATCGAGTCATCCTTGGTGAGCTTCTCGACGGGCGGTATCACGTTCAATCGAATCTCGGCAAAGGCATGTTTTCCGGCGTCGTGCGAGCGACGGACACGACGACTGGGAAACTGGTTGCTATCAAGCTTATACGGAATAATGAGACAATGTAAGAAGGATTACCTCTTTTGCCAATTGCAGTGGGGAAATTGCTAACAAAGATATTCTTTAAGGAAAAAAGCCGGTCTCAAGGAAATTGAGATATTGCAAAAGCTAGCACTAGCAGACCCAGAGGACAAGAAACACATGATTCGCTTAGAGAGATTTTTTGAACATAAGAACCATCTCTGCATGGTTTTTGAGAATTTGAGGTGAGGATTATGCAATTGAAGAGGGAAGGACCTCAGCGCTGACAATTTATTCAGCATCAATCTTCGCGAAGTACTTAAGAAGTTCGGCCGGGATGTGGGTATCAACCTCAAAGCTGTCCGGGTGTATGCACAGCAAATGTTCCTCGGATTGAGCTTGATGCGAAAATGCAATATTCTGCATGCCGATATTAAGCCTGACAATGTCCTGGTAAGTCTGCATACGCCCTTGTTCTTTTCCTATGGCAGGCACTGATGAATACCTATCCAACTCTAGGTGAATGAAGCTCGGACGTCTCTCAAGATTTGCGATCTTGGATCTGCTTCTGATGCGAGTGAGAATGAAATCACTCCGTATCTCGTCAGTCGATTTTACCGTGCTCCAGAAATCAGTAGGTCTTTACTTATGGCTCTTTGGGGTGTCCCTTGACATTTTACTAATTGGTTTTGTACTATATAGTCCTAGGAATGACCTATGATTTTGCAATTGACATGTGGTCCATTGGCTGCACGCTGTACGAGCTCTACACAGGCAAAATTCTGTTCACGGGCCGAACGAACAATCAGATGCTTCGATCCGTAATGGAATGTCGCGGTAAATTCAGCGCAAAGATGCTACGTCGCGCCGAGTTTGCGCCCATGCATTTTGACGAATTTATGAATTTCCAGAGCGTCGAGACGGATAAAATAACCAACAAGGACGTCGTGCGCATACTCAACTTTACTAAACCTACCCGGGATCTCCGGACACGACTCTTCGCGACAGCCAAAGACATGGACGAGGCTGAGAAAAAGGAGCTCCTGTCCTTTGCCGATCTCCTTGATCGCTGTCTCAACCTGAACCCCGAGAAAAGATGCACTCCCACGGAAGCGCTCAAGCATCCCTTCATCACAAGAGGAAAGGTCTAATTGCTGCGTCTTCTTCGTGACATGTTTGCGGACGATCGTTTTTCTCATATTACTTATTTTTTTTTCTTTTCCTTTTTCTCCTCGCTTTTTCCTGGTAGACTTACATTGCAAACGTGGCTGGGAAAGGATTTGTCTATATATAGTCATTTAGCACTCTGATACCTATCTAGGATTCTCATAGCTGGGTTTATCCTTGAGCAAACCAAGAACGCTTATTTTCAAATACAGAAGATTTTCTCTATTTGTCAACTAAATCCTGCCACTTACGACTACTCTATCACTCTACCTGAACTATTGACTGGCTTCGATTCGCTTACACTTGATCCGCTTAGAATTATATCCTTTTCTATTTTCGTCAACAAAACTAGTATTGTAGTACCTTACACAGACTCACGTAATTAATGTTTGACGCCAACACGCCTTGACACGACACATCCCGCCCCCGGTTTCGTTCGTTCCCTTTAGCTTGGTTTTTTTTTTTTTTTTTTTTTTTTTTTCATTTTTTTTTTTGATTTGATTCTATCCATAGTACACTTTTTTTCTATTATGATTCTACACCGTATCCATCGTATACATCTTTTTCCTTGATATGTGATTCTATACATAGCACACACGTCATCTCCACCTCGTGGGAAGTTCCTCCGAGCTTTTGCCGTAGCTTTCTCACCCTCCATGAGTGAACCTAGGTTATAAGCTACCCTTGAGTTATACCCGGGATCCCATCTACAGAGTTATAACCCTCTATAGTACGGAGCCGCTCGTATTCTCAAACCAAGCCCGTCCCCTTCTGAAATATTATCATCTTCATTGATCATCGACGACTCGGGTACTTGACACGGTAGGAGTACGGGTAGTAGCGCGGACACGTTGACATTAAATCGGGGGGGGAAATTATGCCTTGTTCATAACCCATTTTATGCCGTTTTATCCCGTTATGCATAATATGTTGTATTCACCAGTTGCGCATATTTGTGATTACCCGCTGCACAAAGGCACATATTTATCCTTTTTATTCATGCCCCTTGTGCTGTGCTATGCTATGCCATACAGAGTACGCTGTACACAATACAGATACCTTACATGGCAAAAATCTGTAACTTGATTTCTATTATTCGTATTTGTTTTATTTTGTTTTATTTTGTTTCTTTAAGTGTTTTATAATTCGTCAAGGGACTTGCTCGTTGTTTTTATTTTGTTTACCTCAATCCATTTTATTTGGCGGGTAGATTTTCTTTTTCCTTTATGAATAACTTTTATTGTATTGTATTTTATTCTATTTCATTTCATTTCCTCCCGCCTCCCCTCCATGCTCCCGGTCAAATGAATCTGTCGAATGCATGTGAAGTGTCACAGGTCCCCACTTCTGATGCCCAAAAAGCCAAGTTCGCTCCGTTACTCTACAAGTACTCGTACTCGTACGAGTAGTGATTGCTTTTGAGAATCCGCTGATCACTGCCACATTGCGTTCTCCACTTTTTTTGCACTTACATTTGGAGTATTTGTACCCTCGTAGGAGGTGTCCTATATGATGTATATCATATGAAGTACTTCGTACTCCGCTACCTTTGAACTGGTCGGTTGGTCGAAATACTACCTCGTCGTACTCTACCCTGTACAGTTCCTAAGGTAACCTACCTATTGTACTGTATAATGATGTTGTTTTTCTCTGTGATCGACAAAAAGCCCCCTGTCCCCCTTGTGAATTATGTGGCAAACCCGTGCCCCCCCGCCCGGTAAAACATTTTTGCCCCCTCCTCTTCCTCAACTCCTCCTCCCTTGCATCCCACGCCACACACCTGCCACCAGGCCCACCCTTTTTTTGGCACGCCATGGGGCTGCCGCCCAATCGGCAGGGCTAGTCGGCCCAATGATAAGGGAAGGAAGGAGGGTCAATATAAAAATAAAAACCCAATGAAAAAATAAATAAATAAATAAATAAATAAATATAATGACGATGGCGATGGCGATGATGATGACGAGGGCGATTTTGACCCTTGCGAGTAGGTGAACTCTAGAGTACTTCGTACTCGTAGAACAGATGACGCAGCCGAGGGGTGAATGAGGGGCAACGAGGGAAGGTGAAACATCTAATCTACCCTTCTTCACCTATTACGAAACAACTACAAAGTAAGGTACCTTAGGTGCGGTGATAGGAAAAGTTACAAGAGATAATCACATGCTTCGATGAAACCCTTTTTCTTTTTCTTTTTCTTTTTTGTTTTTTTTTATTTAACTTCCGTGAAAAATGCTATGTTGGATGCGTGCCTCAGATACTGGACTTTTGCAGAAAAAACACGGCTGGGAAAGTCAACCGTTGAAAAGAAAAGAAAAGAAATAAAATAAGAACAAAAAAGAATAAAAGACAAAGGGGAAAAAAAAAGCAATATAGAGCCATAACACACAGTACCCCGGTAATGAACAGAGAAATGTTTCGAACGAGAAGAAGATAAGAGTGTACAGGGTTGCTCATGTTTCTAATTATATATATACACGGTGGAGTACAAACGTACAAATTAACACACGTAGAAAACCTAAGCAACACACTAAAGGTCACTGATGATTATATATATGTACGTGTGATATTGCTTAGATGAAGCTGAAAGTCAAGATTGTATTGGTGCAAAATGGGTATATGTTTGTTCTCATGTAAAAAAAAACCACAATAGTGATATGAGTTGCATCGACGGAAAGAGAACAAAAAGAGAGTACAAGAAAGCCAGTGGAGGTTGGGTAAGATGATGTGATGTATGTGTATATAAACCGAAACAACGAGGAAGTCTGTTGAAGGAACAAAAAGTGGGAAGAGATGAGAATATATGTACAAAGGTCTCTTTCCGGTTGCCCCTCCCCTTCTCATTGCGCGGAGGCGTATGGGCAAGAAGAAAAATAAGATAAAATAATGTTCAAGAAAATTTGCCTGCCAAACCCGCTTTGACATGCGGAAAGGCGATAATGTAGAAGTGGAAAGGCAAAACAAAAGAGATTGACCATCCTCGTCATTTGCGCTTATAGCGCGTCATACAATGCTCGTCGAAATCCATGCTCTTCCAATATGCTTTCTTTCGGCCGTTAGGTAAAATTATTCATCCCTCTCCAAAAATTGATAAAAATAAATAAATAACACCTCATCATACTCCGTACCATGTATTCCCGACTCCTAAGAAAAAAAAAGATATTCAGACAGCCATCCCATAAATAAAAATAGGTATGAATTGTTTGCCGAATCAATCTGGATGTCGCCCTTCGAATTGGTTGTATATCAATAAAGTTGTCGGAGCGCACAAACTCGATACGAATCGAACGAGCACCGAGGTTGTGAGCTCTGGAAAAAGAGGCCATGCGTCGATCGGTCGAAACTTGTGATGATATGCGTGAGGCATAAGAGTCAATAGAGAATGTCTAAGATGCCGAAACAAAAGAAATTTTTCGATGTTTTCCTCCCGCTGTTACGCCGCGTTGAATTGCTGTAAAAAGTAATAAAAGTCGGACCCCCATTGAGAAATTGAAGTCATCTCAATCATGGTTCAAAGACGACAGATCGTGTCCGTTTTTCTTTTTTTTTTCTTTGCCGTCGTAGTCGTGTACACATTATTTTATGTAGTTCGTTGCAAGTCGGCCGTGTGCAAAATTAAATAGAGTTGATCGTCCAAACACAAAATTAGTAGCCGTCTTGGCAGAATAAACCTGAAGAGCTCTAGTAGACTTGAACACCAGGCATAAATGTCTGAGCAGCCATCTGCTTGTCCATCAAGTCCAAAGCTGGGATCAAGTTGCCATAGTAGTTCGCCGGAGGCGCGACCATGACGTAGTTGTGATCCATGGACGGGTGCGTCTGCATGGCTGAAACAAATTGATCAAAATACGAGCAAGTAGAAGAACCAGAGGCCACAGAGTTCGCAGAGAACAGAGATGCACCATCAGACACGGAGGAGCCTGATCCTGAGGTGCAAGGAGAATAGTGGTTTGCGGCAAACTCCGCGGTTGGGGTGTAGGGAGGAGTAAGCATGTCAATCACCGGCGGCTGCCACTCCTGCTTTGGCCCAAATGCTGCAGCATCAAAACCTTGCTGCTGGAAGACATCCAAGAAGTCCGCGATAGGATACTCAACATTCTGGATAGCCTCATGGTCAACATAGTCGTCGAGGGGCTGGCATGCCGGTGTGGTGACTGGTGTAATTGGAGCAACCGGTCCATTGGGACGTGTGGTGAGCTTCGGACAGCGTACAATGAGCTCCCGGAGTTCAGGAATCGTGATCCGCTTTTGTGGGTCACACTCAAAAATTCTCCTCAGGATATTGTCCAATTCAGCGGATAAGGGAAGAATGGAGCGAAGAAATTTGGAATCCTTGAGGAATGCCCGAAAGGTAGAATCTTCGGTTGAAGCCCGTTTCCACGGATTCCGGCCACAAGTCAGGTTAACGAGAATAACACCCAAGGACCAGACATCGTTAGCAGCCGAAGCGTAAAACGAATTTGGCCGAGGCGATGACTGTTGACATTCTGTATCATCAGGTCAGCATCTAGATCCGGAGGTGCAGACAAGGGGAGAAATAATACCTGGAGACATATAGAATGTTGATCCGCATCCAAAATCAGAAGAGAAGGGATCAGTCGTTGCGAGACCAAAATCAGCAAGCTTGACGGTCATGCCGCCATCGGTGACCAGGATGTTCTCCGGCTTCAGGTCCCGGTGGTATATTCCCAGAGAATGGCAAAACTCCACGGCGTCCAGAATTTGCAGGAAAGCCCGTTTGGCCAGAAAATCATTACCGACGTAGTGTCCACGTTCCGTAATATTTGAAAAGAGATCTCCCTCGGGGCAAAATTCAATCACAACAAAAGTGCAATCCACAGAATCCAGAATTTTGACCAAGGAAACCACATTCGGATGACGGCTGGCCTGATGATGAAGTTGAATTTCTCTTTGCTGGAACTTGCGTTGCCTAGGGTCCAGGCCAATCTTGTTGAGAGCCTTGACAGCATAAAGAGCGTTGGTATGGATGTCGACAGCAGTGTAGACCACGCCGTAGGCACCCACGCCAAGAATGCTTGTCAACTCCAGGCGGTTGACTAAGATTTGTCCAAGGCGATCAGCAGGAGCGCATTGTCCGGGCAGCGGCGGAGTTGCTGGTGGGGTTGGTAACATTGTGTTTCCGGTGTATTCAGATCGAGATTTCAGCTGTCAAGGGAACAGCTGAAATAAAGTTTCCGGACAGGGATTGTAATCCACGGGAGTAAATAAAAATCCAAGGTCCGATGGCCAGCAACGGAGCGTCCAAGGATATCGAAGGAAAATAAGAAGACAAAAAGAATTATCAAGGTGGAAGAGGGTTTCCCAAATCCGGATGACGGAGAGAAGCAAAGGTGTACACTTAGGATGATAAAAAGGGTGGGTGATTTGACAAGGTGAGTTTCGAGTAGAACACTAAGTCACCACGTGCGGAGAGTGGTTAAAGGAAGGGATGTGAATTGTATAAAGAGGTCGCAAGGAGGGAGAAGACGTGGTGAAATGTTGACTGGATAAATTAGAGGTGAAACGGAGGATAAAAAGAGATCGTGACCGATTGATAGGCGGGAAAAGTTTAGATTGATAGATGAAAGGAAACGCAGCCAAGTTGATGAGTGCGGAAAGCCGATCTCACGATCGAGCGGCTTGACCGAGGTTGTAGGGCGGGAGAGCCAACTACTAATAGTGTTAGCGTTGAGCCATGCGCTCTGGGCTTCATTTACGGGGCTAAGGACGTGCTAGGGCGACACAGAATGACTAAAGTCAACTTTTCTCGAGCCCACTTTGCCTTTTCCCAGCCCGGCTCGGTGGTCGGAGCCATCAGCAGGAGTAGGCTGTAATAGCGGTGGCAGAAGGTTCGAGGTTGGTGTGCTTGGATGCGTGTGTGCGTGCGCGTGTGTGGGTAAATGATGGTCAGGGTGGGTGGGGATAGCGCGGGCAGGAGGCGGCGTGGGAACCAAGGATCAAGGGCTGCTGCAGAGACCCAGTCATGGTGCGAGTTTCGCCGTGTTGCTTGATGCAGACGTCCTGACCAGTCCCACCATAATGCTAGACAAGCACCGGGCGACCCGTACGAGTACAATGGACGATTATAGTGCAGGATCTTCGGGCAACGTTGAGTGGAAAGGCGCACACGCCCGGGCGAGACTAGGGCCAAGAAGACCGTCCGTCAAAGGATTGCAGTTGACGAGGTATGACGGGGAGGATGGGTCTCCGTCACAGGCTTAGTACGAAAGTCAAGGCCAAGACAGGCAAGATGGACAAAAATTTTCTCCCCTGGTCAGCCCAAAGGAAAAAAAAAAAAAGAAAGAGGTCACCTTCCTGCTGCGTTGCGCGTCCTGCCGCCCAGCCGGACCAAAATTGGAACCGTGGCGTGGAAGTGACCCCAGTGACCTACGCTATTGAATAGGCAGAAGCATAACTGAAATTGCGTCGATATGGCGAGGCAGACGGAACTGGTTATTGAAACACATGCTTGCCTAGGCGATAGTAGTAGTGTCCCTGCTTGTTCTCATGCCGATCTTGGGGAGGTTTTTGAACGGACCCCTTGCTGAGGAGAGTTTGGTACCACCGTCGTCAGAGACGGATCACATCGCGCTGTACCTTCGGTACTGCAATCAGTCTTACCTCCAATTCTGGTTGTACTCCGTACTGATAGCAGAAAACGGTCAAGGGATGCATGGTGGGCTATGAGATGAGCTTGACGGCGGTTGCGAGCAGCCTATCCGGCGCCGTAGATGCCTGCCATAACAATTCGTGTGAGACGAAGCTCCTTCCGTGAAAGCAGACGGCAAGGAGGGCACGACCGACGTGCGACAAAGTGACGACGACTGATCTTCTCATACCAAGATCAACATCATCATCATCATCATCATCAACATTGAGTTCAATCCATTTTCGCCGCTTGGCGTTGTCCGTCCAGATGCCCCTTTTACCCTTCCGAATACTACCTCTGACTGGCTAACCACCATCCTCGATTTGAGCGAGAAAGAGGTGTGTGCATACACATGATGTGAGTGTGCGAGGGTTGATTGTTTTGGGTTTGAGGTGGGCCGTGCTCAGCCTCCTCGAGGATCCGTCGACGCCTCCCGAAAATGGCCCAAGCAGTCAGGGTTAGGAGAGAAATGTAGACAGAAAATAGAGAGGCAAATTTTAGAGCGATGGGACTGGTCGAGCTGGACTTGTGGGAGGATTCTGACGCGGGCAGCGATGACATGTAAAGAGTACGCAAAGGCTTTGCGCCAAGCCCATGCAGGTAAAGGCACAGTCCGATCCTTGATTGGCAACGCCAATCACTGGTTGTGGTTCTAATTGGCGGGCGACGGCGGCACCAGCAACAATAACAGCAACAACATCAACAACAGAGCGCATTAGCTGGGAAAGAAGACCTGGTTAGCCCTGCCATGCCGTTCACGGGAGGCAAATAATTACGCCTCCCCTGGCTCGGTCGAACTGTAACGTGTCAGTATGCTGCGACAGAACAAGGATGGGTACTCAAGTTTGGGTCACTGTTTCTCACCCGAAGGAAGAAGAGCCGAAACCCACTCCGGATCATGAATCAGTGATGAACCCTGTCGGCCACGATCCAATCTCCGCTTGGCACGCTGACAGGCCCCCACTATGAACACTCTTATTATTGCCATCCCGTATATTATTACCCACACATAGCAATAATCACACGAATGGGTCGGCTCTTCTCCCCTCTCAACCCTGGCGTGCCACTATTGACCGTTCTCTTGCATTCGTAGCCTTCTTTTTGCCATGCTGCAGAAGCATGACTTTTTGACCCGGTTCCATTCTCTTTCGCCCCCTAGCGCCGCTGCGAGTACAGTTGGGTGCAACCATTGTCGCACTGCAACGAGTCCAAGCACCAACGGAGCGACAAAAGAAAGCGACCGGCAGACAACGAATACGGATCCATGACCATGATGTCCAAGGGTAATGAAAAAAATTTCCACTGATTTGAGTCCGTCGCTTGAAGGTTGCCGCATGCGGGCTGACGACTGCCTATCCCGCCGGGGCAAATTTGTCTAATAGAAGAAATAATCGGAACCACTGAACGTTTCTTGACTTGGAGAATTTTGCCTGTCGCTGAATGGTTAGGGCGTTGATAGCATAACTTTCCTAAAGTGTGTCGGTTGATCTCATGACCCGAGCCCAGCTTTCTGTGTATCCTTTTGCCAGCCAATGAAAGCTAACCACCCGGATTAATTGCCCCATTATCTTTGGGGGAAGGAACCTGCCCCTAGCTTGCAAAGGGGCGTGTCCTTCTTTGCCCAGCCAAGCACCACGCTTACCGCCCATCTCAGGGAGTCTCATCTGCACCCACCCAGTCCTTTTCCTCACGTCGCTCATTTTGCCATTTCAATTTCCATCTTTCCATTTTTGGTCTCTCTACCGATTTGTCCCAGAAACGCTAGAATGCTTCGTCGGCATTCCACTGGCTAATGGCAATCACAACGGACCGTTAGCCGTTTTTCTATTTCCCTCATATTGCTTCTGATGACACAGGTTTTGAGGGGAGCTGCAGACTTCGATGATTGGCTACGTACCAGATTAAGCCCCCCTTTCCATCTTTCGATGACGGATAGTAACTCTGCCTATCCGTTCGACAATCATCAGCCACAGGATCTGGACTTTTGCGTTGCTCACCGCCTCTCAACCCCCGGGAAAAACCCGAAACCAGAGCCCTTTGATCCCGTTGCCGTGGCGTAACAGACACCGTAGTCAAAACCCCGCGAAAGCCGGGGGTACAAGCAGATCAGTAGACGACTGCTGGTCACGGTGTTGTTTGGGGAACACATCATCAACCATGCTTTTGTGAAGGTAAGCCAATCCGCATCTATCTTCAAATCGTTTCGCTGAGAGGGTCTCCAGTGGCCCTCGCGTTTCTTTTTGCTTTCGGGATAGATTTTCGTCAATGTTTCATCCGTCAGGCAAGCCTTACTTGAGGGCTGAGCTGAACACGGCCCTGGATGATTGGATGTTGAAGTACTGAAAGAAGGGAAAACCATGTCCGCCTCATTATTGCTATTTTCGCCCTACGCCAGTCAGGTCCGACCAATCAAATAGTCGCATTTCCTTTCGCTGAGGCCAGCTTAGTTATCCTACTCTCAACGAGGAGACGGTTTTTCTCTTGGTCAAAGAGAAGCATACCATGTAAATCAGTACTTGTATTGAAGTGATTGAATAACAAAGAGTGAGACTTGGTAGATGCCGATGATCGAGGTGCGCATCTATCTTTGCACACGTCTGAGACATGACATGGTTCTCTCTGCCGCCTCCGACACTGCTTCGCTCTCGGTCTGGAGTTGCTATGCAGGGAATCTTCAGAAGCAGGTCTCAGATCGCTTTTCGAATGCGTCTGCATCCCTCTCGTAAGACCTCTAGTAACTCCATTATCGTTGCCCGTTTGTTTGTCAAACTCTCCTCGCCCCCAGGTGGCTATTGAATGTGGCGATCGCGATGAGTATGTGATTGACTTCTTATTGTAGTACGTGGATCTCATGCTCTGCTACAAGAGCTATCTAAAGTTTACTATAGGATCTTGTCAAACCATATCTATACATTCATATCGTAGTTCTCAAACCTTACTATTTGTTCGCTCAAGGAGATGTCCGAGCTGATTGATGACCAATCCTGTTGACGGTCTCTTTAATAATCGTAACAAGACTGGTCGCTCTCGACTACAAGGCTGACGGCATGGCGAAAAGCGATGCACTGCCACTCAGCAGAGAGGCTGATCAAGACCAGATCGCTTCCAGGGACGCCTTTCGAGGAAAGGTTCATGTGACAAGACTATCATGCAATGAGCCTGAAATGTACATTATTCGCCGTGCATGATCTGAAGTGCAGGTATGAATCGACGATGAGTGCGTGAATCCATTCCCTGCAGGTGCATCAAGAGTTCCGGGGGAAGAAAGTAAGAGATATTTAGGCCAGGTCTGAGCGCCACTGATGCGAAGCTGATTGTTTCCGTCTCATCACGAAAGCCAGCTGTTGGAAAGCGCAGAAGCAACCATGCAGCTGTCATTCATTGCCAATAAAATGACAGCATTTATTGACGGCGATGGGGCGAGGGGTTGGAAGAACAACATCCTGGATACGGCTCGCTTTTTCGTTGCAGACATGGCTTCCACATGGCTTCTTGGTTGGTACATTGTTTTTAACCCCTTTTCCTTTCTGATATATCAACGGCATATCACTTTCTGTCCAACTTGCCTGGATCTCACAAAGTTGGGGCGGTTGATTGTCTGTAAGCATTAGCTTACTGCATGTCTTGTCATGACAGAATCCTGTCGCAAATTCACCCTCGCTCGTAGACAGTGGAAAGTTCAATCAGTGTCAACTATAAAATGGATTTTATGTATATTATATAGAAACGCTAGCTATCAAGAAGCAAAGAGTCCAAAATGCGCATAACCGTTTTGATCACGGGGTTCGCAAGAGGAAAGATTACATAATCTTTCAAGTACCTAAAATCCGTCACGTGGTAGATAAGTAACTACTCCGTAATGGTACAAGTCGTGAATGGACGTAAATATGTGCACGCACAATATTTGTGAAATAATAATGCCGGGTCTTCACATGCCCTAATGCACGTTACCTTCCTGCCTTAGGTGTAGCACCAGCCACACAAGGTACCTTATGCACAGCCATTCTCAACCCGTCTGACATCATGTTATTTTAGAAAGCTCATTACGGAGTACCACCTTAATCATAATAGCATTACATGCCCCGAGGTTTCCTTCTTCACGATTTCCTCTCTTATGCGCACTGGACAAAGCCAAATTTGGAATTCGCTGAATATTGATTTGAGATTCGATAGATGACAGTCCTATGGCACTTTGCATAGAACCATCTATTGCCCGTTGGCTCACAAGCTAAACCTACGACTTAGATTTATCAAATTTCGCCGAGACTTTTCATTATCTGGACAATTTGATAATTTGAACGGTTCTGCCTTTTTCTAGACTTCCATAGAAGCAACTGCTTTTGGTGCTCACGACAATTGGCAGTCTCTGATTATGCTGCAGCTATGCCTTACCTCCATCTACGAATTATGATTCTCTCATTGACACGGTGACGATACGGCCTGAATGCCGAAGATTTCAGAATATATATCGAGAACAAGACTATAGAATCGAAAAGTTACGCATCAAATAAAGACTATCAAGGATATAAATAAATCCGCAAAACTGTCCCGAACAGAACAACTCCCAAGAAGGCCCCCCAGTCAGCCATTTCATGCTCCCACCTTCTCCTTTATGATGACTGGAATGTTTTCCTGGCGGACGAACCAAGAATTTATGATTTTCCATTCGGTATCCGGGCTTTCAAGCTCAATCTATCATTTCACATTTGGTCAGACTTAGACTCGGGAAAGAAGAGGTGCAAGAGTGATAGAGGGTAGTTGGGCGGAGACACTCACGTCATACTGCGCAAACATGGTGGCAATCAATTTGTAGCTTTCCAGCTGGCTGAGATATCTGCCCAAGCACATTCTGGGTCCAGCACCAAACACAAAGTCGGCAACTTTCATCTTGTTGCGACGGGCCTCAAAGTCCTCGTCAGTCTCACCCGCCTGCTGCAGCCACCTCTCCGGAATGAACATGTCCGTATCGGAGCCAAAAACATCCTCATCGCGGGTGATTACCCACGGGTTCATGCCGATGGCAGCGCCTCCAGGCACAAAACGTCCGTCGGGCAACTGTAGACCTTCTTCAGGGACAATTCGCTCCATCATCACTCCAACACCGGGATGAATACGCATGGCCTCCCTCATGATGGCGTCTAGGTATGGAATCTCTTGGGTAGCCTTCCAGCTGACAGGAACCGTTACATTGGCCTTCTTGAGTTCCTCATTTAATCTTTGATGGACCTTGGGGTTCTTCAGGATGTTATACATAGCAGAGCACATGGTGATCGCCGTCGTATCGCTACCAGCTAACACGTTGGATAGGAGATAGGTAACCACCATGTTATCATCGACAATGTCCGGATGCTTCTTCTTAGTCTCGATAAATTTCTCAAGGAAATCGGTCGTGGCGGGTGGCCCTTCTGCCATGCGCTTGGTATAGGCGTCAACACTGAAGCCTATAGCCCACCCAAAGGTAGGGGGACCGAGTCGCTTGACTGGGTTCTTGTCCAGGACACGATCCAACTCTGGCATTTGGCTGACCTACACCATGTTAGCTGGGATTCATTTATGAATATTCCAGCTTCGATGAGCACGTACAGATGCAAAATAATCGAGACTGCGACTAGAAGTATGCAGGAATTTACGGTCATCATTACCGGCTTCTAAGATACCCAAATTCTTTCCAAAGGTGATTTGACTCATAGCGTCCCATGCGACTTCAAAACACGGTCAGTTATGAAAACACAAGCGCATTTTGTGGAGTAACGTCTCACAATATAGAAGATAATCAGCCATATCACATGGCTTTCCCGTGTTGATGAAGCGTTCTTCCAGCTTCTGCATCAAAAAATTGAGGGTCGTGTCTACATGATGCTCAAAGTCCTGCACCTTTGTCATGGAGTATAGCGACTTGATAGGTCGAATCGACGTCGAATGCCATTCTTCGCTCCTTGTTGAGAAGAGATTGGAAACGCGCACGCCGTTGACCATCACATCGTTGATCATATACATGTTACTCTATTGGACACACTTAAATTAGCAAGTGGACTTGTACTCAAGGCGAATCTCTCCATGGCTGCAATTCTCCGGCCCTCTCGAACTAAGGGACAGGACCGTACCTTCTTCCAAGGGTTTCTCGTGGTAAAGACTTTACCAACCATACTTGGATCAGACAGACTTAGAACATTGGGACCCATCCGCACGGCGGGGCCGAGCTTCTTGTGAAGATCATTTTGCGTAATATCGCAACGGCCCTTGAACACGTCAACAAGCCGCCAAATATTGGTGAAGCTTGCTGGCGCAGGTCCAGGGAAAGATTTCAAGGGAGACCTTAGGTAATTCCAAAGGAACGTTGACAACACTAGGACCACAGCACTCAACGCAAGGTTGAGAACTGTGTCGACGAGGTACGACATGACGATACCTCCTGACGATCGAGATCGCAGACGCTTTCTTTCAATTTCAAGAAGGACTTTCGCAATCACAGGAGCACAAAAAATGGAATCAAGAAAAGAGTGCTCAGAGGAGAAAGCAACCTGCTACGAGCGATCAAGGCTTGGGTCATTAGTTATTAAGCCCATGTCGAGCATTATTGGGATTGGACCGTCCATCTTTCAGGGGCACGCTGGAGGTGGTGGAGAATTGCAAGGTCCCGCTGTTTGCAGCCGAACTATCCAAAACGTTTAATTGCAATTAAGTGGCAAAAATAATCAGGGTATCGCCGTGATGTGCTGTGGAGGAGAACCCTGAGCGTGGGTCATCGACATCCTGCCCACGGTTCGTTCCCCTGAATGGTGCCCACGAAACTGCTGCAAGGACTCTATTATTGTTATCTTAGTTGCTTCACAACTTGCAGCGAACATGGCAATGAAAGAGTAAAGCCACTGCGGCCCAAAGGCCGGCATTTGTCGAAGATATCAGGTCCGAGCACGATGATTATCCCTTCTCGCAGAACTCGAAACTTTGGGCGAGGGGAAAGAAAAATGATCATTATTGTCCTGTCTACTTTGGCCAACACGGGCCCAATTTTCTTCTAGGTCCAAATAGAGACCAAAGGAAAGGATTTGCCATTGGCGTCAGCCCCTGTTTCAAAATCCTCACGTACCATCACGGACCACAAAGAATCTCGATGTCTTTGATAAGGAGGGAAAATGGAAAAGTGATCCAGTCCATTGGCCCACTGGAAAGTCGCATTCTGCAGGATTTTCTTGAGGAGCGTCAAGTAGTAACAGAGGTGGAGAATTGTCCAAATGCCGAGCAGTGGAGTTTTGGCTCACGGCCCGAGCCAACGTTTGCGTCGACCGCTGATCCCTGTGGAAAAGCACCGCAACGTCAAGCACAGCAATCCGAGCTGTTTGATTAGCTACCATCGACGATGATACGTGCTGGCGAAGAAGCTTTGGTGGGACCTGAATGCGCTTGAAACGCTTGGGCTTCTTGAAATTTGTGACTAAAGTGCAGATCACTTGCAATGTGCAGCATCTCCGAACTCGGTTCGAGCAGAGAATCAGGGACAGGTGGGGATCAGTGATTGTGATTTGCTCTCCCACTGGTAGAACTTGCTACTTGATGAGGTTAAGGTAAAAGCCAATTTCATGGGGATTGTCCAATGTTTTCAAAGGACCCACACGAGCTGTCATCGGTAGGTACCGTGGCGGAATTAGCCACCGCCCCGCTGGAACCACCAGACTGACCTTAGGTAAGGATTAACCCAAACCACCCACTAAAGCCCCGGCGACGCTCGGTTAAGGAAATGCCGTTATGCAACCTACGGAGCCTTAACGGTCCTCTGTTATTATCGCGCTTGTCACCTACCACTTCTTTCCCCCTCGAGCAGGGAATTCCACCACCGGGGAAGCAGGCATCAAACGTCCCCGAACAAGCGCCACTACGCCACAACGCCCCATATGCGGTTCAAAAAAGAAAAACAAAATTACTGAAATGTGACGAGAAATTGAAACAAAAGGAATGATAGAAAGACAGGGCTTGGAAATATGACGAGCGAGGTTCTCGACTTTCGGCGCTCAAAGAAGGAACAATAACCCTTGCGAGTGGACCCTTGGAAGACGTTGCCACGAACCGAAGTCGGGGTGCTTTACTATACGGTCGTCGTTAGTGATCTGCGTTCTCACCAAAACCTCAAATGACACCTAAGACGCCGTTGCGTGGGTCCTGCCGAGGACCTGGGTCGGCACCAGAAACAGACCTCTGGCATTTGTTACTCGTCCCTTGGTCATTGTTTCCAGCGCTCTAAGTTAGTACCTCCAGAAAGCCGTTGAACTTTTCCCCCTCGTGCTGGAACCCACGTCGCCCTTGGGACCGGCAGAACGGTTACCTAGACAGACGGTTGTTACGGCCAAAGACTCTGAAAAGAAACTACTGTGATCAACGTCAGGGGGAATGGGCGTTCAGGAGTTGGCTTTGCTCACATCCAAAGGAGAAATCTGCTCGTCCATAGCTTACGATGCAACTCGATAGGGACGTTCAGGATTTCCAACTTGAAATTTGGACTCCTAATTTGAATACTGCCCCGTGTGACGGGGTAGGTGATGTGCCCACACACTTGCTCTAGCAACTATAATAATGCACATTATCAAATTTACTCTCAGCGTCGGACAACGGATCAAGCATTGTCCAATGCCCCATCACAATGAGGCTGTCCGTGCTGCACCGGAACCTGCAGCCGCCCCTGTGGGCCGTCAAGCTGCCTTGTTCCATGAAACTTCTAACCCTTTGGCAAGCTGCCATTTGTTCGAATACGGCAAGTATCGTCAGCATTTCCAACCACCAAATAGTCCCGTAGTGGCCCTCCTTGACACTATGGGGTTGATGCATCGAGCTATTCTCATCCAGGGAACGAACAGCGTTCGGCCCGTCTTGCGGCACGAACAGGTCGTCAACGACCCTCTGGCGGTCTGATAGCTGATCACGATGAATCCAAAAGTATTTAGGAGGCCGAGCGTCTCTCCACATCCTTATTCTGATGCTTGAGAGCTTTGATTTCCGTCGCCTGCATCCTGTGCATCGTCGAACTTGTGTCAATACCGTGGTTTCACGCTCACCATCATGGAGGCTGGCGACAATGGCCCGAAAATTGCAGTGGTGATGTGGGTAGTTACCATAGTACCACTCATCTTTCTTGCTCTTCGAGTCTATTGCAAGTGGAAGCTTAGCAAAGGTATCGGCTGGGACGACCATGTTGCTATATTCTCTTGGGTATGTTGGAGCAATCTGTAAAACAACAAAGTCCACGAGTCTCCTCTCTGACGGGGTGCAATAGGTCCTCTTCTTGGTCTATACGTGTTTGATCACGGCGGCGGTCACGAAAGGAGTTGGAAAGCATTTGCAATATGTCAAGTTGGATAACTTGGTCACGGCTCTCAAATTGACGTACATTGGAGAGTTCGTGGCCATTATAGCATGCGTGCTCAGCAAAACTTCGTTTGCCGTCACGCTCCTTCGAATCGTCACTCGGCAATGGCAGGTTATGTTCCTGTGGTTTGTTATTATCTCGATGAACCTCGTCATGTGGCTTACCGCCATCTTCTACTTTGCGCAATGCAAGCCAACTGCGGCTCTCTGGGACTTTTCGATCCAAGGAAAATGCTGGCCGGCATATGTATTGACAGACATTGCCATCTTCGCAGGAGGTAAGCACACAGTTCTTGTCTTCATCAAATTCCTTTCAGGCTAACACGGGTTCCAGCTTACTCTGGTCTGATGGATTTCTTGCTTGCCCTTCTTCCGTGGACAGTCATCTGGAAGTTGCAAATGCGGAAGCGCGAGAAAGTTGGTGTAGCGATTGCAATGAGTCTAGGAATCTTGTATGTCAACATCTGTCTACTCTTTGCAAGCTTTCTTTTTTCTCTGGTATAGACAAACTGACCTATTCGACAGCGCTTCTGTGACATCTTTTATTAAGACCTCCTATTTGACCAATCTGGGAGAACAAAAGGATTTCACCTGTGAGTTACACCCGTTTTGACGAACTCTTACAAATATCCAAAAGGCATTGATGCTAATGTGGAAACCCTCGTATAGATTATGCGGGTAACATCCTTATCTGGGCTGCTGCCGAAACTGGAGCAACTCTCGTCGCCGCCTCTATTCCCTCGCTCCGTATTCTCTTCATCCGAATCCGATCCACCCGAGGCGGCAGTGGCGGTCAAGGCTACTCTGATAGTTACAAGCTCTCGGAGAACACCAAGTCCACCAACAGCAAACGCAATCCCTTCTCTCACGGTTATCGAACCAGTCATTCTGCCGCTGCTGAGCGCACCAAGCGAGATGACCAGAGCGACAAGAGCATCCTCGGCGCCGCGGCTGATGATCCTCAGATCAAGCAGACCCACGAAGTCACCATTAGCTACCAGAAGGACCCCAACGACTGGGAGGACACTGAATTGGGCTTCCAACGTCGATAGAAAAATTGGTCTTATTTACGATGCCCTCGCCGTCTCAGCAAACTTCTTGTCAATCATTCTATGGAGCAGCAACTGGGACCGAAACATATCCAGTCGCTGCAGGGCTCCGTCCTGCTGAGCCGCATCTCGCACTACATCCACCACTTACCTTTTCCTTTCCCCTGATATCACTTCACAATCCTATCTGACAAACTTTCTCTTTTCTTTTCTTTACCACGCAAATTCGGCGATTTTTCTTGGTGGGCTTGGGCTTATTTTTATATCCTTTTCTGGGCTGGTTGGACTTTTTGATTTCTTTCGGAGATATTTTTTGACATTCTCTACCACTACCTCTTTTCCTTTCTTTGTCTTTTTAAATCCTTCTACTTTTCTCCTCTTTGCCCTTTTCACTACAGGTCAAAATCATCTTTTTTTTAACCCCCCTTCCTTTTTGTCATATAGCGCAAGATACCCAAAGGGTATTGCAGGGATCCCTTTTGTCAATGTAAAAAGGAAGCAATGATACCATAGTACGTCAGATTGAGTACCGAGTAAACAAGGGCATCCTCACCGCCGGCGCCTTTGCGTATTGTGTGAGCTATACGAGGCCCATGTTCCCAATGTTCCTTTCGAGAAAATAATTACGAAATGAAAGGTGACTAATTTTCCGGTTTGCTGGTGGAAATTACGAAAGTACGGAGTATATTGACAGGCTGATCCCTCGATCGACCGGTCTTTTCTCGGGATGCTTATTGAGCAGCGAGCAGGGGGAGCGACTACGGGGTTTGCCGTTTACTGTACTCCGTACGGGTATGCAGGGTTAAGGGGGCCTTGGGAAAAATCGGTAAAGTTATAATTAAGTTATAGTTGCGTTAGGTGGTTGTCCCTATTCTACGGCTACCGGGGTATTAATGGTACTGGGTAAGAGTTGTTTCGCCATTGAGTTGGTTTAGTGGAGCCTCGGAGGGATTTAATTAGTTAAACCTACTCCGCTAGAAGTTAAAAAACGAAACTAGGAGCTTTTATGCCCAAGCGCTGCTGCATTGGGCATTTGAGTAAATAATACTACGAAGTACCTAGTTAATTGCATAATTCATTCCCAGCTCTTCCGGAGAGTGCCTATGCGTAGCGGAGTACTTCGTACAGCCCACCTCAGGATCGATAGCACTGAGGCGCGCATTTCCTCTGAAGCTTCGGGCGAAGTCCTGGAGTAATAGAAACGTGTGATAAGAGATTATTCTTCAAACCCCGATTCGAGAAGAATATTCCAAATTGCAAGTAAGTATTGAAATGAGATGGAAATGAAACGAACCGAACCGAACCGAACCGACATGGAACGTGATGGCACGAAGCAAATCTTGTCATGCATTATACAGCGACATAATTGCCATTTGTTCAAGATTAGAATTTTGGGTTGGAGAAAATCAAAGCACCATCGTTCTGTCCAAATCGTAATGATTGAGTGGTTGACTTTTATTCCCTTTTGATCCATTCGTCGAAGGTTTGTCCCTCTTGAGTTTTATTGGAGATGGGAGTTGGATCATTCGGTCCCAGATACACCAGAGTATTTATCACTGGGTGTGGGATCATGTTTGCCCATAAAAAAGTTCAATCGGCGAAACAGCAGTTGTATGACTGGAGAATGACGGGAGAATGACGGGACACAGTCTCTCAAATATTCTTCTGGTGCCTGGCGATTGTTCTTTCCGAGTTTGTTCTTGCAGAGGTCGTCCAGTTGCATCGAACAACACTTGAAGGTCTCTACCCAGTACTCGTAGTTCTCTGGGTCCTAATCGGGATCGTGCTCTTTGCTGGGATAGTTTTCGACGAGGAGTTCAAGGAGAATGGACTAACTGAAGTAACGGGCAGTGGCGCCTTGAGAAGGTTCTTAGGGCCCTTCCCTTTCTGGCGAATTCTTGTTTTTAACTTGTTCGACAAAGTTCTTTTCCCATAACGATGTGAATATGACGCTGGTTTTATGAAAATAGAAGATGAATCACGACGCTGGAGATGGCAACCTCATTGCCAATTCAACTTCCATACGGTTTTCTGGCATTGGGCCCTCCCTAATCTTGGCTACCATGTCGCTGCCTTCAGGGAAGTCGTTTTCAAATATGGGAGCCCCTGCTCCCTTCATGTTTGCAAGTACAGCTTGCCGGAAATGCCAGTCAAAGAGTTCTGGTCGTACACTGTCTTCGCTGTTTGGGTCCCAGCAAGTTTTGCTGATTACTTTACCACCAACGTCGTGGAAATCATAGGAGAAGCAAACGACACGGTGCTCCTAAACGTATGTCAATAGTCATCTCAAAGGTTCTGGATTCGGAAGGAATAAATTATCAACAGCTGACAGCGGAAGGACCAGGAATACTTACGCGAGGATGTATCGAGATATGATATGCATCGAAAAGAAAATGGCAAGTGGGAGAGAGAAAAAGCCCATTTTGAATCGAGTTTATGCCGGAGTCACTCTCTGAAGACTTGTTCGTGATGCATGCTGATAGTCCACTCGATATAAATTCCCGGACATGGGCCACAGGAAAAACATGAACAGCATGACTTCCATCCCAGCCAGGATCGGTTCTTGACGATCTACCTGGTGCTGACGGCTGCATTATGACGCATCGGTCATCCCTTTGAAGGGCCTCATCTTTGAAAGTGCCAAGGACGGAGCTGGATGAGGGTGAGTATCCGCGAAGGCGCCACTCGTCGGTCGTCAGCTCTATCGGTTCTAGCATATGGTTATGTTGGTCAGCATTCTTCTCTGCTTCCTTGACAGCATCCCACAGACTTGAGGAGGAATGCCAGAACCGCCAGAGACCTTACTGTCAGAATTGATGAGCATCACGTCGTACCATCCTGGCTCTAACTTCGCCGAGTCATCCTGTTGCAGAACAAGGCCGGATTCTCGATGCATAATTTCATATGCAGGTGTGTCAGGAGCCAAAAGAATCGCAATTATGTGTAGAAAAAGACCTCTGGATATTGTTTGATTTGACTCAAGCCCGCCCAGGACAACGTCCGGTTTACGGCCATCAGCCAAGAAAACATCACGGTGCAGGCTCCTGCTCATGTTCAAGCACAGGATCGCAAAGAGGATTTAAAAAAATGATAATACAGTTTCTGAGGCATCATCGACAACGCTTAGTGCAAGATGGCTCAGGCCTTTTGGAAATGATGAGGGTGGGACAATGTGGCTTTATTAATGCTTCAAAGCGTATTTCAGCGGCAATTGAATCTCTTTTCGAAAAATAATGGAGAGAAATGAATGCCCAAATTACTTCTGGTCGATTATTTACTATATCTATCAATTCAATATCATTATAACTCGTGTTTGATGATATATCATTACCAAGGTGATGGTTTATATCGTCATCAATTCACATGGTTGGCCGTTAGTGGTAATTCCCTGTATATTCATGCCTCGCCTAGTTAATGCAGACATTAAAGCATAACTAAAGTTATGCTTTAACCTAGAGTGGAAGAACCCCAACGCCCCTTTCAACGCTAACCGCCGGCTTTAATTGCGGCAGATGACGTTCGGGATCCTGCCAAGAAACTGGGAACAAGGGCAACCCTACGACTAGAACTCACAACGCTTACAATCTTTGCGGTTTCACGTCAGGATAACATAGAGATCTCGTTGCCACGTGCGCAATTAAGCTTTTTGATAGGATTACCTATCTCACACTGCGAACGACCTCCTGTCGCTGGTATCAAACCGTGTCAATGAATCTTCTGGAAGTGATTAATTAAACGATCCGTCTTCGACTTCGTTTACATTGGAATATATTTCAGAAAGAAGAGAATCCAAGATATCTTAAGAGCTACTGCACTTCTACTTCAGCGCAATGCCTCGAAACGCAGGGTTCGATCCCAAATATGAGCCCCTTCGACAGATCGATTCGCTGCAGCTCCGTACTGACGAGCCGAATCCAAAACACGGAACCACCGGACCATTTTCCTTTTTAAACCCAACAAGAGCGCACTATCGACATCGCGCACCTAAGCGCGCCTTCAAGCCTGAAGAGGAGAAGGTAGATGAAGATAGAAACCTCGAGTCTCTTCCTGTACGGGATGCTGACGATGATGGGCACAAGGACAAGGACCATGATCAATTGATTGACGACTTCGACTTCAAATGGCGGTCTCGCGACAACCGTAAAGGTCGTCACGCGCTCGTCGTCGACCCTGTCAAACGTGACACTCAGCAGGCCAAATATCTTGCTCCGCCGCCTTCAGCCAGCTTTCGTGGAATCTGCCAGGGTCTCGGCCGCATGTGCACAGTGTTTCCATATTGGGACATTTCATATCTAGTTGCTGTGATATTTACGTTGGGGTCGGTCATCTGGGTTATTAATGGATTCTTTGTGTTTCTGCCGCTGGTTCGGCCCAAATCCGAATTCAAAGATGAGGTGTACACTGGAGGAGGAGTGACTGCATTTGTTGGCGCCACGGTTTTCGAAGTCGGCAGTGTCCTGCTCATGTTCGAGGCTGTAAACGAGAATCGCAGCGGATGTTTCGGGTGGGCGCTGGAAAAAGTTGTGGAGGATTACCATCAACGCCACCACTCTCATGATGACCGGGATGCGAGCATTGCGGAGAAAGGAGATGCGGATCTAATGCGACTCCGCCCGGCCCTGGATACATGTCGGCATCATCATAGAAACAAGAAAAATTTGGCAGGGCGAAGTACTAGTGAGTTATTTACTTTTCGTCCGATCACTTTTCCCCTTGCTCGAACCTTCAAAACTTTCATTTTTCACCACCTCGCAGCTTCCCTGCCTTTTCCATCGAAGCCTGGACACCGTTTTGGGGACTTACATTGGATACTTCTACAGTCAAATCGATCGAAAAGAAATACATTTCATCAGATTCATCATCCCTGGCAAACGGCAGCCCACCAAGCCAAGGAAATGGACACACTTCCAACGATCCGAGCAGCAGCCCAGACCAAGGTCCCGAGAAAGACGTGGATGCCGGTCCCGATCGCGGCCGCAGCTGGGTCTGGTTTCCCTCCTGGCACGAGCTGACAACTCACTACTTTCGCGAAATCGGCTTTCTCGCATGTTTGTCGCAGTTTCTTGGCGCGACTATCTTCTGGATCTCAGGCTTCACCGCTCTGCCGAATGTGATTAACACCGCGAACATTGGTCTAGCCGACGGCATATACTGGACGCCACAGGTCGTCGGTGGTACCGGCTTCATTATTTCAGGGTAAGATTTAATTTCTCTCAACATCGCCAGTTTTGCTTGTCCTTGTTCTTAACCCTGAGACCTTGACCCGCCTGATTATTCGAATAATCTTGATATCTCAAACATTAACGCCTTTTTGTATTAAACACAGAACACTCTTCATGCTCGAGACTCAGCCGAAATGGTATATTCCCGCCCCTCGTGTGCTGGGCTGGCATATCGGATTCTGGAACTTGATCGGTGCAATTGGCTTTACGGTAAGTTGAGTCAAACCATAAAACCCATCTCTACTCCCTGCTCACAATATGCATCTACTCTGTTTATGCGATAATTTGACCCGAAATAACTGACTCCATGCGATGACAGCTTTGTGGCGCGTTTGGATATTCTTCCAATTCTGGAATCCAGTACCAAGCGTCGTGCTCGACATTCTGGGGCGGTTGGGCCTTCCTGATCGGAAGTGCAATCCAGTGGTATGAGTCTCTAGATAAGAATCCCGTCGAAGAAAAGGGAGAGTGGGGTACATAAATACATAGAACTCTTGTCTTACCTTTCCTTTTCCCTTTTTTTTTTTTTTTTTTACTTCGTTTTCTGTTTTTCATTTCTTGTTTTCTCCAACTCGCAATCACTACTTGAGTTGTTGTTATTGTCCGAGTTGGATATAGATACCACATTTTGCAAATCTCTTTCGAGCGAGCCAGAGGTATATACCATGCGAAACATGGAGGGATTAAAAGTCTTCTTCTTTTTTTCTTTCTTTCTTTTCCTTTTCTTTTAAATGTGCTGCATGAAAACAAGCACGGCTTACGATCAGGTCTATGACGGCTTGTGCGAAGTATTCTGTCTCAATTTTTCGATATAAATTACCTTATACATTAGCAAAAAAAGACTATTTTACACTATGCAAGAAAATGCGTATATAAGGATCTGTCAGCTACACCAAAAAAAAAAGATCGTATTTCCAACAATGAGATTTTGTGAGAGTGTGAAGAAAAGAGAAAAGATGAAATAAAGAGAAAAAAGGAAAGGGAAAAAAAAAAAAAAAAAAAAAAAACATGCAACAGCGGGGATTCGCTGGTCGTCACCGACCCAACTACTAGTCCGCCGATCTGAGGCTTATGTATGGCAGAGCGGACGGGATGCCCAGTTCTCCTCAGTCTATGGTCGCATGTACTATAAACGTATTCAGCTCGGTATATAACGTTCCCACCTACTCCCTACCTTCGTTTGCTACTTGTTGTCTTTCAGTGCCGCCTTGCCGTCAGCCGCGCTTCGTGTTGCCGAGACATAACCACTATTGACTGACATAAATAAACTAGTTTGCTTAAAGCAGAATACATTATAGGAATAGTATATCGCGTTTCTAATTATAAGTTATCCTAATAGGAGAAATTTGAAGCAAAAAAGAGGGGAAATATATATCTGCTCTATAAGCAAGAACAAGGCACCAATAATTGATAGTAATTCCTTGCCATGGTAGTAATGCATTATAACTAAATGCATTTTTGGCAGGATACGGTGCCGTTGGCTGTTGTTTTTGCAGTTCCCTGATTTCCTCTGGTAGCAGAGTTATATAGATATATTCTTTTTTGCATGCATTTCCCTGAGAGAAGTAATGGGGGTGAGTGGGATGCTCAAACAGACACCCGGAAGCCTCCTTTGTATAAGAATAGAACAACGTGCGCAATTGCGCGCTTGGTAATGGCCGTCTGAGTGATGCAATGGCGCGAATATGGTGTGACCGAAACCCCTTTCTAAAGGGATAATATATGCCTGGAGGTGCCCGAGGATTCTAGGGCTTGAAGGTATATATGCTTGTTTAAGGGCCATTCAAGGCATCCTACCACGTCGATTGACGAGGAATAGTGGTCTCGTCCGAAGACGATCATATCAGCGTATAAATAGATCAAGTGCTGTGGCAAACGAACTTGCTCAGCATCACCTCGCCTTTGGCCTCCTGATAACGACTTTATCGCCCTCAAGGACCCACCCTACTTGTAATCCACCCCGAGTAAGCTCTTCCCAGCTCATGTCTGTCGAACGTTCAAGGTAGGGCTTCTCAACCGTAAAATATGTACGGCCGAGACACTTGAGCGCGTGCAATCTGAGCTCCTGCTCAGCCGGCTGAAGCAAGCGGGTCTGATAGCCATTGACTGCCTGACGAAGGCGCCAAAACGCGTACCAGTTCTCATGCGCCAGTGCTTTGAGAATCAGCTCGACCCGGCGATCGGAATATTTATACTGTATCTTTGCTGCATACGCTGCGCCGATATTTTGCTGTCGACAAGCCAAATCAAGGACCAAGTAACCAACACACTCGTGCAGATCTGGAGGCGGTAGTGGGTGCAATAGGTGGATTCGATGCAGTAGATGCAGTAACGCGGGTTGGTAGGACTCGTAGTGTTGTACGAGAATGCTTGCGCGGATGCTGAAGAGATATGCGTGTTGAGCAAACGCGTCAATGCGAGAAGTAGCTACGAGGGCCTCGCGGAGCTTGCGCAGAGCCATGAGGATAACGGAGAGCTCTTTGTTGAGCACCTCGGGATCATTGTTATTATTATTGTTGTTTTTCTTTTTCGGCGGAGAAGGGGTAGTATTTGTGCCGCTTCTAGCAGAAGTAGGGCTGACGTTTTTGTCTGCTGGACTTGCATTGCTAGGGGTTGTCGTGCCGGACCCTGCTCCTGGACCCGATCCTTTGGGCGCAGATTCGTTCAGGCTTAGCAGTGCAAAAGCTTTGTCGAGATTCTCGCTAGTTCCGGCTCTGCCGCAGAATTTGGTATACCGAGCTACTATATTGGTAAAGTACATCTCTTGTGCTTTGGGGTCTAGGAGTCTGTCGAGATCAATGTTAGCTTGAGTGAGCTTAGGGAGGTAGAGTATTGAAAAATAGGCGTACTTGGTGTCCCCCTTCGATGGTAAGCCTACGGCATCTAGTGGATCCGTAGAAATACTTTTCAATCGGCCCCACGCGCCAGATGGTCGCTTGAAATTGCGCGTTGGGCTCGCCATGGCAGGTCGTGATGTATACGTCCGTTGTACGGCGTTTGGCACACGGCCATGTGGTGGAGATTGTTGTTGTTCGTCATCTTCAGCGTGGGGTGAGGATCTTATCTGATTTTTTAAAGAGATCATTATCAAAAGATTATCTCAATCTAATCTAAGACAAATATTTGAGCTAAGCCCTAAGAGGAAAAGACTGATCTAATCTGACGTGACTTTCAACGTCCCGCTTGTCCGTCAAGGCGGTGGATAACGCCCGATTCTCCGATTCATTATCTCAACATATGATTTCTAAGTTATTTGTCCCCAACGGTTTGACCCTTGATCTTTATAAACATTCTGTTCCAGTCTTCCATTTTATCCCTTGTTTTTACATGTCAAGGGAAAATTCTATTTTTACGCTCCTTAATGCAATGCGTTTAACTTGAATTGACGCCTTCCTCACCTCCGAGCCCATGTCTACTCGTCAAAGGACACCCGCAGCTTCACCGAGCGTCAATGGCAGCACAAAGCCATCCACGACCACAGCCACTGGCATTGAGGGCCCGAAAAACCCTTCGAACTCGACCAATTCAGCTTCAATAAGAGATAAATCCTTCTCCTCTCACGACGACCAAAACGACAATGATTCCTCAATCGTCGACCCCCTACTTAATACCGCCAAAGCCGTGGAGCACCAAGCAGAAAAGGTCTTTCACCTGCTACGCTGGGACGATCTCCCACACTGGCTTCGTGACAATCACTACATTGTGAGCGGCTACCGACCGCCCTCAAACTCGTTCCGCAAATCTTTTGCCAGCATTGCTGCCATTCATAATGAAACATACAACATCTGGTCACATCTTGTTGGTGCGGCGTTATCAATCATAGCAGCTGCGGCGCTATATCATGTTATAGCACCGCGGTATACCGCGTCTGCAACTTCAGCAGACATAATAGTTTTTGGTTGCTTCTTTGGCGGCGCTGCCCTATGCCTTGGCATGTCGGCAACATACCATACCATTTCGAACCACTCGCACGAGACGGCGAGCTTTGGCAATAAGCTTGACTACCTCGGCATTGTGTTTCTGATTGCAGGCAGCTTCGTTCCTTGTATATACTATGGCTTCTACTGTGCGCCAACGCTACAGAAGACATACTGGACTATGGTATGTTCTCCCCACGGATAGAAGCAAGAATCGCCCCATTTAGATGAGCCTCACTGTTATCGCTCTTCCATCTCATTATCTCCCTTGGCAAACTCACAATGAGACGAAGACACTGACGCCATTTTCCTGAACAACAGATCTCCAGCATCGGCTTCGGTTGCGCAGTTGTCTCAGTAATTCCCAAGTTCCGAACGCCCGCGTGGCGCCCCTTCCGCGCAAGCATGTTTGTCGCAATGGGTCTTTCGGCAGTCTTTCCCGTTCTGCATGGCCTCCAGCTATACGGTTTCGAGCAGATAAATCGACAGATGGGCTTGTCATGGACTGTTCTGCAGGGCTTCTTGTATATTCTTGGAGCTGGCATTTACGCAGTATGTCCGCCTTTACCACCCTCCCCTCCCTCATCTGTTTTTCAACCTTCTCTTTCCCTTGTTCTTCAGACCACTTTTCGTCTTCAGAAACAGAGACGCCTTACTCACCAGAGGTTTTAAATCAGGCTCGCGTTCCCGAACGATTTTCGCCAGGCACGTTTGATATCTGGGGAAGCTCGCACCAGATTTTCCATACGCTGGTCGTGCTTGCTGCTGTCGCTCACCTCATTGGCTTACTCAAGGCGTTTGATTATAATCACAGCTCTGGTATAAACGGCGGTAGAGTGGTTTGCTCGTCTCTGTGAGCAGCGCTTAGTCGTGGAAACGATCGGATTGACATATTTGAATTGGTGCGCATTACGAAAGAGAAAGGCCTTGACCTTGTACATATTTAATCTCATGACAGCAAGCGAAACTTGTACAATAGCCTGTTTGGCAAAGGACTTAGGCGCAAGTGGGTAGTTTCTTTTTTGGGTAGCATTAGATTTACAAAGTCAAAGAGGAATGACTTGGTGTATATAGATTAACTGTCATAGAAGTGGAGCAGACTTGAAACATTTTGCACATCAATTTGGGCAAATAAGATAGCTGACACTTATTTTCGTGGCCGCAATTTGTAAGATGTATGCTTTTCATTTTGCACCAAACTGATATTGTTATGTTTCAATTGAGTCAGCACAGACGAAAGGTACAAACATCGCTCGGGAAAAACCGCAAAGAAAACAGCTGAAGGGAAACAGGGCGTAGAAATTGCACCGTCTCGGTCGAGCTGGAATAGAATAAATATATAACAATCAAACGGAAACTTCCTCCGAACGTCATCCAGAGATAAAACAGAATCGAATACAGGATATGTTCCAATGACTAGAAGACCTCACCCCTCAATTCTGCATTCCTTCGTCCGTAGAAGAACGGAAGTAAAAGAGGGGGAGCGCAGAGCATATACATCATATACATTGATGGATGCTGGCAGCATGCGTAGTACCAAACCCCACCGGAGAAATAAACAACAATAAGAAAAAAGGGCAAACAGCCGCGAAAGTAACCGCAACACTTTTGTTTCCCAGAAACGATATCGAAGAAAAACCGTTGGACGCCGAATGGATGCTCCAAAATTAAATCAGTGACGATGATGTTCAAATCGAGGGGGTTGACGGATGCAGCGAAACCTCGCTACCTTAAGGGACGGATATCAAGGGACAAAGCGCCAACAAGTGTTGGGCTTTGCATTTAAAAGCCGGATCGCTTTTTCATCAGGGCTTTCCGCTCCTTATCCTTGGCTGTTTCAGGAGTTCTAGTTAGCTTTTGTTCAAAATGAAAATTGACCAATCGGTGAAGTAAAAAAAAAAAAAAAAAAAATAGAAAACTTACCCTCATCGTAGACCATGAACTCGTGCAGACCCTTACCAGCCGGAACCATGGGGAGCACAGGCACCTTCTTGTCGGTGACCACTTCCAGAAGAGCAGGGCCGTCGCTGTTGATGAGCCAGTCGAGCTTAGCGGGCACATCCTCAGGGGCGAGGACACGCTGGGCCTGGACGTCCATAGCCTCCGCCAGCTTCACAAAGTCTGGGTTCTTTTGGTGAGTGTGGGCATAGCGGTCCTCGTAGAAGAGATTCTGCCACTGAGTGACCATTCCCTGTTCCTCATTGTTTAGGACAATGACCTTAACACCAATGTTGAACTGCGCCGCGGTTGAAAGCTCGGTCAGGGTCATGTTGAACGAGGCGTCACCATCAATGTCGATAACCAGGGCATCGGGCCGAGCGACCTTGGCGCCAATGGCGGCCGGTAGACCATAACCCATGGTGCCGAGACCACCAGAGGTCACGATAGTGCGGGGGTGTCGCCAGCGGAAATGCTGCGCGGCCCACATCTGATGCTGGCCGACACCGGTAGCGATAATGGTGCGGTCCTTCATGTGCTCGGTCTGTCGGCTAAGCTCCTCAATGACGGATTGCGGCTTGATGAGCCCATCGGGGGTGGCCTTTTCGTAGTTCATAGGGAATCGCTTCTTCCAGTCGTTGATCTGCGCGAACCACTCTGGGCGCGTCGGTTTTTCCTTGACTTGAGGCAAAAGGAGAGCCAAATTGGCAGCCACATCACCCTCAACGGCCTCGGTCGCCTGGACGACCTTGTTGATGTTCTTGGGCATGATCTCGAAGTGAACAATGCCACCGCGCTTCTCCGCGGCAGCCAGCTTCGCCTGAGGAGCGAACTTGGTCACGTTAAGGGTAACACGGTCGTCGAATCGAGCGCCAAGCGCAATGATGAGATCGGCCTCTTGAATTGCCATGTTGGCGAAGGGCGAACCGTGCATACCCAACATGTACAAGGACTTCTCGTCCAGCTCGTCGAAGCCACCAAGACCCTGCAAGGTGGTGGTGACAGGGATGCAAGCCTTGTCGGCAAGCTCCTTGAGCAGCTTGGGGCCCTCGGGCAGAGCAATGACACCCTGTCCAGCATAGATGACAGGTTTCTTGGCAATGTTGATGAGTTCGGCTACGCGCTTGACGGCACCGTCCCGCTGCACCTTGCTCAGCTCACGAGCTGCCAGGGTGGCCGCACTAGGGTAAGAGGGCAGGGTGCTCGTCAAGGGAATTGCCTTGCGCAAGATACCGCCGGTAACGTCCTTGGGCAAGTCCACGAGGACGGGACCGGGGCGACCAGTGGTAGCAATCTCGAATGCCTCTTTGATGCGTCGAGGCAACTCGGCTACGTCCTTGACCATGACGTTCCATTTGGTGCAGGCCCGCGAGATACCGACAACATCAGCTTCCTGGAAAGCATCGGTGCCAATGGCGCTCGTTGGCACCTGGCCGCAAAAGACAACCAAGGGGGTTCCGTCCGAGAGGGCGTCCTGCATCGGCGTGATGACGTTAGTAGCACCTGGACCGGAGGTCACAAGCACGACACCAGGGAGACCCGAAGCTCGTGCGTAACCCTCAGCCATATGTCCAGCACCCTGCTCATGCCGGGGAAGAACGAATTCGAAATGCTTGGAGTTGTAGATGGCATCGAACACGGGGAGAATGGCACCACCGGGATAACCAACTGTACAAGAGCATCAGTAATCCTGCTGAATAGCCCAAAGGAAGCAGAATGAACGTACAAACATGCTTAACACCCTGTCGAAGCATCATTTCGTGGAAGATCTCTCCGCCGCTCAGGCCGACGAAGCTGTACAAAATCGCTCCAAGTCAGTATCGAGGATATGCTTCTGGTTGGAGACTATTCGAGCTCAAGGAGGAGCAGAAACGTACGAGTCATCCATAGCTGGGAGCTTTGAACCATGGAGCGGTTGCACATCATCCAGACTGCTTGCCTGGTTGAACGCAGGACTAGGAATTGGCCTCGTCTCACTGTATATTTGAAGTGACAGGTCAGCTACATTGCCTCTTCTTTCCTGATGCCATTGGTCCGAGCTCAATTAAGACTTACGGCGTGGCAGCAGCCGCAGTACTCTGACCACGGCGGGCAGCATCTCCGGTGTTCTTCTTTGAAGGCAGATTATTCGTCTGGAGAGCAGGAGAAATGGACGCAGCAATTGGCGAAGTCGAAAAGCGTCGTGATGAGGTCGGGCAGAAGGAATTTCGCCTCAGGGTGCGCAAAGCGCTCCGGGCCGGCATTGCTCGAATCATGGTGAAAGGAATATTCCCGGCGAGGGAGTAAATTTTCCTACCGATGCGGAGCCCTCGAGGCTACGAGACGAATGAGCAGCAACGTCTGCAGTGGTGAGTTGTCGTCGGATCGTCAAAGACGGGTTACTCTGGGGTCAAGATGGATATATTTCTCCTCGCTTGAGAGCTGGTGGTAGTGGATGATTCACACACACCAAAAGACTCACACTTTTTGACTCTTTCACTCTCTTTGACCTTTTTGTTGTGCCGGACCGAAGGACAGCCTCTCCTTGAAGCGGCAACGACAAAATTCTCGCTTTTCGCGAGCTCTGGACCAATCGATAGCGCCGCGATACCCAATTGAGAAAAGATCTTCAATGCCGCTCTGACAAGAGGCTGCTCCTTCCCCGCCAAAGTGCCACCGACATCGGCCAGAACACTAAATTCATTCTGTGATTGGCCGGATAAATGTAGTAGCTGTACTTTTTGACTCGTTTAGTTACTGCCTCGACCAAAGTACTTTTACTTCTTTCATCTCAACTGGATCCCGAGCTTTATTAGGTAAAGCGTCTTTTTTCCTGTCATCAAGGTAACGCGGAGAAAAGGGGACATATCAGTCTGAACAATACTATTCATCGCCGGTTATGCAGCGTACATATAAGCACTGGCAGGCAAGAAAAGAGTATAGAATCTAAACTCAAAAGAGGCATTTTTTTCAGGAGCTACATCTGGTCCTTGCACACGAAATGCAAATTTGGAGAGACAAACCATGATTCGATGATATTGAGTGCCAATAAAATACCCTGGGTAATTGTCCTTCAACCATTGGCGATTTCTGTATCAGTGTCAACGTGCTTTTCCCCGAACGAGGCTTACCCTAACAAGGGCAATACTTGGGGCCCCGTTTATGGCGCTTGTTTGGCGGGGTAATTGGCGTGATGACGCGGGGGAAATGTACTCCGTAGGAGGAGCGAGCGAGGATGTCGTTCGCATTCGGAAGGTCGGGACAGTTAATATCTGCAGACTTTCGCAACAATTCCACTCAATGTCCCTTTTCCGTCCCCGCTACATCCCTTGCGTGCCCCGGGATTGAATATCTCTAGCCATATTACCCCAGAATTATGTGGTTGCGCTCGTGCTCTCCTAGCCCGAAGAAACCTCCTTGAGCCCTTAGTAGGGTCCACAACCCGCAAAAGATACGTCAGAGCGTCTAGCTCCCGGGGTAGGATCTGCTCCCTACGGAATAACTGTTTGCGAAAAGTCATGTTATCAACGCATCGTCGTTCAACCCCTCCTGCTTTTCGCATATTTATAAATTCCCGCTTTTCTTTTCTGCTGCGGTCGTCGTGGCCAAGTCGATAAATTCAGCTCGTGTGCTGTATTTTAGCTCGCCGAAATTCTCCTTGACAAAGTCGTGTTTCTATACTATTGTGTAGTTTTGCTTTGTACTGCATTGAAGCAAGATGGATGTGCCATGGGCAACATCACTCAAAGATATTTATCCAGAAAGTGTCTGGGGTATCCAAAAACAGCGTTGGGAACATCTCTTGGCCAAATTCGAAGAACATTATGGGAGACCAGCGGAATTTGTCTCGCGAAGTCCTGGAAGGGTTAATATTATCGGTGAGGTGTGTCATCGATCAAGAGATTAGACATTATAATTGCACCCCGTAATCAACTGTGGGAAACTAACATCATGCTAGCATATTGATTACTCTTTGTACGAGGTTCTGCCCATGGCAGTCACGGCAGACTTGTTGCTGGCCGTTGCTCTCAAGCGTGGCTCACCGCAGCCGCGCTTCCGCATAGCCAACGTTCGTTCTGAAAAGTTTCCTGAGCGCGACTTTGGCCTAAACAATGAAGGCGACGTAGAGATCGATCCCTCGTCTCTGGAATGGTCCAACTATTTCAAGTCAGGCCTCCGCGGGGCGCTCCAGTTGCTTCGGAAAAATCACCCCAAGTTTGCACTTCAAGGAATGGACATCCTTGTGGACGGAACCGTTCCTAGTGGCGGTGGTCTCTCGAGCAGTGCAGCGTTTGTCTGCGCCAGCTCCCTCGCCGTAATGGTGGCTAGTGGTGAAGAGAAGGTGGACAAGCGCGAATTGGTTGAGCTCGCCATTGTTTCTGAGCGCGCGGTGGGAGTCAATTCTGGAGGGTCAGTTTTCTTTTGTCATTTTTTGGTTGTGCTTTGCTAATAAGGTCCGCAGGATGGATCAGTCTGCGTCCGTGTTTTCGATAAGAGGCAATGCTCTCTACGTATCCTTCAAACCAGAGCTGCGAGCGGAACCCATAAAGTTCCCTAACGTCAACCCTGAATTGACCTTTCTGATTGCGCAGAGTTTCGTAGCTGCGGACAAGCATGTGACTGCACCAGTGTGTTATAATCTCCGTGTCGTTGAGTGTAGCTTGGCCGCGGAATTTCTTGCCAAGAAACTAGGTCTCAAGCGTGCACTGCCAAAGGACACGAGCCCTTTGCAAGTCAGCCTTCGAGGTTTCCAGGATACTTACTTTGAAGAGATTGGCGGTATACAGGACAACAACCAAACCGTCGTGTCTGACTTTTCCAAGCAGTTGGAGGAGCTTGTTGAGCTCACCAAGCGGACGCTTACGCAAGAGGATGGCTACACGCGAGAAGAGATCTCCGCAATTGTGGGAATCCCGGTAGAGGAAATAAACCAGCGGTTTATGTCTCGTTTTCCAGTCCGTGCCGAGCGCTTCTTGCTTCGACAACGTGCGCTCCACGTCTTCACCGAGGCTCAACGCGTGCTGAGGTTTAGGTCTCTGTTGTCTAATCCGCCAAGTTTGGATGAATCGCTGCTGCGCAGCCTTGGCGCTCTTATGCAAGAAACACAAACTTCATGCCGTGAGCTTTATGACTGCAGCTGCCCGGAGCTCGACGAAATGTGTAAGCTTGCGCGCGAGGCAGGAGCGTACGGTGGTCGATTAACCGGGGCTGGGTGGGGTGGATGTTCCGTCCATCTTGTACCTTATGACAAAGTGGACGAGGTGAAGAAGATGTGGGAGACAAGGTACTACCGCCGGAAGTTTCCCAACATGGCAGAAGACAAGTTGGCTGAAGCTGTGGTAGTCAGCAAGCCGGGAAGTGGCAGTACAGTTTTCAAGGTCACGGGAAGAAACGTCCTATGAGTTATAAAGTCATCTCTTCCATACTCAGATTCCCTTTTCCAGTATTCATGATCCAGATACCATTATGGCACTAGATATCTACCGCATTTCCTGTTTTGTTTTTTGCTGCCTCAAGAATTGTCTATGGTCGTCGATTCGATTCTTCTGCTTGGGTTGTGCTCCTTCTCTTCCGAGATATTTCCCAGCATTTCCACTCTAGTCAAGACCGTTCTTTCCTGTTTAACATCGTCTTTGCTTCCGATCCCAAGCTCACCTGCCCAGTGCTTTTCTTCGATAAGCCCCTTACTCCCCTCCATCTCGATCCGTCCTGTCTGCTTCCCACCCTTTTTGTCGCGATCAGCTCTTTTGTCGAATTAATCAAAACTTCATTTCAAGAAAGAATCAACATCACAATCCTCTCACTTTCAAATCATCCATCTTCTTGTGCCTATTGCTCTTTACCAGTTCAAATGGAGGAAAATTATATTCGTCCACCTGCCCCGGCAGCTCAAAGCATGCTTAAGAGGCGAAGAATTCCTGTCTGGGCCATTTTTCCAGAGATTCCCGATACTGTCAACTTTTCCCCTCAGACAAATTCTGCTTCCCGTGAAACAACCTGTACCGTTATTCATACTGGTTCAGGAACTCAAAGTCAGTGGTATGGATACCGTGGCCAAGATTCACACTCAAAAGATGCACATATCAACTCCTCGGAGTCGATTCCTTGCTCAATAGCAAGCTACCCTACTTCGCGTTCCAGCTCGTCTAAGACTGCCCAGGTCTCTAAAGAACATAACCCAAGTCGAGGTTCAGATCCTTACAGCAGCCCAGGTGCAGGCAGCTTAACACGGGGTAAAAGTCCCTATATTGACTCACATACAGTCAGAGGCCACACTAACTCCTCCAAACAATGCCCTTCGCGGAAAACCCGAAGTTGGACATCTTGGGTCCTTCAAAGCAATAGCAGTTGGGCTCCAAATGCGCAAAGCGCCTCCTCCAAATCTCCCTCCACAACGTCATCGACTTTCGCCGAAAATTTCAAGCTTGAGCGTGCATTAGGGTGGCTTTCCAACCTCCCGTCGCCAGAGCCAAGCCCTTCGGCTGTGAACAAGACACAACCCACCTTTACTCGCCGTCATCAACCTCCTCCATCTTTCGATACCGTTAGGCTTCCTTCGCCTGTCTACCTGGGTGGACGTGCATCTTCAGCAGCAGCCAGCACACGTACCTTGTATCTCCCGACGCGTTCCGCTGATCCCTCAAGTTCAGCTTCAATCGACCTTGGCGCAGCACAACGGCATGTCCTTTTCAGCCAACCTCCCACAAGCCGTAGATGGCATTTCGGCTCCATACCAAGATTGGCAAAAGAATATCTCGACTGCCACATTCGACTCCAAACTCCGAGCTATATATCTGAGGAGCTCGGGCCGGAGTTGTCATCATCGTCCTCTTCCTCCACCTCGATCCTCGTTGTGGGAACTAAAGAAAGTGTCCCACTTGAAAATGCCTCCGTATCCAAGCCAGGGCTCCCAGGTAAGTCAATCATCTTCCGTCGTTGTCAACCCTTTCTCAAGTTTTGCAGATTCCACAGCGAAGGGAGTACGACCACGAAGTCTCTTGTCAAAGAATTCAGCGCGGCCGGATAGTACCTCTGTGGTAGAGGCAGAGGCAAAAAACGCCCCCGGTGACGAATGTTTGTATCCACCCCACCAGAATTAAGTCATGTAAATTCTAATGGAAGTGCAGTCTCTCTAGCTCAAAGATCGCCCGGCGAAATTCACTCGCAATCGGATGTGGCGATATCAGACCGTTTTAGAAAATGCTCAACAGACGAGTACAAGATGGAAAAAGCCCCAGGTAAAGGAAAACTTCATTTCCAAGTCATCACTGCTAATTTCATACAGATTATGCAGCTCCGTATGTAGGGCGATCGCCTCGCAGCGCAGCAATATCCGAATCCTCATGCAGGCGGACGGAAGAAAAAGACGGCATAACGGAGGGGCATTATATGATTTTGCAGCAACAAGACGCCAAAGGTATGACCCCGAAAGTATTCACTTTACCCAAGTGCTAATGTTGAAGAAGTTTCTGAGAAAGAATGTTCAGGCACTAGATCCAATTCAGACGAAAGCAAATCGAACGGTTCTCTCAATGTGGAAGAGCATGATGATTTCACAACGAAACCAGGTACGTGGTAATCTCCTCATTCACTAGGTTTTCTATGCTAACCCAACGGTAGGGTCCATTTCTCCCACACTAGACGCATCCAAGCACTCATCACCAAATTCCTCGAGAACGGATCGCACTCATCCTTACGGGCCGATCCTGCGGCCATGCCTGAGAGGTAAGTACTCTAGTCTATCATTCTTCGGAACAACGCTAACGAGATTCCAGAATTCAGCGCTTACGGGCCATACATAAGCAGTGGCCCGACTGAGCCACACCGCACAGGTAAAGTCGGCTTCTTTCTCACTTAGACCTACATTAATTGACGCTTAGCAGGTGGTGTGGCTCAGAGTGTTCACAACGAGGGGGCCGGCAAGCTGGCCTTACGGCCCCCTCATGGGCGTTACGGTAAGTCAGGAGACTATTTCACTGGCTGGCTATCTCAAGCTGATAAGATAACAGTCACTCCTATGAGGGACTCGCCCGTTGGCACCGCACAATGCGGCAGCCAACATGGCTCAGAAGGAAGCGGCCCTTCTGGTCCACCCCCGGGGGAGATTTCATCCTCTGACTCCCCCGGGGAACCGCACCAAGGGCCACGGTCCCTTGGTGTGGATTCAGACCCGAGAGCTCGAAATAGCTTGTTTCGAGCTCTCGGGTCTCCCTCTCATGCGTCAACCATGAGAGGGGAGCTCGAGCCTGACTGCGCTTCTAGCCGGTCAGGCTCGAGTAGTAGGATCCTAGGATCGAATTTGATCCTAGGATCCTCTGAAGCCAGGACATTGGACTGGCTTCTGCATTGGGAGGGGTCTTTGCACCCCTCCCAGTGTGCTTTGGCGTCACCGCCTTTGGGTGACGCCGAAGCGATCCCCGGGGAAAACTTCCCCGGCGGTCACAGCGGGTCCTCCACGGAGGCCGCCGCCGTTCTCGCAACTCCCCTGAGGGCACTGATCCCTCGGGTGCGGAGAACGGCTGCGTGGAGTGACCCGCTCCCTGACCCACCCCGGCCCTTGTGGCCGGAGGTGAGGGGTAGAGGGGGCCTCTTTGAGAGGCCCTCCTCTCGTGCTGCATCTGTCCCACCGACGATGCCGTCCGACTTGTTCGGACGTTCCTCACCTGTGCCTGGGCCAGTTCCAAAGCCTTTGGCATTGGCGTATTCGCCACTCCCCGGACCAGTGTGTCCGGTCAACCCCGACATTGCGTACGGGGTATGGGAGCGGCTGGAGGAAGGCGGCTTGCGAGAGCCGCCTTTCGAGGCCGCTGGGAGTGGGGAGGACCCCAACCCCCGGTTCCGGGTCTCCCCACCACGGAGCTCCGACGTCTCATTTAAGACGATTGGATCAAACCTCCGGCGGTGGTGGAGAAACGGATCCTGGGCCATTGCGTCTCTGGGGTCGCGGCTAACGGTCAGTACGCCGTCGTGGCGCTGGCCTGGCCCTTCCCCAGAGCACACACCACCAGAGTCAGTGTCTTCACTGGCATTTTCTAGCTCTGGTGGTGGGCCCAGCTCGTCAGGCGCGGCTGCCGGTGGTGCTGTGCATCAGCATCACCACTATCCGCGCCTGACTCGCGGCCGCGTCCGGCTTCATAATGCCATGGACGCGGCGGCCAGCCTTCCGGGCCGGCTCCAACCCAGCGTCATTGCGCTGCTCCGCGCGCTAGAAGCCGTGGCCCGTTTTGTGGCCCGGCTTCTGGCGTACGTTGCCAGAGCACTTGGGGATGACATCCCCAATGCCTGGCGACGTCGGTGGCGCTGGGCGAGCTTCCTGCAGTTTTGGCAGGACCAGATGGAGCACGGGTACATTGAAGGAGCGATTCAAACGTTCCTTTGGTCGTGCCCGGCGCTCCTCTGTGGGTCGCCCTTTTGCTGCTGCGACCCAGAGTAGACTTTTTCGTAAAGTCTACTCTGGGTGGTCAGCCTGGTCACTGGCCCACTAAGCCCCTTTTTGCCATGTCTGTAGAAGGGACGAGAGGCGGTGGCAAGTGCAGTTAGCAGCCAAGGGCGAAGTCCCGGGTGGTGAGCTCGGTTTATGGTATTGCCAATGGTAACTGGCCCGTGTTGACAGGCACAGGTGAGGAAAGCACACCAATTTCAACCCCTCCGCGGGTTCGGCATGGTAGTTTACGGAACTTTAAGGATTCGGGCTGTTGTTGTTTCTTTTATGTGTTTATGGTTTTTTGGTGAGGGGAGAGAGGGGAAAGCGGAGCGGGAAGGGGACAGGTGGGGCAAGGGGAGCCGGGGATTATGGCGGATACGGGCCGAGAGTTAAAGCGTGTATCACTGTACCTCTAATCACAAGCCGCAATCGAAGACTAGTAGACTAGTAGAACGCATGGCGCGCCGTTGCCAGTTATTATTTACTTATTTTGGTTTGGAATTTCATGCCAACTTTTAACTTGATCTTGGAACGAAGTCCCGAGGCTCGCTGGATTGAGGTACCTGTTAGTTATCTCATCTCCAAGTGACGAAGCTACATTACCTGCTTTGGCAGCCGAAATCAGCGGCGTTTCACCATTGGCTCAATGGTCTAGTGGTATGATTGTCGCTTTGGGTTTTGCAATTGTTTGTTGACGCCGCTTTGGCCTCATCTTACTGCTTGTAACTTGAAATTTGGATGTGACAGGTCCCGAGTTCGATCCTCGGTTGAGCCCTCATTTTTTTGACCTTTGTGTGTTTTTTGTTTTTCTTTTTCTCTTTTGTTTCGTTTTTCCCTTTATTATTTGAGAAAAATAATAAATCCTCATTTCTCTCGTATGTTATTATGGGGGGGTGATTATTGTTTTTTTATCTCCTTGGGCTTTTTGGTCAATATACTGCTATAGCCTATTATAATGCTTTTCGGACTGACGTAGGCTGTAGCTTTCAATAGGAAGTTAGGAACCCTCCAATGATCGATCAATAAGATTATAGGAGTATATCGAATGCCCAAGCACCGTGGTCCGTGCCAGTCTTAACTGGTTTGGATGTCCTACTGAGAATGGATATATTTATCACTTACTAGATGTTGCTTGACAGTTGATACATGCCTGAGGCAGGATGTTTCATCCTTCAAAGTGCGAGTTGTTTCCTAAAACTAACCTGCATGCCTTAACAACTAACAACCACCACCATATTTACTAGGAGAATTTTCACATTTGTACATTTTGTATATTACTAGAACATGAATATAGTAGACATTGACATTGACATTGTTAGAAAAAAAATTCAAAAAAAATAAAATAAAATAAAAACAAAAGGGAACTGGAGCTAATATCAGGCCTTTAGCTCCCGTTCCGCAAGTGGATTGACGTTATCTGGGACAGTTTGCTCCAGTGTCCTCCAACCAGCCTGGTCTCCCCATTTTTTCAGCAAGGACAAAGGCAGCGTGAAATCGGTGGTGATGCTAAGTTTTGTCGCGTCTGGGAAATCTTCGACAAAGTGATGCTGGGGGTACAACCTGCGCATGATTGCAAGTATGTCGTTCCAGTTGCAGTTTTCTGCCCAAGCCTGGAGGCGCTCGTTTTTGACTGTTGGATCTAAAATGGCAGCAACATGCAGCAAGGCAACGTCCTTGACATCGATATGAAAGGCTATTTCCAGGATCCCGTTAGTTTCAATCATAGAACAGCGAACACTTTCCACACCACTTCTCAAAATGGGAGTACATAGCAGAGGGACCAAAAGATATACTTACTAGCCGGGAAACGTGCAATGTTTGATACATTTCCATCCCATAGATACCTGAGCCAGGCCCCCACCGACTCAAGATGGGTGTTGTTGAGTGGTTCACCCATAATCATAGAAGGGCAGACAGAGTTGACCCTAAAGTGTGGGGCCTTTTCCTCGACAAACTTCCATACAGCCTTCTCCGCCGCGACTTTGCTTGCCATGTAGACCATGCTGCCTTGTGTGTTCTGATCATGAGGAGGCGGTGGAGGAGACCAAGCAAGCTGGGTGGCTTTGTCATTCCACGTGTTCCGGTCGACATGTGTTGTGTTCCCAGGCACGGACATGGTGACGGCTGCGATTGAGCTGGTATAAACGAAAGCCTTCACTGATGGCTCCTTGAGGGCTGCCTCCATAATTCGGACGGTGGCCGCTACGGTCTGAGGAATGACAGTTTCCGGGTCCGGTGCGAAGGTGACAACGGATGCCACATGGGCAATCGCCGACACTCCCTTCACGGCATTGTCGTAAACGCCATCGGCGGTGAAGTCTTGAATTTCGACAACCTCAAAGTCACCGCGTTCTGCGTAAGTCTTGAAAGTATCGTTGATGACCCAGGATGTCCTCTCCAGGTCCCTGACGGTACCTCGTACCTTGAAGCCGCGCGCCAACAGCTGGCTGGCTACATGGGAGGCCACGAAGCCATTGACGCCAGTGACAAGGACACGAGATCCCTCGGGGATAGCTATCTTGGTTGATCCAGGCATGGTTGAAAATGTAAGAAATGAAAATATTTTGAAAGATATCTGAGGCTCGGGCTGTTTATGTTCCTGAATACTGATGAAGTTGCTAATGAATGCTCAAACTCATTGCCCGGAAATGAGCCAAGATTTATAGATCCCCAGATTGAAGACATTGTGTGATTTATAATCCATCTCGGTCAATACAACCGTCAACCTGTTTCCTCTGCATCTGACAAATCAAGCTTGTGCTCCAATCTGGTGGTGGATGATTCTTCCAAAAAAGGAAGGATCACTTCTTGGCGAAAAGTGAGACTAAATGCAGGGGTGTCAATACCGAAGATCATACATGCAACAATATCTAGAGAATATTCGCTGGTGACAAGTCCCCAGGTTTGACGCATGGCGTTTTGCTTTTCGTTTTCATGCCGGATATAATAGACAGAAATATATTATTTTATGAAGAGCTTAGCCACTCAAATCGCCCAAAAGTGACAGAAAATTAAGCATATAACGAAGTTTAGAGACCATGAAATGCACCGCCGCATGGAGCGGATGGAGCTTGATCCGGCAAACCAGGCAGCATTCCTAATTCACTGACGAAGTCGTGGAAGACAAGCTCAAGAAAACCATCAAGCCCAAGGGTCGCAGGCCCGCCATTGAGCTCTACCATCCTGATTGCGCCGCGCATATGGTTTCTAGCCATGAGTAGATCACCCAGAGCTATCTATAGCATTTGTCAGCTATGGGAAAGGATTCAATATATATATATACAGATGAGTCCCACCTCATCCAATGTTAATACTATAACCTGGGCGATTGTTGAGTCGCTGAATTTTGACGAATGATTTGCAGTGATGGACAGGTTCAAGCTCCCTACACAGGTCACCTTATACTGGAGTGCGAGCTGGGTGAGCTCACGGCTCTTAATTTGGTTGTAATGATAGATCATAGAAAGATGACGACTTGCAACAAGCAGGATACCGCTGAGAAAGCCTTCATTCATAAGGGCGAGGCGGACCCATTCCGTACACATTCTTTCTGCGTAACTTCTTTGCTTACTGAGTTTTTTGCAGTGGGTAATCGAGGCGGGAATGACCATTTTCACATCTCAAGCAAGTGAGCATTAGAACACCCCGGTGTCACAATAATCCCAATGTTGAAAACTTACAATGGTGAAACAAAGGGTATTCAAAAGGCTTGACAGGGGCCGGAAAAGTCTCGTGTGCGTCAAGTCGATTCACCAAAAGCGGGCTTGTGGAGCTCGACAGAACGCCTAAGAGTTCTGCATCTGAGATCGCGGCATCAGGTTCCATAGAGGAGGTCGAGGTTACGTCCTCCCCACCCTGGTCATTCTCTGTAGCACCCTCCTTTTGAACCGGTAGCCTCAGCTGACGGGCCTTGGCCGCGTGATAATCTCGAGTCCGACGGAGCCTCGCTCTGGCATGTGCTGTGCGCGCTCTATGGGAAGAGATGATATGCTGCTGCAGCTTCCCAGTCGCGGCAGAACCACCCGGTTGAAATCCGTTGACAAACTGTATTTTATTGAAATTAATCGACGACATCGTTCGTCCTCAGCATGGTAGTGTCTCGAGTGGGCTTCAGGGATGTTTAACATCATGCGAAAAAAGCCTCGGCCCAAGATCCCAGACCATCGGGATGGTGGGTTAATCTTCCAATGCTTTGAACTCTGGATTTCTAATTTTTGATCTAGCGAAGAAGAACCAAGGCAACGGCGATCTCTTCTGGTGATGACCAACATTCTTCCTAGCAACGAAGCTAAAAATATAAAGTTAAGCTATGCATTTGCCAAGACTTGATCCTTCCATTTCAGGAAAGGTTCCCTGTTGGATCGGTCTGGGTTAGTAATCCATGGCAAAACGTTTGACCGAGGTTGTGTATAGTGACGGTAATCAACCCGTTTCAACATCGTCGAACCAGTAATCGTGATAGATTCTCTCCGCAAAGAGCTTAGATGATTTAAAGTAAAATCATAGTACTAATACTAGAACGCAGGTTGAATTTGCCAAGCGAAGAATCAATGGCTGTTTCATCTTCATTAAAAGAAAGGATTGTTGGGATTATTTTCAACAGCACAGGAAGTTTGTCCTTGCACCGAACAGACGTGCACTCGGGATGTTGAATAATATGAAATCCAATGGTCGATGAGAAGGACCGGAAGAGCCATCTCACCAATCACATTCAAGGTTTAATACCTGTGACGGTCAGCCGGTTGTCCAAATGATGCGTTTGTGATCCCCAGCATTTGCAAAGACGGAAATTGTTGAGTGTTTTGAGTCACAGGGCATTATAAAAGGGTCGGCTTTTTGTATGGGGTTTGAGACATCTCAAGAGATTTTCAATTCGGAATCAATTTTCATTTTCTATTCAGAACCCGTCCTCAGTTTATAAACATCTCTTGTCCTCTTCACTCGCTTTACCGCAACGATATGCCTCTTTGGCGCATTTACCATGCCACTGGAGCCATTGCTCCTCCTGACCAGGCCAAATTAGCCCAGCTCATTACCGACCTCTACTCGAAGCCACCTGCGACCCTTCCTGACTTCTACGTAGACGTTATCTACGTTGAAGTGCCGACAGACAAATTTTTTGTGGCCGGAAAACCTCGAAACGATTTTGTCAGATTCAGCATTGAGCATCTTGCCGTCCAGCTGGATAAAGATCCCGTTCGTATGGTTCGTTTCCACGAGGCAATCGACCGTGTTCTCATTCCATTCCTAAACGAGCGAGGCCTTGAATGGGAGTATAGCGTTGTCAATGGAATCAGAGAAGAGTGGAGAATCAATGGATTGGCCCCTCCGCCCTTCTTGAGCGATGCAGAGCGTTTGTGGGCAAAGGAGGGACGTGCGGTGCCATATTGAGTCTCTTAGCAGCATTTTCAAATTTTCGCATTGCGGCTTGACTCGGATCAAAGCAGTTGAAAGGGCAGCGGGCTCACTCATCTCTGCAATAGTTACATTTTTGCAAATGTATTTAGATTGTCCACGGTTCTACCTCCTTTAAAATCTATGTATCCGCATTGCGCAATGGAAATGTTTCCTTGCAGTCTTTCACTAGAACTCGAATCACCTTCAATATTCATTCAAAATGACTGCTTGACTCCCAGCGACAAATTATATCAGTGCTTTTACTTTGCAACCAGGTAAAGAAAAACTTCCCGTCGAGCCTAACTTCCACTACGATGCCAAGAGGCATGCTGTACTTATATTTGATTTTTGTTTTTCCTCCCAAAATGATATAGTTAATTCAAATTTGATTAAGGGTTCAGTATGACAGAAGAAGCCTAGAAGGCAACGACGAAGGAAACAAAGAGGCTCCAGACCACATGATCAGCACCATGGATAAGGTATAGCGCCAGATGGCAGGTGAGACATGCACCTCTAGCGCAGTTTAATAATTCACCATCGTTATCGAGTCAGGGTACCCTGGAGGTTTTGCTTTCCGCCAACCAAGCAAAGCACGAGGACTATCAGGCCACGTATGGTAGTCTCATTCTTCAGAAGCAATGGTAAAGAAAGTAAGATATCATGACAATGGCATAATAAGTCGTCATTGTTTATCGGTTAACGTTGATAATGGGTAATAGTAGTAGAAACAGTAATCGCTATGGTGGTGGTACTAAGATTTGTTGACAAAAAGAAAAGTGAAAACATGGAAAAAGGTAGGGAAAAAAAAGCCAGATTCAATCAGTTCGCCGACGTGGGTTCCGAAACGAGATAGAGCAAAGGAGAAATCATGGTCGAGAACTAAACTAGAATTTACCCGCGCGTTTCGCGCAAATACACACCACCAGCGTACTGTAGCAGAAAAAAACATGGTTGCGCGATAAGCGCAACAGACGCAGTAGAGCGTGTGACGAACAAACATGCCGTGAGAGATCCTGCCTTGATATAAATCGACAAGGGCGAAATGAAAACGAAAATTGGAAAAAAATAAGGGCAACAGGAAGAGATAACACAAGGGAAAGGACCTCTTAAAAGAGATCAAAGCCCTTTTGGGAATTCGGAACAAGAGACAAGTTCGAAGAAATTCATCGAGGACAGGTTTCAAATCAGAGACTCCTGTTGAAAACGTCATAGAAATCCTGACAAAACTTGAGCTTGCGAGACCAGAGTAAGAGCCCATTATGCACGTCTCATGGATAGCCAGCAAGCAAAAAAAAAATTCAAACCTGAAGCAAATCCCAGAGACCCATTTGAAGAACCCAGAAAAGAAAACGCGGGTGCCAGAATTTTTTTTTAAAAAGCTCTCGAAGACGCCCCAAATGCAGGAATGCTATTGCCCGGAATTGGACTGCCTATTTCGCCAGGAGCTATGCTTCTCCGTTGACGGGCACCAAAGGGCAAGTCTGTATCGGCCTCGTATCGAACGCGTGGCCGAGCACCACTACCAGCCTCTCCTGGTCCTTCATCTTTGAGGATGAAGGAGCCGCCTCCATTTTGCAAGTCACCTTCGGTCTCACATATGTCGAGCATGTCTTTCATCAGGATGGGAGGTTCATGGCCAGGTCGGCTCCGGTTAACCTGTTCAAGGACGTCCTGGACATCATGAAACCCGTCTCCACCTTTGGTATTGGCCGTAAGTTGCTTGCAGGCTTGGCACGTCATTAGACGAATAGTTACGGGCCGTGAATTGCTGGACCGGTGCTGTGCGCCCATCAAGCCAAATGCCGAGGGATTCGACCATCCTGACCCTTAATTCAGACATGTCAGCTGGTGCTTTAGGGAAAAAAAAAATTATCATGAGCGAGAAGGCAAATCTTACCAGGCAGACTAGATGACAGGCCGGCGCCAGGCAAGTCAGTGGTGCCAAATGAAGAGGTCGGAGCTCCCCATCCCCACTGGGGCCGGGCGCCCATCTGGCTGCCAAAACCGAAACCTCCAAGTTTGCCTGCTACAAAAGCAATTGAACTGTTAGCTCTAGATATCTCAAGAAGGTAAATGCTCAGAAAACCTACGTTCGGCAAATAACGGCGAGGAGCCAAAATTGAGACTAGCCGCCCGCGGAGGAGCAGGGGGCGCGGCACTTCCTCGCCGATTGTCGGCCGGTTCTGCTGGGAATGGCTCGTCACTGTCGTCCAAGAGTGCGCTGCTGCCCAAAGCGCTGCTGAGGTCGTCAATATCGGATTTGATAGGCTTGTCTTCTTCACCTCGCTGGTTCGGTGCCACACTTGAGGGTCGCTGGATAGGAGCCGGTCGACCAATTGGAAGACCTGTCAAGGCAGGATGGGGATTTTCGAAGCTGGAACGATCGAATGACGCAGATGGCCCTCGTGAATGGGAATGGGTCGGCATAGCGTCTCTCGCCATTCCGTATCCTGGTGATGCATTTGAACCGCCAATGATATTTGATAGCTGGTGAGGTAAACCATGAGCAGCATCCATCGGACCACGTCCTTGAGGCATCCTCATCATTCCGTTAACGCCAGGCGGAATTCCTGCCCCAGTTGGAGGCATGTACGGTCTGTATTGCGGACCAATTGGAGATGGTTGATGGGGGTACAAAGGTACATCATGACCAAGAGGTCCTCGACTAAGACCGGGCATTAGGGGTGCTTGGCTCGCTGGGAAGCCGGCGAGGCCGAGCGGTGAAATATTGGGGAAACCTGGAGCTTGCTGGGGATGAATGCCTGGCGGAGCACCTAGCACAGGCATGGGAGATGACGGTTGGGAGTGCTGCAAAGGTGGAGGTTGGGTTGTTGCCTTTCCAGGAGGTCCAATAGGTCCAAGACCAGTTTGATGTTGGAGAACAGGATTGCTAGACGGAGTGCCAGGAGTGGGAACTGCATTTCCCTGAGTAGACTTCGGAGATGAGGCGTGTGATCCTTGTTGAGACATTTGGCGTGGTCGCACTGGAGTTGAGGCTTTAGGGACAACGGGAGTGGCAACTTGAGGATGCGGTGATTGCAGGCCGGCAGGCTGATGGGGATGATGCAATCCGGGGGGTAGGGGAATGTTGCCCGGTTGAGAAGCTCTTTTTTGCGCCTGTTGAGGAGGTGCTGATGATATCGCATGCGCTGATTGACGGGCATGCTCCTCTTCCTCCCTCCTAAGTCTCTCCCGAGCTTCCTGCTCGGCCTTAGCCTTCGCTTCTCTCTCCTTGCGCTCCCGTTCCTCTTGGTCCTTCTTTGCGCGCGCTTCCTTTTCTTTAGCCTCGCGTTCCGCTCGCTCCTTCTTGGCCTCTTCGCGTTTTTTCTTTTCTCGCTCTTTTTGTTCTCGCGCTTTTCGCTCAGCTTCCACCTGGCGTTCACGCTCTTCCCGCAAACGTCTTTGCTTTTCCGCCTCCCTGCGTTGCTTTTCTTCCTCCTGTGATTTTCGTTCCGCCTCACGCTTCTTCCGTTGCTCCTCCTTCTTTTGGCGCTGCTCCTCAAGGCGTTTCTCCTCGAGTGCTTTTGCAGCTGCCTCCTCGGCCGCCTTTTCGGCTTCTTTTCGAGTACGCTCTTCTTCTTTTGCCAGCTTCTGCTGTCGTTTTTTATCCTTTTTCTTTTGAGCCTCACGCGCTTTCTTAGCTTCTCGTTGAACATCAAGGCGCGATTCCTCTTCTAATTCTTCGAGGAGCTTCTGTTGTCGCTCTCGGGCCACTTTCTCCCGATATGCCGTGAGGACTCTCTGCTCGAACATGCGAGCCGCGAAGATCTGAAACATTCGCCGACCTTCTTCCATTCTCTGTTCTTCTGTCATCGTATCCTATTTCAGGCCACATTAGCAAAGTCCAAGCAGACGATATGATCTTGCCGTAAAAAATGTCTTTTTCCGTACCATTTCGTCGTCATCATAGTCCTCTTCCTCTTCTTGGCTGTCATATTCCTCTTCATCCTCATCGTCATATTCATCCTCTTCAGGGAGAGGTCCGTGGTTATGCCCTGCGTGAGAATGCTGCATGCCAATGGAAGAGTGAGACAATGCCGAAGCTGCATACTGTGCTTCCTCTTCCCGTTGCATCCGGCGCTCAGCGAGCTGTTCCATCATCTCGATGAATTTTTTCCCGTCGTTTTTCAGCAGATCATCTGCCACAGTTAAGATTCCACCTGCATGCCGTTAGTTTATTGGTTGGCGGGTCGATACTTCGCGGGGAATTGTTTCTCAGTCCTGACCTTGAACTGTTAGGCTGTTGCCAAAGTTGAAAAAGTCGGCGGCGGGTCCTCGAGGCTCCTCCTCTGGTTCCTCGTCACTGTACTCTTCGTCGTCTTCGTCACTGTATTCATCTTCTTCGGCTTCCTCGTCGTCTTCCTCATCGCCTAGTTCACGTATTCGACCGTGAGAAGAATGCGGCGGGTGGACCAATGGGGGCAATCGGTCAGGTGGTAAGCGCCCAATCGGGTGGCCATACCGTCTCGGGGGTGGCATCATTGGGCCGCCGTCCTCGATGCGGGTCTGCTGATGATTGGCGTACTGCTCAAGTTCCTCGTAGTAGGCGTCGTAAAGAACTTCCAGTTCCTCCTCAATAGCGGTCCTCTTACGGCCACAGACAGTGCAGCTACATGAATGCTTCTGTTGCTCTTTCATCTTCCGTAAAACGGCTTCCTTCTCTACTTTGACAAGTGATCGGCGTTCATCCTCGCCCAAGGAGAGCCAAAAATCCTTGATCCGTTCCCGTTCCTCCTGTGTCGATGTATTCCAAATGCGATCCTTGTGAGCAGACCGGAGGGCGGATGCTGCAAGCGGCAACGGCGGTGGCGGTGGTGGGAAATGCGCTTGAGAGCCGGATGGAGTTGATATGGAAGTAGCGCTGCCTGGAGCAGCAGCGGAGTGCGATCTCCGCTTATTCTTCTTCTTCTTTTTGGAGCGCTTGCCAGCGCTCGCCAGCATATGGCTTGTCTGGAAGCCACCGCCGTTTACCCCCGCGGCGTCATGATAGATGGGTTCGTCATCATCGGAGTCGTCAATGTCTTCCGCGTGGGTGGCCTCCAGGTCTTCGTCGCCTTGGCTGCCGCCATCGTCAAGTTCGGATTGAAGGGGCTGAATCTGAGAGGCTGGGTGCTGCTGCCGGCTCGTCTGGCTTGACGGAACACGTCCAACTTCAACGAAACTGGCCTTGAGCGCATCGCCATTGCTCAAGGTCTGCTCGGCGGCAAGGCGAGCCGCTTGCTTCTGACGTCTCTTTTGCTTCTTCCGGTTCACAGAGACAGTAGCTGAATCGCGGGTTGAAGCAGCAATGTTTCCACTGGCTTCAGCTCCTGTTGTCCTAGGATTCGTCATGTTGATTTTTGGTTGGGTACCGTTGATGACCGGGGCACCTCTCGCGTTTTGCACCATCACGGTTGGCGATCGATGTTCGGCAACCTAGAGAGACGGCGTTTCTGGATCAGCCTCGGCGGGAGGTAAAAGCATGCGCAAGGACACACTCGATAACGCTCGTGGTATCCTACTCACGGCGACGGGTGGGGACAAAAGGCTTGAGCAACAATGGTCAAATGCCCCTCCAAATGGGCAGCTCGCTTCTTCAAGGGTTCTCGTCAGTTCGGTCCACCACCAAGGCTCCCTAGGCGGCCAAAGGTGACGGAATAGGGTAAGATAACCACGAAAGTGTGGCGGAGATACTACTTATTACGCCTATAGACCAAAGATATCGATCCTCGAGGGTCAGAAGACGGTAAAAGCGGCGGACATGAGCAGAAGAAGGAGGTTGATGGTGAACGTGAAGGCGGTCGAGCAACAGAGACATTGGCCGGGATGAGAGGCATGCCTGCTCCTTTGGGAAATGTTAGCGAGCCAATCATTTTCAGCAGAGCGTCTTCCGTGGCGACGAGATCACTTGTCCTCTAAATGTTTGGTTGCATCTTCCAATATAAATCTCCTGCAGAAAAGCAAACTGCCAATTACTTTGAATCAGTGTGCTTGCTAAGTACCGTTTCCCAGACTGCATGGCAACCTCACGGATTATTGCAAACGCGATTGTTTGTGGCGGAATATACTCCGTAAGATCACCGCGTATCCAATACGCCACCGTCATGCGGCTTCATTATATATTCAACTACTTGATGTATACATGAGATTCCCCTGTCTGTCAGGAATAGTATTCATCTAATGTAAATATTCGTGATGATTTTCAACCAATCTAACTTTGTTCAATGTAAACATCGCTTCGCTGTTGTGGATTGAGCATTGCAATTTTCCTGACTTTGACCTAAATAACGTACCGGAGTAGTTATGAAATAATACCGCGATACAGGAACCACTCACTCGTTAGCGATAGATATACAGAATCACAGTTATAAATTGCAGTTATAATTAGCGACTTTATAGATCGGATTGGCGCGATAGACGCCCTATACTCCCACTCCGTCTTGTAGCAGGAAGGCAATAAGTTGATGTTGGTCGATGTTCTACGCTCTTACTCTCAGACCCCAAACCACACACATATCATTATCCGTCGCCAGCCAACTTGTTCTCTTCTCGACCACCTTCGTTTCCATCATTCCATTCCATTTCCATTTCTATCTCGCCCAATTCCTCATCCTCCTAGCGCCTCCAATTTGCTCTTCCCCGCTTTCTAGATATTATTAATCTTGATTATTCCTTTTATCCTCACTACTTACGAATTCTCACACAAAGTCAGATAGGTGGTAATATTTCGACCACGGTTAGAAACCGTTAGCAATAAACAACATTTCGAGAGGTCCACTAACTATCAAAGCTCAGAGCGAACAGAGGCCGGCAGCCGATCATTTCCTCGATCCGCCTGGCGGTTAACTCACGCTCTGGCTCGAACGGCGACAGCTAGTACCTGCTTCGCTTTGCCGACGCACCATTTTCGTACTTCCTGCGAAGGTTCGGACACGAGAGCGAGGGGAGCTTAGCACAGCCCACACCCCGGTCACTTTCGCGGCGTCGATACGACTCAGCCCAAAACCCGCCGGCGGAGAAAGGGACCACGGAGTCCCAGGAGGGCCCTTTCTCAGTAAATTGAGTAAACGGTCAACCCACTGAACAACCATCGTCCCTACCGGCCAACCTGCCGACCCTCAGCTACGGTTTCAAAACACTCTCAGGTCTAAGAGATTCTGCATTTTACCATAGACTTGGTTGCGAAAGCCTTTACTCGCAACTTCAATACAAAGCACGCACGTCTCTCTGGGCCTCAATTGTCGAATTCCTCTACAATACTTTCCTCCAAATCTCGACTTACGTACCTTGTCTCTCGGCGGTCGCTTTCCACTTGTCTCCCCCGACATTCGCCCTTTTGACGCTGTTATCTGACGCCAAATTACGATAATTCCCTTCGACAAGCTTGTTTAAATTTACACAGCTGTCTCCTCAACGCAATCGGCCGGTAGCCGTAGGCAGCCGTCGTAGACCACGACTGAGGACGTGGTCAATTGAAAACCCAATAGGCGGGAAACCAAAATGTCGCAGGCGGGACAAAATGTTATGCGAAGGTATGTAAGATTGGGCTTTTCATAGCGGTTACGCCGCATATTTACTTTACCTTACTGTTTTTCTGGCGTGAACTCGAATAAATCCATGGATACCACGAACTGCGATGCTTCGAATTACGCTATCGCAAGCAGTACTACATATAAGATGCCCTTCTTTCGTTCAAGAGCGTACAATGACATCTTGAATCCTCGCGGCTTGGATGATTATCTGGCAAACATACATAGTTTTCAGTTGTTCTCACGTGGCGGATTTAAATATAGTCATTCTAATCTGGGGTTTATTTGCAGGAAACTGGTTATCATTGGAGATGGTGCCTGCGGAAAAACGAGTTTACTCAGCGTATTTACTCTTGGATATTTCCCAACAGTAAGTGTCCCCCTTGTCGCAGCAAAGACGGCATTTAATAAAGCTAACGGGCTCTTTGCAGCATTATGTACGTCATCCGTTGTCCTTTTCGAGACGCGCCTTTCGCAGGCTGAGTTCCGATCACTGCTCTATCCCCACCGTCGTACTAATGCACCTGCCTAGGTTCCGACAGTGTTTGAGAATTACGTGACGGACTGTAGAGTGGACGGCAAGTCTGTCCAACTTGCATTATGGGATACGGCTGGCCAAGAAGATTACGAGCGTTTACGACCTCTTGCATATTCAAAGGCACATGTCATTCTTGTTGGATTCTCCATTGACACACCGGATTCTCTTGACAATGTCAAACACAAGGTAGGCAATCACCGAGCGTTACTCGCCGACATGCTCTCATGGCATGCTTGGAATAGATACGTGAAACTGACACCGTTCGAAAAAAAAATTAGTGGGTGGAAGAGGCCACGGAGCGATGCCCAAATGTCCCGATTATTTTGGTTGGCTTGAAGAAAGATCTTCGCGAAGATCCGCTCGCCGTTGAAGAGATGCGTAAAAAGTCACTGAGCTTTGTTTCGAATAAGGATGCCCACGATGTTGCACATGAGATCGGCGCCCGACGATATCTTGAGTGCTCCTCCTTGACTGGAGAAGGCGTGGACGATGTTTTCGAAGCGGCCACTCGAGCAGCGCTATTGACCTTTGAGAAGGGAGAGAGTACTGGATGCTGCGTCATCTTATGAGCCGAGCTCATCAATACCTTTCGCAGCTTGGTCTCAAAAGCTTTACTTTGTAACCTTTTCTCCCGCCACAATTGCCTTTGGCGGAGGGAGCCGCGGTAATGGATCATCTACTTGCATGTAATGCACAGATCAGCGTCTGTGGGAAACGATCTAGCCGAATATGTTGGAACAGCAAAACAATCTCGAACATACGACATATACACCTTCGTTCTCGTTATTATATGAGGAAGAGCGCGAAGAGATGGAGTGGAGGAAAAGTCCGTCAACTTTTATTTTTATCACGTTACACATGCGGCAGAGATACACCCTTTTATTGTTATATGCATTCCTTTTTTGAACTGATGGATAAATGTCTGCTTTGTTCTGCAAAAATGATTCTTTGCATATTTGTTCTCTGACAATTTCAAGACATTCGCGTCGTCTTTCCTTTATATTTTGAACTTCTATTTTTCTTCACACGTCACATACATCTCCTTTCCTTAATTGCAGCTGCACTCTTAGCTTTATATTTTCCTTGGATCTACTCTTTCATTGTGGCGGAAATGTGTGGTTTTTTCCTCTCCTTTTTATTTCATCTGTCTTTCAATTATCTTCATTTTTCGTATTCGCCGTCATTTCCCATGTGAGCGGCGTGTTTTGATCTTTTCCTTTTTCTCTGAACTCGTGGCATGGCATGGCTTCTAATGCATCTATCGGTTCCACATCTCGTATATTGCATTGCTTGGCATGACATGACTATGTCTTTTTCTCCTTTCCTTTACATTTCAACACGGTCAATCTGTCTTACTAGTAACACTTTCTAGGTTATTAATTCATTTTACATTTTTGTTCTCGACCTAGACTATTTCTTCAGACTATTTCTTTCCTAATACAGCTTTCCTTCTACCAATAAACATGAATTTCGAACCATTTCTTTCTCGCTCTGAATTTGACTCGACTTGACTTGCTTATGTGAATTTAGCAGAGATATTTCCCTTTAAATGCAATTGTCCAGCTATATATAGATCATAAAGGTAAATCTACATGCAATGCTTATAAACGTTAAGACGAAAAAGGTAAAAGAAAAGAAGATAATAATATACACATCCAGAAAAAGAAAGGGAAAAGCCCTGCAGTCCAATTGGGTCCTTTTGCAGCTTGCTCCATGATTTTCTCCCCAGCTAAATCGCCTTTATTTTTTTTCCCCGCCCCTCAGCTCACTATTCTTTTCGCTTCCATCTTCTTTCCATATAGAAAAGACCCCCCTTCACAGCCCTGCGCGTGCATCGCGGCTCCCGCAAATTAGGATATAGATAGAAACCAGAACCTAAAATTCCAGCAATAAACAACTCGTCCCTTAGTATCTTATCTGGTCCATCCCTCATTGAATCCATCCCGCGGCGGTCCGTCCGTCTGCAGACGGGCATACTCGACAGGCACGCCCTGCCAGATGCCCTTCTTGGACTGGGACGCGCGGAAAAGGCGAGCACCCTCGGGCCCCGAATGGGCGCGCAGTTCCTCGCATGCGTCGCGCATGGAGTTGTATTGTCGCTCCAGGGACCGCTCTTTGGCCTGCAGCTGCTGGCGCCGGTACAGGAGCCAGGCACGGTGAATCGTCCAGTGGCGCAGCGAGCGTAGGCGAGAGAAGCGCAATGGGCGCGGAGTCATAGGGTGCATGAGGTGGTATCGGATCAGCGCTGGATTGGAGAAAAGAGAGAAAATTGTCAGTTATAACTTGTCTTTTTCCTAGGATTGGCTATTTAGGAGCAGCAGGAGGAGGGGATATAGAGAATAGTTGCGTACTTATCCGTTTGTCTGTCCTAGGACGGCCCTTGTCTCGGGCCATGGCGCGAGGAGTGCTTGAAAAGGGCGCCGCGGCGTGTCGGGTCAGAATTGAGGAAGAAGGAGAGGAAGGTTTCCATAATGATGAGAAGATTGTTGACGAGGAAGAGGAGGAGGTAATTGAGGGAGATGGTCGGAAAAGTGACCGGAAACTCGAAAGGACGTTCATTGTAGCGTGTGTGTGTGTGTGTGTGTGTGTGTGTGTGTGAGAGAGGTTTATAGAGCCTTGATGGAACTTTTGCGGAGGGCGCTTTGCTGTGTTTCTGTCGTCGAAGAGATTTTCTTTTCGAAAACGATCCTACGGAACAAAGCCTTTTGTATTTTGCGTCGGTGATGAGGTGCAATTGCTCAAGGATATGCGTCTCGTATCCCGGATGTCGGTTTGTTCGTAAACGCCCAAGACTCGATCGACTTCGGCTTCTTCGGTGTTGCTTGCGGAGAGTGGAAATCCTCCTCCTTGGTACAGAATCTAGGTAATAGTGAAGACTCTGCTGCGCTTGCGAATCCGTTCGTCTTCACGGGAGTAAAGTCCACGGAGGCGCGGGCGCTTTTCGTTCGTTCCCTTTACTGGACTGCGGAGCTGCGAGGTCGAGTCACGCTGCACTGTGCATCCGAGTTGGTGATATAGAACGGTTCTCGCCAGCAGTTGAATGTGCTGGATCAAGAGCTACAATCAGACTGAGCTCAATTGAGTGTCGTGTGATGGATTCTGGTCTTGCGTTGATCGATTCCAGGCCCAGCAGAAATCAATTCGGGATCGAATTGATCGAGAAGTTCAAACGCCGGGTAAGTTAATGAGACGGAAGAGATTCTGCTTGGGCTCCGGCGGTGTGTTTTTGACGAAAGCGGAATGGTTTACAGTAAGTTAGAGGGACTCGCGCCCTAGGAAACAGCACAGTTGGGCTATTCGGGCTAGCCGTAGCTGGGGTCCCTGCTGAGTCCCTCGGTCCCCAGGGGCTAACGGCTCAGTGACAAAACTACGGAGCATGTTGGTCAACATCATATGAAGGTTTCATTAGTAAATGAAAACTTGGTTCATGTAGAACCAATGACAGATGACGCTTCTCATGTTATAAGAAATGGTAATCCCTTGAGATTTCGGGCGAGGTGCTAAAGCTGGCGCATCCACTTCCTACATTCTGTACTACCTCATCCAAGCACGACTCCACCGACCCTCGGTCTTTCTTTAGAATAATCAACGGTTTTTTTCATGAATTACCAGGAAATTTCGAGTTGTTTATTTAACACAGGGTATTTCTAAATCGGAAAACTCGGCTGAAATGGGATTGAATTGGAAATAAAACTTTAACTTGCCCATGATGACCAAAAAAGAAACTGAAAATGCAATGTGCGCCAGTGATGTGGAAAAGGATATCGTGCAACATACAAGACATAGATCTTTGTTCGAAATGATACCCACCCATACCGACAATGACCAGATACAACGAGAAATGCAGACAAAATATGCACGCAATGACAAAGCCAAAACCGAGACCTATGTGGTAATGTAGTTGTTGCTAATGAATACCACCTGCACGGATGCGAGAGCCACTGCCGCGGTGAAAACCTCGATTCGACGAGCCGTAGTGAAATAGGTCAGGCTGGCAGAGAACAAAATGGAGAAGAAAAGGATGAATAAAAGGCGCCACAGGGTACGAGGGATATAATATAAGGCGAAAATCGAAATAGTCGGCATGAGTGAAGATATGACAACACTGATCCAGATGACGATATTTTCAAGTAGGCTGCGCCCAAACCCTTAAAAGCCCAACCCTACCCTGTACCCTACCCACTTTTCCTACAGGTTTAGGGTCGATATTTCTTCTCCAAAACCCA